TTTTTTTTTTTTTTTTTTGAGGAAAAGCACTAATACGTCATCGCATAAACTTATGCGCGTAAGATAAATTAAATTTGGTCTTGGATCGGACACAGAAAGTACATTTTGCTAGTTACGTGTAGGGGAACAGTTTTAATATGCTAGCTACTACAATCCCAATGCATAAGATGAGTAAAAAAGAGTGTTTACTATAACCTCTTTTAAATTGGGGCGAAGTTTGATGAGTCAAGAAATGAAAATGTGTACCTGAATCTTGGCGTAGTAGCATGTAAAAACGTCTATTTTTTTTTTTCTTCTTTTCATGATTGCGTTCTTACCATTGCAACTAACAAATAGGTTATCCTTGTACGACTTCTTTCAACTATATGATGTTTGGGCTTTCAACAACTGCTTGAGTATGCTAGCATATAATTCCAAAAGCAAAAAATAAAAAAACAACAAACAAACAAACAAAGGAAAAGAGTTGTGTGTTTCTAAAGTCCTTTGTTAAAATAGAATATAGAAAATAGAAAATAAGTAGTGTAAGAATAATTATTGTAAACTGAAATTCTAGGGTTTTTGTGGTATTAGTTTCAAAGATTAAAGCAACAAACACAGACAGCAACTGAATTGGTAGAACAAAAGTAGAGAGAAAGGAAAAAAAAAAATTAACAAAATAGAAAAAATTGATAGATATGTAGGAGTGAATTTACAACATACAACCACAGCCATACATTACTCTGTTGATACTACCCTTCAATTGATCAATTACCACTACTGCTACTCAATTGGAATAAACTCTATATTGCAACATGGACGTCACTGCTGCACCAGCTACTGGTGCTGCGTCAAACGTATGTATCTACTGAACAACTGGATGACACCTCCTCCTCTTGACATGGCGTTACTAACAATCCTACTGTTTTAGCCCAATGACCTTATTCTGCCACCAAAGCAAGTGTCTGTTGATCAAGCACCTTCTCCAAAGGAAGCCCTTCAACCGGAAGAATCAAAGAGCTCAACCCACAGTAGCAGCAACAATCAAAGGAGCAATCACAGAGGACAAAACGGTCCTCAGGGTCAATATAACCCACAAAAGAAGCTGGTTGGCCCACCGCCACTGTTGCCACCCCCAAATATCCCATTGGATGAGAAGCACCAACCACAAGCAGGAGCGAACCATAATTTCAATGGAGCACCATACAATGCGCCTCAAAATTCAAATCAAAGACAACCTTACCAAAACGGTGCTCCGCCAGCTGCAGCTCAAAGACAACAACAGACTCCAACGAGCAATGGTTCACCAGTGAACTCAAATTACCAGCAACCCCCAGCTTTAGCTAAGGACAATACAAGTGTTAGACCAGTAGCCAGCGCATCCAATGAGAGCTCAGGTGGAAAATCGACTGGCCGTTCAACCGTTGAAAAGCAAACTACTTCTGACACTACTGGAGAGACATCTCAGCTTTCGGCATATAAGCAGGCCAAGAACGGTGGCCTCACTCCAAGCGAAGACTTTGACATGAAAAACGTCAAGGGAAAACCACCTCCAAGAAAGCCAGTCGACCCCACCTTTAGAGGCTGGAAGGAAGTTGGTGGGTTTGAAGCTGATGATGCGTTGACAGCAGCTGATGAGACTGTCGATTTGCTATCGAGGGGTTCTGTTTTTGACCAGTACTTGCCGGCTGTTGCCTATGGTGATTGGTACCACAACGCAGGTTTTTTGATTGTGGGTGGTCTCTTGTCTTGGATCATTGGGTGGTTCAGATTCTCCGTTGCCCCATTGTTTTTCGTCATGGTGGTGTTTGCAGTCTTGTACAGAGCATCCGTGAAAAAGTATAGGGGTGTGTTGAGAGAGCAAGCTCAAAGAGAGTTTTCAGTAAAGACGATTGAGGACGATTATGAGACGATGGACTGGTGCAATTACTTTTTAGAGAAATTTTGGTACTACTTGGAACCTTCAATTTCGCAAATTGTTTGTGATCAAGCAAATCCTATTTTGGCAGGATTGCCCATTCCATCTTTTGTGACTTCTGTTTGGCTTGATAGTTTTACTTTGGGCACTAAACCACCCAGAATTGACTGTGTGAAAACTTTAATTGGAACAGCACCTGATGTTGTTGTTATGGACTGGGGATTTTCATTTACACCTAATGCAAATGTTGATGCCAACAACAAGCAATTGAAGAATAATGTAAATGAGACAATTGTTGTTAAAGCTACTGTATTTGGTGTCACAATTCCTGTTACTGTTGCAGATGTATCCTTCAAAGGGATGGCCAGAATCAGATTAAGACTAATGTCCTCATTCCCTCATGTTGAAACTGTCAATGTGTCAATGATTGAACCACCCCAATTCGATTTCAATACAAAACTTTTGGGAGAAGCCTCTTGGTGGTGGGAAGTCTTGGCATTCCCAGGCTTATATCCTTTCATCAACGAAATGGTCAAAAAATACGTTGGACCAATTGTTTTCAACCCAATGTCTTTCCAATTGAATGTTCAACAATTATTGGCTGGTAATGCTTTAGACTCGGCTATTGGTGTTTTGACGATCCGTGTAGATTCTGCCCGTGGTTTGAAAGGATTCAAGTATCTCGGAAACACTTTGGATCCTTACTTGACCTTTGGTTTCTTGAACAAAGTTTTGGCTAAGACAAAGGTCATTGACGATACTAGTCAACCAGTTTGGAATGAAACTTTGTATGTTCCGGTATCATCGTTGTCGGAACCATTGACTATATCTGTCATTGATTACAATGACATTAGAAAAGACAGACAGGTTGGTGCCGTTCAATTCGACTTGGAGACATTAGTGGATAACCCACATCAAGAGCATCTTACTGCGGCGTTTTTGAGAAACAACAAACCAGTTGGTGAATTACTCTTTGGTATGACTTATCAACCAGTCTTGCAAGCTGTGAAGCAAGCTGATGGAGCTACTACTCCTCCGCCTGATTTAAATACTGGTGTTGCAAGGATCGAAATCCCAGAAGCAAGGAACTTGAAGGGGGGTGACAAGGGTGCAACCACCAGTGTTCAACTCATTATAGATGGTAAATCTGTCTTGGAATCACCAGTTCAAAAGAACAACAACAATCCTGCTTGGGGTGCAGTCACAGAGCAGATTATTTTCAATCGTGCAAAGACCAAGGCAAAGCTTATCCTCAAGGACAAGAACGGAAAGCCAGTTGGCCAGATCGTCAAGAGTTTGAATGAGTTGATTGACGCGACACAGGTTGAACAAACATGGTTTCCATTGAGCAAAGGTGGTGAAGTTAGAATTAGTACCAATTGGAAGCCAGTTGAATTGGAGGGCGCTGGAGGAGCTGGTGGCTACACACCACCTATCGGAGTTGTTAGAGTTGCAATTGACAATGCTGAGGATTTGCGCAACTTGGAACACATTGGAAAGGTAGATCCTTATGCTAGAATTTTGGTCAATGGATTCGAAAAGGCAAGAACAGCTGCCGTTGAATCGAGTTTGGATCCAACATGGAACGAAATTCATTACGTCACTGTTTCCTCTCCTAACCAAAAATTAACCATTGAAGCTATGGATGTTGAGGCTCATTCCCCTGATCGTACTCTAGGTTCATTTGACATTCGGATGAATGAGTTTATTCAAAAAGATGAAAAAGGATTGTACGTTGAGCACGTTGATAAGAAGAAGAGAACGTCAAAGTTGGTGCTGAAAAAGGGTCCAAAAGGTTCCATCACATACACCATTTCTTTCTATCCAGCTTTGCCTGTTATGACTTTACAAGATTATAAAGAGGAGGAAGAGGAAAAGAAGGAGGCTGAGAAAAAGAAGAAGGAGAGGGAAGAGGAAAAGAAAACCAACAAGAACCCTAGTGGATTGGAGGATGCAAATCAAGAAAAGCAGGTCAGCCCTGAAGAAGATATTGATGATGAAGAAGTTGATGATGATAACTTTGGTCAGAAGCTTAAATTGTCCGTTAACCAATTAATTGAGTACAAGAGTGGTATCTTGGTATTTGAGATTTTAGAGGGAAATGTTTCAAAAAGTGATACATTTTTGCAAGTGTTTTCAGGTAATCATGGGTATCCTGACTACATCAGTAGGGAATTGAAGAAAAACAAGTCTAAGCTCGAAATGACTGGGGATACTACTATTACAGAGCTTGATTGGGCTGAGACTTGCTTTAGGCTTGTTAAAGATGAAGATGATAATAGATTGGACAAGTGTATTGCTGAAGCAAATATCCCCACATTGCAGTTGATCAAGAATGGTGTGGATAACCCAATGACGATCGACTTGGAGGGCAATGGACATGCATCGTTCAAGATGCAATTTTCTTGGATTCCACTAATTTACGCATCAGGAGTACCACCGCAGGATTCGAAAGATAACTCTGGTATTTTGTACGTTAAAGTCAAGAGTGCAGCTGGAATACCATCATCCGATAGCAATGGTAAGTCTGATCCTTATATGAAAGTCTATCTCAACACGGAAAAGAGTGCATTTACAAAGACTAAAACAGTCAAGAGGACCCTTGATCCAACTTGGAACCACAAAGGTGAAGTTGAGGTTGCCAACTTGTACGACTCGACTTTGCGCTTTGACTTGTACGATTGGGATGCCGTGGACGCTGATGACTACTTGGGTACTGGATATGTTGAGTTGGGATCTTATGACATGAAAGAGGGTCCTGTAGAGGTGGAAATTCCATTACAAGGAGAGCAAGGAGATCCTGCCGGTATGGCGTATGCTGAATTATCATTCGAGCCAAAGTTTGTTTTGAACGTGAAACCAAAGAGTCAATCTACTGTTGGAACAGTAGGAAATGTTGGAGTGGGTGTAGGAAAAGGTGTAGGTAAAGGTGTTGGAGTGTTGGGTAAAGGAGTTGGAAAGGGTCTTGGTGGTGGCTTCAAGGGTATAAGAAAGGGCTTACATTTGGGCGGAGGCTCACTGGAGTAAGTAATGATAGTAGGAGAGGTTTAATGTTAATTTTTTTGTATATTCTATTGTAAAAGAAAAATAGGTTATGAAAGGGTATTTCAGTTGTAGTTGAATGGATTGGATCATATGGTATTTGAGTGCGAGATGAGCTGGAGCAGTGTTTGTGTAATTTGAAAAGGATGGGTGGGTGATAATAATGATGATGATGGAAAGCAGAAGGAAAAAAAAAAAAAAAAAATTTAAAAAAAAATTTCATCTCAATGCAGTTCCATCGATCTATTGCAAAGCATATAACCTCAACTATCACCACACACAAACCATGGATATTTCCAAACCAGTTGGCTCAGAAATCACATCTGTTGATTTTGGAGTGCTATCCGATAGTGAGGTCCAAAAGTTATCCTCAAAGCAAATCACTAATCCAATTGTATTTGATAACTTGGGCCACCCAGTAAATGGCGGTTTATACGATTTGTCACTCGGTGCATTCTTACGAAACGTGTGTACTACATGTGGACTAGATGAAAAGTTTTGTCCAGGACATATGGGTCACATTGAGTTGCCAGTTCCTGTTTACAACCCAATGTTTTTCAACCAATTGTACATTTTTCTAAGAAGTTCTTGTTTATATTGCCATCACTTCAAGTTGAGCCATCTCGAGGTGCACTTGTTCAAGTGTAAGTTGCATCTCATACAGTATGGGTTATTGTTGGAGTGTACAGAGTTGGAGAACATGATGCCAGTTGGAAAATCTGCCAAGGAGATGAGCAGCAATGATGATGATGAGGACGAGGAAGCGGAGGGTACTTCTGTCGACGACAAGGCAAAAAAGGAGTTGATGGAAAGAAGAGAAAGATTTGTAAAGAACGCAATTTCAGCTGCCTTGAAGGACGGAAGAACTAGCTCCAAGGGGGTCATAACTGCATCAGTGGGTGAAGAGAGAAAGGCAACCATTCACGAATTTTACCGCAGGTTGTTGAGTAGACCAAAATGTAGCAACTGTTCAATGTATTCCCCAAGTTTCAGAAAAGATGGGTTTACAAAAATTTTCGAAAACTCACTCAATGACAAACAGATTACAAATAATAGAGTTAGAGGGTTGCATCGTCCAGATATGATCAAAAAGAATGGAAGTAGTAACTCCACTGCAGCTGATATTCCTAATATCAAGCACAAAGGTGGATCGAAATACGTGTTATCTTCAGAAGTTAGAAACATTATTCGTGCTGTTTTCAAAAAGGAGCAAGCAGTGTTGCAAAAAGTTTTCCACTCAAGACCATATCAGCATGAATATGTCAGTGGTGACATTTTCTTCAAACAGTCCATTTTGGTGCCACCAACTAGATTCAGATTACCTTCCAAGTTGGGAGACGAGATCCATGAAAATGCTCAAAATGAATTGTTGTCAAACATTTTGAAAACAACAGTGTTGATTGCCGATTTAAATTCCCAGATTTCACAAATGTATGAAGCCAAATTGAGTGGAGAGCAGAAAAAAATTGCATTTAACAGATTGATGAACTCATTTGTCACTTTGCAAAACGATGTCAATGCATTTATAGACTCAACCAAAAACCAGAATGCTCCAGCTGGGAAATTGCCGAACCCTGGTATCAAGCAAGCATTGGAAAAGAAAGAAGGGTTGTTTAGGAAGCATATGATGGGTAAGCGTGTTAATTACGCTGCTCGTTCAGTCATTTCCCCCGATCCAAATTTGGAGACTAATGAAATTGGTGTGCCACCAGTGTTTGCCAAGAAGTTGACATATCCAGAGCCAGTCACCTCACACAATGCGTCTGAGTTGAGACAAGCTGTAATCAATGGTCCCGAAAAGTGGCCTGGTGCAGTGCAAATTCAAAATGAAGATGGCTCTTTGATTTCATTGATTGGTATGAGTTTAGAACAGAGAAAGGCTTTGGCTAATCAATTGTTGACACCTACTGGAAGCAATTCGTTTGTTGGTAAAAAAGTATACAGGCACATTAAGAACAAAGATGTTGTCATTATGAATCGTCAACCTACATTGCATAAGGCCTCCATGATGGGCCATAAGGTTAGAGTTTTACCAGGAGAAAAGACATTGAGATTGCATTATGCAAATACTGGTGCCTACAATGCCGATTTTGATGGTGATGAAATGAATATGCATTTCCCTCAAAATGAAAATGCCAAGGCAGAGGCATTGAACTTGGCAAATACCGATAGTCAATATTTGACCCCAACTTCAGGATCTCCATTGAGAGGATTGATTCAAGATCACATTTCTGCTGGTGTATGGTTAACCAGTAAGGATACGTTCTTTACTAGAGAAACATACCAACAATTGATTTATGGATGTATTAGACCGGAGGATGGACACACTACAAGATCGAGACTTATTACGTTACCGCCAGCTATCTACAAACCCGAGTTTTTGTGGACTGGTAAACAAGTAATCACAACGATCTTGTTAAATATCAAACCTGACAATGTACCTGGTGTCAATTTGGTCTCGAAGAATAAAATCAAGAGTGATTATTGGGGTCAACACAGTAGTGAAAATGAAGTAATTTTCAAAAATGGTGAGTTGTTGAGTGGTATTTTGGATAAATCACAGTACGGTGCTTCTCAATTTGGTATTGTTCATTCCTTGCACGAAGTGTATGGTTCTGAAGTTGCCGGAAAGGCATTGAGTGTTTTGGGAAGATTGTTTACCAATTACATCATGATGACTGCATTCACGTGTGGTATGGACGATTTGAGATTGACCGAGGATGGTAATGAATGGAGAAAGGACATTTTGAAACAGTCTGTTGATGTTGGTAGACAAGCCGCCACTGAGGTGACAAACTTGGCTGATAACACTTCTAACGATAACAAAGAATTGAGGAGAAGATTGGAGGAAATCTTACGAGATGATGATAAGTTGGGTATTTTGGATGCCATTACTCAATCCAAAGTAAATGCCATCACTTCGCAAGTTGTGTCAAAGTGTGTACCCGACGGAACAATGAAGAGATTCCCATACAATTCTATGCAAGCGATGGCTCTTTCTGGTGCTAAAGGTTCCAATGTCAATGTCTCACAAATTATGTGTCTTTTGGGGCAACAAGCGTTGGAAGGTAGAAGAGTACCAGTTATGGTTTCCGGAAAGACATTGCCTTCATTCAAGGCATTTGAAACTGATGCAAGAGCCGGTGGATATATCAAACAGAGATTCTATTCTGGTATCAGACCACAAGAGTACTATTTCCATTGTATGGCTGGTAGAGAAGGTCTTATTGATACTGCCGTCAAGACATCTAGATCCGGGTACTTGCAACGTTGTTTGACAAAACAATTGGAAGGTGTGCATGTTAATTACGACAACTCAGTTCGTGATGGAGATGGAACCTTGATTCAATTCCTTTATGGAGGTGACTCCATCGATACTACCAAACAATCGCACATGAACCAATTTGAATTTTGTTTGGAGAATTATGATGCATTGTTGGCAAAGTATAATCCAGGAGAAATGGTTGAGAACTTGGATACTTCTAAAGCATTGTCGTATTCAAAGAAAGTACGCAAGTCGATGAAGAAACAAAAGGATGTGCCACATTACGAACAAGAAATCAAGTATGATCCAGTCATTAACACATACAACCCTGCCAAGTATCTCGGTTCAGTTTCCGAAAAGTTTCAAGAAAAATTGGACAAGTTTGTGTCAAGTCATCCAGATTTGTTTGCTCAGTCCAAAGAAGAAGCTAAATCTAGTGGCAAGTTAACCGAAAAGAAGTTCAGAGCCTTGATGCAATTGAAATATATGAGATCATTGGTTAACCCAGGAGAATCGGTGGGTATCATTGCTTCGCAATCTATTGGTGAGCCATCGACACAAATGACATTAAACACGTTCCATTTCGCTGGTCACGGTGCTGCCAATGTGACATTGGGTATTCCGCGTATGAGAGAAATCATCATGACTGCATCGGCAGCAATCAAGACTCCACAAATGACATTGCCAATCTTGCCTGATGTGAATGACCAACAAGCTGATGCATTTTGTAAATCTATTGCTAAAGTGGTTATGTCTGAGTTTGTTGATAGTGTTACCGTTACTGAAACGACATCACAAGAAGAGGATGGATCAAATAGTAGGTCATATGTGATCCATTTGGGATTCTATACCAAGGATGAATATGAAGCTGAGTATGACATTAGTCAAGAGCAGTTGGAGAATGTGGTTACGCAAACATTTATTCATGCATTGGAAGCACAAATTGTTAAGGAGGTCAAAAAGCAAAAGAAACCTGATTACATGCCAACAGTTGGAAAATCTGCTGGTAAAACAGATATGGAGACTGTTAGTGGAAAGATCAAAGAGTTGAATGAAGACGATGAGGAGGATGATGTTGATGAAGAAGAGGATGGTGCCGATTTGGAGGAGCTGAAACAAAAGGTTAAGCAACAGGTTTCATATGAAGGACCCGATGACGACGAGATTGAAACGATGAAACGTGCAGAGGAAACCAGCGATGAAGAAATGGAGGATGCAAGAGATAGTGATGATGGATCTGCTTCATCTTCCGACAGCGATAGTGACGACGACGATCAAGAAGTGGATGCTGATGGCGATTCCAATATGGAAAAGAAACCCGAGTTGTCACGTTTAGCCAAAGACCGTCAAGCTGAAGTTATTGCTCAACATAATATGGTTACCAAGTTCAACTTTGATGATGAGAATGGTGAATGGTGTGAATTCAAACTTGAGTTGAATGGAAACGAAACGCAGAAATTGTTGATGGTCAACATTGTTGAAGAGCTTTTGCGTAAAACTGTTGTACGTCAAATCCCCCACATTGGAAGATGTTTACGTCCCGACCCAGATGCACTGGGAAAGAGAATCTTGACTACCGAAGGTGTTAACTTCAAAGCCATGTGGGAACAAGATGACTTTGTTGATGTCAATGCCATCACATCCAACGATATTGCTTCGGTGTTGCATACATATGGAGTTGAAGCAGCTAGAAATACTATTGTCAATGAAATTTACCGAGTATTTGATACTTATGGTATTAGTGTTTCGTCACGTCATTTGGACTTGATTGCTGATATGATGACACGTGAAGGAACTTATTTGGCATTCAATAGACAAGGTATTGACAGTTCGACATCTAGTTTCATGAAGATGTCGTATGAGACAACGTGTCAATTCTTGACCAAAGCTGTCTTGGACGGCGATCGAGAAGAGTTGGAGAGTCCCTCAGCAAAGATTGTCTTGGGTAAATTGGCAAATGTTGGAACTGGGTCATTTGATATTTTTGCAAAATTGCCTAAAGTTTGAGAACAAATAAAAAAAAAAAATACCATACGTAGATGTTTATTTATTTTTTTTTTGTTGTATATTACAGATTAGAACCAATTGAACATTCCAAAGGATTTAGGGAAACTGTAAGAAATCCGAAAGTACGACTTGGTGTCTGGCATATCTTAAAAATAAAGCATCAGTTTTCCATCTTGTTTGCGTCAACAAAATAAATGACAAGAGAAATGGGAAACAAAGTGAGGTGATAACATGACCCCCCCCTCCCCAAAATTTTTTTTTTTAAAAAAAAAATAAAATAGTGACACATATGAATGGCCACACTTTTAATGGATTACTTAGCATTTATCAAAAGATCTGGTTAGTAGTGGGAGATATTTAAAAGATGTGATTAGTCGTAGTATTTTCTCAATATTGAATAATCTAGTTTTAATTCTGCTCTAGTGTTGTTTTACTATGTCCAAATCGTTGTTTGCCAATGTAGTCAGTCACAAATCAGCAGAGACAATTGCAAATTATGCCGAGTTTAATGACAGGTTGAAGCACAATGTGCTCGTGAGGCAATTGTATGATCTCGAGTATGAAATGGGTTCGATTGACGAGGTGCTTCTAGAAGCCGTAAAGGAGGAAGCGGGGGTTAATGAGAAAGAGGAGGTGGGCGATTGGGAATGCTGTTATTGTATTAACGAGAGGGACAAGTCTAGTGAGGTGAACTATATTGATGGGAGTGGAAAAAAGGATCAAATAGAGGACAAGACGGATGATGTAGAGGTTTATGAATTTGAGTTTACTTCGAGATGGCACCAAGCTGTTTCAGCAATGCCTGGTTTACAATATACAAGAGCTGGAAGTGCCAAGCATATACAATCATTGATAACTGAACCAAGACTACGAATTACACAGTCAGTTTCTGACAAGATTAGGAATCGTAACTTGTCATTAATACGAGTTAATACAATATAAAACCATCATTGAAGATATAGACAGTATTACAAAGAAACAACACATTTATTAGATAAAAAGCTCTAGAAACGTCTCTCTTTACACCACTATGATGCGTAACTCACAGTCTTTGCTCCCTTGTCTTTTTTTTTTTTCTTTTTCTTTTCAATGCTTATACGTTGTAAGCAGCAATGATCAAACTCAAGACAAATGATATTTTGAAACTTGGGTTCTCAAAGACCAATTGCTTCAAATTGATCTTTTGCTTTCCAACGGTAAAAATGTAGTTCCATGGGACATTAATGATATTTCTGTTTTGCAAAAATTCAACAAGTAAGAAGGAACTCAAGGAAATGAACACAAATACTTGAGACAATTTACCCAAGATAATCCCAACAAACAATCCAGTGACCGACCCAATGGTTAAATCTTCATAGTTTAAATTGTTTCCCCATCTGGATTTGGTTGGGGTCTTAGTCACTGGTTGGACTGAGACGTTTGAAGCCACTTGTTGTCTAGGAGTAGCAGCATAACCGGCAGCGTCGTTGTAAATTGACTTGGCAAATGCCGTAGTTAGCAAGAAAGAAGCACCAGCACTAGCAAAGAACAACTTCAAGATGTTTTTGCTAGATGAGTTGGATCCATAACCGTGTTGATGGTAGTGTTGGTGTTGTTGCTTTACAGCGGTCAAGACTGAGTTTGATCTAGGGAAAAACAAATTAGTCGTAGATGACACTGTGGGTTTGGTGCTACTTGACAAGAATCGAATTGAAGATGCTGCTGATGATGGCGATCTTGATGCAATTGCTGAGCGGTTAAGGATAGTTGGCAATGTTCTAAACATGATTGAGTGTTGTAGTAAACTTGTCAACGCGCTAATTGAAAATGTGTCAGATGAGGTATGTATATATGTACATATATATATGGATGCGTGTGTGTGTATGGATATATGTCTTTCAGTTGTTACTGTTGTTGAAGTAAAGCGGATATATTTATGTTCCGAAATTATAAAGGTGGAGAGAATGCTTTTTGTGTCTTATACAACTTGGAATAACAAAAGAACTGACAAAGACATCTGATTATCACATGATTGGAAGAAGCCATGGACAGCAGAGGCTACGATACCTTGGATCTTGCTGACAGCTATATGGACAATAGAGTCTCTAATATCAAGTTTTGTGTTTGTTAAGTATGGTATAGCAATCATAAGTTCATGCATTTTACCACTACGGAGTTAAAAACGCTGTATAACCGGTGTCTATTTTTTCTTTTTTGTTGGGAAACGCAGAGAACACGAGAGAAAAAATACAAAAAAAAAGCAGAGGTCATGTGCCAGTGTCGAGTCGTATATAAGAGTTTGCGACATTGGAATTTTCAACGGATATTAGCAAAGACTCTAACAACACAGATAACTTCCGCCTGCCCACACAAAAGATACTTCAAACACTTTACGTATACCTCTGTCTGTCATAAACAATTAGAAAAATGTGCTAACAGCGGAACTCACTTCCCTACTTGGCTTTTGTAATGCTAGCTAGTCGTGGGGGGAATTTGGGGGAAGGGCGGAAGGATATTGAAAGACACAGAGCGACAAGTGGTAGTGGTTTGACAGCGCACGTGTAAATCACGAGAAAAGAAGAGATTTTAGATGAATCCGGCACACAATTGGATCTTGCTGACGGTTGAGGCTGCACAGTCTTGTCGCAACCCCTATTTAGGATAACTGTGATGTGGGAAAAGTTGTACTCGCCAAATTTGCACGACTCATTAAAGGTCGTGTATTTCATAAGAATCAAAAAGTGTCCGTATTACATAATCTCTTACATAATAGGAATTTCTTTTTCTTTTATTTTTATTTTCTTTCTTTTTTTTCTCTCTTTCTTTCTTTTTTTTCTTCAAATTCCAGCCAGCTGTTATTGAGCTAAAGTACACTACTCTTCCACAGTGAGACTCTAGAATTGTACCCATATTTTATTACTTGCATATTCTATATACTTATTAACAAAGAGGGTGTGTGGCTATATAATTCTTTGGCTTTTCTCACTTTTCTTTTCTTTTTTTTTTTCGTTTTTTTCTTCCCTGTTCATTTGCGGCACACACACTACTTAAGGCATATATATATATATATATATACATACACACTACAAGACTGTAATAGTGTTTGTTGTTTAACTACTGCTGGTATTGACTGCATTTTTCCTCATACATTGGCTCAACCCAGTGTTTTACATACACAGAAAAGAAAAGAGACACGTCTTGTGGTAATTTTTTTTTTCTTTTTTGTTTTTTTTTTTTTGTTGCAATAATCAAGTGTTGCAAAAGCTTATAGAGGGAGACAAAGCCATCGGAATCCACCAACTGTAGCTGGGGGGTTCACTACATTACTGAATTGATCTATGGGTGTATAACTAAGAGGTGCTTTCCCCATTACCACATCTCCATTATAGTATCCAATCCATCAAACAGAAAGTCACACGACAACTAGCAAAACATTATGTTTCAACAACAGCAGCAACAGCACGAGGAGAATTACTTGCAGCCTCACAATTTCCACAATTGCAATGCTTCATTCAACGAGTCTATGTTTTTCAATCCTGACACTGCACAAGAGATATGTCCTGGAATCTGGTTAGGACCATACACTTCGTTATTGAATACACCCCAAGCCATCAATTTGCACTATGCGCCCCCGCCTCAGACATTGTCGACATCCGTAGGAGGGACAAGTGGTGGTTTTATCTCCAACAACAACATCAAGATAATCGTCAATTGTGGCTCGACATTGAAGTTTTTGGATTTGATTGAAAACTCACCTCATATTTCCATTTCGTCTGATGTTTTGGTATTGAGCTTGGACCCGGCTTTTGACGTATCTGCATCACAAACACGAGCACCTCACCACGAATTGGTGCAACGATTTACTCGGGATTATAGTAAGATTTTGCAAAATTACATGCAATCTTTCTACTTTAATAATCCCAATGCCAATAACTTAATACATAGTCTACCATCAAGCCACAACTTGAACATCGACTCGCCCATTCTCAATGGCTCAAATTTGAAATTACAGTTTTTCAAATTGATTCGCTTGATTTCGTTGTTCAAATTGATCAATTATGATTTGCAGTGTCTTTTTGTATCCGAGGACGGCAATGGGTCTCTATCTACTGGAATAACCATTGCCTATCTTATGGATTGTTACCGATACAATTTCCAGAATTCATTCAAGTTGATACGTGACCGACGCCCAACTATTCGTGACTTGCAGTTGAACTTTTATGATGACCTATTGATTATTGAAAACTTGAAGAAATTCTATGTGGAAAATATCGAGCTAAAGGGAAGGAACCCGAATTTGTTGATGAATGGGTTCAAAAGGTCAATGGGCGGAGATGCTGTTTCTAATGAAGATGAATCTGGTGGTGGTGGTAGTGGTGGTGTCGATGGTGAGAATGGTGGCAGTGATGAGATTATGGTAGGCGGTGATAGGAAACGGAAACTACACTAGCACACATGTAAAATTTGTATTGTATCATTATGTAAAAATAAAAACCCTGAGTTGAATAAGGCCACGCTCAGTCTGCTACTGATGGGATTTGAAGTAGAATGTACTTTAGAATTCTAGTAAGGAAGTATCCAGTGGAAACTAGCACTTACTGTCAGTTTAAGAGTACTAATTTGTTGTAAGGACTCGGGGAGAACCTCTGGAGTAGCAGTCTCTTGAGAAGAAGAGTTGGTTGAAGACATAATGAAAATATTTATCTTCCTTAGTTAGTAAAAGAAGATTTGAAGAATGAAGTGGAAATTCAATCCCTATTTATACTTTTAAGTAAAACTTTGCACAGTAGAAAGAAAACACACGTGGCTTTGCTGGCAACTAGAACTCTCTCTGAAGCTCACCAAGCTAAGGATTAAAACTTGATCTAAATGGTCAATATGAAAACCAGTTGCAAAACATAATTCTGTCAGGAATAGGAATAGATATTCCAAAACACTTTGCAAACTGACAAGAATTTCAGAAGACGATTCCCGAACCTGAAACATGTATCACTAATGTTTCAGGTACTAAACCTTTTTAGAGTCTTGAAGTATAAAGGTGGGTCTTTTCCCCTTTTTTCTATATAGTTCTATTTTTATATAATCAAGTATATTACTATTCATAAACTGACACTGACACAGATTCAAAAGTACCATACAAACACTAGAACAAACATCGAAACTACTTAACTAACAATTAACAGATGCATCATACTCCGGCTTGTTACGTGCAAGGCACATCTTATAGTCCGTCCTCCATTTTACTCCCCTACCTGTAGGTGAACTCACAAGCGACTTCTCTTTCTCATCAATAGTTTAAACGATGTTCGATGTGTAAGCAGAAAGAGTTCGAAAAAAAAAAAAATATTTTATCCGGTTAGTCATAGACTCTTCCACTGCAACGACAATGGCAGACACTACAGAGCCTAAAAGACATGTGTTGATGATTGACAACTATGACTCCTTCACTTGGAATCTCTATCAATACTTGCATCAATCTAGTCGATGCGGTAAAGTTGACGTTTACAGGAACGACAAGATCGATATTGCAACAATTGAAAATGAAATCAAGCCGGATATAATATTCATTTCTCCGGGACCTGGACACCCATTGACTGATTCGGGTATATCAAGTGATGTGATTAGACACTTCAAAGGTAAATTGCCAATATTTGGTGTATGCATGGGACAAGAGTGTATTTTCGATGTATTTGGTGGTGATGTATCTTATGCTGGTGAGATTGTTCATGGTAAAACCACAACTATCAACCACGATGGAAAGGGGATGTTTGAAGATGTACCGCAATCAGTGGCTGTAACTAGATACCACTCCTTAGCAGGTAGCGAAAAGACTTTGCCTGAGGTTTTGGAAGTCACGGCAGTTACTGAAACTGAACCAAATGTGATAATGGGAGTCAGACACAAGACGTACACTATCGAAGGAGTGCAGTTCCATCCTGAGTCAATCTTGACTGAGTCGGGGCAATTGATGATTGACAACATATTGGGTGTATATGGCGGTACCTGGGAGGAAAATAAGGTCCACAAATTGAAGCAAAAGACCGTTACCCATAAACCATTTGCTACTAACCAAAACATTTTAACCACGATATACAAGAAAAGGCAAGAAGATTACGAAGCTATTGAAAAATTGCCTGGTCGTTCTTTCCATAATTTGGAAATCGCCTTGTCATTAGGTGTAGCTCCCCCTGTGATCAACTTTTATGAACGACTCAAATATACTCAAGATGTTCTTAAGCAAACAATCATTTTATCGGAGTTCAAGAGAGCCAGTCCATCAAAGGGCGACATCAATGTCAATGCTCATGCTGGTACCCAAGCTTTAACCTACGCTATTAATGGATGCTCAACAATTTCAATTTTGACTGAGCCAAATTGGTTTAAAGGTTCAATTGAAGATATGTCATTGATACGTCAAGTTATCGAAAATCCAGACACCAAAAAAGTTGCCAACTACAAACGTCCAGCTGTGTTGAGAAAGGAGTTTATATTCAACAAGTATCAAATTTTGGAAGCCAGATTAGCTGGTGCTGATACTGTTTTGCTTATTGTGAAAATGTTGGATGATTTTGAGTTGTTGCATAAACTCTATGAGTACTCATTGGACTTGGGGATGGTTCCCTTGGTCGAAGTCAATGATGGTGCGGAACTATCACAAGCTTTGAAATTGACTTACCGTAGTGCAACTAAGGAACCCTTGATTATTGGTGTTAATAATCGTAACTTGACCAATTTCAATGTCGATTTACAAACCACTAGCTCATTGGTAGATCATGCCAAGGGTAGCAACAATGGACGCGATGGAGAGGTTTTGGTGTTGGCTTTGTCTGGAATCACTAGTGTAGACGATGTGAAGAAGTACAAGTATGAGGATAATGTTGATGGATTTTTGATTGGTGAAAGTTTAATGAGAGCAGAAGCTAATGGGAAGGCTGGTGAATTCTTGCATGACTTATGTACTTGTTAAGAGACTGTTCTAGTAGGAACTTGTAAATATAAGGAATGAATATAAAGTTTTGCAAGAGTTTATATGGGGGAGTCGGCTCTTCCCTTCTGCGCGTAGAAATTGCATGGCAAAAAATAATTAAAAAAAAAACCATAAAAAACGACGCGTTGTAAAAAAAAAAGAAACATAAAGTGCACAGCACACAATCAGCGCCATTTACAACTGACTCAGCTGTCCACCAAACATAATGGAGGCAACAACGAAGAGGATAGACGCGACGCTCTTACAGCAGAACCAAAACAACCTTGTCCGAATCATCGGCAAATGCGAATCATTCGATGTCCACACTCAACAAGCTATCTTGATAAGTAACGGATCAATCAAACTAGATTTATCTTCATCAGGATTACAACATGACGGCAGCAACGGCAGTAATGGTGGTGGAAGTGATGTGTTTCAAGTGAACAAGAACTACGAAATTATTGGCAAAGTGAGTCATAATCCATCTGATTTGAAAGTCCATGTGTATTCTATTGTTGAATTATCTGATAATTTGAACTTCAACGCGGTGGAAAAATTGGTCCAGTATACTTATAAAGTTCCTGAATTGTTTTACCAAGAGGTGTAGGTTCGTGGAGAGGGGAGGAAGCAGATGTGTGCTTTACCTAGTGGTTAGAATTTGTAGAAGATAGTTTTAGATATTTTGTTCAAACAAAAAGGGTGTCCTTCATCACTGTATTGACTCATATATACGTGTAGGAGTATCTCTATAAAAGGGTCAAGTCATGTGCAAGATCACTAAACCTCTTTTCCTTGGATCCATACGACTCACGCCATTTGCTCAACCAATTTGGAAACCTAGAAGAAGTTGTATAGGCTCCAACATGCTTATAATTTCCATAAGCTATAGCCAATCGATACCCGGCTTCGGCTGAGGAGTTTACAACAACGTCTCCGATTTTGTCGACAAGTTTCAATACAGGAGCAGCCGAAATGGACGAGTGACAATTCAATCCTTTGGTCTTGATTTGGATAGTTGACAAATCATATATAAAAGTGGCCAATGCCGTAATCGCTGCACCGTAAAGCTTAGCTGAGGGGTCTAATTTCGTGGCTCTGTCGCCGACTTGAGTCAAGATATTTTGGAATGGAGTGTTGAAGATATACTTTGTGGGATCGCCATTGAAGGGGTCGATGAATGCTTGACTGAATCCAGCGGTGTCTATGAAATTGACCAATACTTTGATAATCATCATAAACAATGTAGCGTTTGACAAATCAACAACGTCCAACCCTGACTCAATCAGTTTAGATACTGACTCGGCGATAGCTTCATTGCGCAAATAATCGTGAGCTGTGATTTTTGGAATTGCAAGTCGGATCAAATCGTAACCAATCAACTTGGAAGACGTCACCCATGATGAAGTGATTTTGTTGGCGTGTTGCAAAACCAATTCCACTGCATCACTAGACGATAAATTGGATATCAGCGACTCAATAGACGAGATTTCCTCCAATGTGAATTGTTTAGATTGATCTTGCGACAGGTTCAACTTTTTCAAACCATTCGTTATCGAGTCCTGTTTGAACTCCTTGTACGAAATGAACTGAGTTTCGGGGATGATCGATGTTGCAGGATGAGTCTCTGATTGTCCTTGTTGTCTAGCATATGCATCAGAGTACGGATCACTAGCTACTGCTGTAGATGGCTGTGGTTCCTGGTCAGCAGCCCCTTCACTCAACTTGGCACCCGCAGTATTTGTCTCTAAAAACCTCACAACTTCATCAGTATATGACGAAGGCAACTCGTTATCGGCAAGGAATTTCTCCGCCACCGTGTACGGATTCTGGTTCAAATTGTATGGCAATTTCAATGGTGGCTCGCCATCCTTGATATCCACATCAAATACATAATCGTATTCCTTTCCATCAAAGATTTGTTTCTTGGCAGAGCTTGCTCCTCCAACAACATCACCAATCTTGTGCCACTCACCACCTGACCATTGATGTGCTTCAATTGTCCCATCCACAGTTTTGACCATGATGGTTGCTCCTTCCTTCTTGCCGGGGCTTGCCAACGCTTCTACGCCAGGGATATCGGTTTTCTTCAAATCATCCAAAGATTGTTCTGATATTGATGACGATTGGACAGCTTCTGTAAAGGCTCTCAATTCATCTTGGGAGGCAACTCGCTCAGAATTCAGAGTGAAAACACGAATTAAATTATCAGATCCACCAATGGCAAAATCACCATTGCTCAAAACTGTGACACACCAAACAGAAATACATGGCAATGTAATCACTTGCAATGCTTCGCCTTTTGATACATCCCAAATTCGTACCGTACGGTCTTCACCAGTTGACACTAGATTTCCGTTGGGCAACAAAGCCAAATCGTATACAAAAGAATCATGCCCAAAAAGGGTTTTCAAAATCCGACCAGCTTGTAAGTCCCATACTTTTATAGTGCCGTCATTAGCACTAGATACAAACTGGTTGCCTCCGGGTAACAACAACAACTTTCGAACGACATCAGTATGGCCTAAAAACTTTTGAATCTCGCGATCCCCTTGCCATAGTCTAATTGATTTGTCAGCGGATGCAGTTAGGTATTGGTTCTTGTTATTGACAACTTTGCAATCCCAAACTGAAGACTCATGCCCCTTGAGAATGAATTTGGGTACAAACTCTTGCAAGTTCCACACAATTGCTGTTGTATCCCATGAACTGGAGATGAATTCACCATGAGCAAAATCCATGGCACAAACATTCCCCTCGTGGCCAATCAATTGGTATTTCCCATCTTGGTCTAAACTGCCCACCGTTTGATTGTTTATGTCGCTCAAGTATATCATGGCATCTTGTCCACCACTAGCCACTAGTTCCTCTCCTATTCCAGCGGGCCCAACTATGGAAACAGAGTTGATGAAAGATTTAGTAGGCGAGTGGAAAAGTATTCTTGAATCTGTTGTCAGTGAAGTATTGACATGATTCCAAACCCTTGTGGTGGAATCTCTCAGCACTGAAACGATGACGGGATCATCCTCAATTGCTGAGCTTGCCAAACCCCTGACATCTTGTTCGTGCCCTGATAACGTAGAACTGAGTTTATACGTCATTATTATATGCGTCTTCAGAAATTAAATGTTATTTTTGACAGCCAAAGTGGCAAACAAAACTTCCAAAAAAGAGATTTGATTTGAAATTGGTAGCCCAGTATGCAGCAAAGCAAAATTATACAACCACAGTAATCCCATTTCTACAAACCTCGCATGTAATATAACATCTAAATCTAAATCTAACCTATAGTATAAACTAAACACCTTGTTGTTTATTTCAGTGCTCTTTTACCAACATCGAATCTCTAGCTGGACCAGTACCAACCCATTGAATAGGGACCTTAAGATAATCTTCAATAAATTTGAGATACTTCTTTGCATTTTCAGGCAAATCTTCATACTTCTTTATCTTGGTGATATCAGTTTCCCAACCTGGTAAAGTTTCGTAAACAACTTCAACATTTCCCAAGTCGATCAAATCTTCAGGGAAACTTTTCAATTCTTTACCATTCAACTTGTAAGCAACACCAACTTGAATTTCTTTAAATTTATCTAAAACATCCAACTTGGTGATGTTTAATGAAGTGTAACCATTGATCAAAGTTGAGTACCTCAACACAACCAAGTCTAACCAACCACATCTTCTTTTTCTTCCAGTGGTGACACCATATTCCGCTCCCACATCTTGTAAAGTTTCACCAACAGAGTTCAATTGTTCAGTTGGGAAGGGACCTTCACCGACTCTAGTAGTGTACGCTTTAACAACACCGTAAATGTTTCTAATTGTCTTTGGTGGAATACCCAATCCTGTTAACACACCACCAATACCAGTAGACGAGGAAGTAACGTATGGATAAGTACCGAAATCAATATCCAACATCAAGGCGTTGGCGCCTTCAACCAAGATTTTCTTTTTCTTTTCAATAGCCTCGTGCATGTACTCAACGGTGTCAACAACAAATGGTCTCAATTCTTCTCTGTACTTGGCATACTTAGCCAATTCCTTTTCATAGTCATAGTCAAACTCACCATACCTCTTCATTCTCGACTCAACTAATCTCATGTATCTAGTCTTGAACTCGTCCCATGCTCTTGGGTCAGGGTTGACCAAGTGATGAACTCTAATACCAGATCTTGAAGCCTTGGTGGAATAAGTTGGTCCGATACCTTTACCTGTAGTACCAATGGATTTCTTGTTTTCAGACAATTCAGCTTCTTTCAATTTGTCAGTTCTTTGATGGAAATCGAAAACCAAATGAGCTCTAGAACTGACAAATAAACGGCCACGGCAGTCCAATCCCTTTGATTCCAAATTTGACAACTCTTCAAAAAATGAAGGGACATGAACAACAACTCCTGATCCAATAACATTTTCACATTTAGGATTGACCAATCCACTGGGCAACATGTGGAAATCGAACTTCTTGCCATCGACAACAATAGTGTGTCCGGCATTGTTACCTCCTTGACATCTAGCACAAACATCAATGTCATCACATAACAAGTCGACTAATTTTCCTTTTCCTTCGTCACCCCATTGGGCTCCTAAAACAACGTCACACATGGCTTCTTTTAGGTTGTATGAATAGTGAATCTAGCAGGTTAGGAACTTTTGAGAGTGTATAGTTACCCCAAAAGTTGAACGATTGCAAACCGTTAGAACGAAAGAAGAGTCAGATTCGGCATGGAAAAAAAATAAAAAAATTAAATTGAATCGAGAGATTTAAAATTGGACGACGATGTCAGAAGTCATTAGAAAATTGAGTAATGCACGACTCGTGTGATGACCCTGACCCCAGAAGGACGCAAGAATGTGGAGGCGCAGCCATGCAGAGCAAAGCGAATCACTTGCTCGGACTCATATTAGACTAGGTGACACTGGCAAACCCATGTATGCAAAAAGTGTCGCTCGCTCCTTGCCTTTTGCGACTGTAGTCCCTCACTGGCAGATTGCATAGTCTTTCTTTATATACAGGATCGTATCATCATCACAACTAGAGCACGTTTCAAAATAGTGGTCGACTACTGAGAACCCTACCTGTGTATTCGATGTCATCCGATTATAGTCTAGAGCGTTTTACTTAATGCTAAAAACACCAACTTGCAGTCTGTTCATCTGCCTCCTTATCCTCATTCTTCTCTCTTTAATCCAATTTGTTGACAATTGCGTCAGTAAATTCTGTAGTTGATGAAGTTCCGCCAATATCCTTAGTTCTGACATTACCTTCAGCAATAACATCGTAAGTAGCTTGAGCAATCTTATCGGCGTGTTCATTCAATCCCAAATGTCTCAACATCATAGTAGCAGATAAAATCATTGCTGTTGGGTTGGCACTGTTTCTACCTTCAATATCCAAACCAACGTGACGACAACCTGGTTCGAAAACAGCGTATTCTCTACCAAAGTTGGCACCTGGAACCAAACCTGGGCCACCAATCAAAGCAGCACCAATGTTGGACAAGATGGAACCGTACAAGTTTGGAGTGACCAAAACGTCAAATTGTTGTGGCTTGGCAACAGCTTGCATAGATGCGTTATCAACAATCAAATCATTAACGGCAATACCGGAGTAGTCTTGAGCAACATCCTTAACTGTTTGCCTGAATAAACCATCACCCAATTTCATAATGTTTGCCTTGTGGATAGCAGTAACTAATTTTCTATTGTTCTTTTCAGCGAAATCAAAAGCAAACTTGGCAATTCTTTCAGACTTGAATCTAGTAATAACCTTCATGGATTCAACAACACCTGGGTACGATTGATGTTCCAAACCTGAGTACTCACCTTCAGTGTTTTCTCTAACTAAAGCAAAGTCAATACCATCGTAAATACCCTTGACACCAGGAATGTTCTTGATCAAGACCAATGAAGCATAAATGTCCAATTCTTTTCTCAACGCAACATTAAGAGACTTTCCTGACTTGTCGGATGGAGTGTACAAGATACCTTTCAAACCAACTTTGTTTCTCTTTAATGACTCGACGGCTTCATCAACACCATGGTGCTTTCCTGAATCGCCAGCAACACCACTAACTTCAACAACTTCCCAATCAATTGGAACATTTTGAGATTTGAAAATGGTTTTAACTGAATCGGTGATTTCTTTACCTGCACCATCACCTGGAATCAAAGTAACAGTGTATCTTCCACCATACTTCTTTGGCAAGACCGATTCTGGTGAAGAGAAGGTAGCAAATGAACGAATTGCAGACTAGAAAAATCATCTGTTAGTAAATCTGTCGGTTGCACAACACCAAATTCAATCATCAGTCTGACAAGCTAGTTCATCTTTGCTGCAGAGAATGCATATCCTCAGCAAGTTGTAAGTTGCAAGTTGCAATCAAAAAGACGGTGTCATTTCTGATTGGATACTCGGATAAACTACTCCCTTTGAAAAGCAAAGAAAAATAAAGTCCGTGCTGTGGTGATGAACTTGGGTAAACAAAAAAAAAAAAAAAATCCAAAAGAAGATGTGTGTTGTAATTGAAAGATGCCGTGCACATACTCTTTGAGCAGAAGCTATAGTTCTAAGCATTGTGATTGTTTGAAAGGAATAGATTTGTAGAATTGTGCCTTGTTGTTCAAGATGAAGTAGAGGATGTAACTTTGGTTCTTTTTTTTTTTTCCCTTTCTTCGATGAATTGAAATGAGAATTTTAGATTCTTTTTCTTTTTTTTTTATTTTTTATTTTTTTTTTATTTTTATTTTTTTTTATTTTCACTTCCGTCTTTGTAGTAGTCTATTTAATTTTTAATAACATTTTACTGTACAATTTGCATTTGAGAATAGAATGGTGCAGCAAGCAATAAGGGCCTTCTGAAAAGTAACGTACTTGGAACAAGTAAGTACAGAGGTACTGTCAAGGAAAGTCTCGACTATGTTTTGTCATTGCTGGTATTTAAGTCCTTTTATTTTTCATGCATTGAATTTGTTGCATTGTTGCAAAAAGGAAAAGGAGCTGCCGCAACTAGAGCCTCCCCATACACACACAATTGCTATATCGTGTGTATCACTCAAGGATTCACCGACCCAACGCTTCCTTTCAACTCCCCTACAAAGGACCAATTGCACCCGCCGGACATTGTCAACTCTCTTACAACTTGATGTCTTCGGCTTTATAAATTGTCTTTTGTGTGCTCACTCACATAGGAAAAATAATTAGTTCGACTCCGAAATCAGAATTTATTGATGATATGGTTGGACTCGAAGAAGAGGAGAGGAGCTTCGCTTAACTCATGTATGTGGTACTGCTGTAGCCCACACTTCTCTTGCATTAGTTCTACTTTGTTCAAAAACGAAGCAACATCCTTCATTTGGAAGATATACACCAATTTCCAAAAAATCGAAATTCAGTTATTTGATTGGTCAATACGCCAACAAAAGAAATTCAAACTCCGAAGGCACGCACAAAATGAAGAAAAGCCGCATAGGTTACTCCTTCAAGTTGGTGTGAGGGATGTGAGTACTTGGCTAACAACAAACAAATCACCCATAGTACCTCTAACAAAAGTTATTTGAAATTGCCTTTAGAGTATAGTGACGTCCTTGTATTTTCCAATTTCCTCAAATTTTGTTTCATGCATTTAAAGGAGTGGTTTGCCATAAAAATTTTCGAATTTACCGCAGACGAAACGACCCCTATCCGCAATCTGTGCAAAACTTCGACTACCTCTCGATACTGACAAAACTGGCCAGATGTAAGATAAATCCACCGTAACAATTGGAGTATAGTGGCTTTTCCGACATTAGAAAGGACCTTGTCTCAACTAATGGGGTAGTTTCTATATAGCGTTTCTTTTCTAATCCTCAGCGGTTGTTACGCACGCACACACACACACTTTTGGGCGACCCGAAAAGTGCGAGATATAAAGGGCTAAATATGCATCACCACAATCATATTCGAAGAGTATGTGTCTAACAAATGTTACTTGTGACATATCCGACAGTACACTCCGATGACCTGTTGACCCAGTTGTTCAGTTTTTACTTACTGTACCTTATGGCCGTTGGCTCTCAACCGCTGAAAATTTCAGATTCACAACGGCAAGAACGGCAAAAACGGCAAAAACGGCAAAACGAGATTTAATGTCGTGAAAACACGACACTGGAAAATTTCGAATTTGAGAAAACTTTCACCAGAGCAGGTCAAGAGCCTTACACATCTCTACACCATACTTCACTTCTATCCAATGACGATTGCTCTCAAGACATTCCCCACATTCAAACAGCTTTACCGCAACATATATCAAGAACTACTTGCGTACGAAGCCAAGACTTTAGCAGCACAGAAGCAAAAGGAAAACACCAAACTCACAGCCTACTACTCATATTTAAAGTCAGTTGCTCAAAGGGATGGTAAACCAGTGGATGACATCAACAGCAAGCTCGAGTCATTAAAGAAAAGTAAGTTACAAGAGAGCCCTTCCTCCACTTCCTCGGATGTGTCCAACCAACCTGCCGAATTGCAAGACTTATCCACGTTACATAACATCATTGGTGACAAAGTAGGTATCAATTCCAGCTACGAATTGAACAACTTGAACAATGTGGCTACATTCTTGAAAAATCAGCGGGAATATTTCGAATTGTTGGTGAGATACAATCCGGGGTTATTGATGGACCAACAAGAAAACGTATCCAAGACGGCCAATAGAGTCGGATTGGATGTACCTGAATAAACGTTTCGCTCGAGTTTTTGATGAGAAAAAAGAAGTCGCGAACACACGAGTCACTTACAAGTTGGGGACAGAGTGATGAGGGGAGACGGAGAGACGAAGGGGGGGGGGGGGTTGGACTGAAGTACTTTAAACCCCATCCTTTGTAGAACTGGCCCGAACAAGCATGTTATGTCAAGTACTGCTATCAAACTGAGACTCACTTCAATCTACACCATGGCATACAATAAAACGCAAATCTAACTTTTATTTTTGAAAATCTCTATGTGTCTTTCTTTCTCCGAAGTCTATAACTAATAGGTTCGTAATCCAACTTTTTGCTCGATTGAGTATATTCAACACCACTCAATACAACCGAGCTAATCAACTCCAAAATCAACATAAACAACGAGGATAAGATCGCTAAACAATAGTTTGAAATAGATACTCCAATATCCAACCACGATCCCTCGGTCCGCACCAAAAAGAAAAAATTCAAAGAAAGAAGATCACTGGTTGATATAATCAATGTGGATATTGTAAATCGTTTAACCTCCAATTGATGATTCATTATGCCCAAGCACGTAGAGAGTAACACATATGGAATGATGAGCTTGATCATTAGTAACGCTCCCATTGCAAACGGACTGAAAACTGGTATCAATCGGTACACTGAATCCAACGAGAATGACGATATCGATGAGACATTACCAGTTCCAAAGAATGCAACTTGTAAAAAGAAGAAGCCAATAATGGCAATTCTAATGACTTGCACCCAGTACCCCTGTGGCAATTTTCCCGTCTCTTTGTGCTCCTTCACTATTTCTGCCTGTGAATGCTTCAAGAACTCTTCAATTGTGAGCCATTGCAACAACACCAATGAAAACCCAATGTAGAACAACAATTCATAGGAAATGGTGAAGATGACAAAGGTTGGCACAAATGTGATAAATACAATCAATAATCTATAGCGGTAATCTTTTGATGGGAAGATGGAATGAAGCACAGGAAGAACTATTAGCGACGCGATGAACGTGATCCAGCCAAGAACTTGTGAGTGCAATGGAAGACCATTTCTTGATTGTAATGAACATACAGATACGTCAGTAGCGTAGGTGATTAGGGGAATGGCAAGTATTTGTGCCCATGTAATCACTTTCAGTGCAGCACTAATATCATAGCTTCTCGTTTCAACTTCATTGAATCCCACAATACTGATGACGAATGCAAGAATTGAGCCCAAGTTTATCAAGAGCAAATTCTCAGTCTTGATCGGGCTCAAATTGGTAAAGATGCACATGAATAAACAACTGAAAAACCACAAAAATTTCATCAACCCGGATATCTTTTCAGATCCCAGAACAAAGACTGGATAAACACCAACAATGCAAAAAATAATTGAAAAAGTAAACCTTTCAAAAAACCCATAGGCTATACCTTCGTACATCCCAAGGAAGCTGATGACAATGAGTGTCTTTCCCGAAAGTGAAACACCGCGGAATAACTCTCCTAACCCATCAATCAAATATTGATACTCAACAGTAATTGTGTACCAGAAGTAAAGGGGGAAAGCAGTGTACATGTAATAATTAAATGGCGACCTCTGATAGAATAGCAAGTATCCGAGAGATAGACCCAAGACCAGGAACGACGCCAAGACCACTGGCGAATACAGACTCTTGACTTTTTTCAAATCATACCTTGATAAGATGAAAAGTTTCAAGAATAAAATGAATGAGTAAGCAATCCATCCAAAGAAGCCCAAAGTCACAATCGAACGAAGTAAAGCCCAGTTGTACGTGGTCAAATAATTCAACCCAGCCAATGTCTTTTTCATCAACTCTTCTGTGATTTCAATCGCCAATTTTTCAACTTCTTCATCTGGTGTGTCTTTCAACAACACAATTATACTTTCAATCTCTCTTTGATAATCCTTGATCGATTTTTCTGTAAATGGCTCATATGGCTTGAATTTGAACTGGTGATTGTAAACTTCCTTCTCCTTGACAATGTATTGTTCAACTATGGCTAACGCATTTGCGTAAAGAGCCTTAATCTTGTTTTGTGGAGTGGCATCGATATAGCCCAATGGCAATTCACCAACAGAGTTTGCTGGGTAATTGGCACCAATCAAATACGCCATCAACGAAGCAATATCGGCTTGGTTCACATCATTTCTCACTAAATGATCCATCTCCCACGTGTCAAAATAGGTAGATTCAAATCCGCTTGCAATTGGATCCTGTTTGAGTACTTGCGCCTCTAAATGTTCCACATCCTTCAAGAGAACCGGCTTGTTAAGCCCTGCCCCCCACGCAATCAAAGGTGTTCTAGTATTATCAGGATGACCATCTCCATGTGATCCAAAATCTGACATCCCATGATCAGCAGTAAACACAAATGCTGTCTTATCATCACCAAAGAATTCATTGATCTGTGGCACAACCTTTTGCAACATCGTGTCTATATATTCGATGTTTTCATAATACTCGGCAGAATAAGGACGATAAGCGTGCCCAGCCGTGTCTGGACCCAACAAATGCAAGAAAAACACATTTCCATCCTGATGCAATTCATCATGCAATGTCGCATTCCTTGTCAGATTAGTCAAAAGGTCATCGAAATGTTTAAACACAAACGAATCCAACTCTATTGAACTCTTGCTGAAATCTTCAAACTCGTGTCCATACATGCAAACATCAATTCTCCCAGGCACAACACCATCTCCATACGCAAACATTGGCAAGATATCGGGACTACCAAAGGAATACGTATGCTTGGATTGATTAAAGAATGAGTCGAAATTCACTGGATTCTCTTTCCAGCCTTTAGTAACCGCAGACACGTCCTCATAGAACCCAGCAATCATTGCAACATGCCCCGGACGTGACTCCGTGGGCATTCTAGTATTTGAGATCCCCCACGTTCCATTATTCAATGCTAAACTTCGCAAATACGGTGCCAAGTATTTGTACTCGCCTGTTCTTGGATGAGTCAATTTTTGAAATGTCTTGTCAGCTCTGAGACCATCTCCCACAATAAGGAAAATTCTTTTCGCTGGTGGTTCATAAGTGGAAACGTGGTGGTCCATGCCATGAACCAATGGCAGGACGAAATAAATGTCAAAGATGGACCATAGGTAGAAGAAATGGAATAACAACCCCACAGCTAGGAGCAATTTCCTGTTCCTGTCCATTGCTTATGTGATAAAAGCTGCGTCGTTTGAACAACTGTAACGAGTGACTGAAGGAAGAAGATGAAAGTAGACCTCTTTTGGAGTGTATTTATGACGTGTTAAAGAGAGAGAGAGAGAGAGAGAGAAAGACGCGGTCTGCATAATAAATTTTGGATCTTTTATTTTTTTTGTGTCTGCTTTCTACAGATCAAACCTCCAAGGTATATATTCTTTTTACAGTTTGTACAGTAAACGTGGGTGGGACAAGAAGAGCGTCCCCCTATATACTTGTTTCTCTCAACTTCAAGTCCAACTAGGATCATTTTCTCTAACTTTGCTGATCCACAGACAGTTTTGCCTAAACATCTCCATATTAAAACTGAAGACACGTAAAGCCTCTTGAAACTGAGTCATTACTTCAAGATCTCGCTTCAAGCATGTACTATACACCGTCAAATTTGCTTGATCTCCGCTCAAATCATTCACCGCGTCAAAATGCTCAAAGTCCTTTTGTGTTCTTTCAACCTGATACTGAACTATAAGTTTCTTATACTCCAAAAATGACTTTTGGTAACTCACCATAGACTTGACGTAACGATTCCACCTGCTTCGGCTGATATCAGGTCCAAAATCAAGTGTTGGTGGCTGAGGTGAGGTGAAGTTGTGAACGTTGGGAGACGCATGAAAGTCTAGGACCGTCAAGTCAGGTCGATTCAGTTTCTCATAACTGGTTGTGGGACTGGTAACAGAATGTCCACGCACGGTATTCTTATTCAACGGTGTAGACAACGTTTCAGCCTTGGAAGTTCCGTCAGTGAAACGAGGTTGATTTCTGCGGGTACTCCTTGTGTTATATGCAACATTCCCCACGTTAGAAGGTTGCTTTCTCTTTTCGGAATCTGGTAGACTTTCTCCCAAATCACGGTAGTCAACTTCTTCAATATCGCCCACATTCAAATTGAAGTTTCCCATATCGAAGGCAGACAATTCTCTGTCTGTACTAATTTTGGATCTTTTATGGGGAGAGGTCGCACGATGTCGCGTGTAAGTGGATGTTGATGGCGAGATTCCTCTGCCTGGGGACGAGACAAAAGCTTGCTTGGAATCTGATCTCGACAGTACAGTTGTGCCACTTCTAGGAGGAACCTTTGGTTTCACTTTTAGTGGTATGTACTCATCCAATTTCCTCGGATCATAGTCAGCATCGGTTGTGCTCTCTGTTGCTGTACGATCGCCATTCTTGGCTCCTGTGGCACTAGAATTAAAAGATTTCCTTGACTCGTTGTTCAAAGTTTTATCACGTGTTGTTTCATCGGCAATTCCAAATTCATCGTCATCAGCATTAACACCATCATCCTGAATGTCTGGTCCGTCAGATATTTCTATCGGCTCAATGTCAGAAAAATCGTCCTCCAATATAATTGGATCTGTAGCTGCTCCAGATCTTGGTCTATTCGAGCGACTAGACTTGTCATCTTTCCGTCGTTTACTAGGAGGCGTATGATTTTCGTTACCATCGCGTGATTTACCACTTCTGGTCTTGTAATATTTGTCCGTGCTATCAAGGCCAAACTGGCTTTTCAAAACCTCGTCAGCCAATTCCGCAGCATCAACCATATCTCGCCGCCTTTGCTTTGCATCCTGATATTCCTTGTCCTTCTTTGCGCCACTTGAGTGCAGTTGTTTATGCTCAAAAGGGTCATCTTCGTCATCTGAGCTGTCACCAGATAGCCCTGATGGGCTTTTTGTACCTTTTGATGGATCGTTCATCTCTTCAGAAGGAGAAGATGTTGTGTTTGTCGACGGCTGCCTCTGTTTCCTCTGAGCGTCCATTCTTTTCCTCTCTTCCTCCATCTTCTCAAGCTCTTTCCTCCTGGATTCGGCTCTTTGCATCTCTTCTCTTCTCTTCGCCTCTGCTTCTGCTTTGAGGATCTCCACCAACCTTTCGCGATCTCTTCTTGCGGCCTCGGCCGCTTCTTGAGAAGCTTTCCTTCGTTGTTCTTGAGATTTGTGAAATGCTTGAAAATATGCATCTTCGCTCGTGTGACCACGGGCATGTGCACCGTTGCGAACATTTGACGCAGTATGTTCGGTGTTTGAAAAGCGGCTAAAGTAATGTCGGTTTGTAAAAGTTTGGCCACCGTTCGAAGTTGCAAATTGTTGATACGCAAAGAAAGTTGCCTTGGGTGCAGCAGTCGAGGGAGGCACTTGTGCACTCGAAGCGGTGCTAAATTTTTCATAATGATCACGTATCACTTCGAAAGCAGAATTGATCTCTTTAAATTTCTCGTGATGAGCTTTGTCTGGCGTCTTGTCTGGGTGGTATTTCAAGGAAAGTTTTCTGTAAGCCCGTTTGATGTCGGTGAACGGAGTAGTGGGAGTAACCCCAAGTGACTGGAAATGATTTATTGTTGGTAAGGACATTCCGCCAGTCAATCAAACCATAGCATATACAAGAAGCTGAAAAGTTCTGTACAATGAATCAAACTTTGAATTACTTGCTGTTGATGGATTTATACTTTCGATGGTATTCTGGTGGCTCTGTGGGTGTTGTTTTTGCGTAAAAAAATTCTGGTGTTTTCTTTGTTTTGTACAACGTGGAAGGAAGAGGATGAACCACTTAACATCACATAGACAGTGGGTGGTACTCTGGTGGATAAAACTGTGCTTTAGAATTGCTAAATAGTGATTAGAATGAGCAATGCTACAGGAGCCACACAGAAATGTATTCTAAAATGTATTATAAAACCTACACACAAGGCATCCAAACTCACGACAACTCATAATCATCGATCTTGTTTCTATACTTAAGCAAGTTTCTCTTAATCTTGGAGCTATCAACCCAAGTCAAGTAATCCTCGAGGTTTCGCGTCACAAGGTAAGCAGGATCAGTAATAACATTGGGCCCTACTCTGACGTGCCCTTGTTCAACAAACTTAACGGCATCCCCCAAAGTCTCTGCCATCTTGAGCCTGCACATAACCACCCCAATCCTTCTTCGACAAAGCGCACTGACTGTCACTTTGTTTTCCAAATCACTTATTTTCGATTTTGTAGCTAGGACTCCCATATTATATAGCTTTTCGAGTAATAGTTGCTCATGTTTTATACGAAATGGATCAGTTGGTTTGAGTAATGATAATTTATGGGCAAGTTTTCTGATATCACCGCATATCTTGTTGTATTTGTGATAATCTTCTCTATTTTGAATATGGTAAGTTCTCGTCACCTGAGTGTCTCGATGTCCTTGGTCTTGCTTCCAATCAAGGAAGTCTACTTTCTTTAAAAGCTTCTTCTCATGATGTTTCAATGCTCTAACCATCTTTCCTACTGATGTCCTTCCTATATGCACAAAGTTCTGTATGATGATGTCCTTAAAAAAGAAAAAGGAGATGAGATGTAAAGAAGTCAAGTCTTTTTCGAAAGTGGTAGCAGCCAATACACACACACCAAACATGGTTTCGTTTTCTTTTTTTTTTTTTTTTTTTTTTTTCCTCTCAAATTTTTTTTCAAAACGATTTGACATGTTAGATAGGTTTCAACAATATCAAGACAATGATCACCTCCTCGATATGGCGTACTTCAGCACGCCATTTCTCTACATCCAAGCTCTGCTTGTCAAACATAGGAAAGAAACCAATCAAAATCAATGATGGTGTGTCATACGCAATCGAATCTATCCCTATTGAATTTTGCAAATCATTCACGAAAAGAAACAAGAGATTTGTCCTCGACAGACAGATTGTAGTCAAGGGCCCGCTTGGTGCACTCAGAACAGAATTACCTAAATTCATACACATCCACACCCCAAAAGGAGAAGATGATGGAGGTAACAGCCAACAAATCACTGTTAAAGTTGAGAGACCACATAATAAAACACAAAGGTCGCTATGGGGCACTATACGCTCGGCAATACAGAATGCAGTCATAGGGACCAGTGAGGGACATTTGTCGATTGTAAAGTTTGTTGGAACTGGTTACAGAGCCATAATTGAAAAGAATGAAAAGGGAGAAGATGTAGTGGCATTGAAGATTGGGTTCCCATATACGCCGAAATTGGTTGTTCCTCCGGGGTTGAAAGTCAGTAGTCCCAACCCAGCTAGATTAGTTATTGAAGGTTGTGATAAACAACAAGTGAAATTGTTTGCCTCGTTGATCAGAGAACATAAGAAACCTGAGCCATACAAGGGCAAGGGTATTTTTGTTGATGGGGAGACTGTGGTGCTCAAAGAGAGGAAGATCAAGTAGATGGCAGGTCTCTCCTTCCCCTCAGAGCTCTATATGTGTATGTATGTATGTATGTATATATCAGAAATACCATATTTGTAAATATTGTGCCTAATACTAATAGCTGGGTGAATTCTTGAAACAATTTTTTTTTTCACTGATAATTTTTTTTTTTTTTCATCTTCAACAACCAACCAACACCAACATCTTATAACCGTCAAACTACCATCACTCCTCACTCGACGACCATGTTCAGTGTCAAACTGCTAAGTATGAGCTTAGCTCCAGTATCCACGCAGTTCATACGAACAGCAGCCCAAATCACTTCCATCCACGCCATCACATCATTGAAAACCGCACCACCGTCAAAAAACCATTCTGTAGAAGAAGGCAACAAACGTAAACAATTACTAGAAAGACCAGGGTTATTCGGTATCAAACAAGGAATGATCACATGGTTCACATCCAAAGGCGAGCAAATACCAGCCACTGTCTTGGAAATAGATTCCGTCGAAGTCATTGGCCATAAAACAAGAGATGAATTTGGTTACGACGCAAACATCATAGGTACCATTGACAAATTGAAAAACTATCCTAGATTACACGAGTTGGAGATGTTTAATAAAGCAGGCACATCGCCCAAGCACAAGTTTGGTGAGTTTAGAGTACGTGATTCTGCCAATTTGATCCCATTGGGAACTGAACTCAAAGCCGACTACTTTGCCGTGGGACAATTGGTTGATGTGAAAGGTGTGACTAAAGGTAAGGGTTTTGCTGGTGTTATGAAACGTTGGAATTTCAAAGGTGGTAGAGCAACCCACGGTGTTTCAAAAGCGCATAGAACTCCAGGTGCAATGGGAGGTAATCAAAATCCTGGTAGAGTCTTGCCTGGGAAAAAAATGCCTGGTAGGATGGGGTGCTCAAACATGACTGATTTCAATAAGGAGGTTTTGCATGTGGATGGCGATGCCGGAGTCTTGATTTTGAAAGGATGTATTCCAGGTCCAAATAAGGGGATTGTGAGGATCTCTGATGCTATCAAGTTGTACGGTAAATCCTTGAATCAGCTCGCAAGAGAATGAGTTTATCGAGTTGTGTTTTTATTCGTGTATATATATAAGAGACATAGTATGACAGAAAGATGAAAGGTAGTGACGATGTAAGCAAGTAGATAAACAATACACGCTGAATCTTTTCGCCAACACGTCGTCCTAATCGAGCGGTTTTACCCACAGTAGAAACAACATTCAATTTTTAAGACAATAAATCACTTGACTTGAATTGTCCCAAAAAATGAAAAAGAAGAAGGAGACAAATTATTTCCATCTCGTTTTTCCAACTGAAAACAAATGTAAAAAGGGTTCCAAAAATTAATCAAATAAAACACCATTTGACTTAAGCGGAAGACAATTCCCGGATGGTTCTGGGAAAAGACAAGAACCATGTTCGTCAATGAAATTGATCTTCTGGTGTGAAGAAAGAAAGAAAGAAAGAAAGAAAGAAAGAAGAAGAAAGAGAGAGGAAGAGGCAAAAAAAAAAAAAAAAAATTTCTTCTCCTCTGTTTTGTTTTCACTTCTTCGTTCAACAAACCATGGGTAGTGCAATCTTGACCAAAATATAAATTCATCAATAGCATTTTGACCTTTCATTACTACATTCTACAAAAAATTACACCAAAACTATACAGAGTCACTTCATCAAAATTGCAGTTCGCTTTCAGTCGCGTCCTTCCCCACCCACTCTCAATCATCATCCAACTCGGATGGTCTAATCAACCCACCTACTTGCAAATCTTTTTCTCTTTGTTTACGATCGCTTTCAATCTTTTCCAATTCTTTATCCTCAGCAAACAAATAATCAGTAGGATCACCCCCAAACTGCTTCAATTGCACAAGGAAATCTCTCAATGTAGCTTTAAACTTGAACAAATCGTCATATACTGAAGTTATAACCTTCAAGAAACTGGTCAACTGTTCCGGTTGCAAATTATCAAATGCCGATGATAACAATTGTGAAAGATATTGCTTCAAGAAATCAGAGTTTGTCGTTCCCTCTGGCGCTTGATCCGGTGTGTAAAGTGGATACTTGATGACGTTATCCTCGACTAAATGTATCAATTGTGCTAGTAATTGCGATTGGTATCTGAAACCAGCCTTGTGATCGGGTTGGGTGAAAACATACAATGTGTCCGACAAGATTTGGAAATAGAAATTTTCATAAAACGCCTTGGTGAAGGGAGTATCACCCAAATTCTCGACATTTTCAATCAAGTTCAAAGTCAACGACAACCCATTATCTTCAACTTCTCTATTATTATGTTTGAAAGCCCAAAGTGCGGCATTGATCAATGATTGGAATGCTTCTCCTGACAATTGTAGCAAGCCTTGGAATGACTTGGCATTGATCTCCTTCAAAAGCTTGTAAAACTCAACTCTATGCTCAGGATACTCAACAAAATCATTCTTGATCATATCCAAAGTACATTCAAACACATTTTGCAAAATCAACACAACCCCATCGGGTATCAAATGGCCAACCTTGGCAACCAAAGCAGTCATACATCTTAAAACCTCGGCATCTCTAGCGTCAGGCACATTCGAGCTGTAATCGTCTAGAACAGCCGCAAACAATGATGACGTCAAGTCTCGAACAATTTCCTCCAAGTTTTCGGCCTGGTTTATATAAGTTTCAATCATTTTCAAAATCTCCTTCTTTATAGTTCTCAACCCACGAACTTTTGGTGTTTTGGTGGCAATGATTCCATCCTTGGCAACTGCATCCGAAATCATTGTGGAAACTGCTTTGTACAATGACAACATATCAACATACAACCCACCCAATTGTGAGTAGAACCCAGGACCTAGAGCTTTACAAACAGCAACATTGGTTTTTATTATATTGGCAATGATTTTGACAGTCTCGGTGTTGGTCAACAACGTTGGATCTTGACCTGCTTGCTGTATTATTGAGGACCATGCCATGTTGGGCAATGCCATCAACTCACCCAACAACTTATCCCTAGCTTCTTTGTTTGTTTGAGAGCTCACTATTATACCACATGCTTCATAAAATGTGTGAACTTGTTGCGGCTGTAAATCTTCAGTGATTGACTGAATTTCTCGGATGATTTCGTTAATAAATGGCTCTCGTTCATTTTGTTGTATAACAACAAAATGGCGCTTACACTTGGTGGTAATCTTGATAAATGTGTCACACGCCATGTCTTGAACACCTTCATGTGTTTCATGCATAAACTCAAAAAGCTTATTTACCACTGTCTTCAAAAACTTCCAATGAGCTTTCAAGAATCTTGGATATTGACCAACAATGTACATGATATTGGATGCGACAACTGCCTTGTTATCTTTGCCTCTTTTCATTTCCGTCAACGACAACAAATCCTTGATGACATTGACCAAAAATCTCTTTTCCATATCTTCATTCATTGCTCCAGATATCGATCCAATTGCCCAACATAAAGTATTTATATTTTGCCACGACCATTCACTTTCATCAAGCTGTCTCGAAAGTTTTTCAATCATAATCTGCTCAGTGTCGAGCACGTTTAAGTGGGTCAAATATACCAACACTTCTCTCATCGACTTGTACAATTGAATAGTATCACTTTCTTTAACAAACTCACGAACAATTTCACCCTCGTCATTCTCTACAACCAAAACTTCTTCTGGTCGAGCCATATTTTCAATAATCACCAACCTCAACCTAGACAAAATCTCACTATACTGGTGTTGTCTCAAAGGGAATTTGGCTAGCTCTGTAGGATCAGGAGCCCCGCCTGAAGTGCCTGCTTTAATGGTACTTCCGTACGATAATTGCAACATGGGACTCAAGTTGTCTCTTGGTAAGTTCCTAGTCTCCACAAACAATTGATGCACAAATAATTGCCAAAAGTCCAAACAAGTTTTGAATAATTCACGTTCATCGATTCTGGATAATTGCAACAAATAAACTAACGCATTTTGAAGTAGCTCTTTTGCCTCCTCGTGTTGTTCCAACACTGATAAATGATTTCCCAAGTATGAACACAAAAACATGGCCATATCTTGCAAAAATGATTGGTCTGCACTTGAAGCAACTCGATAACTTTCCTTCAAGTTTGTTGTAATCGGCACAATACTGTAAAATTGTTCCATGGTGTTTTTGAAAAAAAGTAATGTTTTGGTGTTTTCCTCTGGCAAAGTGCTAATTTCTGTCAAGCATTTCAAAGCAATTGCTCTGGTGTCTACTGGTGCCAAGAATTTAGTAGACAAGATATCCAACAAGTTAGTCTGGTAAATGTAGTTTGATGGAATCCATTGAATATATCTCAACAACGCATTCAATGTGGCGATAACCAATGATGATTTTGTAGTTTTGTCCAACACTTCATAACACAACTTGAAAATTTTCTCAAACTCATTCTTCATACTTATCCTCAATTGTTGAGCTTTAGCTTGAGTCAATTGATCTTGGCTATAGTCAAATACTTCTTCACTCAATAGTTTAAGAACAATCATATTATTTTCACATACATTGTATGAGGATCTTGAACTAGCCACTATTTCAGGAATAAATTCTGGCCAATTATGAGGCCATTCTTGTTTCAATATAGAAACCAAAGTCAAGTCAATCTTGTTTATTAAAGCACGTTGCGTTTCAAATTCAGTGTCATCGTTACACAATGAGATGATCATATTGACAATAAAGTTTCTTATTCCAATCCGTTCATCTTCTGGAATCATTTTCCACCTGTATTGGATCAATTTGTTCAAACATGACAATGCAATGTACTTGGACTGTGGATTGCTTGAATTGGACAATATGTTGTCAACGAATTTCCAAGATTCAGGATGTTCTTGAAATCGATTCAAAACAGATTGTGCTTGTTTTTGGTTTTCTCCAGAGCCTTTGTAAAAAGCATCTACTGTTTGATCAAACAAGGCAATGTCTAGATCAGTAGAAAAGTCCAAAATTGCTTCCATTTTCTGTATCTTTGCTGATGGTAGTTGGCCTATTGTAGGAAAAGAGAAAACTTCCTAAAGTTGGTGTTATAAATTGGTCTCTATAATTTTTTTTTCTTCTTTTGCTGTTGTTGTTGTTGTTTTGCGTGCTTGATGTCTCAGTATACAGAGTACAATTGAGTTACTCAGAAACCAGCAAGTCAGATCAATTATTGTTGTACTAGTTTGTTGATGCGTTTGTAGACTGATAGGCAGTGTGATGTGGAGTGATTAAATGATACACGGAAGGTATAACGATGGTTTGGTTGTAAGTGTGTTGTAGTAGTGTTGACTAGGAAGAAGGAAAAAAAAAAAAAATTTGTAGAAATAGGATTGGTGGTTGTTCTCACAACAATAGAGACAGAGTGAGTGAGATTTTTTTTTTTTTCTTTGCCACCATGTATCATCAACACACACACACACACACAATCTCACTACTTGCCTATTCAACTGTGGTATTTTTACATCGATCATTACATGACAAGGTGTATGTATGTATCTGTATCTCTCATTTATAGCATAAAGACACACAGCTCTACTCTCTCCTTTGACGAACAGCAGCACTCAGAATGCACAAAATACAAATGTAAGATTGTCATTTACCCAATTTGTGCTCTGAACCCTGCCACCCCCTCCCCCTTTCTATACAACTACGCTCGTAGCTTGGAATTACTCGCTCTCTTGAGATTTTACTAGAATCTATTACTGCTTTCACTCTAGTTCATTTAAACACTTGCTTCTAAGTCTCTCTTCTGTCAGGACTGTGTCTGCTAGTGCTGCATGTGTCTGCTCCTTTTTTTTTTATGCCAGTTTTGCAACCAAATGCAAGCAATATAATACACAACACTTCACTTCCGAATGATCAACATCCACTTACAAGCAACTCAAGAATGGCTAACATGCTGGGTTCTAGATGTCAACTACGAAGATCCAAAGCCGCTCCAAGAAGAGCTCGTGCAAATCTTGGACTCGATAGACAACAACCAATTTACAATACTCCTCTTGAAACAGCATGACTGGTACTTGTACAACCTCATACAAATGATGATATTGAAAACTGGAAAGAGCATAGTTGTAAACTACGTTGCAGCAACAGCAGATTCACCTGAAAAATATCTACAAATGTTGCATACTTTGGTCAAACAAATTGATGATTCTGCTATGGACTTGAAAATTGGTTTTGCCCTATCAAGAGAACAACTTGCATTTTTGATTTTGAATGTGCCTGGTTTTATAAATCACTTGACACGTGGGGGATCTATTGAGGAAGCTAGTGATGATATTGATGTCGCTTTTCAAGAGTTTGTACAGAAATATCCCTCCATCAAGTTGATTATATCTTCACACAAGTTTCCAATCGAATAACAAAAGAAAGAGGGTATAATAAAGTAAAGTCACCTCTGAGTAATCCAAAATTTTTTAACAATCCACATTTTCCTATTTAAAATAAAGACTAAGCTAAGTTTCTTTATTTGTTGGCAAATGCAACACCCTTTTCAACGTTTTTGGACAATTGTTCAATAGCAACTTCCAACAACTTCTTCTCATCGTCGCTAACCTTGTTCAAGATATCGTATTGGACTTCTTCAATACCGTTCTTTCCCAATTTAACTGGCAAGGAAAAGAATGACAAATCCTTGACCAACTTCTTGGCTTCAGAAGCACCCTTGATAGATGAGTCCAAGTTCAAGAAAGTACATTCAACAATACCACTTTCACCTCTAACAGCCTTCAAAATGGATTCAGCTAATCTGTAACCAGCATAAGCCATAGACAAAGTAGCTGAACCAGCACCATTCTTGGCTTGAACAACTTCGTCACCACCAAATTGGACTCTGTGGATCAAAGCCTTCTTTTGTTCTTCATTCAATTCATCGTAATACTTTTTGGTTGAACCAATAGAGTACAATGGAACAATAGTTTCACCAGAGTGTCCACCAACAACATTGACATTGAAATCAGTTGGCTTAGTGTCCTTTGGGTACAATTGAGCAATAAAAGTGTTGGCTCTAACAATATCCAAAGTAGTAACACCAAACAATCTAGCTGGATCATAAACACCCTTCTTTTTCAAAGTTTCAGCAAAAATTGGCACGGTTGAGTTAACTGGGTTGGAAATAACCAACACAAATGCCTTTGGACTGTTTTCAGCAATACCTTCAGCCAATCCTTGACAAATGGAAGCATTGATGTTGAACAAATCATCTCTAGTCATACCTGGTTTTCTTGGAACACCCGCTGGAATAATTACAAGATCAGCACCTTTCAAAGCATTGGCCAATGCAGTCTTGTCTTCTTTGGAAGATGGCAAGAATGATTCAGTGGTGGAGTTTGAGTTGATGTGTCCTAAATCAGCACCAACCCCTGGGACATTGACGACATCAAACAATGCCAATTCATCGACATTTGGGTTCAATTTGGTCAACAAGGACAATGGTTGACCAATACCACCAGCGGCACCTAATACTGCGACTTTAACCATCTTTTTGTTGTTGTTGTTGTTGTTGTTGGTTGTGTAGTGATATTGCTATCTAGTTTTTGTTAGATCTAATGAAATTCCAGATTTCAAGTAAATTAACTCGAAAGAAAAGTGAAAAATTATATATTGTGTTTTGATATAGAAATTGGCAAGCCTATTTATATTTCAACACACTGTGAACGTCCAATTAACAAAGTTGAGTTTAGTTTTGTGTATGGTGTTGAATCCTTTTACCCCATACATTTATTACTTAATACTATAACCGCGTATTACGTAATGGTTGAGCAAGAGGTGTGTCGCAGATTACGTTACCCTTAGTGTGAAATTTTTTATTTGATTCCGCATTTCGCCGTATACGCAATTCCAATATTGTCCGGGACTACGCGATTCACCGAGGTTCAATACAGCTCGCGCACAGTGCAACCTACTACAACCGTTGATACTGACCTCGCAACACGTGAGATTGGGATGTCTCTCTCCCCCCACCCCTCCCCAAAGGAGTTATTATACGTTGTTATTTCACTCATTGCATATGATCTGAACAGTTGGCCTCTCGGTATTACTTACCAGCACTATATGGAGAGAAGAGTAACTGGAAGCGGACTCCAGGACAGATCATTCAATCCTCCTCCATATGCAGACACAAATTGTAGTGTTACTTGCTGGCAACAATCATCACTACGTTGTGGATTACACCATGTACTTCTACTTTCTGTGTTGGTGAGTAGAAGGGAGATCTATTGTGTAAACCACAGTAAAGACATCCGTCGGATAGAATATGTCATATGAGAGAGAGACATTGTGTGTTGTGTGTAGTGTGTAGTGTGTAGTGTGTAGTGTGTAGTGTGTAGTGTGTAGTGTGTAGTGTGTTATATACAGTACTACCTTCTGTGTTAATGCGACTAAACTTCCGAGACAGAGAAACAGAGAGAAGGAAAGAAAATGAGGGGATGAGAAATGTAATATTTAAAAGTCAACAAAACTACTCAATCAATCAATACACATTTCATAGATAAGCTTCACAACTATCAACCACATACTTACTACCTTTTATCACTTACTAGTATCTCACACGCAACACAGTCTTTTTGTATTCAAAGTCATTGCACATTACAATCAGGTTTGAATCTTTACTTTACATCCATTTTTAGCTTGTTGCAACTTTTCTATTTAAACCATGCTGCAGCTGTCCCACCAAAGTTCCACTGACCAAATATCACCCACTAGACACCATAGAAGGAAATCTTCATTGTCTAGTGATGAAGATCCTTACGCCTTAGCTGAAAAATACTATGGGGACAGTAGAAAGAAGAATTTTGGTAAAAACTCGCCTTTGAATAGGGTTCGGACTTTTAGCACATTTGAATCAACAGCAACAAAACAACAATTTTTGAAGGAGTTGAACGAGCCGCATCCAATCACTGACTCCATAAAAGAAGGGTCTGAACCACCTAGTTCTGCTGAGTCAAAATCTCCGTCCCCACTGGATGGTGTATCATTTTGTCATACTCCAGGTACTGGTGCAAAAGCGCATTTTAATCTTCACATGACCCATGACACTGATGTTGATGAAGATGAGGAATACGATGGGGAAAAGACAATTGACAAGAAGAAACATCCCAGATTGACTCGTGAAATATCTCCAGACTCGGTCGGCCCTGATGATGTTGATATTGATGGAGACAAAGAGCGAAGATTCATTACAAAAGCAACTCAAGATGCAATGAAAAAAAGGCCCTCAATTGTCCCTCTATATCAACATGAAGATAATTCACAGTCCTTGGCACCACCTCCACAGAATACACTTCATTTTAGAAGACAGTCATTGGATGACTCCATTCTTCGCCCTCAAAAGTATTACATCAGTGATGTGCAAGAGACTTTGAAGGAGTTGTTGCAAAATGAAGATACTGACAATAATTGCCAAATAACCATTGAAGATACTGGTCCCAAGGTATTGCGATTGGGTACCGCCAATTCCAATGGGTTTAAACTGTCATCAGTTAGAGGTACTTATATGTTGAGTAACTTGTTACAAGAATTGACCATTGCCAGTAGGTTTGGAAGGCACCAGATTGTTTTGGATGAAGCAAGATTGAACGAAAATCCGGTAGACAGGATGAAGCGTTTGATTTCAACATCTTTCTGGAAAAACTTGACCAGACGTATCACTAAGGAAAACATTGTCGAGATGTCTAAAGATACAAAGATTAAGGAGTCGTATGTTGACGAAGATGGCAAACTACACGAAGGTAAAGAAAGTTACCGAATCTACGTGCCTTACAACCGTAAAGACCAGTTTGAGTTCCTCACGCATATCAAGAACAGCTCAAAGGAGGTTGCGTTGGATGTTCAATACTTGCCGGAAAAGATTGACGCCGAATATATCAAATCCATCAACAAAAAGCCAGGTTTGTTGGCCATTGCATCTCGAATGGACCCTGAAGATCCAACTAACTTGATCGGATGGCCGTATGTAGTCCCAGGAGGAAGATTCAACGAGTTGTATGGATGGGATTCGTACATGGAAACCCTTGGTTTGCTAACCGATGTCCATCCAGCTAAGAACATTGACCATTTGGAACTTGCCCGAGGAATGGTTGAAAATTTTATTTATGAGATTGAGCACTATGGTAAAATCTTGAATGCCAATAGATCTTACTACTTGGGACGCTCACAGCCACCATTCCTCACCGACATGGCTTTGCGAGTGTTTAACAAGATGGTTGAAACAAATCCTGGGGATGTGAATGAGGCTGTTGATTTCTTGCGACGCTCAACTTTGGCAGCCATCAAGGAGTACGAGACAGTTTGGTGCTGCAAGCCAAGGTTGGACGAGCGTACAGGATTGTCATGCTATCATCCGGAAGGGAAAGGTATTCCACCAGAAACCGAGGCTTCCCACTTCAACGCTATATTGAAAGACTATGTTGAAAAATACGGTATCAGTCAAGAAGAGTTTATTGAAAAGTACAATAATGAAGAGATCAAGGAACCGAAATTAGACGAATACTTTTTGCATGATAGAGCAGTTAGAGAGTCGGGTCATGATACCTCGTATAGATTGGAAGGCAAGTGTGCATATTTGGCAACGGTGGATTTGAACTCACTTTTGTACAAGTATGAGAATGATATTGCATTTATATTGTCAAGCTGTTTCAACGACAGGTTGCAAGGTAAAGATGGTAAGACTCATTCATCTGATATTTGGATCGAAAGGGCCAAGAAACGGAAAGAGAATGTCGACAAGTATCTTTGGAATGAGAAAGATAGCATCTATTACGACTACAATGTACATGAACAAAAACAGGAAGATTATGAATCGGCCACGTGTTTCTGGCCGTTGTACTCCAAATTGGCATCAAAGGAACAAGCAGCGGGATTAGTCAATGTATCCATCCCCAAGTTTGAAGAGCACGGAGGATTGGTTGCAGGAACTTTGAAATCAAGAGGTGAGGTTGGTTTGAGTAGACCTTCGCGTCAATGGGACTATCCTTTTGGTTGGGCCCCTCAACAAATATTGGCATGGATAGGGTTGGTCAATTATGGCTACGATGGTATTGCCAGAAGATTGGCTTATAGGTGGCTTTATATGATGACAAAGTCGTTTGTTGACTACAATGGTGTTGTGGTTGAGAAGTATAACGTCACCAAGGGAGCAGTCCCCATTAGAGTGGATGCAGAATATGGAAATCAAGGCTTGGATTTCAAAGGTGTTGCTACTGAAGGTTTTGGGTGGGTGAATGCATCTTATTTGTTTGGTTTAACCTTTTTGGATCTTTATGCGCAGAGAGCTTTGGGTACATTGACTCCACCCGATGTATTTTTGAGAAATATGCATCCATCACAAAGAAAGGGTTATCAATGAACCGGTGCTAGTTTTGTCGGTGGTATCATTTGAACTCCCCCCCCTTCCCTCGACAGGGTAGGGTGCAACTTCTTGTGTATTCTAGTGGGGCAAGATGTAGGAGGTATATATTAATACAGTCTATTCTACATGTTTCAGTATTTGGTATCAATGTGCTTGTAGTTTGTATATCATACTCTATGAGTGGACTTCCATTACGTCAGATGGATCCCATCCCCGAGGAACAATTGAAAAACATACAACCAACAAAAAATTAGAAGCGGAAAAAAAAATTTTTGTATTCACACACACACACACCAGCAAGTTTAGCAACCAGTACACATTACTTGTAATTCAACTTGCATACATACACACACCACACACCACACACCACACAACACACACCGCAAAGCACACTCTACAATGCTAAGACGTATAGTCAGGAGTCGAAGGGCACTCGCCATCTCCCATCGGGCGTACACTACAGCTACCAGCAGCTCATTCAAAACAGCTGTTGAGACTGCTGAAAAATTAGTATCACCGCCAGCCAAATCGAAATTTCAAGATCCGTTTTCCATAGTCAGTCATGAAATGTCCAATTTAGCCAAGTCCATCGCCAGCTTAATTGGATCTGGTCATCCTACTTTAAACAGAATAAGTTCATACTATTTCGAAGCCGAGGGGAAAAATGTCCGACCTTTGATTGTGTTGATTTTAAGTAAAGCATTACTGAAAATACCATTGCTGGAACGTCAAAGGATAAAGATAGACGAATACGATGTTACTGAGCAAGAGCCTATAAAGGGTACTCCGCAACCTGGACAGGAATCTATTGCTGGATACAGTGTTGATGATAGTTTGAGTCCGTTGAATATTTTGCATGGCATAAATCCAAAGATTATTTTGGATCCATTGAGTAAGCCGATGGATAGACTACCTGAAATGGATAAGCAAAATGGGATCTTGCCAAAGCAAAGAAGGTTGGCGGAAATTGTTGAAATGATTCATACTGCCAGTTTATTGCATGATGATGTTATTGATTTGTCGGATTCGAGAAGAGGAAGATCAAGTGGTAATATTGCATTCACCAACAAGATGGCTGTCTTGGGTGGAGATTTTCTTTTGGGGAGAGCTTCTGTTGCCATTGCCAGATTGAGGAACCCTGAAGTTATTGAATTGTTGAGTACAACAATTGCCAATTTAGTGGAGGGAGAATTTATGCAGTTGAAGAATACTGTTTTGAGCAATAGTGGTGAGGAAGTGATTGATAATGATGGGGATGAAAAGCGAGTTCCACAGGCAACTGGCAAAGTGCCTACTGAAAAGCATCAATATTCCGTCAATGAAGAAGATATTGTTGATCATGAAACCAATGTTCAAGCTGCTTTCGAGTACTACTTGCACAAGACCTACTTGAAAACAGCGTCATTAATGTCCAAATCGTGTCGAGCAGCAGCTGTCTTGAGCGGAGCCCAAGATGATATTATTGAAAACTGTTATCAGTTTGGACGTAACATGGGATTATGTTTCCAGATTGTTGATGATATGTTGGACTACACCAGTTCCGACAAGGCGTTTGGTAAACCAAGTCAAGCTGATTTGAAATTGGGTTTAGCTACTGCTCCGGTGCTTTTCGCGTGGAAGCAAGAACCCAAATTGGGTGAATTGATTGCTAGGAAATTCAATGAACCGGGTGATGTTGAAATTGCACGTAGAGCAGTTGACAGGCACCAGGGAGTTGAGCAGACTAGAGAGATGGCCAAGAAGTATTGTATGGATGCGTTGGCTAATTTGAGAAAGTTGCCTGAGTCTGATGCTAGAAGTGCGTTGGAATTGTTGACAAATTCGATCTTGACTAGATCTAATTGAAAAAAAAAATGTGTGAATCTTGTATATACTTTTATATATATTTATATTTATATTTAGATAGAGTATTTGAAGCAATCTTGATAGAGAGAGAGAGAGAGAGAGAGAGAGAGAGACAGAAAGTGAGTGATGAGCTTGTCATTGGTGGGCGATGTGCAATCGCTGTTGGTGTTGCTCTTGTGACTGGAACGAAAGCAGAAAGTGCCACAGATTGAATACACAGAGAAACAAGAAGAAAAAAAAATTTTTTTTTTATTTCTAATGAAATCGTAAAGTACTTTTTGATCCAAAATCTAAACATATATACACACACACTTCAAACCTTGGATCAAACACGCCGTAAATCATACACTTATAATGTCAGCCGAAGAAACGAAACCTACATCAGAGGACAACTCAATCCCCAAACCACCTACTTCTAATGTATTCTCCATGTTTGGAGCCAAGAAGGAAAAGAAGGATGAAAACCCACAGGACAGCAAGGACAATGGAGTTTCCAAATCCGACGACGGCAAAAAGGACAAGCATGAAGACGATAAGAAATCTGCTGCTACTGATGCCGATGGTGATGACAAAGACGCTGGTGCTGCGGATGAAGAAGAACCAGATGTCGAATTCACCCCAGTTGTCCACTTGGACAAGAAAGTCGAGGTCAAGACCAACGAAGAGGACGAAGATGTCGTATACAAAGTGCGTGCCAAACTTTTCCGTTTCCATGCCGATACCAAGGAATGGAAGGAAAGAGGTACTGGAGATGTCAAGTTTTTGAAACACAAGACTACGGGCAAGACGAGAATCTTGATGAGAAGAGACAAGACTTTGAAGATCTGTGCTAATCATTTGATCCAATCGGATTATGAGTTGAAGCCTAACATTGGATCCGATAGATCATGGGTGTATACTGTGACTGCTGATGTTTCTGAAGGTGAACCTGAAGCTCAGACTTTGGCTATTAGATTTGGAAATAAGGAGAATGCCGATTTGTTTAAGGAACATTTTGAAAAAGCGCAAGCTGAAAGTAAGTCCAATTGAGGGTGTGTTGGAGAGCTGGTGCTAAGTAGATAAATTGCATATAGTTTTGAATACAAAGGTGAGGATGGAAATGTGTTGCGCTTGCTCGAGTATGGGTTTGGTATTTGTAGAGCACTTTTCAAAGCTGGTGACTGTGATGTGCGGTAGCTGCATTCAAAGTAAAGGAATGTTTACTTCTTGGTTTCACCCTAGGCGTACGTGTGTTGTTCCAATAACCCTTTAGAGATAAAGAAGGATTGAGAAGCTGCAGCAAAAGGGACAAAGACTACTTCTTGCAGGAAAAGCTCTGGTGCCCAACTATTTGAATCTCTATCTGATTAAGAATGCTACACGATGCCATCATGCTCTTGTGAAGGTTGAACGGGCCCAACAAGTCGCGATGGGATTTTTGAATTTGGTTACATCAAGAAAGTGTTTGTGTGTGCCCTGGAGTAGCCACAGAAAAGAGTTGACAAAGAGTTGGAAGACAAAAACTCAGCAACTTGTCGATAGCCTTGTCTTGATTTGAGTCCTTGTAAGAATAAGGGCATAGAGTGGTACTTGAGTAGATAACCTTGTGACGTACTTTGCGTGTTGTTTTCTCTATGGCCCCCTCCCCCCCCCCACGTGTCTGCGCAAAATAGAGCGAACAAATTTTCATACTGACACAAAGGGGATTTGTTTTGAGTAAACAGAGATAAATAGTCTTTGTATAAAGTTTTCCACTACTTTTTAAAAGATGAATTCTTGTCGATAAACACAGCTCACCACCCATAACCCCCCTCTTTTGATTGAGATCAGACTGTTCACTTTTCCGGTTTTGCATCATCAACAAACACCCCCCAAGGAAACATGAAGTTTGGTAAATATCTCGCGTCGAGACAGTTGGAACTACCGGAATATTCAGGTCACTTTATTGATTACAAGGCTTTGAAGAAGTTGATCAAGCAATTAGCTATCCCCACTAGTAGATCTAGTGCAAACTCAGTCAGTTCAGTAATTGCAGGTGTTAGTTCCACTAATGGTAGCCTGTCAATTTCCGAGATACAACAATCCTTGAAGGAGAATAAAGCCACCTTTTTCTTTCGTGTTGAAAGAGAGTTGGATAAAGTCAATTCGTTCTATCTTGAGAAACAAGCCAATTTGGCAATAAATTTGAATTTGCTAGTTTTGAAAAGAGACGAGCTCTTTGCCAAGTCAAACGCATTTCTTCGTCAACATTCACATGATGGAACAACTGCCAATATCGATTCAGCTGCCTATTTAAATTTTAGAAACTCCATTTCGTTTCTCAATTTGTATCAAAACTTCAAGAAGATCCATCAAGATTTGATCCGGTTGCAGCAATTTATAGAGCTTAATGAGACTGGGTTCTCCAAAGTGGTGAAGAAATGGGACAAGAGATCAAAGTCACATACAAAAGAGTTGTTTATTAGTACTGCAGTTAGTGTACAACCAGTGTTTCATAAAAACGAAATCAATGAGTTGAGTGACTTGGTGACTCAGTCATTGTTTGACATAGAGAGTATAATGGACGGAGACTACTCCTGTTTGGCCAACTATAGTGGTCACAATGCATCGTCGGTTGATTCTGAAATGTCACAACGCGAAGAAGTAGTTCCTCCATTAACTGCTGACAATAATATCTTGCCATCACAAAATCCAACTCCTCGATTGTCGTCTATTCTGATTTCGTCAACCGACAATACTGAAGTTGATGAATTGTATTCCAGTTTTGTCAATGTTGCAACCATCAAGGATCCAGATTTATCATTACTTGCTCGTTGGGTAGAGAAACTTAATGGTGCACCATTGTTGCCCAATGAACCGTTCCATACAACAGTAAGATATAAAGCGTCAAAGATTTTCTTATTGTCAATCACCAATCTCAAAATATCAGATTCATTTTTGGAGTCATTTTTGAAGCTTATCAATTTCGATATTGACTTCACTTTTGTCAATGATGACTTCAACAACAACAAGACAGTTTTCCATGAATGTTGTTCCATGCCCCCAGCATCAACTCAAAATGAGAGTCATGTAGTCATAAACAATGGTGTCAAGGTTGTAAACTCAAACGACTCCATTAATCATTCAAGAGTATTCATAGTTGAGTATATTATGAAAAACTATCCGCAACAAGAAGTTTGCAATTTGCTAAAGCGACGCGATTTCAATGGCCGTACTTGTCTTCATTACGCTGCACAAAACAATAGAAATGATTTATTGGATATCATTATTCCAGCATTCCCAGACAGCCATATCGACGATCTCGATAATGATTCAATGTCTGCATTGTTACTAGCTATCAAACATGGACATTTAAGCGTCATCAAGAAATTGGTGCAATTTGGATCGAATCCCCATCCAAAGACTAAAAAAGAGACACTTCAGTATTTGCCAATAAACTATGCTTGCAAGTTTGGTGATTACAAGATTTTGGAGTACTTATTGTCAAATGAAAAATCATCCGACTTGGTGAGCGTGTTGGTCAACGAGCAAGATGTGGAAGGGTTACTTCCATTGCATGTGGTTGCACGTGAGGGACATTATAAATTGATAACCTTGTTGATTAAATATGGTGCGGAAATCAATAAAACCGATGGGTTCAACAAGTGGACGCCGATATTTTATGCTGCTGCTGAAGGGCATGTCAAAACCACACAAGAATTGGTCAAGTTTGGTGCCAAGTTGGATATAGTGGACGAGGACGGGTTCAATGTGTTGTATTACTGTGTGGTTGAAGGGCATGTCGGTGTCATTAATGAATTGCTTAGCTACCACCAGGATATGGATACGCAATTGGACAATGACCAATTAAGTATTGAATCGAGTAAAATCATGTCTATTCAAAACGACCCCATGCGTATAGCTGATGTCAATGATGATTCCGAAGATAGTGGGTCCTTGGATAAAAACAATGCTGACAGTATCCCTGATTTACAATTGCCACCGCCTATTTTACCATTGAGAAGATATGGCCACAATTTCTTGGAACAAAAAGTCTTGATTGAGTTGATTTTCCCCCATGACGATCTGTCATTTATCAATTTGTTCAACTCAATTACTGATTTGAAACCGGGCAGGATTACCTTGACTTCAAACATATCGGACATTGTCCCTAGAAACATCTTGTTGCCCTTAGAGGACAAGAACCATCAAGGTGGTGTTAATAATAACAATTGTGTTTTCCAAACTGACGTTGATTCATTGAATGAATTTCGTATTGATTTTGAGATATTCCCCAAGTTTGGGACTAGATTGATTGCAAAGACTACGGCGTTGTCGTTTTCGCATATTGATACTACTTCCCCTGAAATCAGTTCGACTGAGTTGCCATTGTTTGATTTGAGGTTGAGAAATATCGGTCAATTGAAGTTCAATTATCAGATCATTTTCCCATTTTCGGGAACGGTGCTTGAAACTACTAAATTTGACACGTATTGGAAGTCATCAACTAGCATTGTCAAGAACAAACAAACTTTGAAGTTGAATGCAGCCGGTGGGCTATCTCCAAATAATTTCTTGTCTCCCAATGCCAATGCTGCTATCAATGCCAGTGGGTTGAACCAAAGCTCTGGTGCAATTGCGCGTCCTCCTGGAGCACCAGCACAGCATGAGTATCTCTCATCATCATCGTCGATTGTGACTGCTACTTCACTTTCAGGAGAATACTTGCGAATCAGAGTGTGTCTTTTGAACGATGGCACTCCAGTTGTATGTCCACATTGGTCGATTGCCATTACCGAAAACATTGATCTTTATTTGCCAAACTTGTCGCTTGAACAATTAAGCTCGATAACGAATGATTTGTTTGACTACTCCAAAGTCATTAACGATTTGTCAAATATGACAGTCAAGGATATAAGTTTGATCAAGAAGTTGTTGCGCATCATCTACTTGCCATTGGATATTGTTTTGGAAATCTTGAGTCCCGAGATCAATTTGAATTTGGAGTTGATTTTCCCGTCGTTTTACGAGTTGGAGGTGTTGCCATTTGTTGGAAACATTCAGAAAAACTTGAACAATTTTATCGATTTCACATTGAATGATGTTTTCAACCATATTAAACCGTTCAAGTCCAAAGATGTCGATCAACTGTCGCGGTCAATCATTCTCCTTTCTTCAAATTCACTAATTTGTAAAATATTGAATTGGAAACAACCAAATTTCCCAGTATTTTTGATAATGAACGGAATCACTTATAATAGTTCCCTAAAGCGATTTGAACAACGATCCACAAATGGTTTATTGATTGACGAAAGAGCCCAAGCTCGCAGCAGATCCATCACCAACACGACCACCACCACAAACGCCACAAACAATACCAAATCATACACGACTTCAACTTCATCCTCCTCAGAATTGAACAATTACCAAGAACTCATAATCAGGTCGATTAAAGAAGCAGTCAATTTTACCGTGAACAACAACTTGTTTGGTTTAATCACCTCAATCCACTTGCTAAATCTCGTACCGAAGTTGATCCCATTGATACGTAGCAGAGGGCTAATTTTGGTTGCGTCGAGTGATACCACCAACGACCAAGATGATGTGCAAGAAGAAGAAGAAGAAGAAGAAGAGACTTTGAAGCGTGAGTTGGACTCTTATACAAAGACTGAGATCAATGGGTTGAGATTTGATGATGTGCTTAGTTTTAAACAAGATATAACAATGTAAAGAATAATGGACATTTTTGTTTCTTTTTATTTCTTCTTCATATACTTTTATAGATCATCAATGCATTAGATATTAGTTAAAGTGGGAGGCGGTACATAGATAAATGTAGAGGACCAACAAGGTTGTCAAAATCCAAACAAATTCGTAACTTTGCTCTTTATCTTCTTCGTCTTGGAGGCGGAGGAGGGGGCGGGGGCGCCTTCTTCCTCAATGCCTTTTGCTTAATCGACGAATTAGAATCGAGAGAACTAGACGATGATGCAAGTGTTGTGTTTTGATAAAGATTTCGTTGTCGTTTTTCTGGGATGGGCAATTTAGGCAATGGCTTAGACAATAGATACTCATTAGGCAAGTCCAAGATATTTGCATCGCGAAATTCAAATCCATTGTCATTGCTGCTATCACTAGCACCACCGCCTCCGTGACCATTGATGTTATTGGCCTTCTTGTTTTTTGCCTTAGCGGGTAAACCATTCAAATCTAAACCCGTTAGTGTTGATGATTTACCACTCTTGTCGCCAATTGTACAAATTTTGTCAAAGTCAGTCAAAAATACATTATTATTATTGTCCATGAATATCGACGGCGAAGTAGCTTGACCTTCTTCGCGTGTTTTTGATGAATTCAACTTTTCGCTGTTTTTCCTCTCCAAGAAATTGTGTTGTGTGGTGTGCTTATGATAGTCACTACGACTCGATGAGCGGACCGAGGCTATACGAGTGAATAGTCTGGATGAATCTCGGTCAATTGATTTCAAATCTTCTGGGGAAGTAATTTCTGGCGAGTTGTTCTTTTCCTTTTCAAATTGAGAGCTGTTTCCATCACCACTAGTAGAATTATGTTTGGCTTTGTGTGGCGACATTGAGTTCTTTAACCATTTGACATCCATGCACTTTATAGCTAAATCCATAATGATTTTGCCCTCACTGGAATCATCGGCCAGCTTTGGTCCCGAGTTCACCACAATATTGCTGAGCACATTGTAAAGCTGTTGTGATTTGTATCCACCGCATTCATTAAGTTCAGAAAACATCAATATAGGATACAACACTCTCAAATACGTCACAATCAAAATATTATCCTTGTGTTGCAAATTATCCAATTCTCTTATGAAAATATCTAGCAATATTTTTAAATCGTTTCGGTAAATCAATTTAGCCGTAAATGAAGTTGTGAACACAAGGTAAAGGAACTTCAAAATCAACAAAATGATTATCTGTGACTCTTCACGATTCAAATGATAAATCAACAAATTGATAAAGCCAACAATATTATTTACATTACTTTTGGTGTTATTGTCATTATGAATCAATTCCTCAAATACTTTGTTCGAATGATCATGTCGTGAGTATGAACTCATCAAAAATTGCTCATTAATAAGTAACAATAGTTTCAATTCTTCATAAGCAACAAGTCTGGCTTCATTGTGGAAATCGTCACCATTTTCCAAATCGTAATTGTTGAATCCCTCAGATGATAAAAGGTGTTTTATGATATTGACAATGACTTCGTTGTTATTAAACGTCAAGTCCGTAAACTCCGTTGGTGACAATACTTCAACATAGTAAAAGTACTCGAAAATGATATCACAACCAAATTTCAAAATGACAAACGAAGATTCGTCCTTCGCCACGGCTTTGATTTGAGTTGAAATAAATTGCGACATTATAAACACAAAACGACACTGCTCCAATGTTTTGAACACATTTTCACAATTGACTAAATCCAATGAATTTGAGGTTGCCGAGGATGCGCTCAGTATATCGCTTGAATCATCAATAAATTCTTGATCATTTGATGTGTTTTTAAGCTTGAGTAAAAGAAGCAATGTTATACACAAAAACTCCTTCAAGCATTCAGCTTCGTAAGCCACTTGATCATTAACTTCCCAGTCACTTTCGCTGTTGCCATCTTCAGTAAACTCTAATCTATAATTTGTGACTGTTGTAAACGTCTCCAAAAAAGCCAATATCTTACCAATGCAAAACTTGAAATTCTTCACAAATAAATTCAGCGTCAATAGCTTCAATGCGTATAATGATAAACTTTCATATGTCGGTTTGGATCCGGTGTTATTGTAGATATTGTCAACTATGCATTTGATGAAAATTGAAAAGTTCTCGTTACATTCTTGTGAATCACTATTGATCAACACTAATGAAATCTCCTCATCAAAATAATCCCGTTCTGGTGTCGGTAGTGCTGTGATGGATGCAAATGAGAGACTGGTGGTGGATGCTCTAGGAGGGGGCGAGAAAGTTGGAGAATAAGTAGCATAATTTTCGTCTCTTTGTGCTGAAGAAGAACTTGATATTCTAGACATGTCCAGCTGTGAGCAAGCTAGCCAAGCAAAACGAATTGGACGTACTACTTCTTGTAAATATCCTTCTCGCTGGTTACAGCCAACTCTTCCTTCCTAGCTAATGATATCAGGTGGTATTTAAATATACTGAGGTGCTAGTGTTTTTGTGGATACTATCAGGAGTGTCGCTTTTGATATAGGTTATATAAGTTGCATATTCTTTTCAATTTGCCTTACTTTGAAAGGGAAACCGCAGAAAAGGTCGTGCGGATTTAACAGCCGAGGCAAAAGAAAAAAAGTTCTGTATTTCGAAACGCCGCGTTAAATGCGGCTCATTGCCTAGAATAATTTAGAGCTAAAGCACACGACTAGACATGGTGCTACCAAATGACATAAAATTCACATTCAACTAGTTAACAAAACTGAAGAAAATTTCCTGACAAAAGCAATCTATTTTTGATTCTCAGGCATATGTTCATTCATAGTTCAAAGTTTCCCAATACAAAAAAAAGGGTTGTGGTATCTCTCTGCTTTATCTTTGATGAATACAATAAAAAAAAATAAAAGAATTAAAAAGTAAAAATAATCGCGTCGTAATAATTTGGCATGATTATATGCAGTATTGATTGGCAGGAAGATGTTGCTTTGGGGCCAATTGTGCACACCCTTTCAATTACTGCTCTTTCTTTCATGTCATAGATTTATGCCTTACTATGAGACACAATAGATTTGGGGCTACTAAAGAACGACGTAGTAATATTTCTTGAGATTGAAAAGCGTAAGAGATAGTATTGCATTTTGCGTTGTGTATTGACTGCAATGTATATAATGCGTAATTTTATAGCGTGACAAACAGACAGACAGACAGACAGACAGACCAAAACAAAACAAAACAAAACAAAACATCACAACACAACACAACACAGAAAAACTCCACCAACACTTACTGAAGTCGAAATATACTAGACTACAAGTATCTCCACACATGTCTATTCTTGATAACGTTCAGATTGCGTGGCAAGTTATAGGAGATGGGCCATCAAACATTGGAGATGATTTCCCAAATGGGAGCAAAAATCCACACGAAAACAAGGGGAGCCCTGAACCGATTCACTCAGTTGGTCCGCAAAGAGTCTTTGAAGCGCAATTGTTTCTAACCCTCACTTCAGGTACCCTACTATTTCTACTATTTTGCATAATGAGATACAGATGGCCCCATATTTATGCTGTTCGAACATTACGACAGCAAGCAAAGGACATGTTGAAACCGTTACCAAATAATCTTTTTGGCTGGATCAAAGTGGTTTATAAATTGTCAGACGATGAGGTGTTGTCTTATTCAGGACTTGATTGCTATGTTTACTTGTCCTTTTTCAAAATGGGGATCAAGATTTTTTTCGTGTTGGCTGTATTTTCAGTTGCCATATTGAGTCCAATACGGTACTACTTCACTGGGAACTATGACAAAGAAAGCATAAGCTTATTGGCGAAACCAAAGAATCCTGACTTTCATGAAGATTTCCCGATATTTTTGTGGGTTTATCCGATCTTCACATACTTGTTTTCAGTGGTTGTGTTTTTCTACTTGTACGAGTATACCGACAAAGTGTTGAAAACCAGACAGAGATACCTAGCTTCTCAAAACTCCATAACAGATAGAACTATTCGTTTAGATGGAATACCGAAAAAATTGCTTAGTCGAGACAGAATCAAAAGATTTATTGAAGACTTGGGTATTGGAAGAGTTATGGATGTGAAGTTGATTTATGACTGGACGCCACTTGAAACTAAATTTGAAGAAAGGAAGAAGTTGATTAGACAGCTTGAATACGCATATGCAAATGAATACAAGATGGACATCAACATTTATAATCAACAACGTATGCCTGCTGTTAACCCTGATTGGAACGAACCTTTGGACAATGAAAAAGCTAAAGAACAAATTGACCAATTGTCTAAGCAGCTTGTTGAGCTCGATCAAACCATACGGACAATTCAAGGTAAATTTGACCCAGAATCAACAACTATTGATGCAAAACAGTATCCAGAGTTTAGAGTTATTCCGTCAGCGTTTATCACTATGGACTCAGTTGCATCAGCCCAAATGGCAGCTCAAGCAATCTTGGATCCTCGTGTATACAAGTTGATTGTGAGTTTGGCGCCAGCACCACAAGACATCATATGGGGAAGTTTCAAATTACAATACAATGAAAAGCTTGTCAAGTCTTATATGATTACGTTTTTGATAATTTTGAGTTATGCATTCATCATTTTCCTAGTTGTTCCATTGACTTCTTTGCTAGATTTGAAAACAATCACCAAGTTTTGGCCAGCGCTTGGCCATTTCATTGGGAAATCCAAATGGTTGACAACATTCGTCACTGGTATCCTTCCACCATTGTTGTTTACCTTGTTGAACATTCTGTTTCCATATTTTTACCGGTACTTGTCTCGATTCCAAGGGTATTCTTCCAACAGTGAACTCGAATTATCAACCTTGTCAAAGAATTTCTTTTTCATCTTTTTCAACTTGTTTTTGATCTATGTTGCCGCTGGTACTTTTTGGGATTATATGTCGTACATCAGTGACACAACGAAAATTGCGACTCAACTCGCAACATCCTTGAGGCGCATGTCGTTGTTTTATGTTGATTTAATCTTGTTGCAAGGGTTGACGATGTTTCCATTTAAGTTGTTGCAAGTTGGAGACCTTTTCCAGTTGAATGTCATTGGTAAGCTCTTTTTCTTGAAATCGTTTATCCTAAAGACTGCCAGAGACTATCGGTCATACTACTACACCCCACAGATTCTTGATTTTGGAATCAATTTGCCACAACATCTCATGATTTTCATGATTATTTTGATATACTCGGTAGTTTCCACCAAAATTGTCACTTGCGGGTTGGTTTATTTCATCATTGGCTTGTTTGTTTACAAGTACCAATTGGTTTACAATTTTGTTCACCCCTCTCACTCCACTGGTAAGATATGGCCAATTGTCTTTCGTCGTGTGATTTTGGGATTGATAATTTTCCAATTGTTCATGTGTGGGACATTGGCCTTGGATAGTGCAATTTTGTTGTCGTTGTTGTGCACGCCATTGATATTCATTACCCTTGGTGTGTTGTACAATTTCGAAAAGAATTATGTGCCATTGTGTGATTTCATTGCGTTGAGAGCTATTTTGAACCCATATGATTTCAACAAGTTGTTTGAAAACGATGATCAACTGTTTAACTCAGGTGACAGTCAAGGTGAACAGGGATCAACCTCGGCTATATTGGAAGATGAAGAAGGACAAGTAGGAGAAAGTGTTCCCCTTTTGGTGAACGACGGAGATGGACCATTGGACGAATCGTCACTATTGAATGCTGACGATGGTGAACACAGCTCCACACATGAAGGTGTGGATGAAGACACAGTTGGGTCAAAGAAGAAGCTCTCGCGACGGAAATCGACAATTGATGAGGAAAGAGAGCAATTTACCGACTACACGTACCCGCCATTGATTGATCCTTTGAATGGGCCATGGGTCGGGTTCACCGGTAACGTGGTTTCAATCGTTGAGTATCGAGGCGACGTTCAAAACATTTTGGAAAATGGCCGTTTTAACAATGATGCGACAATCATTTCCTCGACTGAGTCTGAGACTGAGGTTGTCGTCAATAAAGTTCTTTCAGTAAGCGAGTGGGAGTAATGTCTAATTACGAGTAACGGTTTAATAGAATATTAATAAAATGTACCAACGGAGTAACAAAAGTCTTGTGAGTGTAATCTGCTGTTTCTAGAAGCACTCGTAATTACCGCAATGCTGACTGCGTTTCTCGTATGTATCGTTCTGAGCAGGATGTTACACTCTCAGCCACAGATTTCGCTCCTTGTCGTCTGAACAGTTTCACAAAAGATGCCTGTACATTCAACATACAGTCTCCCCCCTCCAATAATAATTGTTTGTTTATTGATGTACAAAAACAAATGAGAAGTTTTGTTTCCGGATTAACCCAAATTGGACCTTACATCGTCTAAATCTAAAATTATTACAATCTTTTAAACTTAAAAAAATGCCGTACAGGTCGGCGTTTAGACCATTTAGATGACGGAGAAACTATCAACACTGAAATAGCTTGACTCCGTTTCCATCTTTGTTTTGTGCCGGCATCACTTTCCATTACAAAAACGATTGTATACACGTCGTACAAACTTCCCTTTAAGTTACCCCCTCCCCCGTGCACGTGGTTTACGGAAAATTGTCATTTTGTTGAGAAACCACAAAAGCGGTTTCGGGGATTTTACCTCACAAGCAATTACGAGCTGGCCCTGGAAAATTCTTACTGCTTCAACTATATTCCTCTGAATTATATGTATATTTTCTCAACGTAATATATATATGTCTAGAATAGTTTTGATTAAAGAATAGTATTGAATTAACACTCTCTCACTCAAAGCGTGATTAGTATGAAAAAAAGAAAAGAAAAGAAAAAATTGTCCCAAAAAAGTACATATGCACAAGAACTGAATAGTAATTTTAAATATGGTGGCGCTCCATTTGGAAAAAAATGTTGACAACCGAATGGCAAAAGCCAAAAGTGGAGAAGAAAAGGTCACTCCACTAGGTTGGTTGCGGTAATAATATCCGTCTCCAATGATACCTAGCTCTATCTCTTCTCGTCCTTGTGTGTTTTTTTCTCCAACGCTTGATTCTGCTTCCTAGTCTCACTCATTTCACTTAATTTTTGTTGTCTCAACTCCTTATTAGTCACATAGTCCGGCTTGGTTGGACTGTAATCACAAGTCAAGCCAAATCGTAGGCATGCTCCACACGAAGGCTGGATCTCGTCGCATTTCAAATGCTTGATGCGACATATCCAACAGCCCTTCTTCGACCGAGGTAGTAGCCTTCTTCTTGTGTATTTTTTCTTGGCCATTGGTTGCTCTTCGTTGTTGGAGAGGTCACGAGAAGGGGGAGGAGTCCTGGTGTCGGCCTGAGGCAACAATGGTGTCGATTTTGTCTTTCTGATTTTACCTGATTTGCGTTGAGACAACTGTATCTTCTCCCTACCAACAGACAGTTTATCAAATTCGTTGATGTCGTTGGTATGAGAAAGAATGTCTCTGCCAGTGTTATCGGAGTGTGTATCCGTAAATGGGCCAATCAGTCTCAGCTGATGCTCTCCTCCTCGCTCGCTCGTCTCCATTGGCCTTGCTATTGGATCTAGAATTTCAAATGCAGCTCCTGTTCTTGATGCATGGACATTTTTTAAACTCTTTGTCTTTCGCAAACTTTTCTTGGCTACTGAAGACTGGCGAAGCTCTCTTGCATGGTTTAAACTGTAGTTCTTCTTCCAAAGCTCTTGTCGTTGTAATAAATCAGGCAGTAAAGGTGAAGCGGCAGCAGATACCATGTCCATTGAGGCGGGGGAATTTGCCGGCCGAGAATCATGGCGAAACACGTTGGCACTTTTTGGCCGATTACTGGTTGCACTTGTTGGAGTTGCCAAAACGCTCGCACGGCCAGTTGAGTTAACGGCCATACTTGGCGACACGTTTGAATAAGTCCTCAACAAGTGCAATTGTTGTTGAGCTTGTGGTTGAATTTGTGTTGCAAGGTACGGGACCTTTTGTTCTGCAAGTGGAGCACTTTCTTGTAAATGTGGTTGATTCTTTTGTGGAGCAGCGGCGATGCTTGCTTTTGATAAGTCATATGCGAAATTTGAACCTGAAGTGGATGTCAAGGGGGTGTTTGGTGTATTAGCTGACAATGATGCAATTGCACTTGTCATCTTGCTTGTGCTCAATTTGGATGGAGTTTTCAATTTGTAAAATGATGGTTTTTTGCTGATTCTGTTGTGACTTGAAGCTGAGTTGATCATAGCACTTGCTAAAGGACTATGTAAAGCGCGCATTGGCGTGTTCATATTGACACCAGCATGGATTGAATCACTTGAAAAGTTTGGGTCAACTACACCCATGGCGGAATCACCAGTGCTTATAGGTTGCTGTCCAGATGCAGTCGATATGAAGCTCGAAATATCGGAAAATGTTGGAGTGGCTGAAGGGTCAACTTTAGTATCTTGAGTAGACAACGACAGTAGATTTTGGGACGTGATGAGTGACTGTTCAGCCAATGACTGACTTCCTTGTGTAATAGGTGGGCAGTTGACACTTTGGAAACGACGCTGTGCAGATGACACTACGTCAAAATATTGTGAATTTGTCAAGTCTCTATTTACACTTGGGTGTTGAAACAGATGCCAACGAACAGGCGCATTATTATAATTGGGAAGTGAATCTGTAGATGCGCTCAAGACGTTGTGATCATTGTAAAAATTAAACTCGCCAGCAACATTTACAGCATCGCTTGATTGATTAGGATCAAGGATATTCAGAAACATAATCGATGAATCGTTTGCAGAAGGTGGTACATGATGACTCGTGTCATCTTCGAACAAACTTTCCGAAGTATCATTATCTTGGAAGAAACTGGCCTGAACAGTAGTGTTTGGGATGCTGTTGTCTCTTTCCAAATTGTCTACTGACGTCGGTGAGTCTTGTTGTGGCAAGGATCCGTCTGCCGCTAGCACTCTCAAGTGTGATTGCCCAAGTATTGATGTGCTTGTGTCTCGATAGGGTAGTCTCCGATTTTGATCGGGGTTTGCTTGTAGTTGTTGTTGTTGTTGTTGTTGCTGCTGCTGCTGCTGCTGCTGGTGTTGTGCTTCGTATAATTGTTGTTCATTCAAATTGAATTGAGGTGTTTCTGGACCAAAACCGTACTGATAGTATTGCGGCAGCGGCAATAGAATGCCAGTGGATTGCGGATTTGGAAGTCCATGTGTATGAGCTGGTGGAGGATAAGACGGAATTGAAGCACTTTCAAGTCGCGCTAGCTGATATAGTAGCAGACTCTGATTGAAGTCTTGAAATGAACCATCGTACTCATCGTTATTACCGTTGTCAGATTCAGGCATGTTTTGAAACTCATTAGCTAGTACCTTATGCAGTTGATTTGGAAAGGCGTTGTTGTGAGACGACGCTCTTATGGGTGATGACATATCTATTTGAGACGAAGAATCCACTAGTACAGTATCGTCTGCTGCTAATGATGATAACGTTTTCGCAGACTCTGTGATTTGGTCCTGCACCATACGCTGCTGGATACAAGAACGATAAAATAAAGCAATTGTTTGAGGTAGCCGACGACGTAAAGTGGAATGCTTTGATCTCGCAGCGTTGATTATATGCTGTAACTCAAATGATTAATGACGGTGTATAATTGAATGGTATGCTCCTCCACTATTTGGTATCACTTGGTAGCTTTCTCCAATTTTTTTTATTTTAATTTATTTTATTTGTGTCTGTTTGTACCTGAAATAAGTTAAATCCGACTGTAAAAACACACACACACACACACACACAATTGAACAGCACAAATAAAAACGGATGGGACAAAAAATAAAAAAATAAAATAAAATAAAATTTTTTTTTTCAAGTTATTTCCGAAGCGTCAATTGAAGATATCACAAAAGGTGATTACGATGGGGTAATACCTTTATTAAACAACAAGAAACTCTCAAAGAAACAAAAAAAATGAAGCCTGGCAGTGAATAGTACGTTGAAGATGGTTATCAAATGTTGTTGTGGTGATATCTGCTTGTACTTTACTTCCAAAAATTCAACTACTCTTTGGTTAGACAATGGTATCAATTTTGGTTGCGCCAATTGACGTAAGGTAGTGCAGTAAAGACAGCTCTGTGTTTGGTGGGGGGATGATGGTACAAGGACAGGCTGAGATGATGACCTGGTGGTACAAATATTTTTTTGAGTGTGTGGGTGGCTTGTTCCTCTTTGTGGCGAACCGTTGAAATTGGTGCACTGCCGGTGTCTCAGATTGATTGTTGGCTTTAGTTTCTTTGTTGATCCCACGTACACACACGCACACACTAATACACACTAACACACGCTAACACACGATATGTAGTCAATGGGGAAAAACAAGGTAGTTTTGTGCTTGTTGCCCCTTTAAAGTTGAAAATAAAAAAAAAAAAAAAAGAAATTTCCAAAATGAGTTGTTGGTTCAGATTTCTGCTCTGCTCTTTGTGCCAGGGTGGTGATGTATCTGTGGAGGGGTGAATGAACGGAGCTTTTCTGTGCAATACTTTTTTTTACCAACAGTATATCTGAGTCTTGTCTGAATCCCAATTGTGCTATCAGGTTGGTGCTATGACGTTTGACGGCCTTTTGAAGTGGAAGTAAGTGTGTTTATGTAATAAAAAGGAGTGTATGCTATGAAAGTTGAGCTTGTTAAAAAGAGTGGACGAAATCAGAATGTTTCTTAGCACTGAAGTATGTAGTGCGGTGGATAGGTATGATTATGGTGGTGGTGAGCTCGTAGTTCTATTTGAAATATGTAGTTGGTGGCAAGATATGTGCCCAATGCATTCAGCGTTCAATCAATGCCTAATGGTGATTCAATTGTTGAGTTGTACCTGGTGCGCTTTCGATTGAACTATCCACTGTGTCCAATTTAGTGCGATGAACTTGAACTGTGTGTGGGCGCTTTCGTCTGGTTTGTCAATTTTGAAAACTTGCCAATTGCAAGCATTGGGAAGCTACCGTATATATATATAGTATTTTAGTTTAGTTCAGTTTAGTAGTGTGGACATGAGCCCTTGGATCTACTGGAAATTTTTCAGTTCTCTAACATCCACCCACACATACACAGTTTTTTAGTGTCTGATTGTCTTCCACTTTTGTGTAGTTATTACGTGTAGTGTAAAAATAGTACGTCGTACAGAAGCAATAATGGAATATTTTTGTTAGAAGGACAAAACTTCATTGTATGTTAGCAGCCCATATACTGGTAACTTGCTATTGTATATGCCAACATGCTCACATGCTTAGTAATGTAAACCGCTATGCTATGCATATCTGCAAATACTGGCTTATATTGTGCTCTGTTTCTTTTCTTTTCTTTTCTTTTTTTGCTTTGTTTTGTTTTGTTTTATTTTGGTTTTTATCTTTTGGTGTGAAGCCTGAACGTAAGAGAAGCGAATTGAGAAAAGAAAATAGCATACAAGCAAAAGATATACACAAAATAAAAAGGAGAAAAAAAAAAATTAGTGAAGCTAGAGGGAGGAGCAGGATAGATAGGGCGAATTTAAGAGTATCAGCATGAAAAAAAGTTTTGCTCAGAATAGAAAAGACAATTTTTCTTGGTCCTATTGTTTTATTTTTGCACTTCAAACAAAAACCCTACTGATTATGCGGCTCTCACGAAGTGGAGACAGCGCAAGACCCATACTTGAACAAGCGCAGTTTCTTTTATTTTTTTTTTTTTCAACTGAGTTGTGTTCACAAATAAGGTTAGCACTTATTGTTTAGAAGAGACGTAAGTTACTTTGATTTGATTACACCCCCCCGACCCATCCAAACTGGCGATTGAATAGTAAAGAATAGAGGCGAGCAAATGCTTACCAAGGGCCCTTTATCTATGCAATCCAAGCGGCAATTCTCTCATCCTCTTATCTGCTGGGCTACACCTATCTGCACAAACATTCGAAGAGGGGTAATAGGAGAAAAAAAGGAAAACGAATTTCTGTTTAAAGCAGTTGTTAAAGGTGTTACTGCGGTTCGGGAAGTAGTGGATAAAAAGAAGGGTCCAACACCCGACATTTGCAATAAATTGGCTTTATGAATTGAGGGTTATTTTTGGTAATCCTGCCTAAAGTCCTAGATCTGTCTCCAGTTGTGGGGAGGAGGGGCATGTCCTTGACGAGTGAGACAAATACAACACCAATACCTACTAGCATTGCTGTTGGATAAACGTCTACTGGATAGAGGTGGTTTGGTGGAACCTCCTGAAGCTCTCCCAACATTACACAGCTGATGGTCGGTTCAATAGATGTGTATAGGGTTTGTAGAAATAGATTTTGTGCAAGACCGTCGATCTCCTGATTTATTGAAAACATGTGTCTTACTGTCTACTGCAGTCATAAAAAAAAAAAAAGACAAGACAAGACAAAGCTTAGTTAGTTTCGTAAATGCGGAATCCACATTTTGGTTCAAGCACGGTATAAAGCCTAAATGGTTATGAGTGCGCTATTTCAGCCCTTTTTGTAAGAGTACGATTTAATTGCTCAACTGGAGCTGCCTGCTCAATGCGACACAAGGGGGGCGGTAATGGCGACGCAAGAGTTCTCAAAGAGAGAAGTAAGTTGTTCTCTCCTCGTGGATCATCACTGATTACCCCCAATACAAACGCAAACATGGAAGAGCCCATCCCACAAAAAGTATGACGCAATTGAAAGTAAACGTTGTTGTTCTTGTTCTTGTTTTTGTCTTTCTGGAAGAGCAAATTCACAAGTTGAGGGCTTGTTAGGGCATAACCAAAGACAAAAAATTGTGCGTACGACAAAAGTAGAATCATTTTGTATATTGTCTATTGTTCTTGTTTGCCTATTTTTTTTTTTTTATTTTGTTTCTTAAATTTTTTATGTCAGAGAACACAAAACCCAGCTTTTCGGGCCTAAACGTTTTCATCACCGACCGCTATTGTGCGGTTAATTTTTATTTTTTTTTTAGCTCAAACAATTGCTATTGTTAAATACAAATGTGGGCCCGTTGGAGAGGGATAACAATGGAAAGATTGGACATGTAGAATTTTTTTTTGGCTCAAAACGCCGTTCAAATTATCTCGGACTCATGCATGCTTTATCATAATTGAGGTGCACATTTGGAGGTTTCGAATAGATAAGGTAAGTTTGGCAATTTATCCGCACCACCACAATTGAGTGTGCACACAAACTACAGTACAGTCTTCAATTGTCAAACGTTTGAAAGCAGCTTCCAAAGTGAGTTTTTCCTTCATCCACTCAACTTATGCAAAGAAAGTTGGGGAAACAAAGACTGTGCATGTGACGATTCTTAAGATTATTATATTTACGTCTTTTATTTCCGCAATAGTTGGATTTATTATTTCTCTCACTTTTTTGTTTCTAGCGCGCAAACACTTTCCAATTTCCACACTCTGCATGAAATTGAAATACAGACATACAACCACCATTTTCTAAGGCGAGATGCTTGAATTCTCGCCTGAAACTTTGTCCTGCATTGTGGTTATATATAATGGGAAGATACTGGGAGGAGACGCAATGTATAATGGTAACAGCTGTAAATACAGAACAGTTGCATTCCCAGACAATGAAGCTTGTTCAGAGCAACCTAGAATTCAAAATAGAGCTACTCGCCACGACCCTTTCTGTGTACTTCACACTTTAAACTAAGTGATAAATTAATGGAGCTGATAGTTATCGTAGAGGTGTACATACATGAAAGTTAAAGCACAATCCCCGTCCTCGTCAATTATGTCCTTTTTGCTTTACTCACAAAAGCGCTATTTGTGCTGGAGCTTTATTACACTTCCAGGAAGTAAGGTAGAGGGGAAGTTGATGATTGTAGTTCAAAATTACTGGTTTCCATTCCCTCTTGATCGTTTTTTTTTTTATATTTTTTTAATTTGTTTTGCTCCTTTTGTCTGACAGCTCGTAAAAAATCGGTTGTCATGACAACCAAGAAGCACAGGGTTCAGGCACAGTGGATTTGCTGCCAATAGCAACTTCTCGCTCGCTAAGAAAAAGAAACATAAAACGTCGAAATGGCACATCCTTAAGTGCCTTTCCTTCAACAATTACCGGAAAGTCTAGACCAGCCTATTTTGGAAAGGCCCTTTATATTCCTAAGAACATAAAAGGTAATGGTGTGATTGGTGTACCTGCGCTTCTTTTTACGCTTTGGGTGTACAGTACCCCCATTTATACGCAGAGTCTATGATACTGTTGAGGCAGTACAGTATATTCAATGAAGTACACAATCAAATGCTCATGCAATGCGGAAGATTTCCGCCACATATACTGGTTGCACCCCCTCCCCCTTGCCGCTTGTCAGCTGATTTTTCCGGTACAGGTTCACTTCATCTGCATCGCGTGACCTGGTCACTCCTTGTTCCTCTTTGCAGCGGAAATTGCATTAGATGCTGTACAAGGCTTTATTGTATAATTTATACCCACAGGAGTTCTGATGAGTACTTTCAATTCTGAACATCGTTGTTTTGCAAATTTTGAAACATTTGCTAAACCAATACTTTTTGTTTTTAGTCTGAAGGCCGCTGCAAAAAAAAAATATCAATTAAGAAAAAGGGATTTTTCGATTGAAACCTCTAATTGGAAGATTCTATACCCGACACTGTTTTCGAAGAAGGGTCGATCAAAACAAACTATACCTTTGTTTATTAGACTAAAGTCTAAGAAGATGCATCACACTCCTTCTAGTCGTGTACCAGTGCACATTCTATCAATTCGCAAACAAAATCTCTCGAAGAGAGAAGCGGAAAAGAGAAGAAAAAAAAAAGAAAAAAATTCCACTCTTTCGTCTTCTCCTTTTTCTTCTACATACATATTCACACTTCCGGAGTACCAGCGAGACTGATTATACATCTGTTTAGTTGAGCAAAAATGGCTGGAAGGAGATCGATAACTAATGAGAATGTCCATCGTTAATAATCCAAAACTTTCTTTGTAATGTAAATTTGTTTTTCTTTACGAGTTTTTGAATTTCTTTGGTTCGCAAGATGGATACAGCTTTACAAGTCAATCCTTTGAGGTTGCGAGGACGTGGGATGAGAATGTAAGAGGAATGAGTCGGGGTTATCGTATGCCTTAGCACTGTTTAGTCGTCTTGAGCGGTGTTTTCTAGCGGTAAGTTGTGGTTTGCTCCCCAGATGTCTATAAATTTGATGCTTGCTTATCCACTGAACTACTGGAGCAAATACCCGCACTTTGGATAGAGTTCACAAGATAGTTTTGCTATGCCCATTGCCTTAGCTAGTAAAGTCCCTAGATGGCATTCGAGCAGAGGTGAAAAAAAGGATGAAAAAAAATAAAAAGAAAAGACGCGTATGCTTCTTCGACAATGTACACGACTGGAGTGTCGCGTAAAAATTTCATAAACAAAAACATGAAGAGTTGTGTGCATTGCAATGATAGGAGGACACAAAATAATCAATCAATCAATCAGCGCACTCCTCAAAATATGATCCACAGAAGAGAGGTTATTAGAAATGATTGGTGTGCACTCTTACGTTTAAGATCTCTGGTTTTCTTTATTGTAGCCTGGCACGGCGTTCACACAGTTCAATTTTTTCTCACTTGTAATACACTAAGGCTCTGAGACTAGTGAAACAACCTCTGCAACAGGATATCAAAAATAACATAGGCTAAGTAGACACTATCTACTCAATGATAACTCTTCGTAATTAATATCAATTTCTGGCGCCTAAAGAGGTGTGTTGATTAGCAAATGATCGACACTCGAATTGGTAAAAAGACGCTCCTCGAATTTTTGAAATTGTCCTACCATATTTTTATTTTATTTTATTTTTGTTTTTTGTTTTTTTTCTTTTTTTTTTTACCTAATTTGTTTCTTGTTTCTAGTTTCTAGATAACTCTTTCCATTACAACCACACAACTACTCGTTTCTGCCTACAGCTTATACAACCTCTGTTCATTACATTGACGATGATGACATTGGCCTCACCTGCGGCATCGCATCTACCAGACTCTCCAAGCTTACCATCCGAGCAAACATTGCAACACTACCTGCAATCCCCCAAAATAACCAAGAAGAACAATAACACAGTAACAGCTGGCACTGCTACTGCTCCAGTGAGATCCCTCACAATTTCCAAACCCAAGGCAAAGAAAGAAGGTGATTTGCAAATTAAGTTCAGACCAACCATCATTCTAGTCGCCAAGTACTCTTTTACTGCTGAATCGAACAATGAGTTGAGTGTTACCAAAGGTGATATATTAAAGTTGTTGGACCAGCCACGCGACGGTTGGATATTGGTAAAGTATATTGACAAATTGCACTCACCAGGGCTAATTCCAGCGGCGTATGTTGATATAGCCGTGAACGATCAAGTACATCCAATAACTATAAATTGGTTGCATGGTGTTGAACATGCAGACATTGTCAAGGAGCACAGCTACTTGAACTTACAATTCAACAAAGTGGAAGCAGTTTTTCAAACAATCAATAATAAGGCGTATCCAGTATCTGCTTCAATTCTGAACTTTTTCTTGTTCAACAACAGGTATTGGTATCGCTTGGATGTAAATTACAGCGACAAGTCAAAAGCCCACTTGTGCCGATACTATCAGGATTTTTATAATTTGCACATTACATTGTTGGATTTGGTTAGTCGGATCAGCGAGAGTGCTAAACTGGAGGAATTGAAATTGCCAAAATTGCCTGAACCATTGCCAACCACAACAACTTTGAATCACTATGAAGAGAGTGAGGACACAAAGGAAGACGCCAAAACCGACAAGTCTTTTGAGCAGGAAACGGCTCAAGTCAATATGTTGTTGAAAAGATGCAATGATTTGAATGTTTACATAAACAAACTAATTTTGAACAAATATTTCCAGACTTCTATCGAGTTGGTTGAGTGGTTGGAGTTAGGATACAAGGACTTGCCAGGTTTTATTGTTGAGTTTATTACTGAGGAAAAAGAAGAGGGAGTAGCTGATGGTGAAATTGCCAGTAAGATATTGCCTGGTTCAATTGATGTTCTAAAAATTTATCAAGAGCGGAAATTAGAGAAGGAGCAAGAAGCGGAAGCTTTAAAGAAGGATCGGGAAGCAGAGGCAAATGAAGTCGATGATGCTGATTTACCTGCAAGAACAAAGTCGAAGAATATCTACAATAACTACCAACAAGCGTCTCATATAATGGCACAAGCTTCAAGGCAGGGATCTGTGAAGTTGGGTAGAGCCAACTCAAAATCCATCCTGTCTAGTGGTACTAGAAATTCCGACCCTCAAAACAGTCTGCCAAGAGTGTTGTTGCACGGACTAGCAGACACAACAGACTACATTGATACATCAACGAACAGTGCATCCACAAGCTTCTCTCCTATTGACGAGGAGCAGGTAGCTATTTACTCACCAGATACTTCACGAGGCTCCCATTCTTCCAAGTCATCGCGCAAAGACTCGCTCAAGCCGGTCAAGGAGTCTGAAATCATGTCACAGCCACCATTTACTGGCTCACAAATGTCATCGCCAAAAAACTTGAAAAATGGGCGTAATGATACTATCGTTCCGCTGAATCCACAACTGCCACATTTGCAACAAAAGGTACAAGCCGCAGCCAATCCGGTTACTCACTCTCCCACTCATCAGTACAGTCCGAGATTTGGACCTTTGCCTAAAGCGCAAGCTCAGTATACGCACGAGTCTAAATTTTCTCCTCATGATAAACCATACCACGTGCCACAGTCCATGCCGTCCAAGATGTCACCAATGGGCGTCAACACGAATGTGTTTCCAATAAGCGGATACGCAATGACCAGGCAACCCAGCACAAATGACAATGCAAAGAATGCACAAGTTTCGGTTGCGTCAAACTTTCCTCAGAGCTCTTCCGGCTCGCCATCGCCGACTTCTGCCAATGTCCTTTCCAGTGTGAGCCATCAATTCATCAAGTGTAAGATCCTCAACCCACGTGATGAAGTTATTGCTTTAAAGTTGCCCAAATCTCAGATCAAGACCATTGGTGATTTGAAAAATTTCGTCAAGAGTAAAGTCTTTTACAACAAGTTGTTTATCAAATTGCCCAATTTAAACAATTTTGAAAATATCGATGTTGTGAGATTTAATATTACTGAATTTTTGAAATTCAATGATATGGTCTTGTTGAGGATTGCGTGAAGCACGCAAGATTCCATCTTCAGGCTTTCTGATTCGTTTCTCGATCCGACTTTCAATTCAAATTTACAAATTGTATAACTTATTTACGTTTCTTTTGTATTATAAATAATAATGTGTAATAACTGCATAAGGGTGGATCAACCATCTAAATCTACTTCCTTGGTCTCAATAAGAAAACCTCCTTCTTGATAGCTTCGGCCAATTGAGAGCTAACGCCACCGAAGTACTTGAAAACTCTGTCTTGAATGTCGGGTTCAGTTTTGGCAACCTCAACCGCAACATTATGAGCCAAGTTTTTTCTTTCAGCTTCAGACAAGACTTCATTATAAAGGATTGCCGGCTGGTCAAATTCGGCAGGAGTGGCAACCCATTCAAATGGTTCTGCAGGTCCTTCCCACACTTCTTGAAATTGTTGAATCGGGAATGACTTGATGGTAACCTTGTTTCGCTTTGTCAAGTAGTTTGGAGTTTTGCCAAGGTTGCCATTAACAGTCATGAATCCATCTCTTTCTGAAGGTGCGTATGGCTGGACGCCACCTCTAAGGGGACAATTGACAGGGATTTGACTGAAATTAACGCCCAATCTGTATCTCTGAGTGTCGGTATATGAAAACAATCTCCCTTGTAACACTGGATCAGCTGATGGTTGCATCGATGGAACTGTATTTGCCGGAGAAAATGCCGCCTGTTCAACCTCGGCAAAGTAGTTTTCTGGATTCTTATTCAATGTTAACTTACCAAACCTTCTCAAAGGATAGTCTTTATGTGGCCAAACTTTTGTCATATCAAACACAGAATAGGCAAACTCCTTAGCCTGGTCTGGTGTCATGGTTTGTACATAAAAGGTCCACGTGGGATAATCACCATCTTCAATACTATTAAACAAATCATCCTGTGCAGCGTCCGGGTTCTCTCCAGCAAGACGAGTGGCTTCTTCGATTGTATGGTTTTTGATACCCTGGTCTGTCAATTGATGGATACGCACATAAACCCACTCGTTTTTTGCATTGGCCCACTTGAACGTGTGTGCTGAAAATCCGTGCATATGTCTAAAGGAGGCTGGAGTACCACGATCTGTGTACAACATGGTAACTTGGTGAATAGTCTCCGGATTCAAAGTGAAGAAATCCCATGCTGCATTGGGATCCTTTGAGTTGGTTTGAGGGTTTCTCTTTTGGACATGGTTGACATCAACAAATTTTGATGGATCTCTAATGAAGAAAACTGGTGTGTGGATGTAAACAAAATCCAAGATACCTTCAGATGTGTAAAACTTTGTTGCAAGACCTCTAACATCTCTGGCGGAGTCATTAGCTCCAGATTCGGCTGCAACTAGAGAAAACCGGGTGAAAGTCTTGGTCATTTTCCCAACCTCACTAAGGAAATCGGCTGACACAATATCGGTAACATCATCAGTAACTTCAAAAACTCCATGCGCTCCCAAGCCCCTACCATGGACCACTCTTTCTGGAATTCTCTCTCTATCGAAATGGGCCAAGTTGTCAAGCAAATCAATGTCCTGCATTAACAAAGGACCGTGTTTGCCAACTCTCTGAGTTGCATATGGAGGGTTTGGGACTGCTTGGCCTTGTGAATTAGTGAGAACTGGAGGAGATGCCATCTTGTGCTGAAATTTAGTAGATTGATGGAAGCTCAAATCAAGATAACATTGGGTGGATACAGCTTTTTATATAGTAGTCGGAAGAATCTGAAATAAACCACGCGGAGACCCACTCTGAGTAAATTTTGCCGACTAAGGGCCCCACAGGCAGAACATGTTCCATAGCTAGTGTATACGATTCTTCCATTGGAATCTATAGGTTTTAGTCTAAATCTTATGGAACACAGAAGAACACGATACATCATGTTCTATGCAGGAGTGTGGGATAAGCTACCCCACTGAAAGCAACAAAGAGAAGCATCACAAAGTATTTTACTCTATATAATTCATGAGAAAGAGGCCGCTAGGGAGCTAGAACGTTAGGATTAGCAAGAATAAAGTTGACGAATCTTCAACTAGCAAGTAGGAAGTATCATTACTAATATATTTTTATTGCAAAAGGATCCCCGTACGAGAGTTTTCACAAAGAAAGTCTGCGCTATCCGGTTCTACTTGACTACAAACAATTTTGAAATAAATGATGTTGATTGAAAAAAATCACCTATAAAGGCCTATAAACTCACTTTCTTGGGTCTAATTCAAAGACTTCCTTCTTGATGTCTTCCTCTAATTGTGGACTAACACCACCAAAGTACTTAAAGACTCTGTCTTGAATGTCGTGTCTAGCGGCAGAAACATGTCCAGCAATGTTGTGTGCCAAACGCTTTTGACCACCTGGTTGCTTAGGCAAGACCTTATTGTAGAACTCAGTAGCTTGAGTCCATTCAGCTGGAGTAGCCTTCCAATGGAACGGAGTAGCAGCACCTTCCCAAACTTCTTGATCTTGTTGAATTGGGAATTGATCGTACTTGATGCTAAGATCAGAAGCCAAGTAGTTTGGAGTAGCACCAAGGTTACCGTCAACAGTCATGAAACCATCTCTAACATTTGGAGCAAAAACGTGACCACCATTGTTTGGATTGTTGATTGGAATTTGGGCATAGTTGGTACCCAATCTATACCTTTGAGTATCGGTGTAGGAGAACAATCTTGATTGCAAGACTGGGTCAGCTGATGGTTGCATCGATGGAACAGTGTTGGAAGGAGCAAATCCAGATTGTTCAGTCTCAGCAAAAAAGTTGTCTGGGTTTTTGTTCAAGGTGAATTTACCAAACCTTCTCAAAGGGTAATCCTTGTGTGGCCAAACCTTGGTCAAGTCAAAGACTGAGAATGGAGCCTTCTTAGCCTCCTCTTCAGTCATTGTTTGGATGTAAGCAGTCCATGATGGGTAGTCACCCTTTTCAATCGCATCAAACAAGTCTTGTCTAAGGTAATCTGGGTTTTCACCAGCAATCTTTGTAGCTTCTTCTTGAGTCAAGGTTTCAATTCCCTGATCAGACAAAAAGTGGACTTGAACATAGCGCCATTCACCCTTAGCATTGGACCACTTGTAAGTGTGACCCGAGAATCCGTGTTGCTTTCTATAAGAAGCCGGGATACCTCTGTCAGTGAACAAAAGGGTGACTTGATGAACGGACTCTGGGTTGGAAACAAAGTAGTCCCAGAATGCATTAGGATCCTTCAAACCGGTTTGAGGGTTTCTCTTTTGGGTGTGGATAAAGTGTGGGAACTTGGATGGGTCTCTAATAAAGAAAATTGGAGTGTTGTTGTAGACTAAGTCCAAAATACCTTCTTCCGTGTAAAACTTGGTTGAGAAACCTCTTGGGTCTCTAACGGTATCAGCAAAACCTTGCTCACCAGCAACTTGTGAGAATCTGGTAAAGATCTTGGTCTTTTTACCAACAGTATCCAAAAACTTGGCTGAAACAATATCAGTGATGTCATCGGTAACTTCGAATTCACCATGAGCACCGGAACCCTTAGCGTGGACAACTCTTTCGGGGATTCTTTCTCTGTCAAAGTGGGCCAAGTTGTCAATCAAGTTGACATCTTGCAACAACAAAGGACCGTGCTTACCAATTCTTTGGGTAGCAAATGGTTCTGGAACTGGGTTACCTTGTGAGTTAGTGAATACTGGAGCCATATTTGAATTTGTGTTTGTTGAAGGTTGGAATTGAAGTAGAAAATAGAGGAAAGGGAGGAGAGGGGAGGTGGGATATCTCCCCCTATTTAAATACTTTGGGGCACGAGCAATCAATAAGTCCCACAGCTACTCCCATATTGAGGTTTCAGTCATAAAAAGCCAACAAAATAATAATAAAAGTGTACACAATACCTAAAATTGGGTATAGTTGCGATAGTCAATGATTCCCACAGCATTACTGATTGAATACTGAGAGCCTCAGTATCCGGTATGTAAGGATTTCACCGTGTGCAAACCACAGCAAGCATAAAGTGTCTAAAACAAAAAAGAAAAAAAAAAAAGGAGGAAAAAAAAAAGAAGGAGGAAGGCTTCTACACAGTATTTTGATTGATAATTCTCCTTATTTTTTAAATTTTTTTGTGGCTCATATGCATGGCTGCAAATGCGCGGGTAAATTATAAACTACCCGTCTTCTAATGGTTGCTATGCTTAATTACCTTATTGTTGTCCGTTTTCTTTGTTTATTTCCTGTTCATCCACACTTTCCAAAATTTAAGTTTGTCAACGTGCCCTTGTGGTGCCACCCACCCTTTGTCCCCACAGTTAGAAAAAAAGAAACTGTGTAATGAGATACCGGAAAAGTCATGGGAAGGTTTAAACGTTTAATGTTGTGTTGTCTCATTATGTAATTGACTTTAATGTTGCTCTCATTGGCCACGTTTGTAAAACGTTTTATTCTTGTTTGTTCTCCCCTCCCCTTGCTTATTATGCAAGTTCCCAAATTTGGCATACTTGCCAGGAGAGAGGGTTGTATAGTGGTTTCACCTCATTTGAATATACCTTGGTGGCCACGTTCTGTGTAGTGGGAGGTGTTGTTGAAGCTCCCAGGAACTCCGAAAAAAAAAAAATAAAAAATAAAATAAAAAAAAGATATCAACTGTGTGGATAAAACAAAGTTCCTGCATAGAAACTGCTTCTAAATAGCCACAGCAACTTTCGCTTTGACTAGCCAGGAGTTGATATGTTTAAAACTCCCGCTTCCATCATTACAGTGGGAGTTCCAGCTTTGTGTATTTCAAAGGATAGGTTTTCGCATATATCGCAGTTTCAGACCCAGGTCAAACACTATAGAGTTTGGGTGGCTTAACATGGTTCTTTGGTGAAGTGCGCAAGTGGACAGCAATTACCAACTCAAACAGAATCTAGGCTTTTGTAAAGTGCGGTACCAGGAACCCACAATATGTGACATATCAACTCTTAGCATCCTGATGAATATTTATGCTCTTAGCAAGACTGTTTGCTTGTCGAATCTCGGAGTTTCATTTTCGTTTCTCACGTGCGCGGAACTATCAAACCATAAAGATATCAAGAAAAGAAAATACGATAGAGCAATGCTGTAATGTAGCATACGCCATTTATCGAAGGATAAAAAGCATTTTCAGTAAAGCGTTCCTATTCGACTAGACCAGGTTTCGTTTTTCAAATTTAATAAAAAGTGTTTTTATGCGTTTACTACAATTTTGCAACGAAATTGACAACAAAATATCTGTGAGCCAAATTGGTGGAGCAACAACAACACCAAACACCAAGAGAATAGTGTAATAGCAAACTATACGCAAACAAAGCTCATCAGTTTTCAATAACAAACGATAGCTGTCTTGCACTGTTATAGTGCAAACGAGTAAATTATATTTCTCCAATGTACATGTGTTAGCAAATGTGGTGGCCCTCTTATGTATATAGGGATGTCAGAAATAATCTCTTGCTTTCATTGATGCGACAACATTTCGAAAGAAAAACGTGGTTATGTACAGGGTTATGTACAGAGTACATGCGTTGGTCAAATGTTTTGTGTAATGTAAACACCAATCGTCGACCAACGAAATGTGCAGCAACGTGCTGCCGGAACAAACGTGTCGAGAACAGCATTAGCGCTCAGCGCATACTTGTCGACAAAAGATTGGAAAAACGGGGTGTATACGAGCTTTTGCGTAAATCTCTTCATAGAGTGATTGACGTTTGGAGTCTTCCAATTGGAGGCAGGATCAAAACGCGTGCACTGCCTCATGAACAATGGGGAAGTATTGTTCTTTGACTTCCGAAGACCGGGTATACTTGTATTTCATCACGAATGAGTGTTTCCGTGTTGTTGGCATTAGCGTGGAATATGCATGGTTGTGCATGCTATACGATAAAAAGTTATGCGAGAATCACACGATTTTTAAAAAAAGGAGAGAAATTTTTCACCGTCAAGGAGGAGGGGGAATATCGATGCACAAACTGAAAAGTCCAGAGAATTCGCTCATGTGCCTGTCGTCAAACGGATCAATGATGAGGTGGGGGGGGGGATTGCCTAGTGTCAGAAGGGGTGGGCTCAAAAATAATCTCGTCCAGTATATCATTTGTGGTGATATTTTCTACAAACTCCAGATCTCGCACACAAAATTGTGTTGTAAAACACGCGGTTGAAAATAAAAGTAAACCAAAACAAAAGGTTAGAGCTACAAACCATAAACAAACTTGTAACCATAGCGCGAGGAGATTATCCAAGATCTTGTTTATGACTGTATACTTCTGTAACCATTATCTTATTTTCTTTCGTCTCAGTTGCAATCATGTTTTTATTTTCTTTTGCAAATGCAATTTTTTTCTTGTTTATTATTCTTGGGAGCGTCACCACCACATGTGTGGGTTGTCGAGATAACGTTCAATCGAGGGACAAAACCTTAGAGCTTGGCCAGTGAGTGTCTGAAATTTTGTTTGTCTGTATACCGACTTGGCAAGTGCTGAAATTGGTATGGGAAGTCATGTGTTTCGATGACTCGGTGGTTATCACAAGACCCAGTAGGAGTTCTGTCAATGCATGCAGATCGTCAACTACGATAAACCAATTCTGCACCACGCTTGATTTCGAGGCAAAAGCGCAAGTGTGGCCACGAAGGTTGTTTTGTGCAAATTTTGCTAGTAGCTAACGACGGAAAACATTGCACTTATCTCCTCGCAGAAGGGATTTGTGGCGAGTTCCTGACTTCAACAAAGTTTATGCTAAACATGAAAAGTGCCTCCACAAGTTTGGCTACTTATGGGGCTCCAAGAAAGCTCAGGGCTCTGATGAGGCTATTTCCTATTGCAGAATTTTGCAAATGAATGAATTTGGTGTTTTAGACCATCTCAATTGACTCTCGAAAACTTTACTTGCAGACGCTATGACGTCAAAACAAAAAGAGTTTTGCGCTGATTGGGATTAAAAACGTGCTAAGCGAGTAAACAATACAGTGCGATTATGTGAAATTTGGACAAGAAAGAGGGCGTTGTGTAGGGAAGATCTACAACCAGGCTGCCTTGTGCAGATGAAATTTCTAAATTTAAAAAAGACCCAAACTCAAGTTGACTTTGTAACCTTACCCAATTCAATTCCAGAAAGAATGTATAGCGGTTAAAGTAGGAGTTAAGAGAACAAGTTGAGAAAGTTGGTGAGACAGTTTGTGATTTTATATTGTTTCACCTTATCAAATGCATCTTTAGGGTAAGGCCACTTCGGAACAATTGAATTGGTTTTGCAAAACCAATCAGAGAAAAGAAATTGTACAGCCCTGAGTCCCACAACAAATGAGGGTAAGTTAATCCAAAGAAAGGCTTAAAAGAGCCACAGCAAACGTTTATTTTCAACTATTTTGTAGGAGATTAGCCTTTAAATCCGATCCTACACTAATGAAATTTTCAAAAAAAAAATAACTTACAAAGAAATTATAGTACAAGACTGCAGAACGTGCAGTTTGAGGCGACATATATGCATAAACTCTTATTAAAAAAAAAAGGGAGCTATATTTTTCTTTTTCTTTTTTTTTTTTTTTTTTTTTTTATTTGGTTTATGTCTGTCTGCAAGTTTTGTTCTCAACTGAATTGAAATTCTCGGTTGTGAGCTTTTCCTTTGTTATTTTGCTTTTTATTGACATATACATACATACTATATTACACAACATCAAATAGACGATGTACATTAAAAAAGTTTAAGTGTATTTTTTTTTTTGGAAACTACAACAATAGTAGAGGCAATTGTTAGGGATACCAAGCATGGTGGTCTGAGCGCATAGTTGACTCGCGCATTGTCTGTTTCCTCCACCATGTGTTTACATGTAGCAATAGGGTCACAAAGCGCTGTCTTTACTTTTTCTTTCTTTCTTTCTTTTTAATTTTTTTTCTCTGCTTTTCTTCTCTCTCCTCTTATATTCTGTATTGCTTATAGTTGGTCTCGCATGCATTTTAAAACCTAAATGTTGGAGACTACTCACCACCAAGATGCATATACAGTCCTTAGTTTACTGACCAAATACTGCAAACATGCACTCATATTCCTCCCGCTATGTTTCAAACGTAAAGATTGGTACTGACTGGTGCCACTCTTTTTTACAAGCTCTGTCTGTTTTTGCTGCAGCATATGTGTATATATTTTTATCACCAATTTCATATTCTATATTGTACAAAGACAGAGAATAACATTATTGTATTGTATAGGAACTAACAATCAGTTTTTTTTTTCTTCTTCTTCTTTGTATAGGCAATAGATAATATGCAGTTATACATACTACTCGCTACTTAGAAGCTTAAAAAAGTTGCACAAATACTTTTTGTAAATTTTTTTTTTTTTTTTTTTTTTTAACAGCAACAAGAGTTTAGTACATCCACAAGTCCATTTAGTAACTTAAAATAAAAACATTTACAACAATAACAAAGAACATAGTATTAAGTTGGTACATACGAATGTTACTTTTACTCAATATTATATGGCTGTAAACAAATAAATAAATAAATATACAGAACAACATTTGTACCTAAAAAAAAAAGGAACAGAAAGAAACAGCTCCTTTTCTTCTTCTTCCTCGTTCAAAACATCTGCGACATACGTGAACTTGTCGTTTCTCAAGGTTTGTAATCTATTCACATTCCGGCCTCAATAACAGTGCATCCAGAGAACTTGAAAGTCCGTACTTGAGGCGCCAAACACTATTCCGTGATAATACCCTTTTTGATTGAAGTTAAAAAAGTTTCTACTGGCCCAACCAACCTCCAACTTCATTATTTAGCCCTTAGATATGTCCACCGGATTATTCAGGTCCAAGCAGTTTAAGCTGAAAAAGAACTTGAAAAATATTGTCATCTCTGGTCCATTATCTAATGCAGAGCTTCAACAGCAGCAACAACAGCAGCAACAACAGCAACAGCAGTCGGAATTATTACTAGGACAGACAGAAGACACAAATTACCTCCAACAACAACTGCAAGCAACACCTCGTATAAGGAAAAGACTAAGTGGCTTTGGTTCAAGTCAACAATCCTCACCACACGCAACGTCGCGTTCAATCTCTTACAAGTACCATCACCGCAAGAGCGGAGCTAAACACACAATCGACACAGCAGAGGAGGATCCCCTTCAAGTTATCCTTGTATCAAGATATGCCTTCACTGCACAAGCACCAAATGAGTTATCAATAAAATCAAAGCAGTTTCTCCGTTTACTTGAAAAATGTGGTAATGGCTGGCTAAGAGTGTGTGAGTTGGAAAATAGTCTGCAAGTGGGGTTGGTCCCAGCATCGTACTTGGACATTGCCATTAATGATATATCGAGACCAATAACTTTAAAATGGCTCCACGAGTTCAGAGCCAGTTTGGCACATGACGACGAGGTTAAGCATCTAGCACCTACAGACAGTTTGGTTGATGAAATCTATCAATGTTCAATAACCAACACAATCTGGTTTTGTGTCAAGATCCAGTACGATTCACAAATCGTCTATGCTAATCGATCATTTGAAGATTTTGTCAGTTTAAACGATAAAGTGTCCTATATACAAGCTGAATTACCTCAGTGGTACTTGGGGGAATCTAGAAAGCTTGACTCTAAAGTTATTTGTCAATTGAAACAGGTTTGCAAAGGATTGAATCAGTATTTACAAACCGTGGCTCAACAATCAAGACAAAACAGTTTGTTACAACAGCATCTACATTCGTTCATCTTCACCAATGGTAAATACATTAGTGTTGACAAAGAAGAGGAAATCGATTCCGCTCTACAGGAACTATCACTGGATTCGATTCTAGTTGATAGAATCACATCTTCTACAACTGGCAAAACTCAACAACAAGTATTTGCATACTCTGCTACTGCTCCGCTACCATGGCAAGAAAACGAAAACAGAAACCACAACCAACACAGTCCCCGTCGATGCCAAAGTGAGCTGTCATTGAGCGCCCACCACAGGTCATCATCTCCTGGCACACCTAGATCATACAAGGAGGATGAGCAACCACGAATTCTAGCGACAGCAAGTAGAGCTGCCACAGTTCCAAGTTTGAGAAAGTCGTTTAGAAACTCCACATCTGCAACTACAGCCCTTTCGACTCCACAGCAGCTTCGAAAAGCAGGACATGAAACAAACTACACTTACTCACGTTCAAGATCTCCGTCCTCGGTCTCTTCAATTACGTCCCCATCGAAAAGGCTGGTCAAATCTCGCACCACCAGTCGTGTTTTCAAGATTCCTGAACAACCGCAATTGGAAGCAATAACAGCTGGTGGCAATGTAAGTGACCCATTACCACATTCAATTAGCTCCACTACAGTGATGAGCTACACATCATTGTTTGACCAATATGAAGGAGATGAGGAAGATGTGGTGGATAATGAGAGTAGTAATGAAAAGAGGGAAGCTGAGCAGGACCAAGGTCCAGAAGAATATCTCGTGTGTCCAAACACCAGAGACGAGCCAAACGAATTGGGCTTTGATAACTTGAATCTAAATGAGAGTTCAACAAGTACAAACTCTCATGATGTTTTCGATGGCAATGCCAGAAATTGTCCACCTCACTATTCCCACAACTCATCCCAATCGCAGTCATCACACAATTCCAACTACTCCAAATTGAATAGGAGAATAGACTCCACTACAAATTCAAGTATAGATTCACGCCACATTTCAATGGATACAAAGGACACATCAATGGATAACCATAAACGTACAGAGTCCTCCAACACCACTGCTACTACTGCTATTCATGTGCAAAACCAGCGGGATCTGAAGTCAACATCAACAAGTGTGAGTCAAGACAAGTTGATAATTGATCCAAAGACAGTAATCAAAACTCGAAACCTTTCGAGCACTTTTAGCGAAAGCAGTATATTGGATCTTCATCGCCAGATTCATGGGGGAGATTCAACACCCACCACCCCATCGACCCCAATGACTCCAAACACAATGAATGACGGAATCTTTTCCCGTGATTCAGCAACACTGATCAAGCTTGAGAAACCGCACTCACAGAATCCATTCTCTTCTCCTTTCCAAAGGAAACCTTCGTCAGCAAATGTGACTCTCCCCTTACAACAAACACATGCATTGGAACAAAAACAACAACAACAACAACAACAACAAAAGACATCTTTACAAGACGAGGTGGATGACGATATCAAGCCATTGAATGTGAGGAAACACGGGTGGTTACGTAGAACTGGTACATTGACCCCGTTGGAGCCAAGGAACAGTGAGGACGAGCACCCACATACACCTATTAACTCAGGCTCCACATCACGTCATCAACAACAATGCTTGCATGCGAATGGAAGTAATCCAGAATTTATCAAATTGAAGATATTTCTTCAAAATTCAAGCAACGACGTTGTTGTGCTCAAGGTGAACCGTGACAAACTTTCCACAATAAATTACGCAAAGCTGCAATTGAGCTACAAGATATACCACGACGCAAGCTTGATTCAGCATTACAAATTAGTACCGTTGTTACTGCATCCGGAGGAAGAGACGCACAAGTGTTGGACCGAAGATGAGTTGGTGACGTATATTAAGGGTAAAAGCAAGTGCAACTTGAAATTAGTTCGTAATGCGAAAAACACTTTGTGCTAGGACATCGCGACGGCTGATGATATTCTGCAGAGACTGTTGTAGGTAATGGGTTATATATAAGGTACATACATGTCTAGATAGATAAACACATGAGTTAAAGAGCAGGAAAACGTATAGCGGTTAACTTTCGTTCTATGTTGGAGTAAGAGTATTGGTCCGATTATATTGGGGGACTATTTAAAAATGGTGACACACATTATCGAAAGCTTAAACCACAGGGATATTCAAAGAAGGAGTGCAATTTTTTTTTTATGTCGGACAGGGGGAGGGTGGTGTGAATTAGCACGCACGAATTAGACTTGACACATACTTTGATGAAACCTGTAATCTTTTTTCGTATGCCGTCTCATGTCGCGTTTCTATGTCACTACAGGAGACCAAGTATTTACTCTGACTTGATTTACTTGTTCAATTGAAGGGGGGTATGATTAGTATCTGCCGAAGCTCTTACAAACTGGCACAAGTATTGACTCACTCGCTGGGTGAGTTTCGATACAAAAAGATGGACTACAGCGTAGAAAGAACGATCTTCGCGTTACGTGACTGGCTCGGCAGATTTTGTGTAATACAATTTGACATTATAATTTATATATCTCGGTTTGCACTAAATTTTCTTGTTGTTGAAGTTGAAGTTGAGAATGTTTTGCCTTTGCCCGTCTAAGAACCTTTTCTTACTTATACCTAGTTGACGGTTGTTGTTGTAGTTGTTGTAAATTTATACGGTGTGTATCCAGGGATTTAGAATCGTCATCTATCTCATTGCCGTATTCGTATTTGCCCGTTGTGCTGATCACAATAGACAAAAGAAACGACAAATGGAAATAAAATTTTGTTTTGCTTTTTTGCTGACAAAATTGGGGGTTTGTGTAATATTCTAAACATTCAAAGAAAAAAAAAAACCGCCTTGGATCTTTTACATATCTAATATCGACAGACACACAACACACGAACATCTTATAAGACAACGTGCATTCAGAGACACACAATTTGGCGCCTTGAGTGAGAGCATTCACACTAGTCCAATAAAAAGTTTATGCTTTTACGACGGGATTAACCTCGCATACAACCAGCAAATAAGTAGACAATTGTTCATTTTCGAGATTTGAATTGTCTTGTTTGAGGGTGCTGCTTTTTGAAATACCGTTCAGAGTCAGACTGATTGTTGCTATTTGTATCAGGGGTATATGTAGGTTGGATACAACCTGGATATTAGTAAAGGAAAACCGCAAAAAGGAGAGTGATAAAATAAAGTATAAAGATAGCAGTTCCAGAATTGGATTTCATTTTTGTGTGCCTTCTGTCTTTCTTCTGTCTCATTTTCTCATTTTCTCATTATTTTTTTTTCTTTTCCTCCTTGTTACAAGGTCTTACATAAAGTCAGACTTGAACATTGCAGAAAGTTTGAAGGATCTATGTTCTGACATCATCACGTTCATCATTTGAACTCCCCAAGCATTCATTTACATCAACTATTCATTAGCACATTCGTTTAAACACCCGACTCACCTTTAGTTCCACTCAACTATTCTTTTATTCATGACAGCGCAATTTATCAAACCAAGACCAACGAACATTGAGTCGTCCCCAGCTCGACCCACAAGCTTATACGTAACCCCGCCCCTTGAAATACTAGACGACGAATATGCAGAAGACCCCAGATTGGAACAGTACCTGAACAGCACTTTGACCCCACTAAGTTCTATAAAGTCAAATTCCACATTCAAACAAGACCACCAACGGCACATAAGTGAGCAATGCGTCACTAGAGCACTCCCTCTGTTAAGTATATCTACACCACCAATCACTCCTAATGACGATGATGATTTGAGTTTCTTCAAGCCGCCACCACCCCCAAAAGTTAATGACCAGGGTCTTTATCTACAGCCTGGCGGTCATGGGCCCACTTCAGAATTCTCGTTACCATCGTCAACACCGTCACCATCGTTGAGTACGTCAAAGAGAATATTGTCATCACCTGCCCGATTGATGAAGCGTCTCTCTGTTAGATTTAGAAGCACATCAGATGTCAGTTTAGGAAAGAAAGATTCAGACATGAAGATGAAATCCAACACAAGCATCGTTTCTCCAGCACAAGACTCTTGTTTGTTTGATTCAAGACCAAGCTCGTATGAACAAAACTCTTTATCTTTGAAGGTAGACCCGGAACTCAACAGTTTCGATTCAATCAGAGTGAAAATTCCGAGAGGTCAGATCGAGGATAGCCAAAGTCCCGTAAAGTCAACCCCAAGCATAGTCAATGAATTAGGTTCACCACTAGGTAAGGAAGCTTCAAGAGCAACACGCACTGAGATGCAATTGGCACAATCTACACCTTCACTGAGCCCTATTAATCGAAGAAGTACTTTTGTACTAGAAAGACTTGATCAACCAACGAATCTGCGCAAGTTTGATCGAAACATCTCCACTAGACAAAGCTCAGAAGTTCGCAATATTACAACCAACAAGCGTATGAGTCTAGACAGCGAGTCGGACATGTTTCGAACTCCACCACAGTACCGAAAGTTGGTAAGACCAGAAAGCTCCTTGCTAGTTCCATTGCTGCCACCAAGTCGAAGAGAGTCTTTGGGCCACTCTTTAAACAGCGTCCAAACGGTTTTCGATAGCCCATTGCCAAGGTCACGGATTAGCTGTTCACCGGTTGAATCTAATCCGTATCTCAGACTCAACATTTTTCTTGAGGATTCACAGTCAACACCTCCCCCAAAAGCTGGCACCGGTGTGACCGACACATCGATCATGCCACTGCCAGACAATTACGACTTCATTGCCATTAGACTTCGAAAAGATAGGCTACAGAATATAAATGAGTTGGTCAATGTGATTCTATTCAAGATTATGAACAAGAAACCAAACGTTAAAGTCAACGACGTCAATTTAAGCATTTTTTTCAAAGACCTGCAATTGAAACCGATATCGTTGAAAGAGCCTGTCGGGAAGAGAAGTAGCACGAGCAGTGTAAAGGGGGTGCTATTGGATAACGATGGCTTGTTGTTGGATTATGTTCAATTAAAGAGAAAATTGTATATCAGAGCGCAATTTTGAACATAAGGATTAAAAAAAGCTTTATCCTGCGCACTTTTGTATTATGATTGAAATGAAACAATGTGATGTAAAATAGCTACTCCTCGTAGAATTGTAATCTAAGACTGTGTATCGTTGAGAATTACCTCTATATCTAATCTCAAAACACAGAAATTTTTTGTACAAGATCGCGTCGTCTGTTTTCGCAAATCCTTGTTGAACACGTCAAGTGGGAACGAAAATTTTATCCAATTTTTTTTTTTTCATTCGACACGCACATTCATTCCATTCTGCGTCCAAATCTTGAACGGCCACCCTGGAAAGGGGGCCACTTAAAAACAAAAATAAATAAAAAAAAAAAAAGTAAGAAAAAATTCGTCCATTGGATACTCCTGTTTTGTTCTCTTCCGTTAATATAAAGGCAACACTGTTCCCAATTGAGCTACAATTGTTACCTTTCTTACCCATAGACGACAATGATTGACGGTGTAAGTTTCATAAAGACACCAGCTGCTAAACCACAGCCACCTAAATCAAACGAATGCGGAGTATGGACAACTGATTCGCCTACAATCCACAATGCTCCTTTGCCAGCTGATGGGCCGGGCTCGACTTCATTTTCAAACTGGACTTTACTCAGTATTATGAGTTTGGTTCCTGGTTACATTACATACAAGCTTGGCTTGGGGTTCAAGACTTGGGTCTTCTTGTTTATTGTATTTGCACTTCCGATTTTAATGGCATTCTGGTTGGTTATGTCCACCATTTCTCCAAGAATCAATGATAAAGTCAAGTACCCAAACAGACCAATTTCTTATTATTTGGAATACCACACTCCTGAATTGAAAGCCAAGTACCAAAACTCCAACAATGGACACGGCTCCAAGATCCCAATTGAGACGTTCCAGGAATTATTTTTTGATGGTAAAGTCTCTTTCAAGGGAGATGCGTTGGATGTGATGGAGTACAAACACGAATGGGCAAACTTTAGATTTACTTGGGGCTTGTTCAAGTTTTTCTTATTTGGTATGATTCCAGAAGTTATCTTCCACACGCAAGCTCAAGATGAGGACCAAGTTGGGGAAAACTATGATCGTGGTAATGATTTCTACTCTTGGTTCTTGGGCCCGAGAATGGTTTACACTTCTGGTGTGATTAGTGATATCAACAGAGAAGAAACTTTGGAAGAGTTGCAAGATAACAAGTTGAAAGTTATGGCTGAGAAAATTGATTTGCGTGAAGGAGAATATGTTTTGGATATTGGATGTGGATGGGGTGCATGGACCACCTACGCCTCCACTCAATATGATGCTAAAGTCACTGGTATCACGTTGGCCAAGAACCAAGTTGAATGGGGTAATCAATGGTTGAAGGACAACAATGTGCCACCAGAACAATCAAAACTTGTCTGCTGTGATTATCGTGACGCACCAAAATCTGGTAAACCAAACGGTAAATGGGACAAGATCACCTCGGTTGAGATGGCTGAGCATGTTGGTATTAGAAGATTGACTGCTTACTTGGAACAATGTAGGGATGCATTGGAGGACGATGGATTATTCTTTTTACAATACTCTGGGTTGAGAAAGAACTGGCAATACGAGGATTTGGAATGGGGATTGTTTATGAACAAGTATATCTTCCCTGGTGCTGATGCCTCCACCCCATTGAGTTTTGTTGCAAGTTGTTTTGAAGCTGTGGGGTTTGAAATTGTTAGTGTTGATAACATTGGAGTTCACTATTCAGCCACTATTTGGAGATGGTACAGAAACTGGATTGGAAACAAGGACAAGGTAGTCAACAAGTATGGTATCAAGTGGTACAGAATTTGGGAGTTTTTCTTGTCAAGTTCAGTTGTTGCCAGTAGAAACGGTACTGCCACTTGTTATCAGTTTGTTTTAAGAAAGAACCTCAACTCTTATAGAAGAATTGAGTACGTTCCTAAACAACAAGGTCTTCAAGGTGCCATCAAGGGATCTAGTAAGTGGACTAAAGAGTTTACCAATTGGCATTAACAAGTAGCTTACGAGAGTGACCAATGCTTGATTAGCGGGTGATTTATTGTATATAGAATTACGTGGTGAGAATGAAAAAAAAAAAAAATCAAGCAAAGACACATACTAAGAATTGTAGACGACTATGGATACCTGGCCAATGAAGGACGGAACTACCTCAAGATCAAGACCGCGGTGGCAATCCATGATGTATTTCGTTTCTGAGGATGTGCAATAACCACTATGATAAATGTCTTTGTCTTCTGAAATACTACTTTCCTAACTGGGAAATTTTGAGCGGGTCTAAGTGGCGGAGAGAACAGAGGATCTTTTTTTTTTTTTTACCGGATGATTACGAGTCAAATTCAACCGAATCAGACAACAGGTCTGTTCAAAGAGGTATGTTTTTGGATTGCTAGACCTCCAAGTGTCCCCAGTAGACCAAGACTTGTAGTAGAGGGTCGAGGGTCCCTGTAGAACCTCAATTGTCGTTGCAGAGAATGATTGGTTGGAGCTGAGTCTGATGAGTGAACTTTACTAATTATATTCCGGCTGTTCTTGTTCAACAAAGGAAGACAAAATGAAAACTTCACCTCCAGGTTTACGTCATGACTGTTAATCAGGGTTCAATGTGAATTAGAAAATCCCCTTTATCGGCTTTCGGGAAACTGTCTGCCTAAGCTAAGTTGCAGTCAGTTGCGTTATCAAAGCAGAGAGGGATGTTTTGAATTTCTGACTCTGTTGATGGTTTTTCTTTTTTTTTTTTTTTCTTGTCTCTTGTGGGTGGTTAATTTTCCTCGGTTAATGCACAACTTTGCTGAGTTTTGCTGGTTACAATTGGAACTTTTTCTTTTTTTGTTTCTATGTGAGAGAAAAGTACACCATTGGTGAGAATACCAGTAAACCCAATCCTCTCGGAGATTCTTCACTGGTGCTGCTAGAGATTAAAGCCAACCATGACCCTCGTCTTCTGGCTACTTCAATATACCCTTGAGTGTCCGAAATTCGCTTTAGCTTTTCTTATCCACACCAATCAGAGTCAAACAATTGATCCGGGACTGATTCGGGCAACTCCATCCACCCGAGGTTCAATTAGGATTTTAGTGGTTGTGGTTATATGCAGTATATATATATATATATCTTCTGTGCGACATTTGTACTTCTGTAGAGTGGAACAGAAATCGATTACCATTAGAGACTGTGCGACATTTTGGAAGAAGAAGAAAGAAAGAAAGAAGAAAGAAAATCTGGGGTATGCTAGAGAGAGAGAGAGAGAGAGAGACATTTTGAGATATGTCCGCTCTGTTATTATTATTATTATCACATTCTCTCTCTCTCCCCTTTTTGTATTTCGACAAATCCTCCGGTCATCCTTTAAAGAGGTACATATATATATATATATATATAAATACCCCCCCCAGTAGAATTCACATTTTCCAATTGAAATATTTCAATCTTTCTTATAAGTTCTTCTTCTTTTTTTTTTTTCAATTTTTAACATTTACTTTTAATTAACAATCTAGTTTATACCAATCATGTCCAACCCATTCCCAACTGTTGCTGAAAAAATCAAGGGTGTCCAAGTTCTTGGCCCTATCCCAGACAATGCTAAACACATCTTTTCACAAGAAGCTTTGGCTTTTGTTGCTACTTTGCACCGTGGCTTTGAAAAGAGAAGACAAGAATTGTTAAACAACAGAAGAGAAGAGCAAAAGAGAAGAGATCAAGGTTATTTGCCAAACTTTTTGCCAGAAACTGAACACATTAGGAACGACCCTACTTGGACTGGTCCTCCATTGGCTCCCGGTTTGATTGATAGAAGATGTGAAATTACCGGTCCAACTGACAGAAAGATGGTTATCAATGCATTGAACTCAAATGTTGCTACTTATATGGCTGATTTTGAAGATTCCTTGACTCCGGCTTGGAGAAACTTGGTTGATGGTCAAGTTAACTTGTACGATGGTGTTAGAAGAAACTTGTCTTTTGAAACCAACGGCAAGAAGTACGCTTTGAACTTGAAAGAAGGTAGACACATTCCAACCTTGATTGTTAGACCAAGAGGATGGCACTTGACTGAAAAGCATGTTTTGGTTGACGGTCAACCAGTTTCTGGTGGTATCTTTGATTTCGCCATTTACTTCTTCAACAATGCCAAGGAAACTTTGGCTAGAGGCTTTGGTCCATACTTTTACTTGCCAAAGATGGAACACCACTTGGAAGCTAAATTGTGGAACGATATCTTCAACTATTCTCAAGATTACATTGGAATCCCAAGAGGTACCATTAGAGGTTCAGTTTTGATTGAAACTATCCCAGCTGTATTCCAAATGGATGAAATCATCTATCAATTGAGAGAACACTCTGCTGGTTTGAACTGTGGTAGATGGGATTACATCTTTTCTTACATCAAGTGTTTGAGAAACTTTCCAGAATTTATCTTGCCAGATAGATCACAAGTTACCATGGCTGCTCCATTCATGTCTTCATACGTCAAGTTGTTGGTACACACCACCCACAAGAGAAAAGTCCATGCTTTGGGTGGTATGGCTGCTCAAATTCCAATCAAGGAAGATGAAGAAAGAAACAGAAAGGCCTTGGAGAATGTCACCAAGGACAAGATTAGAGAAGTTTCATTGGGTTGTGATTCTTGTTGGGTTGCTCACCCAGCTTTGGTTCCAGTTGTTTTGAAAGTTTTCAACGAACACATGAAGGGACCAAACCAAATTGACTTGCCACCAAAGGAACCATTTAAGCCAATCACTCAAAGAGATTTGTTGAGCCCATTCGTTCCAGGAGGTGCCATCACTGAAGGTGGTATCAGAGCCAACATCATCATTGGTATTTCATACATTGAAGCTTGGTTGAGAAACGTTGGTTGTGTCCCAATCAACTACTTGATGGAAGATGCTGCCACTGCCGAAGTTTCAAGAACTCAAATCTGGCAATGGGTTACTCATGGTGCCAAGACCAACACCGGTAAAGTCATCACCAAGGACTACGTCAAGCAATTGTTGGACGAAGAATACGCCAAGTTGACCAAGAGTGCTAAGCCAGGTAACAAGTTCAAGCAAGCATTTGCTTACTTTGCTCCAGAAGCTCTTGGTGAAAGATACTCTGATTTCGTCACCACTTTGATTTACGATGATGTCACCACCATTGGTAGAGCCGTTCCAGGTGAAAAATTGTAAATGCCTTGACCGGAAAGTTACTGGTAACTTTTAACTTTTGTATTTATTGTATAGTTTAAAGTTGGAAATTTCTTTTGAGAGATGGGTTTGTTACCGTAAGAGAAGGCACCAACCTTACGCTTTCAATCGCTTCATCACAACCCATTCGTAACACTCTCCCAATGTTTTGCACCAACGCGACACGGCTACTTTCACTCGTGATTTTGGTAGCGTCAGTCCAATTTGAGTTTGTCCTTTTTTTTTTTTTCACAATTATTAACAAAAAAAAAAAGAAAAAGAAATACAGGGACAAGCGAGATAGAATGTTTGGGTTACGCATCTTTTGGGCGGACATTTATAGATGGGAAGCACAATATCGTCGGGAATAGCAATAACAAAAGAAACAACAGCCCTCACATTACGTACTTTGAAGAAGTGAAGACAAAATGAGAGAGATCGTCATAATCGATTCCGATTCCGATTCCGATTCCGATAGTAATGCACCATCTCAGAAGAAATTCAAGGCCAATCCTCCTACTACCCTGGCACCCAAAACAAGGCCATTTGAAGGGATATATTCGTCGTCTTCGTCCTCAGAAAATGCGTCACCCTCACCCTCGCCCTCACCCGCATCTGAATCTGACTCTGACTGTGACTCTGATGAAAGTGATGATCAATATGTACGTGTAGTCACAAGTCCGCGATCCGTGAAGCTTACTCGAACTGGTTTCGAAGATGGGACGGCGAGGGATTATGAAGCTGCGGATTCTGGATCAGAGACCGAGGAGAGCGCTGATGAAGCTGTGGGAGACAGAGTTGATGAAGAAGGTTCTCAAGTATCTCATGATTCGGAATTCTTTCTAACACCCGCAACACCAGAGGAGATTGCTGAAACAAGAAAATATTTGAAGGAAAACGGCAGAGTAAATTTTCTTCAAAAGTATCTACCAACATCTGCTTCGGGCCAAGATATTATACAAATTGTGTTGAAGCTAGGTTTTATACCGAAAAAGATTGATTTTGAAGACATTGACTTGCTGAAATGCGTGCAGATTCTCAATCATGCCATGGAAAAAGTGCGCTCCAAACGAGATAGATTGGAAGATGTTTCCACCTATCGTGACGCTATAAGGCTAATCCGTGACAGCAAAAGAATACTAATCATAACTGGTGCTGGTATTTCCACTAGTTTAGGGATCCCCGATTTCAGATCGTCAAAGGGGTTCTACTCCCAGGTTCAGCATTTAGGTCTTAGTGATCCCCAAGAGGTTTTCGACTTGGAAATTTTTCTTGCAGACCCATCATTATTTTATTCGATAGCACACATGATTTTACCACCAGGCCACTCTTTCACACCCTTGCATTCATTCATTCAATTACTCCAGTCGAAAAACAAACTTCTCCGCAACTACACACAAAATATAGACAATATTGAGAGCTATGCCGGAATACGACCAGAGAGTCTAGTCCAATGTCACGGCTCATTTGCCAGTGCCACATGTGTCACTTGTGGATACAATGTGCCAGGGGAGGAAATCTTCCCTGAAATTCGTCAACAAGAGTTGCCCATGTGTCCCAAATGTGAAAAGACTCGCAAGCGACTACTCAAAAAAGAGGACACTTATCTTGCTGAGAGCTATGGCGTTTTCAAGCCCGACATTACATTTTTTGGTGAAGGGTTGCCACGAAGGTTTCATGACTTGATAGCAGAAGATCTTTTCAATTGCGATTTGTTGATTAGTGTCGGCACTTCGTTAAAGGTGGCCCCCGTTGCAGATATTGTTGACAAGATGCCACACCACATACCGCAAATCCTAATTAACAAGGATCCAATAGAGCATTGTAATTTTGATGTCAGCCTATTGGGATATTGTGATGATGTGATTAGTTTTCTTGCCAATGAATTGGGCAACGAATGGAAATTGCCTCACGAGGATTACGATAAAATACGTGGGACAAATGGCGAGAATTTGGAAATAGAATTGATTGATGCAGAGTTTCGTGAGTATCAAGTGACTTGCAAATTGCACAATACGGAATCCAGTCCTGATATTCAAGGACCAGAGTCTCCTACCAAACCCGGTGACAGTCGGACTGAGAAGCCGAGTGGATTGGGAACTCAACCGTCGCATTCAGCACAGAATGAAGCGAATGAAACGACCAAATTTGTTGAACAAGGTATGAGAGTTGGAGCCGGACATTATGAGAACTCTATCTTATACACGGGTGATAGTGTCAATGGATCTGGTCAGAGATCTAATATTGCTGTGGACCTGGGTGTGGGGAATATCAGGAAGTTTTGGCAAGAAGGTGTTTCAGATAATTATTCAGGCTACTCCGACAGACGCGTGGCTGCCATAAGATCGAGAGACGGCAGCGATGATGACGACGATGAAGAAGACGCAGAAACAGTGTAGTCACGATGAAGCAATGTCTTAAACAAGCCCTATAAACCGAGCGTAGCTAAATAAACTGGTAATTGCGAAATTTGTAACAATATCAAAGTTAAAGTTTTTGTGTACACACACACAAAAAAAAAATCATCTCTGCTCTGATTTCAAACTTTTAACAAACTGCTCTGCGGAAGATGATGAGAATACTACCCAGAGATTCCTTTCGCGGAAAGCTTATAACGCGATTCAATCGCAGCGAGGCCCTCCAATGTCAACTCAGATACCAACAATTAAGCAACGATCTGAGGGTCAGTTTTGGATCAAATAGAGATGATGAGGTGACTGAAAGACCGTGCCAGGGAACGATTACCCGCAGCAAGTTGACCGTATCTGGAGTTCCCAAAGAAGAGATAGAAAGTGATTTGGGTAATTTGGATGGAGAGCTCGAACAAGCACCCGAGTCCAGCATTGATCACAGCCCATCTGACATTGACAATACCGCGTCAGATACGGCGGAATCTGAAGGTGTCCTTCAACTGATGACCCATGACAATTTATTTACAAGACGCAATAAGATCGACTTTCAAAAGTTGAGTCAGTTTATAAAAGAGGCTTATGATCAGAGACCGCACGAGAAGACCACAAAGGAGAAAGAGGATCCCATCAATATCAGTGCATTACTATCAAGTTACAAGCGTAACAACAAAAATGCCTCATTTTTGAAAGAGGCAGCTCCTAGTTTCCAGAGCAGAATTACTATACAGTCATTGGATTTGGACCTACGTGAAAAATTGTACCAAAAGTGTGAGGCAGCTTTAATACCGACGCTAGCGAAAATAGACGGATTGAAAACATCCCCTGAAGTGTACCATTTCTATATTCAGGTATTGCATAGAGTTATCACGCAACTAAAAGATGCCAAAAGTGACCAATCTTTAAATGACCGATTTTATTTGAGAAACGTGTTTCTTGAAAGCAATATGAGTGAATGGAATGAGCTTCATGACGGTGTTGTTGACAAAGTTCGTGCAGCTAGTGCAACTGATCCACTCCAGTTCGAATCTAACATTTTGTCGTTGCCCATTATCACTAACCATGTGTTCAAAAAGCTAGGCTATCTGTTGTACAACGGTAGCTTGGTGTTAACCTTGTTTAACAAACTCAAAGACGATGTACATCTATACACGTCGTGCTGTAATCAACAGACCTACAATGAAGTTTTGAGAACAATTTGGGTGTACAATGGGAACATTGATTTGTTTGAGTTTGAAAAAGTGTACACTGAAATGAAGTTTTTGGGATATGGCGGTGATTTTGTCACCTACAACATCCTCAAGACTGTTATTGATGAGTATAATGCAATGCTGAATGGTAACTCAGTGTTTAACCGATATGGATCAAAGGTATTAACACGTGATGATAATGCGAGGATATCGTTTCTCACCAAAGAATTTTACAAATTACGAAGCCGTCTCAGTAACCAATTAATGAGGCAAGATAAGGATGCAGGTTTTGATATTGAATAGAATATTGGTACTTCTAATCACGTGGAGCTCTTGCATATTATCTGTTGTGCTTTCATGCACGACTTGTGCGTAAATTACATTCGAAACGGAACAAAAGTTTACTTTTTTTGTTTTTTTTATTTTTTATTCGAATTCGTAATGTCCCCTTACCTCCCCAACATTTAATATAAACATTGACGATAATAAATGTCACAATTCGATACATATCTTGAAAACTATACCAACGACCAGTTCAATGAGGAAAACTCAAGGCAAGCTGGCCAAGCACAAAACTCAATCCCAGATATAAGACGAGAAAACTTTGACGATTTTTTGAGCGGGTCAGCAGACATAAAGCGTCAATTATCTCAATCATTTAGTGGAGTAGGAGGAGGAGGAGGAGGTGGTGGTAGTAGTAGTAACAATAGTGGTGGTATTGGAGGCCCTAGTGGATTGGGCAGCAATGCTGCTCATCATGGCGGGATAAGCAAGCCCCATTCGAGACGTAATTCAGCATATGTGAAATCTCAGGAAGGGAGCGACGCTGAAGATTACAACGACAACGACAACGACAACGAAAACAGTCAAGGACATGACCGGAAAAGAAGGGACAATATCAACGACACGATCCAAGAGTTGTTGACTTTGATACCGAAAGAGTTTTTTGAAGTTAAGGAGGACGTGAAAGTCAAGAAGGAACTTAGTCCCTCAGAACGATCTCCCAATGACGACGATGTGAATAACGCTTCTGGTAAGACAGGAACAAAGGATGGTAAACCAAACAAGGGACAAATCTTAACCAAAGCAGTGGAGTATCTTCAGTCGTTGCAAAATTTGATTGACGAGAATAATAGGAAAGAGGTGGAATTGATTATGAAATTGGAGACGCTCAAGTTGAAGCAGAAGAACAGTGGGGTTTTGAATGAGAGCGTACCTATAAGGATTGGCTACACGAGTGCTGAGCGAGCCTTGGGAGAGATTGGAGTTGGTCCCTGCTCGGAGGATTACTTCAAGAGTGTGTTGGTGAAGAGCGCAAATGCTAGCAAATCTTCTAGGAAGAACGGATAGAAGAAGGAGAATCTTTTACGAAGATGTTTTAAAATAAAACGTCTATGTCTCTCTATTGACATGTTTGGCTATGGTTTAGTTATTTCCGAGATTTGACTCTGCCTAGCCTCTCCAAGGCGTCGGCATTATCTTTGAGCATGTATGCGGGCAAGTACTTATTTTTTTCCTCACTGGGAATCAACAATTTCGGATTAGGAATGGTCGTATTAACACCGCCCAAACTTGTGTATCCTTCGTCATATAAGGAGCAGTAGTCGACATCCGAGCCAACTAAAAAGTCCCAAATTTCAACGTATTTCCAATCTAGTATGGGATGAATTCTTAAAAAGCTGGGCCAGTCACTATCTGTGCGTTGCTCGTCCTCAAGCTGCTCCCCGTAAGGGTCGGTATGCCTGATTCCAACAACAACTGACTTGATATTTGTATTAATTTCATTTAGGTAATGTTCAAATCCGTTTTTTATAGAGTCTTTGATGTAGACTGGGTTCAAGTGGTAGTATTCTGTAGATTGTGTGATAAACTTTGTCAATTGCGGAAACGGAGTCTCGGCGTTAACATAGATAGAGTCTAGCTTGTAGTCATGGGGTATGATTCCGCTAGAGTAGAAACTCTCACCACGATTTGCTTCGTGGGTGCCGAGGAATTTTTTATAGATGGATGCTAAAAGCAAGATCAACATGACCAAGCAATCTTTTCCTCCATTATACGATATTGCAATCTCCTTCAACCTATAGCAGGGGTTAGTATCAGTTGCAAACTGCGTCAACAGTCCCTTTAGTAACATACCCGTGAAGATTTATCGATTTTTCCAACTTTTCCATGCTGGAAGTAATCTTCTCTTTAACCTTCTGTCTTAGATCTGGATCATATTCGTAGTCGTTGTGTCTAGGCGAGACTAACCCATTAGGCAACGTGTCATTTAAGAAATTTTGAACAAGGTGGTAACACTCCTTGCATCTTTCAAAAAACCCTATCTGTTGCTGTGTGAGCTCCTGTGTCATGATTATTGAGCCGTGGAGAAAGTGGAGCTGGGTAGCCCTGGATTGTTTTTTTTTTTTTTTTTTTTTTTTTGCCCGCGCGTTTTTTTTTTTTTTGGCCCGCTCGGTTTTAATGACCCTGAAACAATGCAATTTCGATTCGGAAATGGAATAATCCATTTTGCAATTCAAAAGTGACTGCGAAAAACTGTTGCATTGCACACAGGACGAAAGTTAGTTATAGTGCAGATGCGAAGAGCAAAAGCAGAACTGTTGTTGTTATTAGAAACCAGAGCAGATGAGAGTTCTTTGCGAGAGAGGTGCATTTAGTGGAAGATTGAATTCATGTCGTATTTGTGTATGGACTATACTACAATTTGGTGTAGATGAGCTAGCTGGTGCTGGGCTTTGTGGATCATGCTTTGTATTATGCTCCAGACCAACAATAAGACCAGCATGATATGAATAATTCACTTAAATGCATATCTTTTACTTTATCATCTGTATTCAACTCGAATTGAATAAACCGCAGCGAGCTATGGATACCACCACACTAGTCCAGTTTCTTGTACATAAACTGTAAAAAGAACTCCTTCGTATCATTATCCCAAAACCACCAGTATGTTTCTGACATTTTGCCTTCCTCTTGGGGTTTATCGATCTCATGTGTATTGGGAACAATGATGGTAATGTTTTCATAAGGTTCTGCTGAGATCACGAGATATTGCCAATCACTAGGGTCCTCGTCATCCTCCTCGTCTTCGCTTCTCTCTTGAATAAACTTCCTACCCATGTTTTGATTTTTAGATGACAATTCATAGTATGACATTAGTCTAAAAAATGGCTCGTCTACTGAAATTTCAGGACACTTAATCGTTACCAAAACACCTAGTTGAAGGGTTTCAGGATCACGTATTTTCAAAATTTTATACTCAGGTCGCCCTATTTTCTTCCAATGTCTCGTCTCCACGTTACTAATACTGACTTGATCTTGAACTTTCCGTTGAAAGTCTTGCTGTTGCCGCAGCTTCTCATCCAAAATTCTTCTTCGCTCTAGATTCAAGTGGTGTTTTCTTCCTCCCAAATGTGATATGTAAGATGATTCATTATTGTGAGTAGTTAAACATAACCTGCATTCCAATATACCTAGATGATTTCTAAACACGTAAGGATCGTTATCAATGTCAAGGATATGTGTGGCCAAGAGCTCCTGTACTCGTTTCTTGCTGTGGACATTCTGATCTTCAGCACTAGCAATACCTCCAGCACCCTTTTTTGAGTTGACACGGTTTGAGTAGTCCATGATTTTTGATAGGAGAGCAGAGACGACGAGTAAGGAATATGAATGGATGATGTGACGTCTTTTCATGTAATGACTCGTAAAAACAATTTGCGACACAGACAAAAACACGTTGAATTTATTTCTCAATTTTTTTTTTTTTTATTTAATTTTCCCTTTTATGGTATAAAAATCAACGACCAGAGAAAACACCATTGAAGCTCTTATATCAACCGACCTATATTGCTCCACACCCAAACGCACCGCAGACCACCGCTCTACCACCACTACAATGGACTCTCCTGCTAATATTGGTGATAGCACAACATTATCTATTCAACAAAAGCTATCAAACACGCACATTGATGGAGTTCTCGATACACTGATCACTTCAGCAGCATATTCAGGGGTCAAGGTGATACAATTGCTGATAAAAATTTCTGATGAAGCCATTGTTACCCCCGATAAGAACAAGGAAGAGACCATTGTGCTAAGAAGAGTGCAAGATTCGTTCATCAATGCCAGCCAACTCCTCAATATACTTGTCAGATTAAATGTCTTGACGCAAGTACAGGTAAAGAATTACTTGAAGAATGAAGTATTGTCTAATTTGGAGTATTTCGGAAACTCTAATTTACAGGTGTTGGATTATTCAAACCATGATAATAGGGCGCTTCGCGGTATTTGGGTTCCCTACAACAAGGGTGTGAAAATAGCTTTGGACTTTGACGTCTATGATATGAGCAAGCAGTTATTTCTTGTTGATGTTCACGACTTCGAGAAGCTCCCAAAGAAGAGAACTTTGGATAACATTTCCACTCATGGGTCTCCATCTGCACAAGGATCCCCTTCCAAGAAACAGAAAATTACTGCAACCAGCATCTCTCGCTTGGCTGAGTTAGAGGCTAACCCAAATTACCCGTACACTCTCCCTCCAGTGACCTTGGAGAAACCTGACATTGCGAACGACATCAAAAGAGTTCTTGGGGAGATTTTCAAAAGAGACGACCAGAATGGAGCCTCTTTGGAGGAAGTACGTCAAGACTTTGACCCAATTTTCAAATCGTTTGCAAAGGAGGACGCCAAAGATATTCCGTTGGATCAAAAAGGCCTGACTGCATTACATTTTGCTTCAACGTTGGCATCGTCCAACCTAGTCTCCAGCTTTATTGAGTTGGGTCTCAACTCTCCCATTCGAGGCAATGTAGATGGCGAGTCTCCGTTAATTTCATGTATTCAGGTGACAAATGCGATGGAAAAGGGAAATTTTAAAGAGATTTTATCACTGTGGTTACATCCTGATGTTTGGCTACTAGACCGAAAAGATCAAACAGTGTTACACCACATTTCACTACAATCAGGCAAAAATGAGAGTCACAAATTTTATTTGACAAAGTTGTTGGAATATATTTTGTTGAATGACAAAAGATTTTTAGAGTTTAAGAAAACCATATTGAATGCTCAGGACGCGAATGGTAACACCGCATTGCATATTGCAATTGAAAAGGAGAACCGCTGGTTAATAAAGGTTTTGCTTGAGCTTGGTGCCGATGCTAGCACACCCAACAAGCTTGGAATCAAATGTCAAGATTTTGAAATATTGAATGACTTGCCTGAGCTCGATGATCACATCTTTGACTTGATCAGAACCAGTAAAGAATTTTTTGACGAGCGAGTAAAGACAGTAGGAGTTGAAAATATTCAAGATTTGGAACAACCAAAAGAGACCAAATCTGTCACCATTGAAACATCGAGCTCTTCAAATGTGTCTGACAAAATCTTTCACAGCATTCACCAGTTATTATCGGATACCAGTCTGGAATATAACAACATTCTAAACTCCAAGCGCGAACAGATCAAAGTTTTGGACGAGGCATTGCATGATGCAACCATAGTCACAGCAAACAACCGGTTCCAAACAAAGAAATTGATTGAGAATTTGGAAAGGTTAGATACTTTTAAGTTACAAGCTGCGAATGTGTCCGACAAGCTAATACTATCAGATCAAGAAGTTCGAGATGATGAGCAATATGATGCTGACGAGCCATTCATCATCCCGCAACTCTTTGATCGGTTATCAAAGAATGAGCTGGTTCATGATCTCAAGAATGATGAGAGTTTCCTCAAGAGTCTACCACCCTCAAAAATCCTTCGGGCAAGATTGAACGCATACAGGCAGATAAATTCCAAACTAGAAGACGAATTGAAAAGCTTGGTCGATTATAGTGAACTAACCTCAAAATTCAAGAACGTTGTGAGCATATGTACAAATGTCGGGGTCGATGAGGTTGATGAGCTTTTGGATGGTCTACTAGAAGCTGTTGAGAGTTGAAGTTCACTAAGAACTAGTTTTTATTATAGAACCTACACTAAACCCAGATACCCTGTCAAAGCACTCTTTATCAGTGGGTCGATTTCGGCCAAATTCTTGAAGTCATCTAAAGTAATCACATCGGTGTCCTTGTTTTTCCCTAATAGCCTGAACCATTTTTCTGCCCTCAATTCGGGTGTAGTTTCATCCGGTGGCAACGCAGCCATTGGACCTATCATTTTATAAGTAGCACTAATGACCGGTAGTATATCCTTGTATGTGAGTTTTCCGGTCTTGTTGTAATCATAGAAATCAAATGCCCATGCTATTTTCTGTTCGCCTTTGCCACGACTGGTGATGCTGAACGCCAAAATAAACTCTTTGAAATCGATAAAGTTGGAATTATCTTGATCAAATTGAAGAAACAAGTAATGACAGTACTCCTTTGGGTCGCCAAATGGGAAGAATTGTTGATAGATTTTGGCAAAATCATCTTCGGTTAGTTGTCCACTGGGACAATCTCTGAGAAAACCTTTGTACCACAGTTGAAGCTCCCGCTTGTCGAAATAAGTATGTTCTTGTAGTTTTTTGATGTCCTCTCTGGACAATTTTGACGCTGCTTTTCCCATGCGAGATGTATTGTATAGGGTAGTGGTGGTAGTGGTGGTGGTGGTGGTGGTGTTGGAGAGATTATTGCTTTGGAATCTAGTCAACAATTCGTTTGTCTGCTGTTCAAGGTTTCGCATATTATGTGCAAATATTTTCAAACTCCAGATTAAATTTCCATCTACACATCTTCACTCAATCTTGTTACAAATCACAATATCCTACCGTATCCTATTTCGGCATTACCCCACCCCGTCTTCTGCTTTTTTTCAATATGTTCAGGTTCGCTTCAAAAAGGCAGTTCTCCAAATCAACTTTGTCCCTCGCCAATAAAGGTAAACCCCAGAACCCGCCAATCGATACCACGATCGAGTTGAAAATTGCACCCATTGTTCGTACCGGGGAAACCGCTGATATCAAACGTGCAAGGTTGATCTACCAATCAAGAAAAAGAGGTATCTTGGAGAGTGATTTGTTATTGAGCAGGTTTGCAAAAAAATATCTCAAACAAATGTCAGATGCAGAGTTGGATGAATATGACAAATTATTGGACGAAGCTGACTGGGATATATACTATTGGGCAACGAAAAACTACTCCGTCACCCCGTTGCCTGAAAAATGGCAAAACTCCAAAATTTTGAAATTGTTGCAGCAGGAAGCCGAAAACAATGAGCGTGTCATCTTAAGAATGCCCGAATTACATGAATATAATTAAATATGAATAAAAGACAAGTATTCATTTCTCTGCCAACCACACTGACGGCTTCTCTATTGCCTTCTGGGACGTTATTCGACAGATGAGTAAAGTACCCCACCAATTCGTATCATCAAAAAAATCCGTTTTGTAAATCCGTTTGGCTTCACATGGCCTGCGTATCGCCACGAAACGTATTATTACAAGTTGTGTAAAATGGAAGTAGAGTGATCGTATGTAACTATAGCGAGCTTTTGAGGAGGCGACCCCTTCGGTCAAGTTCGAAAATTGTTAGAACTCGAATCTTCAAAAGATTGTTAGTATTTGCACACAAGCGACGACGAAGTATACAAGTGCTGTTAAGATGAGTGCAACTGACCTATAGCTAACAAATGAGTGTAAAGGGCATCTATATCGAAGTACGTTGGAAAACATGAGAATATATACAACATTGCCATCGTTATAACCTACACTGTTGGTGTCACGTGCCAATAAAGTTGAAGACTTTTGTGGTTGATTTTACTGAACAATCCTTTTTGGAATGGCAATCAATCAAAAATGATCTCCTCTAGTGACTCATTCACAATGTCAATTTCAATAGATCAAATCCCGGATGGACTTAGGCCAGATAAGAATGTAAGCCCTTACATTCAACGAGCAATCGAACTTGAAGAGGCAGAGCCTATCATCAGTTACTACAGCAAAATCTTTGTACTTGAGTATATTTTGAACAACAAGATACATACCAAATCGAAAGATAATGAGGAATTCACGATAAAGCTCTTGGATGACACCGAATCTGTAAAGAAAGATACAGAAGATGAAGAGCTTCACACGGTTTTAAACGACAAGAATTTGTCCTTTCGCTACGCATTGAAATTTGCATACGGGCTATTCAACCTGTGTCTTGAAAGCCTAAAAACATATAGGAGTGAAAACAAGTCTAAATTAGTTACCAAATTTAGAGCTGCAATGTGCTTCTTGAACATACTTGAGGTGTTTGAGAGTTCGAGTAACGAAATTGACTTGGGCGCAGTTTTTGGCTCCAAGATTACAAATTGGAGCGATTTTGAAGTCGTAAATAAGGAGAAGCTAAAGGTTTTGAAATACCAATTGACTAAGTTGGTTAAAGATGAAATCCAGGTTGAGGAGAATGAACCTTCAAGCAATGCGGACTTGGAAAAGGAATTAGATGAGGAATTGCAAAGATTAAGCACAACCCAAGATGTCAAAGATGAAGAAGTCGAAAGTGACACCGCAGAAAGTAGGCACACCGGATTGAATGATGAAACTGACACTGTACTACATACAAATGATGCCAGCAAACCCCATGATACAACAGATGACCTTGTCGGCGATAGCTCATCACGGCACATTGATGCAGAAAATGGTATTCCTGGGGTGAATCTTCCTGGTGCACCACATTTCAAACCCGACGATGACTCTGATGCAGACGAAAATGTCAAACTTCCACAAGCGCCGAAGTATTTGCCAACAGACGATATTGGTCACATAAACAAGTCTGGAACAATACAAGTTTTTCCTCCAAAATCAGATCAAGATGGCACGGATGCGCCCAAAGCTGAGGTAACTAGCTCAAAACCTACTCGAGTCCACGAAAAACCTCTTAGCAAGGAAAACATAAAAGCAATTCTTAATCGCGACGATGCAGTAGCTCAAATACAAAAACACACCAAATTTGCCAACTCGGCATTACAGTTTGAAGATTTCAATGAAGCAGAAAACCAACTTGTGAAAGGGTTGGAACTTTTGCGAGCTTTGAAGAGACAAGATGAGGAGTAATGAATAGTTGTATTCAATTGGATCGGCGCTGTTTAAGAGCTACGATAACGGGGAGGGAGAAGGAAGGGAGGAGATGTATAATACAACCTAATACTACTTGTGTAAAACGCACCTTCACTAACTAACTTTTTCTATACCTCTATCATTTCGTCATCACTATCAACACCTGCGAATGCATCCTGAGTTGGCAAAGACTTGGGATTTGGTTTCATCCACTCTTCTTCTTCATCAACATCATCATCTTCATCTTCATCATCTTCATCGTCATAAGCTTCAATGTCACTCTCAGCATTGTCAAATTCACCACTATCCAGCTCCGACGTATCCTCCACAATGGATTCTTCTTGAGCCAACTTCTTGCTGGTGCTCAAAAATCCAATCAAAAATTCATTTCTCTTCCCGACACTAACCACTTCCTTGGCTACTTTACTCAAATAACGTGACAACAATTTTAACGAAGAACGGAATTCAAATTTGTGAGCCGCAATGAATCTCCCATGCAGAGATAAAATGCATCTAACCCATATCAAGTAAAATTCGATATGAGGAGAGTCTTGTTTAGTTAATAGCTCTCCAATAAAGTGAAGAGTTCGGTCAAGATAAACTTCAGGTATGTCTTGACACACGAGCTTGATATCTGGTAGAGGCACGGCCTCCAACACTTGATGGATCACATACCCCTCATTCAACCTCAACGCCATAATCAATGCAATCAAGTACTCCTTTTCTTTCAAAGACTCCAAAGCAGAATCCGGAGTAACATCAATGTCCAAATCGAATGGATCAAAAACCAACTCTTGATTAATCGAGTAAATCATTAATCCTTCAGTGGTTGCTGCGGCAAATGACGACGTGGTTGGGGAGAAATTAATCGAAGTGACTCGAATCTCTGGTCTTGTTCGACGCTGACTAGGGTCGCCACCTTTTTGAGACCCTGGTAAAGTATTATCAAGACGATCCTCTAAATCGCTGTTTTCGCCATCCCTATCTATCAAATCGGCGTTGATTCCGGAATCAGTGATTTTACGGCTGTTCAAGTACTGAAGGGTACCATCAATCGACATGTTTTCCGACACAATGAATCTCTTCAACATCACTTCACTTTCAATATCATACATGCAGATCGAGTTATTATTACCAGCAGCTAACAAGGTTAGACCATCAAAGGAGTATGCAATTGTAGTAAAATACTTACCACGGTTTGAATTTTTACTCACAAACCGATCTTCAAGGTATCTACCACTGATGATATCCTTTCTTCCATCAATCAAATGCAACTGTCTAGCGTCCTCGACATCATAAACCGCAATATGTCCATCTAAAGTTGAAACCGCCAATTCTTTGCAATCGGGTCTCATACCAATACTCAAAACATCGCTCAGTACCTCAATTGGTTCTACTGACTGGTTTCTTGAAAATATGTTCCAAATTCGAACAGTTTTGTCCCACGATGCAGACGCGAGTATGGAATTTTCTTGACCAAAAGATAGACACGAAATGGGGCCCTCATGGCCGGTTAAAGAGTCTAACAAGTTTCCCGTCTGCACAGACCAAACGTAAATCTCGAAACTATCTTGAGACCCACCCACAATCACTTCCCCACTAGGATCAACCGCAACACAATTGAATTGAATCCTCGATGTGGCAGTGAATGTTCTGAAGTTTCTGAACCTAATCAAGTCAAATGCACGTATCGTGCCATCCAATGATGAAGAAAACAAGACTTGTCCCTTCTTTGCAAACTGAACTTGCGTGACTGGTGCTGTATGCTCGGTAAAGGTCATCAAACAAAACCCTGAAGCAACGTCCCAAATTTTTATTCTTCCATCATCTGAGCCGGTGACCAATCGAGAGCCATCTGGAGAATAGCAAAGAGTGTTCATTGCATCAAAATGACCCTGTTGCTTGAGAATGTACGACTCACTTTGCCATTCATAAACTAGCAACTGTCCTAACTTTGAGGACCCAAAAGCAAGCCATTCCCCAGTACTGTTAATGTTCACTGTGTTTATCGTATTTTGACCCATGCTCAACAGTTGAATAAGATTTAAATCATCGCCAATCTCATAAACTCTAAACTCACCATTGGAGAAGCCGACAACCAATAAAGAAGAGTTGGCGTGAAACGTGGCACATTTGAGTTTCCCATTAGCATAGAAAAAGTTTTTTGAAGTGATTCTCCAATCCAGTTTAGTGTGCTCCCCTTGCTCATCAGTGTCATTTTCTGGTGACTCTGTGTATTCCCATTTAAACAAAGCTCCATCCTTACTGACTGTGTAGATTACTTCTTGATCTTTACTAAAGAATGCATTCACAACATAGTCACGATGTCCAGAAAAAGTTCTTGCAACGTCTCTCTCTTCAGACTCTAGAGAGTAAATCTTTGCTGTCATGTCCTTGCTTGTGCTGATAAAAAATCTTGAATCTTGCGACCAGGAGATGTTCAACACATCATCAAAGTGTCCCAGGTATATTCTGTGCCTCACAAATGGTGCAAATTGTCTATCCTCTGTGAAGTCTGGTGTTTTCCAAACTTGGACAAACTTGCCAACAGCGACGGCTAAGTACTTTCCACAAGGACTAAAAGCAACGGCGTTCACCCGCGATTTGAAGTTGAAATGATGAAGCACCACTCGAGAAACAAAATTCAAAAGAATTGCTCGGCCATCTTCATCAATGGAAATCAAAAGTGTGTTTTGCTTGTTCAATGCCATGCATTGTACATTCTTGCGATGTTGGTAGCTGAATGTGAATGATTGTGATCTTATTAGATCGAAACACGAAACTCTATTTCCAACGGGGGACAAAAGTTTGGTTCCATCCTCTGTAAATAATAAGTTGCCTTTCTTGTAAACTGTTCCAAGCAAGTTACTAAACTTGTAGTCTGACCTCATGTGAATGTGAATGTGATAAGTGGTTCTTCGTTGGAGCAGGATGTCTTTGCTAATTTTTCAGATTAATTTTTTTTTTTTGTTTTTTTTTTTTTTATTGCCTGAAGCGATGATCTTCGAAGCGTTAGTGGAGGAACCATCTTCATCAACAACAACGTCTTCACAACACACATAGTAGCAAAGAGTAACAAAGAGTAGCAAAGAGTAGCCATGTCAGGAAGTTTATCTACTAGGGTCATGAATATGAAATTCATGCAAAAGGCCGATAGTCCAAAGGTGAATGAGGGTCGTGAAGAAGAAAAGCGAACGCTCAAGGATGTGTCGGAGTGGTCATTGCCCCATCTGGCGAAAGTGTTGAAAATGGCACTGCATACACCTAAGGTAGAGGTCCTCGGATACGGTTCCATACTAAACGATCGAAACTATACGACACGGAAATTCCAGGCACCGAATGACAAAGAGGTGTTGGGTAGTGGTGAACAACAACATGAAACAAGGGAGCTCAGTAACCTTTGGAAGAAAAGGAAACCAGATGGCTCACCTGACAGAGGTCAAAAGAGGCGAGCTATTTGAGACTGTTGAAGATAAAGGCTGATGCCGTAACTAATATTGTCTTCGCCGTGGAAATTTGGGGGGTAGTATTGACAATGTAATACTGATGCTATTCGTTAAGGTTTAGGGTAGTACACATGAGGCCACTTATTCTGCGGAGAAACTCTCCATTAAGTGAGAGTAAAGAACCAGTTTAACTAAAGGATGTTGTTGGAAGGCCAATGAAAGGTTGGACACCAACACAGACATAGTTTCAACCAACCATCGAACAAAATCCATGATAAACAATGGATCTGCTACTTTCTTTTAGACTTATTTCCTGCATCCTCTGCATGATGAGCTTCTAAAAACCCTGCTTTGGTTACAGCATCCCTGGCAACCGCATTAATGTGTTTAAATCTGTCTGGTCCCAAATGCACACCCCCAAAATATCGACTAACAACAACGACCACGTTCCATACATCCATCATCTAGTACATAGTGTTAGTAGTTGTTCAATTGTTACAAGCAATGAATACATACTTGGAGTAAATGTAGTACCCTTCCACCAGCAGCTGTTTCCCCATCGTCGTCAAAATCCTGATACCTTACGTTCTCCTTTGTTTTGATTCTCCAACTTGAGATATTGTGGGCCGCTTTTGAGACTTTTCTGTCTTGAAGGAGACTATCTATATACAATTTGGCATCCTCCAAACTTTCCACCGCTTTTGCAAAAGCCACAAATGTGGAGCGACGATCACTTATGACATCCGACTTCACCCAATCGATCGTGTGGTCCTTATAATCTGGAGCTTCATCCACAGCAGGTGATATGTTCCTCAGGGCTGGCTTCTCTATCACTTCGGTAGTTTGTCGCCTTGTGGTGCTTTCAATGCGCTTTTCCGAGTATTCGTCAAGAAATTCCAGTAACTGAGTTAGAAGCTCGTACATCAACACTTGGCCCGGAGCAAAAGCTTTCGTTACCATGGACCGGACTACTTTCTCCAAGTAAACGGTGTCTGTGTACATCAGCTTGTTCTCATTTGTAAGCAGTAGCAATTCCGGAGCTTCATCAGGATAATTTGTTGGGAAATTAATTTGAATCCTGATCGATTCGTGATTGGGCGAGGTGAATGTATAAGTTTGGGGAGCTTCCTTACACACCGAGTCTGGATAAATTGCTTCAATTGCACTAAGCTCGTCCTCCAATTCGCTAACAGACATCACGCAGTGAAGTTCACTTTCAAATGGTATCAGAGTCGATACGAGAGAGAGAAAAAATAAATTAATAAAATATTTCGTTGCAAAATTGGTGCCAGTTGTAATCCTGAAACCTGAACCTGATGCTGCAGCAGAGATTTACCGAGGTGCATTACAGTTAGGCAGCTGCAACTTCACATAAAGCAGCAATATTCCTAAACACTCTAACAATTCACTAAATAGCTAGATACAAAAATCCTAAACATGGTTTATCTGCAAATGCTTGAAAGCACCCGTTTTTCTGCTACTGAATTCCACGGGCTGTACTTTTAAGAAAGCAGGTGGCACGTATCTCGTCAAATCAACTTTCAAATACATATTCAAAATTGTTGGAACAACGAAAATGAAAGAAAACAACGCAATGCTAATCAAGAATACAAAAAAGTACAGCACAGCCTGTAACCTTCGATTCTTCTTCTGTCTTTTTGACAAAACTCGAGGACGAATCTGGCATCCCGGTCTCAACCAGAATAGCATTAAAGTGTGCCACTTGTCTGCATATGGAATCAATAAAATTGGAATCTGGGAATACAAAAGAACATGTGCTGCAAATAAATCACCAACAAAGTACGACATCTCTGCAGTTTTGCAAACAAATTCTCTAATTGGTTGTGTAATAACGTACCACCCTAACCCCGCCGTTGCCCATTTCCCAGACCACCAAGATCGGTTAGACCGATCATGACGAAACTCTTTAGACACAAATAGGATGGTTGTCATTTGTAAAAACCAACACTGAATTAAAGTGGCTAAAGTAAATCCCAACACCGTTTTGGGGAAGTCCCACCCTTGTAGGAACCATAACACCTCAAAGAAGAAGACGTGATTCAAAACAGCCGTGAAATGCGCCAACGCTGCAAGGAAGGACGGAAGCTTTTTGCAAAAAAAAGTGAATATGGGACCAAAAAGAATGGAGATAATGAACAATACCAATAGTATTACAAAGTTGATGAATATGGGCCCAAAAGCGACTATTGCAATTCTCAAGATGCTATTGACCGGCACTGCCCTTGGATTACCATTCTGTGAGTTTGCAAATAAATAAGCCAAGCCAATTATTAGTATCACAGACAACTGAAATACCGACTCCGTAAGCATGAGTTTGATTCTTGATGGCTTTACTTCACTAACAACTTTGATTTCCTCATTCAAGCTCATCCTCTTACTCTTAACACCGACTATCCTACTCCGCTTCAATCTTGTAAAGTTGATCCAAGAAGATATTCTGGCTTTGCTGTTACCACGGAGAAGCCAATGTAGAAATTCCTCGTAATCCAAAAAAAAGTCATTCAATGCGAATTGGTTGGGGTTATATAAGAAAGGACAAATGAGCAAGCCAATAACCGACATCCAAAAGTAGAGAAGCAGTGTGATCCACATAGACATGGAGCAGTATAATAATACCATCCCACAAACTATCCCATAGTAGAGACTCTCTGCCGCGAACCTGGAATAAAGTGTCACAAATGAGACTCGAATAGTTGCAAATCCACGCCCAGTGGCAAGATATCGAGCCCCGCCAACTGATATATCACTCACTAATGAATGGCCATATATCTTGCAAATGAATACCTCAAATAGTGGGGAAAATGAGGCAAATTGCTTACTGAGTCTTGTGATGGCTTTGTAAAACCCTCTCTCTGTAAGCTCTTGGACTCCCAATGGAACAAACGATATTATGAATACGCTGAAAATGGACACAACACATCTTTGTAACCATTGAACTACTGGCATCAAGTTGTAACAGCCAGCGGGTCTCTTTGGATCGGTAATTGGTCGGTGCCTGTCGTACTCGCATATAGTGCTCTCTCTGGTCAAGGAGGCAAGGTTTGCAGACACCAATAAGAACAACTGAATCGAAAGAATGATAAACACATTATTTAAATGGAAACCTGGATGTGCATAGTAGAAAGACAAGAACCTATCAATCGGCAATTGTGTTCCCAAGTAAAAATACTCTCTTGACAACATTTGCTCACCCATTCCTGCACCAATTTTTGTCGTGAAATTGAGAATAGACCCAAATCCCAAATCCCTTCCCTTGCCACATTGCATATACTCGCAGTGCTTAATTCTCCCTCCACGAAGAAGAACATTCATGCCAGCATAAATGTCTTCGTTGAGATGCAATCCCTTTTGGGCTTTGGACACACCACCCCTGGTGGTCATGAAAATCGCATTCAAAAAATCGGGATGACCATAGTGTAACTTTCCACCAATATGGGCAAGCGTTCTAGCAAATAATGTGCCAAAAGTTTGCTCTTTTCCGGCAGCGACATCACCAAGAATTCCAATGTTTTCAGAAAAAACGTATTCTCTAGTTCCAATAATGGCTACGGGGTAAGCCAGCTTAGCTCCTTCCAATTCATTCGTGTATGGATCCAAGGGAAAAGTGGGCTCCTCAAACTCAGCCAAAACACTTCGAATTTTAAGACACTCTTCTAAATAATTATCCTGATTGGCATCAACAAGCTGTATATATTCTCCACGACAAAAGATCAAAGAGTGATTTTGATTGTCCGATTTTCCATCTCCCAAAATGGGATTACCAGATAATCTCACCCTATATTTGGGTTCCCTGTCTCCGTTCTCCATGAAGGAACAGCTTCCGTCAATAAGCGCCGAGTAAAAAGTAACTTCGCCCGTTCTTTCATCAATTTCCTCGTCAAGATAACAAATTTGAAGCTCTGGATAAGCTCTCAACAAGAAATCAGTGTTTTCTCTCTCTTCGGGTGTGAAGTATTTCATCCTTTGCATTGAAGTAATGATTCTAAATTTTCTATGCGCCATTATAGCAGCATGTTCAGTTTTCTCGGAACCGTCGCCAAAAACAGTGCTATCTGGATTTTCGACATCGAATAATAGCTTGATGGCCCTTGCGTAATTCATAAAACCCGAGATGGTTCTGTACAATGTTTGTGAACGGAGTGAAGCCCAAATTCGAGTACGAAGAATGTACTCGGGAGTTGCAACTTTGAATCCGACCGAGTAGTATGGCAAATCATCAAGTTTATCCTTTGCATCATCTGTTGATGCTGAATCAGACTCAAACTCTTCGGCAAGCATCTTGGTATCCTTCACAAAGCAACTCCACTCTAAGGGATGTAATTGCTTCAAATACTCAAGCATTGTCACATGCGAGTACTGTTCTTCCTCCCTTATAATTTCTCTCAAGGATAGAATAATCTTTTCACTATAATGAGGAACCAAGACTGAAAAAGAAGGCATAAAATGAATTGGCCCAACTTCAGGCATGGGCGTCGACAAAGACTGCGCAAAAAACGTGATTCGGCGTTGTGCTTCCGATTGCTTGCTAAATAAAGTCGACTTGACGGATTGGTCTTCTTGAGAGACAAAGAACATTGGCTCTTTCAATATTATTCCACCTTCAGCGCCAGGGTTTTCAATCAGCTTGTAAATGAGTTTTTGGACATTTTCCAACGAAATTAAATGCTCTCTGTACATGGAGATAATGATTGAGTTCCACACCTGTGATATCAAAGACTTAGATTTCAAACTCTTTTCGTTGGTTACGGATATAATCTTGGAAAATATCCTTTTCGGCAACCTGGAGAAGATGTTTCGCCAAGGTGTCCATATCGAAACACCAACATAAAATGACCGACAAACCGAAAACAATGTGTTCCAAATGATATACCAAAGATACGTATCCAATATGAACAAGACTAAATTTGTCAAGTAGATAAGCCCCAAAACAATATAAGGTTGTTTTGAACAAAGCCACAGGCCAAACAAAGTCTCTCCTGAGCAAGTGACATGCTTCATTATGCTTAACTCGCGAATAGGATCTCTCATGGAGAGGGTCAAGAAGAAATAGGATTCCAAAAACTTGGAAATGAAAATAGCGAGCCACAAACTGTGAGAAGCGATTTTGTCAGTATCTGTAAGCAAATAAAAGTTGACAATAAATGATCCTTGCGGCAAATATTTGCGATCGTTGGAGCTGGGGGTTCTTGCAAAAGCCTTCCCCAATGGAACAACAGATAGGTATCCAACAATGAAAATAGACACCGTGAATTGAATAGAAGCAATCGTCAAGCCAGTCTTTGAATTCTCTCCCAAATCTCTAAAACCAAGTAAATAGATACTAGGTGCGGTGTTGATCATGAGGAAAAGTAAGGTAGCTAGCATTCTACCCAAAACGGGTTGAGCGCCATGCCATTTCCGAGGAATATACGATAATTCACACATGAGGCTGAGCAAATTGATTATCAATGCAACAGATCCACCCAAGGAAAGTAATGACAATCGAGTTTGGTATGTTGGAAGATTATCCACCGAAGCCTGATAGTTCCGTGTGTACAATGTGGGAGAATTGTACACTGAATAGTACCAAAACGCAGACAAATGAATAACCCACACCCTGTGGAAATTGGTAAGAACATGCGACCAGCTTCGCTTTTCTTTAAACGTTTTGTAAAACGCTTTGTCCCATTGCACTTCATTCAACCGACCATATCGTTCTTTTGGTGGAAGCTGCATCAATTTGTTCTGCTTGTCTGCCAATACCAACCTCTCAAGCCCTTTACTGTGCCAAAACAACTGATTCATGTCATCGTATCCAATTGCACTACTGTGGTCCTTGTCGCGTCTGTGATATCTTCCATCCACAAGACGGTACAACTGATCTCGGTAGAAATTGTACAAAGGAGTGATAATATGATCCAAAAAGCTTACCGTGGCCCTCTCCACTGGAACATCTGGATCAATGGAAAAATAGTAGTCATTACAGCACTTGAAGATGAAGCAAATGCACTCTGGCATAAACCGAATATTGTTTGCTTCGCCCCAAATTAGCAAGTACAAACCCAATTGTATCACAACATACGTGGGGGAAAGTGCTTGCATATTTGCAATCCATTGCTCTTCAGCCACCTCAAGAGTGGGGACACGCTCATTTGAATCCTTGATCTTGCCATTTTTCACATTCTCGAATCCAACAAAATCATCCAAGTCCATTTGGGCAGCAAAGTACCATTTCCGAAAATTTGAATTGATTCCACCAACATAATCAGCATGAACGGACCTCAATGCATGTTCAGGCCCCAACCGTGACGACCTGGAATCTAACAACCTCATCAAGTAATCAAACATGTTCCTGGTGTTATCAAATTGGAAACCAAATATTGCAGTCAACTGCAAAAACACCGCTTCGATATCCTCCCTCGTAATCGGAACGGTTTCGGCTGGGTTCCACGCAGGGTATGGATCAAATTTGTTTGAGTATATATCGTAGTAATCATTCTCTGCCAAAGTTTCTCCAGGGTTTCTATAGTGGTAATCCTTATCGCCACCGAAGCCAATCCTTTCCACTTCAGCCCATTTCCTAGAATCAAAGTGAGGAGTTTTGAACCCACTCAAGGGGAAACCTGAAGCATAGCCTTGGGTATTATTGTCTTAAGAAAAAAAAATGGGGGAGAACATGTTAGTATAAAAAAAAAATAAAGAGAAAGTAATGGTTTAGCAGCATCAAAACCAGTTTCCTCTCATACCAATCGCAGTTGCTGTTCTCTTTAAGAGCTCAATGGGATCTGATTCTTGCTTGATCCTTTTCAGATCCTTGCCCTTTTTGATTGCCATTTGTGGTCCACAGAGGGGCGTGTTGATAAAAAGAAAGGAGTAGCTGAAACTTGGTTGTAAAAAAAAAAAAAGGGAAACGTATAAAAGAAGGAACCTTTTATGAATCTTGCACAGTAAAGCTTACAATATACACTTAACGCATTAATAGACTTAATCCATCTATTCTAAAATAATCTATGTGTAAATCTATTTATCGCCAAGAGACGGAAATGGGAACCCTGCCTAATGTGCTCCTGTTTTGTATGCCAAGGGCCCATCATCACTACTCATCACTACTCATCACCCTCATCACCCTCATCTTGGCTCAATTTTTCCGCTAAAAGGGCTTTCTCCTTGACACCATTGTACACGATTCTATTTGGTGTATGTTTTCTCAAAAATAGTGACGACTTTGTTATACGGTTCTTGGCTGCCATCTTCAACAACTTGTGTTTCACTTGTGAGGGGACTACACCTTCGCTCAACAAATTTGCGACCATGCCAGTGACAATGGGTGATGCCATTGAAGTGCCAGATAAAACCAGCGACATACTAGGGTTTTTTGCATTGACGCTTTCCACAAATGCACCGCTGGCAAACAAGTCAACACATTTGCCCCAATTTGAAAACCCTGCTACAGAGTCGTTATAATCATCTATGGCCCCCACTGTGATGGCATACTTTGAGCTTGCAGGGCTGGTCAAGCAGGCATCAATGTTGGAATTACCTGCCGCAACAACAAACAAAAGTCCAGTTTTAGTGGCATGTGCAATTGCCTTGTTCAATACATGGTTCTTGTATGCACCCAATGACAAATTAGCTACCCCCTTCATGCCAGATTCAATACGATGGTTGACTACAAAATCAATTGCCGATAGAACAGTACTCAAAGAACCAGCCCCTTCGCTATTCAAAGCTTTGACTTCAACAATGTTCACATTCTTTGCCACGCCATATGTTGCCGAACCAATCAACCCCGCAACATGAGTGCCGTGCCCGTTTGTGTCTCCAGAACCTTCATTGGTGAAATCAATTCCTGCTGAAGCGCGACCCTCGAATTCGGGGTGGTTCACTTCAACTCCAGAGTCAATCACATACGCAATTACTCCTTGACCCATAAATTGATTGTCGTATATATAAGGATATTGTTTATTTGGCCTTAACCGCTTTCTTCTACTAACGCGAGCCAAATGTCTGGGAGCATCATCCTGAATTTCATACTCCAAGTTTTTAAAAGTCAAGTCTTCTGTTATATCTTGAATCAATGGACACCGCTTCAATCTGTCAATCACTTCCTTGGAGAAATTTCCAGCAAACCCTTTAAAGTCACCAATTGAGACCAAGGAGTTTATACGATCTTGCACTTGGAGGTGTTTGGGGTATTTACGATCATATTCCATGAAATTGTCCAAGGTCTCGGTGGTTTTCAAAGAAACAAAGTACGGTTCATCCGCCGCTGCCCAGCTGCATACCAAAGCAATTAGTAGCAAGTTAAATTTAATTAGCATTACCGAGCAATGCAATTTTCAGACTTTTTACTACTGGGAGGGGAGGAAATCCAGACTTATTTATGTCTACAATTTGGTTCTAGGACATAACAAGATTTGGAATCTAGCATAACAGAAATCTTGATAGTGTAATCGAAAGAGTCGCAGTAAGGTGTGTTAAAGTTTCCTAACGAAAATATCTACAAGAAACTGTCACTATAAAAACTTAGTCGCTGTTGTATTAAGGCAAAGTGGGGTTTTCATATGATTCTAACTCATATTCCGATTCACTCCCGCTGTCTTTGTCCATTTTCAGAAAGTCGGTTTTGGGGTTGTTTTCCTTTCCTACCTCAACGTATGCTATTTTGTTTGGAGTATTTGGTTTAAAGTACAAACTGGCCTTTGCAATACGATTTAACGTTGCAGTGTCTTGCAATACATCCCTTACACAGCCTGGATCAATCCCTTCACTTAACAAGGTCGCCACTACTCCCGCAACGATGGGACTCGCCATGGAGGTGCCCGATAAAACCAGCGATTTGTAAATGTTCTTGAAATCAACACTCTTTACGTTTGATCCACTTGCGAAAATATCCACACAGGACCCCCAATTTGAAAACCCGGATATTGAGTCTCCATGATCGTTTATAGCTCCCACAGTTATAGCATATGGTGAGCTTGCGGGGCTCATCAAGCAAGCATCAATATTTGAGTTCCCAGCGGCCACAACAAACACGATTCCAGTTCGTGTCGCTTGTTCAACCGCACTGTTTAAAATTGCATTGTGATGTGCACCGAAGGAAAGATTTGCCACACCCGGTCGGTCGCTTCTCAATCGGTGGTTCACCACAAATTCGATGGCTGCAATAATCGTGCTCAACGTGCCTGTACCGACTGAATTTAACGCCTTGACATCAAATATCTCCACATTTTTTGCTGCTCCATATGTTTTTGCGCCTATTAATCCAGCAACGTGTGTTCCATGGCCATTTTGATCCCCTTCTCCTTCATTGGAAAAGTCTCTTCCTGTTCTTGCTCTCCCTTGAAACTCTGGATGTCCTATATAGATTCCAGAATCAATAACATAAGCATTCACTTTTTTTCCTGCAAACTCGTTATCGTAAACAAAAGGATACTTTCGAACTGGCAACATCCTTTTTCTTCTGCTTAATCGTGCTAAGTGGCGGGGTGCAAACATTTGATAGTGTGTCTCCAATGAGTAGACCTCAATGTCGAGGCATATTTCTTCAACTAGAGGGCATCTCTTCAATCTCTCGAGAACTTGATCTGTGAACTCTCCTGCAAACCCAGAAAACGAGCCTATTTTAAATGATCTAGTGATGGAGTCCTTGACTTGTAGTTCTTGTGGGTAGGAAGAATCATACAAAATAAACGTATCGAGTGTTTCTTGAGGTTTAAGACTGATTAGGAAAGCCGTCTTTCTCTCACTGCTTGCAAGTACTGTGAGCAGCGAAAGTAGTAGTATAATGGAACATCTCATTTCAAAGAATAACAAACTTTGGTTGCAAAGTAGTAAGCCAAAAAAAATAAAAAAAAAAAACAAAAATCAACAAAAAATATTGTGAAATCAGAAGAATCAAAAACAAAATTAAATTTCTAAATTATATCGACTACAGAATCTATAATGACTTTAAAAAATCTCTCTTTGCATCTTCAGGAAGCTTTTCAAGATACTCCTTCACAGTGGCTAATGCTGCACCGGAATCGCTAGCAATCAACTTCATCAAATCAGCTCTAGTAGCTTCGTGTTTCAACTCATCCAATCTCTTTGACAATTTGCTATGGTGCTCTTCAATCCAATTACTAACCTCTTGATCATCATCATAATTAACCGATGGCATCCAACTCTTCAAACGCGATACCTTCTCCAACTTGTTGGCAGTCTTGAGGTGATTACCAATCATATTCAACACATATTCTTCATTCAATCTTCTGCGCAATCTCCAGAAGAAGAAACGTCTAGCATCGGTCCACTTAACTTCTCCCTTGATTACACCCTTTGCCAACATACGGCCCGACCTATCGTGCAAATCAACAAACTGGACTGAAACTTGAGCATAAATTGGCAACAAAGCCTTTTCTCTAGCAGTCAATTTACGGCCAACCTCTGCATGCTCTTCTGGTGTTAAGGAAGGATCATTCATTTTAGACTTCAAGTCGGCATATTTCTTATCAAGTCTTTCCATCGTGGCCAACAATTTATCACGTCTGTATTTGATACTTACCAAACCTTCGGCTTCCAAAACACCACCTCTTGAGTCAACATCAGCGTACATTTCCATCATCTCCTCATTGATACTTGGATCAACAACAACCCAAGAACCACCTCTCAACTCACCAAATGGCGGAATGTAAGTGAAAATTGGTTGTTTGAAATCAACCAACGCATCAACAATGAACGATCCGTACTTCAAAATTTCATTGTACATATCTCTTTGACCTCCGGAAAATCCTCTCCAGTTGGCCATGATCATCAATGGAAGTTGCTCACCGTAGTTGAAGTCATTGATTGCTTGAGCAGTTTTGAAAGCAGAGTTTGGATGCCAAACTTGACCAGCCTCGTGTACAAGCGCTTCCGTGGAATTTGGATTGGCAGGATCGGCAGGAATCAAATTCTCAACAGTTCTGGTCTCAACTCCAATAACACCAATAGGAATACCACCAAGTCTGGCTCTTCCAACAACCACACCTTTAGCCCAGCCTGATAAGGTTTCTTGGAAAGAGTCTTTATCAAACAACCCGGATTCAAAGCCATCTTCAGTTTGCTTACCCTCAATCATCCATCTAACGTCAAATGGCTCTTGTTTTGGAGGGAAATAGTCCACGTCTCTGTCCCAATGGTCACTTGAGTCCAAAATTGGTACTGGCAAACCACGCTTTGCAGGAACATACGACAACCACTCTAGAATCTTTTCAACACCTTCCAAGTCATCGTTCGCAGTCAAATGTGAAACACCATTTCTGTACATGATTTGTGTACCACCCAATTGCAAATTAGACGAATAGACCTCTTTACCCAACATCTTATTGATGGCAGGAGCACCAGTTAAAATAATAGGTTGTCCTTCAACTTGAATGGCTCTTTGTCCCAATCTCACCAAGTACGCACCAATACCAACGGACCTGCATGTCACCAAGGTAATGGTGAAAATGTCCTTGTAGGCTTTTGAGGTTGCACCAGCAATCAACCCGGATCCTTTAAGACTCTCAACACCCAATCCATCCTCGGCACCAACAATGGCTTTGATGACATAGCGTTCTTGTCCCTCTTCAACTACTCTTTCAGTCACCAACGTGTTGCCTCTACCATCTTCATCAATAGCGTGCTTTGCCTCTGGTGTCAAGTACAAATACTTGAATCCATCTTCAGGCTTTCCCTCGGTATTCCAAGCAACTTGGAACAATGGAATCAACTCTTCTGCAATTCCAATTCTTGCTCCCGAGTTTGCAGATAAATAAATTCTAGGAATACCTTTTTCTCTAGCAAGTTCAGTGCACTTGTTGAAAAACCTGTCCTCCTCTGGACCAAATGAACCAATCTTGTGGGTGATGTCATTAGCAACAATGACAATTTGACGTCCACGTGGGTATTCCGGGGTTTTTGCAGTCACCAAGAATCCAACCATGCCAATTTTGTTTGATCCAGGATCTCTTTCCAAAGCAGTCAATCCACCATTGTCGTCCAGTATCAATTCCAACGAGGTGAAAACGTCTTCTGGCGCTTTTTGACCATGCTTCTTCCATTGAGAAAGTGTTGCTTGACGGAAAAGCTCAGGGAAGTCGTAAACATAGGTAGTACCCATATTGTGTGCCTTGTAACGTTTTGGTTGCAAAGATTCCTTGACAGGGTATGTGGTTGAGATAGGCCTCAAATGCATAGGTCCTGGATGACCAATTGATTTGAATACCCAATCACCTTTGGCATTCTTCACCTCCAAATAAAGGTCTGACTTGACAACATAACCAGAAACATTGTTAATAATAGCACGAAGCGGGAGGGCGTTACCTTTGGAGTCAGCACATACAATTCTTATTTCCGCACCAGTAATACGCAACCTCCATAATCTTCTACCAAACCTTTCCAAAAATGAGCCAAATGCTGCTTCAACTTCAGCTGGCTGAATATTGAAAACATTTGAAAAATTGATAAAGATGTGGTTCAAGTCTGAATTGGATGTATCAACAACTTCCAAGGTATCCAAAATATCACTCATTAATCGGTTCGACTCGGCAATCAAGTATTCAGAAATGCTAATGTCGTCTTTTATGACACCGGTTCTAATGATACCTCTGGTGAAAAACCTCTTGTCAGAAGGTGCATTCTTACCAACGGCTTCGTAAACATGAATGTTTCTATTGTTGGTGAATATCGGCTTGATATCAAAGTTTGCTAATCTTCCCAATTCCAACTGGAAAGCCAAAGCGGGTTCAATATGTCTGATAACTTTGTTCTCTTCATATTCGGGACCAGTGAATGTGTAGTATTTTGGATAAGATCCAACTTGGTGGGCAAGTACAAAAGATATACGACGAACTCCAGCCTTTACCAAGTCTTCCTTGTACTCTGCTAAAATATCGTTGACCCTTTGCAAACACTCCTTCTCATCGGCATAGCCATCGATGCTGTTGACCACAACATTGAGTACATTGAGCAACTCAGTCTGCTCTTCTCCAGTTTGGAAAGTTAATGCATCACTAGGTTGAAGCTTTTCCAAGGCAGCACTCAACATCTCATCCACGTCATCGAGATGTCTGCAAGGAACCAAAACACCTGTTCTCTCCATTTGGTCGGTCTTGGAATCAACAACAAAGGACAAATCTGATACGGATGCGGAATACTTCATTGCTGAACTTTCCTCCTCCTCTGTGGCAGGCTGCTGGATCGCGTTAAACCTCGAATTGGCAATGTTGGGCAACTTGAATTTCCATTCAATTATTGGCAATTGGTCGTGGAAGTCGTACTTGATTTCACTCAATTGATAAGCACGATATGACCGTCTCACATAAACCTCGGCAGCAGCAATGGCTACCCACTCATCGGTGTTTACAAAGAATTGCGACAAGACATCGAAAACAATGTGCTTGGAGTCGACAACCTCTTGAATGATATCCAAATTAGGCTCTCTGTGTTTAGCATACATTTCACCATATGATGTTTGTAATACAGATGATCTCAAAATATGTTCCAATTGGTCTGATCTCTCCTTGATTGAAGGTAATGAGCATTGTATCAAAATCTCTCTGGCTTTTAAAGCAACTTTGGCACAACCACGAGAGTCCAACAGAGCCAACTTCTTCAAGGAGTTTCTGATTGACATGGCAACTGACGAGTTGGATTGCAATAATGGTTGGTATTCCTCGAGTATAGCCAAGATCAAGTTATTCTTGGCTGACACTTTTGAATGTGATAAGCAAATTTCAATAACTTTCTTCAAATCAGACTTGTTTTCATCCCTCAATTTCAAAATCACGTCATCTTCTCTGACTTTAGGATCCACAAATAAACTTTCAACATTGTAGTAGTCATCAATCAAGGACGCAAAGAAATCGTACTCATGTTCCACCAAACCCTTTTCGTATCTCGTTGCTATGCTGACCAAAGGTGCAACGATATCCTTCAAACCTGCGTCTTCAGAAACAGCTCTGCTAATCAATTTCAAAATTTGACGAGCTGGGAAATCGGCATTTCTAGATCTAGTTCTGTCAATCAAAGTGACCAAAAGTTCATCCAACTTTAATGGTAATCTGGAGTGTAATGCCGAAATACATTGTTGCCATTCAGAGTAAGGTAACTCTTTATCTTTCAAAACGTCAACAATTTTTTTCAAAGTTGCATTCATAATAACTTGATTGTCGTACCCATTCAAAATATTCTTTAAAATTGCTGCATAGTCATTAAATTTGTGAGCTGGTTTCGAGCCACGTACATTTGGCGAACCCATTTCTGGCAAAGTTCCTTCAAAAGGTTTGGCGTGCTTGACCTTGCTTGGGTCATCCAAAGCCAAAATGGCGAGCATGTCACCTGCATTGACTGTTGACCCTGGTTGTTTTATTAATTGAACAACACCATTTTCTTGAGCCACCAAGGGCATGCACATTTTCATAACCTCGATTTCGGCAAAAGTATCACCAGCATTAACATGGTCGCCACTTTCAACCAAATACTTTACCAATTTTCCAGGAGATGGAGTTCTCAATTGTGTTGGATCATTTTCAACTTCAAGCAAGCATGTCTTTCCGTCCACTGATAATCTTGTAGCTGCTGCTTCCTCTTTCCAATAAACAGCGTGTGATTTTCCACCCAATGCACACAACAAACCTCCATCAGACAAGGGACGAGCACCAACAGTGCAACTTGATCCATTGAGGAACAAAGTGTAAGTGTCATATGAAGACTTTGTAGCGGTGAATTTAAACCTTTCGCCTTCATAAATGAATTCCACTGGGAAGATTGTCTTTAACAAGTTTTTATGAGGCACTTGACCACGCTCCAATGATTGGATATACTCGGTTTCTTCTTCTTGTGCTTGAATGTGTGCCTTGGTTACAGCACCACAAACAATGGCAACAGTACGATCAGGTCTCTCAGCAGTCAACTTTTTGGTAATTAATTCATCCAACCACCCAGTGGTGATGGTATTTTCTTCAAAATCTGGAGTTTCCAACAACTTGATTAAATACTCAACAGTAGTCCTGAAATCACCACGAATACTCAATTCCTTCAAAGCTACCACCATATGTTTTCTTGATGCTTGACGGTTTTCACCAAAGGCAAAAATGTGACCAAACTGGGAGTCCGAAAATGAATGGATAGACGATTGATTACTAACTGAAAAGTATCCCCAAACATTGGACGACGACCTAAAGTTCAATTCGTGTAAGGAACCACCACTTGGTTTGAACCCTTCACCAGGATCTTCGGATGTGATACGGCAAGCAGTACAGTGGCCCTTTGGAGATGGTCTTCTTTGACTGACAACTGCATTTTCAGTACTAAATTCAAAATCAATCTCGGTGGCAGAATGAGGATCAGCACCGTAAAGGGTACGAATGTCTCTGATTCTGTGCATAGGGATACCCATGGCTATTTGTAACTGGGCTGCGGGTAAATTGACACCAGTAACCATTTCGGTAGTTGGATGTTCAACTTGTAATCTTGGGTTCAACTCAAGAAAGTAAAACTTGTCTTCGGCATGGGAATACAAGTACTCAACAGTACCTGCACTAACGTAACCAACTAGCTTACCCAATCTGACAGCTGCCTTTTCCATTTCAGTAAATGTCTCTTTTCTAGCAATGGTAACAGGAGCCTCTTCTATAATCTTTTGGTGTCTTCTTTGGACAGAACAGTCTCTACCAAACAAGGAGATATTTGTTCCATATTGATCTGCCAACAATTGAACCTCCAAATGTCTGGCACTTCCTGCAAGCTTCATAATAAAAATTGGCGATCCTGGGATTTCATTTGCAGCTTGTTTATACAAGGTGATGAAATTCTCCTCACTTTCAACTTTTCTTATACCTTTACCACCACCACCCTCAGAGGCCTTAATCATAACAGGGAATCCAATTTGTTTTGCCTTTTCCAATCCGTCTTCAGGGCTTGTACAGCAACCTTTTGCATAAACATCATCAGAAACAGACACCAAGTTAGTTTCTGGGTCTACGTCGACCTCGTCAACACCTGTTCCAGACCAAGGGATACATGGAACATCAGCGTGTTGTGCAACAATGGTGGATGAAATCTTATCTCCCAAAGATCTCATGGCGGACCCTGGTGGTCCGATAAATACAATTTTTTTAGGTGATGCTGCCAACCTTTCTGGCAAAAGTGGATTTTCTGATGCGTGACCCCAACCTGCCCAGACTGCATGGGCGTCGGTATTTTCGGCAATATCAACAATCAAATCGACATTGGCATGGTTATTATTGTTTGTGCCCCCTGGGACTTCGACAAATTGGTCTGCCATTCTGATGTACTCTGCATTCGCTTCCAAATCCTCTGGGGTAGCCATTACCGTAAATTGTATTGCTCTTTCATCGCCAAATGTTTCATATGCCCACTTTCTGATGGACCTTATTTCCTTAACAGCGGCAATACCATTATTTGCAATTAAGATACGGCTTATAACTGTGTGTCCTTGGTGTGATTTAACGAAATCGGTAACCTTTGATGGTTCAGCTTTTGCTACAGAGTTCAATCCAAGAAAATGAGGAGCCAAACTGCTGTGTAGCGTGGAATAGTCCAGCGCGGCGCTTGGAGTTGGTGACTCTGACATAACTCGAAAATGTCTTAGGAATTGCCTAGGTTTGTAAAATGCTAGAAATCTAGTGATGTTAGTTTTCCATATCATGTAGATATTGTGTGTGTGTGTGTGTGCGCTGCGGTGCCTTGTGTTGAAGTTGTTGTGCTTTTTTTTTAAAGACCGACGCCGCGAAAAAGGTAGAGAGAGAGAGAGAGAGCTTCGGGCAGATAGCTGGAAAATTACAGTTGCAATGGTGGTGAAGTCAAATTCATCTTTTGTGCAAGCTGTTCCTCATTTCATGCGCTCCCCGAGCCCACCTCTGCTCTTCAACACTAACACGACAAGTAGTCACATACCTTCTAATGATTAATTAATGAATGCTTGGTGATCCGATGCGTGTGTTGTAGATGTGAAATCCCTTCTAGTTAGCCTGGGTTTGCTTCTGGTTGTTTCCGAAAAAAAGACGAAAAAAAAAACAAGGGGGATTGTATTATTCTAGTATATAGATAAAGCACAGTTGAAGAAGAAGAAGAAGAAGAAGAAAGTAGATCAGTTAAATAATATAACTTTCCCAAAGGATACCACATATGGATGGAATGAATTTTCAGATTTAAGCCGATGCTTGCATGCTACATGCTACATGCGAGCTTTGTGTAATGTTGACCATTTTTTTTTTCGGTTCTTTTTTTTTTATTTTTTTTTTTTTTTTCTGATTTTTCAATTTTTTGTTGAGACAAAGAGAGAGAGTGTGTGTGTGTATATATATGTGTGTTGGTGGGTAGTGCACACACACACAACAGATAAAAACTGGTCCAGCTTTCCTCAAGTTGGTTGAATTCGCCTTTTCAACAAAGGACGTGGTTGATGTATTGAACCACCAACACAACGCAGACTAGTTGTATAAAATATATGTATATATATACGTAGCATGCTTTTTGTTGCTAGTGTACATCAAAAACTTTCAGATATATTGTGTATAATAATATATCCAGTGTCGTAATTCCTTTTTCCCGCGAGTGTGTCGCGTTTCTGTCTTTCCTGACTCCCAACATAAATAATTTTGTTGTATTGTTGGGTTTTCTTCTCACTATCTTTTACTACACAAGTAAAGCTTAGTAGTAAATTCAGTGAAGTCCGAGCAGTTGAAACAAAAAAAAATAAAAAAAAAAACACAACACTTTGTGCTTGTTACAAATTGTTGAGATTAAAGTTGGACGTGTGTGTGTGTATACAGATATGTACGTATATATATATACACACACATGCACAATCGTTGACGTCAGAGAAAAGTTTGGCTTGCAGTTTACACTCTGGACTTTATCTCCAAAACTGTTGGTTCTCACTGTGGCTAACTAACTTGCCAGTACTTGAACATTATCTCAAGTGGGCCTTAACAAGTGAGTGTACATTTCGGTGTAGTTTCCGAGGAGAAAAGATTGTCAGTCCACCCCCTGTAGGAGATATAAGCACAATTAAAGGAAGCAGTCGTCTGGATGATAAAGATAAATTGAAATCAGATTCAACAGTAGCAAAGTCCTCATGAGTGAAAAGTTATCACCACCACTACATCGTTTATTTATCTAATTTAGTCTATTCAGTTTCTCATAAGAGTGGCTGGAACTTGGGCAACATTGGTTGTGGTCTAGAGTAAGACTCGTCTGGCTTGGTATGGTATGCTTCACTTGAAGAAGTATGTAAAGGTGGTGGCAATAAAATTTTTGGCTGGATACCGGCTCCAATAGGTGTATATGGGGCTTGTTGTGCATTATGCAAGGCTGCAAATTGCTGAATGGGTATCGTATTTTGTGTCAATACTTCAAGCTCAATCACAGGTTGAGTATTTCTAAACACTTTCTCCAATTCTTGATCAGTTTGTATTACTTTATTCTCATAGCGAAACTCCAATATGGAATTGGAGATATTGAATGCGCTTTTGGCATTCTCCAACAACTCGTAGAACCGAGGTGTTGCAGATAACCCCGATGGGTAAAAGAATTCCAACGCTTGATTCAAGAATTTCAAAATTATGCGTTTCTTGGGTCCAGCACTGGCTCGTCTATCCATCATTGGTGAGTTCTCTCTAATGTAATCTGGCGTCTGTGTTCTCAGTTTCTCGCATTCATTCATCAGAGCTATCTCACTTTGCATACTCGAGGCCACCTCCGCTAGCTTATTCAACGAGAACGTGTCCTCTTGTAGCGGTTTGAAAGGTATTGAATTTCGGCTGATTAGTGGGTACTCCTTCACAATTGATACGTAGAGAACTTCGCCCATTGGACCCATGATCTCATCAAAACCAAAGTCTTTAACTAACCCCCCTAGCAAAGTATACAACGAAATCACGGCAACTTCGTCATTTATGGTTGTCGTTGTCAGTGGATCTAGCTCTCGAAAAAACTTGGCAAGATATGTGTCGTGGCATAACTTGTTCCTCAAGTACTCCAATGACTGCTGATTCACATTAGTAAATGACCTTTCACATATATACCCAATGCAACTCGTCATAACTGACTTTCCAAGAAACTGCAAATTACTTGACCTGAGATCGTTTGTACTTTCATTGCAAGTCCTGGATCTTTCAATCTTGTTCAATATCGTTTTCCTGGCAACCTCCGCCAGCGGCAGCACCTCTTGCAAAGGTAAACTAGTCAAAGGTGGTAATCTAGGCTTTGCCATATGCTCAATCATGTCAACCGCATGATCATGGGAAGAAATTTTTTTGGTCCTGTTGTAGTTGACATCGTAAACCTCGTCCTCATGCTGCACAATTTCCGATAAAAACCCATCACTTCCATCATTCGAGATGCTCTCCCTCTTTTGCTTCTTGACTTGGTCATTGTCTTCTCTCTCTCGTTTAAGATGACGTTTCCTGTTCCTTCGCACCGATTGTATAGCAGCTCTAACCAACTTGTCAAAATCGTCAATGTATGACTCATCGTACTGGAACTCTATTCGTAGCGTTTCGGCAACTTTTCTAATCTCTGACTCCTGTTCACTTGCTTTTCGAGAACTTAGATCCATTGTATCGATCAACTCTAGTCTCCGAGCGCTGAACCGTTTCCATAGTCTTTCATCAAGAAAGTTTAACTTTTGCCTAATTGAATGAGTAACGCCTAGTTTCGAGGGCTTATGGATAGGTGAAGAGCTTTGTGAGGTGATTTCTAGCATTATTGAGGATAGAACTGGTGGGAGAGGTAAGTCAAATCGTGAGTAATTGACATTGTCTATGGTGCGAATGACTCTGAATCAGCATTCTTTTTGTTTTTTGTTGTTTTTTTTTTTTTTTATGAGAGAGAAGCTACCTAGTTGGGATAGCTTATGTGCCCACAAACATAAACTGAATGAATTACTCTGAGGTAGTAGGTTAATGAAGAGGAAACAACCGGTAGGGAAATACCCCCTTTCAAAGTACTGTGGTAAGTACTGTGGTAAGTACTGTAGTTGTAGTGTTGTTGATGGAGGTCAGATACTCTAATTTCAATTCACTTCCAACATCAGCATATGCAAAAGTTCACTTTCCTGGGCCGAGTATGAAAGTTATGTGTAGTTGAGGGTGAATCTTCTTAATGCTCTGTTTAGCTCTTTATTTACTGGCCGATCATTCTTACAACCTGTAGCTGGTCCCGTTGTTACACTTTTTCAATAATTAGTTGTTTTAACCAGGAATTTGTTGCAAATTTTCATAAAAAGTCAAAAAAAGGTTAAATAGTTTTATGATGGCTAACTAGTTGCATCTTCTTCCAAGCAACTATTCTTTATAGCATTGAGCCCCCAAGTGCCGGCACAAAGGACAGGACTCTCCCTTGATCACCTCCACACACCCCCCCTCCCATCATCTTTATGGTAGCGCCCTGTGATTCCCATCTAATGACTAATTCGGTAACTCCAACTCTGTTTTAAGCGCGCTTAATTGATGTCGATCTCAATATCTTGTTAAACAGAAGGAGAAAAAAAAAAAATTTTTTCCACTTTTTTTCCCATCTTTTTTTCATTATTTCTTTCTTCACTACCATAATGTCTAAAGGAAAAGTTTGTTTGGCATACTCAGGGGGCTTGGACACCTCTGTCATTTTGGCCTGGTTATTAGAACAAGGATACGAGGTAATTGCATTCTTGGCCAACATTGGTCAAGAAGAAGACTTTGAAGCTGCTGAAAAAAAGGCTTTGGCCATTGGTGCAACAAAATTTGTTGTTGTCGATGTGCGTAAAGAGTTTGTGGAAAAAGTGTGCTATCCAGCAATCCAAGCCAACGCGGTATATGAAAACGTGTACTTGTTGGGAACTTCGTTAGCTAGACCAGTTATTGCCCAAGCTCAGATCAAAGTTGCTGAAGAAAATGGATGTTTTGCCGTTAGTCATGGATGCACAGGTAAGGGAAACGATCAAGTCAGGTTTGAGTTGAGTTTCTACGCTTTGAAGCCTGATGTTGTTGTGATTGCTCCATGGAGGGACCCTGAATTCTTCAATAGATTTGCAGGAAGGAAGGACTTGTTGGACTACGCTGCTGCTAAGGATATTCCAGTCGCACAAACAAAGGCAAAACCATGGTCCACTGACGAAAACTTGGCTCATATTTCCTTTGAGGCCGGTATCTTGGAGGATCCCAACACCACCCCACCAAAGGATATGTGGAAATTGACTGTCGACCCAACAGATGCTCCTGACAAGCCAGAAACTTTTTCAGTTGTTTTTGAAAAGGGTTTGCCAGTCAAGTTGATCTTGGATGAACAAAAGAAGAGCTTCAGCGATCCTGTGGAATTGTTCACTGAGGCCAATGCATTGGCCAGAAGGAACGGTGTTGGAAGAATCGATATTGTTGAAAACAGGTTCATTGGTATCAAGTCAAGAGGATGTTACGAAACTCCCGGTTTGACTATTTTGAGATCAACCCATATTGATTTGGAAGGATTGACCATGGATCGTGAAGTTAGAGCCATCAGAGATCAATTTGTAACGCCAACTTGGGCCAAGATTTTGTACAATGGTATGTACTTCACCCCTGAAGGTGAGTACGTTAGATCCATGATTCAACCATCTCAAAACACCGTCAATGGTGTTGTTAGAGCCGCTTGTTACAAAGGATCGTTGACGATCTTGGGTAGATACTCGGACACAGAGAAATTGTATGATGAAACAGAGTCTTCCATGGATGAGTTGACTGGCTTTTCACCAGAAGACACTTCTGGTTTCATTGCTGTACAAGCCATCAGAATTAAGAAATACGGTGAAGCTGCCAGAGAAAAAGGAAGTAAGTTACAACTTTAATTTAGTCTATTTAATCGTCTCTCCATAATTTCAATACCTGTAGAAATTCTCGAGGATTGATCAGTTTTGGTATGCTTTTCCTTGCCACAAGGTTTGTCTTGCTTAATTCAAGATGACGCTCAAGATGTCCTATCATGGCATCAAGTATCCCCGATCCATCTTCTTCTTCTTCTTCTTCTTCTTCCCCTTTCCCAATATCTTTGATAAACTCGTCGCGATGATTGGCATAATAAATTGCACTGAGCCAAATGACTTTATTGAACATTGGGAACCTGAATTTTGTAGGAACTTTGGTTACTCGTTCAATATCGTATATTTTCAACTGCATCAGCATATCTCGCAAGGTCAAGTAATTACCGCCAATCACAATTGAATCCTGCGGGGTATGAACACAGTGGATCCAGCCACTGGGAATCATAAACAAGTCTCCTGGTTGTAAAGTTACCTTGAGTCCACCATTTGGATAAATCTTTTTTTTGTTTCTCAATATAAAGTGTTCAGGATACCAAAGGAAATTCTGGTCCGGTTGCAAGCACCACGAGGTGTATATATCAAGATTGTCCTCAGTCGGTGGGAACATGAGAAAAGACTTGCTTCCTTTGATCACGGTGTAGTACACTGAAGTGCCTCCGAAATCAATGTGAAAATCGGTAAATGAGTCCTTCACCGACATTAGGCAGTATTTTGTAACTTTGCTCCGCTCTTGGTCTTCATCGTTCCACACCTTGTCAACCAAATCCATCTCGCGAACCAATTGGGGTCGATGGAACTCAGTCCCTAGTTCAGGAGCATCAGATATCTCCAAGGATATTACATTACGTAGTCTGTCACGATGTTGTTCCTCAGTATTGAAATAATCTCGCCATTGGTGTAGCCTCCATCCCGGCGAAATTCCTTGTTGAGATATCACATCCATCACTTCAACCGGTCGATCTTGTCCACAGCAGTCGGCTATATACTCCATAGTGATTTCTTTTCTCGGGCGTGGTAGTTTCATTCCTACTAGTTCACAGTTGACACGGGGAACAAGAGTCGGCTTTGTAACATTTATCAAGTTTTCTTGGATGCAAATACCCTCTTCCCCAGTGAATTGCAAGAACTTGGGAAGGTGGAAATGAGACCCTTTGTCTAATGCAAAAGCGTCACCTTCGTTCAAAGCTACGTAATCGATTGTAATCCTTGCTCTTTTGGACTTTCGCTTGTACTCTGAAGGTCCATACTTGGGTGTGCATTTATTGCAGTGGTATGAAACAATCTCACTCAAGTCGTGATCGGCAAGTTGCAAACATTTCGAATGAAACCATTGATGGCATCCTGAGCATTGGATCCACATCGCATGGTTCCCTCTTCCCGAGCATATTGGACAGTCGTCTAGCATTGTTTTCTGGTGGTGTGATGAAAAAGAATTCGCGGAAAATCAGAACTAGAAATGAATTAGAAATGAATTAGAAATGAATAAGAAATCGTACCCAGTGAGATATATACACAGAGCAGATCATGATACTAAGATGCGTCCGTAGATACCTCCTGTCGGGCCAGCAGCAGCAGAAGTTCCTTGACGAATACAAAATCCGCACGATGTTGGAGCAACCTATATTCCACTACTCAAAGAGACCTCTACCCCAGCTTCTGTTGAGCCACTTGTACAAACAATCGGAAAAGCTTTCGCCCACTTTCATCCTACAGAATGCTCGCGAGACAATTGAGTATCTTCTCACTTACAATGCAAAGAGGTTGCGTGAGTTTAGAAGTCTCCCTTACCTAGTGGTGCTCAATCCATCCATACTGGAGAGCTATGACTCATACCTCCAACTGATGAGTGCTTTGTTGAAAGCTAGCTTGTACATGCCCCACACCGTTGAGGAAAACACCGAATTTGCAAATACTGTACTAAATGATTTCATTGACGTGCATGCTGACACATTGCCCAGTTTGTCAAAAGGGTTTGGTGAGGTTAGTAATCTCTTGAGTTTGAAACAAATTACTCAGTTTATGGATCTCCATTTGAAAGAGAGGATACTCATGCGTTTGATTGCACATCAACATATTGCACTATCGAGATCCCTTGAAGGCGACTATGTCAAAGGTGGGAAGTACAATGGGGTTGTAAAACTACTCCACCTACCGGATGTGATTAAAAAGAATGCCGAGGTGGTTAATGATATTACTATGATGAAGTATGACCAGTCGGTGCAGGTGAAAATTGAAACCAATTTTGGTAATTACTGGAGTCAAGCAGACCCAATTCCCCGAGAGGATGTACTAGATTTTCCTTATATTGAGTATCATCTCGACTACATATTCATGGAAGTTTTCAAAAATTCATTCAGAGCTCACATTGAAAACAAAGTTTCCGATCCAGTTACAGTCACGATCTCAGCGTCAACGCAGTCTCCTCGATTTATGGAAATTCGAATAAGAGACAGGGGCAAAGGCATTCCCCCAAAGACATTGAAGCACGTTTTTGATTACTCATTCACCACCTACGAGAGCAATGAAGGGGAAAGTTTCAAGACTTTGAATGTTCCGCCAGAGCATCTTGGTGGAGGCCACTCGGTGGCGGGTATGGGGTTTGGTTTGCCCATGGCAAAACAGTATATAGAAGCTTTCAATGACACGGTCAACGACAAAGAATCCACAAAAGGTCTGTTGACGGTACAAACTTACCCTCGGTGGGGAACAGATGTGTATGTAAAGACAGTGGGTCAATAAACGAATGCAAAGGGCGTGATGTACTTGCTTCTAATCGATGTGTAGATTGGAAGAAAGACTTGTACTTAGACGCGTTGCCTCGTCCCACTCAGTGTGAACTGAACCGACTGAAGTGGAGTGAAAAAAAAAATAAAAAAAAAAACATCAAAGTCTTGTAGGACCTCTTTAGCCTACACACCAATCAGCTATGAGTGACTTCTACATTGTCATCGATACGAGTACGACATGCGACAGCTCCAACACTTATGTCACTAGGGACTCTACCGAGTTGATTTCGCTATCTTGGTCAGTCTTGGATATTTCGACTTTGGATATCGTCCACGAGGAAACCGTATTGGTGCGTCCACTGAATACCCCAATTACTCCATATTGCCAACAGAAATACAAACTCACTTGGGAGCATGTTCGTAATGCAGGATCATTCAAAGATGCCATTGTGAAGCTAGACCAATATGTACAAGAAAGCATAATTTCAAAGGGAAAAGATTTCATTTTTGTTACATTTGACATGGCGAAATTGAGAGTTCAACTTCCACGAGAGGCACGAGACAAGGGCGTAGTTCTACCACCTTACTTGCAACATCTGCGTTTGTTTGACTTGCCCACTGAGTATTCCAAATGGCTCGTGAGTCACCCGGAGGCTATATCATACCCAGCATCGTCACTTTCAAACATGATGACGGCGTTGGAGGTTGAGCCTTCAGAGCAACCACCACAAGTCTACACCAAATTGACTATGCAGTTGATGAAAAAGTCACTCCCGTTGGAGGACCATCCTACAGTATTTTCTACACCATACGATTTTGGAAAAGACGCCAAAACATTTGTTTCTGAACAATCAAAGGTGCTTTTTCTATCCAATTTACCCAGTGAGACGACGCAGTCGGAGTTGGAATGTTGGTTTACGCAATTTGGTCGTCGTCCGGTGGCGTATTGGACGTTGAGAGGCAACGACACAACAAGCAAGGCTATATCTGGATTTGCAGTTTTTGGTACGCACGAAGAGGCGGCTGAGCTGCTAGCCATGAATGGAAAGGCGCTAGGCGATTCTGTAATAGAGGTACAGCCGTCGTCTACGTTGGTGCTTGACAAGGCGTCAGATGTGTTGACCCCCTTTCCCCCTTCAAAAAATAGACCGAGACCTGGCGATTGGACATGTCCATCTTGTGGATTCTCCAACTTTCAAAGAAGAACGCATTGTTTTAGGTGCTCTTTTCCAGCTTCCAGTGCTGTAGCGATACAAGAGTCTATTTACAAAAAGAGTGATCTGGAGGAAATCCAGGTAAACGGAGTCAATGTTAACCACAGGAGCAGTGATACTGTGGAAGGGTATGTGAATGGCCACGGGGTCAGGCCCGTTGCAAGTAATAACAACGGAGATGGAGTCAATGGAGCCAGCTATACTGGGGCTAGTGAGAACGGAACCGGTAATAGTGTAAACGGTGCAAGCTACGGAAACAGAGACGCACACAATCATGGTAGCAACACCAACAGGCACTTCAACAATGTTCCATTTAGAGCAGGCGATTGGAAGTGCGGCATGTGTCAATACCACAATTTTGCTAAAAACTTGTGCTGTTTGAAATGCGGCTCATCAAAACCAGTCTACACTCAGGGACCCATACACAATGTTAACACGACTGCGGCAGCGATAGCAGCTGCTACCGCTAGTGGTCAGCCATTAAATTTGAATAACAATTTTGTAATGCAGCAGTTCCAGTAAATAAATAGACAAACAAATAAATCAATACACGCGATAGAGATTTGGCGACAATAGTAAAAAAAAAAAAAACCAAAAAAAAATAACCAAAAAAAGAGACACAGTGCAAGAAACACGTAATTACAACCACCAATTCTTCAACAATGAACAAGTACTCTGTCATATTACCCACTTACAACGAAAGAAGAAACTTGCCAATCCTTGTCTATTTGTTGAATAAAACATTCACAGAAAACAAATTGGATTGGGAAGTGGTGATTGTGGATGACAATTCTCCAGATGGTACTCAAGAGATTGCCAAAAAATTGATTGACATTTACGGCCCTGATCACATTCAATTACGCCCCAGGGCTGGTAAATTGGGGTTGGGAACTGCGTACGTGCATGGATTGCAATACGTCACTGGAAACTTTGTCATCATCATGGATGCTGATTTTAGTCACCATCCCGAAGCCATTCCTCAATTCATTGCCAAACAGAAAACTGAAGATTATGATATTGTTACCGGGACCAGGTACGCGGGAGATGGTGGTGTTTACGGCTGGGACTTTAAGAGAAAATTGATTTCTAGAGGTGCCAATTTCCTTGCTACTGTGGTGCTAAGACCAAATGTGAGCGATTTGACTGGTAGTTTCAGGTTATACAAGACACCTGTTTTGAAAAAGATTATTGATGTTACTCAATCTAAAGGGTATGTTTTCCAAATGGAAATGATGGTGAGAGCTAGAAGTTTGGGTTTCACCGTTGGAGAGGTCCCAATCAGCTTTGTTGACAGGTTGTACGGTGAGAGTAAGCTTGGTGGTGATGAAATTGTGCAATACGCAAAGGGTGTCTGGTCTTTGTTCACAAGTGTGTAGAGAGTGTGTGAGAGAGAGAGAGTGTGTGTGTGAATCAATAGCAAAAAATAAAATTGTAAACTGTAAGTGCACATTTACATTCCATACATTGTATCTGCTCTTTTCCTTTTTTTTATTCTGCCCCTTATGAAGAACGCGTACTTGAAAAGAGTGCTTGGAGAAGAATGTTTGAACCGAGTCCAATCATCTCGAGTGTTGATGGTTGGCGCAGGAGGATTGGGATGTGAGTTATTGAAAGATCTTGTTTTGTGTGGGTATGGCGAGATCCACATTGTTGATTTGGACACCATCACTTTGTCCAATTTGAATCGTCAATTCTTGTTTCGCAAAACTGATATTGACAAGTCGAAATCATTGACAGTTGCCAAAGCAGTGGAAGCGTTCAACTATCTAGGCGCAAGGCTTGTGCCATTACACGGCAATATCATGGATACCAAGCAGTTCCCATTGGAGTGGTGGCAACAATTCGACTACATATACAACGCGTTAGACAACATTGAAGCGAGGAGCTACGTCAATTCAATGTGCTTATTGTTAAAGACTCCGTTTATGGAGAGTGGCACAGAGGGCTACAATGGGCACGTAAGTCCTATCTTGCCTTACAACAGCGCGTGCTTTGATTGTCAGACCCATGTTCCTCCCAAGACGTATCCAGTGTGCACAATTCGATCTACTCCATCATTGCCTGTGCATTGCATCACTTGGGCAAAGGAATTTTTATTCTACCAGTTGTTTGATGAGCAGGAGAGTAGCAGTTTTACCGATGCCGACGCTATTGCCAAGGAAACTGACAACGATGCTGAGATTGAAAACTTGGCACAGGAAGCCAATGAATTGGCTGAATTACGGGCGAAAATCAAGCACAGTGACAAATTTTTTGTAGAGTTGGTGAACAAGATCTACAAAGTGGATATCGAGAGGTTATTGAGTATTGAGACATTGTGGCAAACACGGAGACCACCAACGCCTCTAGAGTGGGATTTGGAAGCTTTACAGAGGCTAGAGACTGCAGGAGCCTTTGAGCTTCTGGATACAAAAGTTTGGTCAGTTGATGAAAATTTACGTGCATTGTACTTCTCAAGCGCTAATATTCAACGCCGCTTACAAAAGGAAGAGTTTATCTCTTTTGACAAGGATGATGATGATACCATGACTTTTGTTGCTGCTGCTTCCAACTTGCGATCGCATGTGTTTCATATTGAGGCCAAGTCCAGATTTGATATCAAGGAGATTGCTGGAAATATCATACCCGCCATTGCAACCACAAACGCGTTCATATCTGGTTTTGCCAGTGCAATTGGTACCCGATACTTTCAAAACAATGCGTCATTGCATATCCTTAACACGTCAGTAGCACCCAAAAATGCAATTGTGAGTGCGCCAATTCCACCGCCCAATCCCCATTGTTCCAGCTGTTCTGCACGACGTGAGTTATTGTATGTGAGCAAACATGATTTTGAATCATTGACGTTACAATGGCTAGTTGACAAGTTGACTCCTCTATACAATGAGGATATTTCGATCCAAGTGGGCGAATCGAAATTGATCTATGACGTCGATTTTGATGATTATCTCCTGGTGAAGCTAAGTCAAGTTCCCGATCTAAAAGTCATCCTTGTACAAGATGATGCAAATAGGTTGCAAAATCTTGTCTTGTATTTGGTTATTGGTGAAGAAACTCGCTTCCCAAGTGTTGATCTTCAAGCAAAGCCCGTGAAGGAAGACAGTGATGATGATGACAAAATAAATGGTGATGACATTGAATTGGTGGAGGGAGGTGCAGCAGATGGAGACTCTTCTGATGTGGAGATTGTGGAGCCAGTGACAAAGAAGCAACATATAGGATAAGGAGCTAGAGAAGAAAACCCTTGTATATATGTATCTATACGGATTTGAGTATAGATACTTGTGTCACACAAAAACAGACAGCAGGAAAAAAACTGTGATGTAACTTTTTCAACGAACACTTTTTTTTTTTTTTCCTCTTTTCTCTGTCTCTCTCTCTCTCTCTCTCTCTTTACTTTTCTAAATTCAATCTCGATTTGATTTGCCATATTATATAACCCTAGCTCAAGAATCGTGGATTTCATCTTACATTCCATATATATTTGACAAGTCAATTGAGTATAAATAGTTGGTAAGTACAAATACCCTCGGCGTTTGCGATAAACCCATACTAACTTTAACTTCAGCTCAACAAACAATTGATCGCAGTATTACACATCAGCAAGCCATTACAAAGTAATTCTAACAATGTCGTGGAACGCATATACGGACAACTTGGTATCTACAGGAAAGATTGACAAGGCTGCTCTCTACTCGAAAGCGGGTGATTCATTATGGGCTGAATCTGGATCGTTCCAATTGCAACCAAACGAAATTTCTGAGATTGCTAGAGGATTCGATGATGCCTCCAACTTGCAGAGCCACGGTTTACACGCTCAGGGACAAAAGTACTTTTTGTTGCGCAATGACGAAAGATCCATTTATGGTAAACATGATGCAGAAGGCTTGATTTGTGTGAGAACCAAGCAGGCCATATTGCTTGCACACTACCCAAGTGGAGTTCAACCAGGAGAAGCCACTACCATTGTAGAGAAATTGGCTGACTATTTAATTGGAGTTGGTTACTAAGTAGCTGAATAGATAAGTTAGTTTGACTGTGTGTGTGTGTGTGTTTTTTTTTTTTTTTGTTCGTAAGGAGTTAGTAGGTTCAGTAGAATCTCGCTAGGAGCTGGAGCTACTTCAATATCTAGTTGCATGGGAATCGTATAGCAAGGCAGTTCAACTACGAGTGGGGATGGAATAAAGCGCGCTATTCAAACGTTTATTTTGTAAAGTCATCTATGGCATCACCAATCTCTCCTCTTCCTCTATGGTAATTTTTGGTTTGTCAAATCTAGAGCACACCACCAACAACACAACATTAAACAGTCCCAATATAAAAAAAGGTGCCACAATCCACGCATCTGCCACTAACCCACCAACTAGGGTAATAATCATAATCCCTAAACCTCCAGCAAAAGTGTATAGACCACTCAATGACCCCATTACTTGTTGGGCATTCTCAATCCCGCTCAACAAGCTCATACTGCAAATTATCAATCCAATTTGCGACAATCCAATTATACTTACACTTACAAAGCACCAAGCAGTTTTTGGGCTGTAATTTTCCATAGTGGCACTCAAGCTCAACCCAAAGTTTCCCAAAACCCCACACAATCCCGCTATGGCCAAAGAGCGAAACTTGCCTACTCGGTTTGAATCACTTAGATACCCCCAAATGGGAGCTGACGCAAGAGCGACTGTTTGTGCCACTCCCGTCAATATTGCAGAAAAAATGTAACCATCATAGCAAGTCAATTTACCAGCCCAATTGTCCTTCGATTTGCATCCACCAATGTTGTAGTACCAGTTGTAAACCACCAATGGGATGTACAAAGTAGTGGCAACGGTAGTAGATCTAGCAACGAAAGCGCCAACAAAAGCAATTTGTGCCTCTTTACTATCCCTTGCAAATTCTATACCCTCTTTGATAAATTGCCGACGATGGTGTATGTCCTCAGCTTTCTCTTGGGGCCTATATAGGAACCCAAAAAGGATTGCAAAAGATATCAATGCAAACACCAGAACCACCACGTAGGAGCCCTCAAGACCAGACTTGAGGTCAGACCATTCTGCAAGCCTCAGCGGCAACGTGACCAAGGTGGAGACAGAAAAGATTGCTCCTAGACCTGTTGCTATACCCATCACTGCAGCAAACTTTCCATTTCTACTACGGGCTACCGTGTCGTTGCCAAGATTTCTCCCCTGCGACCGCTGCTTCCTCCACAATTTTGCAAATTTGAAATCCGACATCGAAAGCTGGTTCAACATCACCGTCACCATACTCATACAGCCTGTCACCCCCAATGCAAACACACCTCTGAGAATGAACATCATTGGAACCAAGTTATGGTTTAAAGCATACCCAAGCAAAGCCAATGCAATAATAATGAAACTGACACTTTGTATTAGCTTTGCTCCAGCATACCCTTGTGCAGACAATCGATCGTTGAGGGCACCTAGCAACGGAGCAGCCGACATTGAAACTACTTCATCAAAGAACCCTAATCCACCAACTATGCGACCAATCTTGGTGTCCTTTCCCGGTTTGGGTTCAATTCCAATAACTTCTTTTATATAGAATGGTTGAGTCGATGTGAGAAATACTATCAAGGCTACGCAAGCAAAGCCAGCGTAGTTGAATGCAGCATAGTTCGCTACTGTGTAGTTCTTCTGCTTTGCATCCATAGTAGACAAAGAGTGGCCCTAAAGGAGAAAGGGTAACATAGAATCCTGCAACCTTTATATGCACCTTTCTTGTCTTGATCCGAGAATCGGGGTTCAGGGAATTTCGAAAAAAAAAAAAAAACAACAACAACAACATGACATTGTAAATGCGACACTCAATATAAAAATTCCTCTGTCACTATTGAAAATTTTTTTAGCACCAGTAGCTTTGGAATCTAAGTTGAGCCATATGTTCAAATCCCTAAGTAGGTGCTTCGGTACCACGTCCCAGCTTCTCAAACAGTCTGGAGTAACCAAAGCTGAAAAACATCTTGATTATCTCAAACATTACTACAACCCTGAGTTGTTGGAGAGCATCAAGCTTACTGAGTCAGTAGTGGATCCAAAAGACTACTTGAACTTGCAATTACAAGGCCGTGAGGGTAAATCAAAGGTTGCGCCAAAGTCGACGTTTGACTATTCTACAACAGATCCAGAATGGAAGGAGCCTATTTTGTATCCAAACCAAGGTCTAGGCCGTACACCATACCCGGAAATCCCTCAAGTACCTTCGCCAGATCGGGGTGATTTGAGAATACGTTTTAGTAACGCCCCAAGAGCACCAAATGACTCTCCACAATCAAGCACAGCAGTGAAGAATACCAGTCAGATTGCCAGAGAATTGAGTCAACTCACAGGACTAGATGAGAAATATATACGAAACTTGTACATCAGACCATTGGTGATGAAGCGTGTATCTTTGAAAACTGCAAAGGGAAACATTGCCAATTTCTTTGTCATGTCTGTTGCCGGTGACAAAAACGGTATGTTGGGTATCGGTATCGGTAAATCAAGAGACGGAATCCGTACTGCCGCCACGAAAGCACACTGGAATGCAGTTAAAAACTTAACCCCAATCAAGAGATACGATAATAGAACTATCCTAGGCTCTTTTGAACTCAAATACCATGCCACTAAATTGAAATTCAAGTCAGCTCCAATTGGGTTTGGGTTGAGGTGTAATAGAAACATTTTCGAAATTTGCCAAGCTGCCGGTATCAAAGATCTTAGAGGAAAAGTGCACAAGTCAAGAAACCCCGTATTGGTTGCTCAAGGGTTTTTCAAAGCATTGACACAACAAAAGTCCATTGAGGAGTTGGCATTGAACAGAGGTAAGAAGGTGGTGGAGTTGAGAAAGGTGTACTATTCAAATTAATAACCAACCTATGTAAATAGTTTCTCGCGTGTAAAAGAAAGAACTCACATACAAAAAAAATTTTATTTTTTTTTTTTTTTTTTTGCTTTCTCTTTGATAGATAAAAACATCCAAACACATTCACACACTGTACAAATCCTATCATTTCCACATAAACCATGGTGGTCGACACGACATACTACGATCTTTTAAGCATCGAAACTACGGCAACGTCGCTTGAAATTAAGAAAGCGTACAGAAAAGCAGCTATCAGATTACATCCAGATAAAAACCCCGATGATCCAGATGCTGCCGCCAAATTTCAGGAAGTGGGGCAGGCGTACCAAGTTTTGAGCGATGATCAGTTGCGACGCAAGTATGACAAATATGGTATACAGGAGTCCATACCGCTGGAGGGTTTTGAAGATCCAGCTGAGTTTTTTTCAATGATCTTCGGTGGCGAAGCGTTCAGGGACTGGATTGGAGAGTTGACGTTGCTACTGGAGCTCTCAAAGACTGCAGAATTGTCTGAAACGGAGAAAAAGGGAGGAGAGGATACAAAAGCGGGTGATGAAGAAATCGAGCAATCTTCTTCCTCTTCTTCTTCTTCTGAGCAAAAAAAGTTGTCCCATACTGCGCATGATAGTTCTGAAGATGAGGAGAAACGCAAAAAGGAAGAGTTGGAGAAGTTTGAGGAAGAATGCCGTGTGAAGAAACTCGAAACCAGAGCTGAGCTTGCAAAGAAACTTGCCGATAAGTTGTCGTTACTCACAGAGACTGATATGAAGGATGACGTGATTGAGTCATTCAAGGCCAAGATGAACTACGAAGCCGAGGCTCTAAAAATGGAGAGCTTTGGATTGGAAATATTACACACAATGGGTCATGTATATAAAAGCAAGGCCAAGATATTTTTAAAGAGCCAGACTTTCTTTGGGTGGGGTGGATTGTGGCTGTCTATAAAGGAGAAAGGAGGAGTAGTTAAGGACACATTCCGAACAGTGTCGGCCGCTCTAGATGCACAAAGGACAATGGAGGAGTATGCTCAGATGCAACTAGATAATGAATATCATGCGCAAAAGGAAAAGGAGGAAGAGGAGGCCAAACAAAAAGCAGAGCAGGAGATGGAAAAACTCGAGGAAGAGTTGGAGGAGGTGCAGAGACAAAAAGAGGGAGGGTCAAAGGCAGAATTAAACAAGGAGTCAAATGGGGAGCAAAGCAGCACTGATGCTGGTGCTGATGCTGATGCTGATGCTGGTACTGGTGCTGGTGCCGATAAAAAGGAGGCTCCGGTTGAACCACCAAGTCACACTCCAGAGGAATTGGCAGAAATGGAAAAATATTTACTAGCCAAAGTGCTCGCTGCTGCTTGGAACGGTTCCAAATTTGAAATACAGGGCACCTTACGGGCTGTATGTGATGCTGTTTTAGAAGATGAGGGGATAACCCTTGAGGAAAGAGTAAATAGAGCCAAAGCTTTGAGATTGATGGGTGAAGTGTTTAGTACTGCTACTAGAACTGAGCAAGAAGATGAAGAGGCTCGAGTGTTTGAAGAGCTTGTCGCGGAAGCCAGCAAGAAGAGGGAGAAGAAGAAGAGGCCGAAGGATGCTTAGTTTAGGGATTGTTAGAGAGCGGCATTGTAGGAACAATATTTATTTTACTTCTTTTGCTTTGCATTTTTGCATCTAAATTTTCATTTCTTTTTTTTTTTGTTTTTTTTTGTTTTTTGTTTTTTTTTCATCGTGGAAAATTATGAGTGGCACTTTCTCCAATTGGGTATAGAATTATGAGCACCGTCGTAGACAGAATTAGAAGCAAGTTTCACAAACTAGACCCATCAACTCAGTCTAACTACACTGACTTTAAAGTCAGAAGCACCACTTTGGAGTTGAATGTTTTATTCGGTGAGAAACGCATTACCGGGAACGTCCAATACGACTTGACCAACAAGACCAACACCGACAAGCTTGTGCTTGATACCAGTGCGCTTGAAATAAAGCAAGTCAAAGTTGGTGGAGAACCCGTTAATTTCCAATTAGATCCAGCCAAGCCAGTGTTGGGCTCAGCATTGAAGATTCCTGTACCACAAAGCTCAGCCATCATAGTGGAGGTGTCGTTTGAAACCACTGAAAAATGTACAGCTATCCAATTTATCAAGGGGGATACTGGTCCCTATGTATTTTCGCAATGTCAAGCCATTCATGCGCGTAGTTTGTTCCCATGCTTTGACACGCCAGCTGTGAAATCACCTTATAAATTCATTGGAAAATCCCCGGCAAAAGTGACCATGTCAGGAAGACCGAGAAGCAGCGACGTCGCTAACGTGTATGTATTTGATCAGCCAATACCAATTCCTTCGTACTTGGTATCCATTACCTCTGGTAATTTGTGCAAGGCACCAATCGGACCAAGATCCGATGTCTATAGTGAACCTACAAACATCAAGCAATGTCAATGGGAGTTTGAGAAAGATATGGAAAACTACATTCAGATTGCCGAGGCATTGGTATTTGATTATGAATGGGAAAGGTTTGACTCGCTAGTTTTGCCATCGAGTTTCCCCTATGGTGGGATGGAAATTCCAAACATGACTCAATTGACCCCAACCTTGATTTGTGGTGACCGTACCCAAACCACAGTAATGGCACACGAGTTGGCCCATTCATGGTCGGGAAATTTAGTCACAAATTGTTCATGGGAGCATTTCTGGTTGAATGAGGGCTGGACTGTGTACTTGGAGAGAAGAATCTTGGGAGCAATTGCTGCCAAGGAAGCAAAAGCACGGGGCAAAAGTGACAATGAAGCAAAAGCATACGGCGAACAAGCGAGACAATTGGATATGATCTCTGGATGGAATTCACTAGTCGAGACTTGCAGTACGTTTGATCCCCAGTTTACCAAATTGGTCATTGATTTAGAGGGTAAGGACCCAGATGATTCGTTTTCCAGAATTCCATACGAAAAGGGATTTTTCTTTTTGTACCACTTGGAAACAAAATTGGGTGGTGTTGAACAGTTTGATCCTTTTATCAAACACTATTTCAAAAAGTTTAGATATCAATCGTTGGATACAGCCCAGTTTGTGGACACTTTGTACGAGTTTTATACACCACTTGGCAAAAAGGATATTTTGGATAGTATTGATTGGGACAAACAGTTGTTCACATCTGGTGCCCCGGATGAACCAAAGTTGGACACCACCTTGGCTAGCGAAGTCTACAAATACGGTGGCAAATGGGTCGAGTATATCAAAAAGGGCGAGGGCGACTTCTCCAATATCCCATTTAGCGATGCCGATACCGAATCGTTTCTGGGTGAACAAAGCATGTTATTTTTAGAGTATCTACTGGAAAATTTCAAAACTTTGAAAGTTCCTGTAGACTTGATTAGAAAGTTGCCACAGGTTTACCCCAGGTATGCTAGTAGTCAAAATGGAGAAATTCTTTCTGTTTGGAATGACATTTTAATTAGTAATGGAAACTACACTGCCGAAGATGAGATTGTGAATGCATTTGCAGCCTGGTTAGGTCATACTGGTCGAATGAAGTATGCTCGTCCAGGGTATTTGTTGTTGAAAAATGGGGTAAGCAGTGAGTACGCCATTGCACAATTTAAAAAGCATGAAGCTTTTTACCACCCAATTTGCAAAACAATGATTGAAAAAGATTTAGGATTGAATTAAACGGCCTATTTATTTATTTATTTATTTATGCATTCATACAGCAATATCCTTCTTAAACTTGTCTAATCTCTTTTGATGGTCTTGAATAAACTTGATCACCTTCTTTCTATTTTCTCTGAGAATGTCGTTTCCAGTAACGTCAATTCCATCCAACTTGACCAATTCTTTCAACAACATTTCGTCGTAGAATTTGAATTTAGTTTCAAGCTCATCCTTAGATAAAGTTTGGTAGTTTTCAATGTACTTGTCAATCTCTGGTACATATTCCAGTTCGACATAGTCCAAGATCTCTTGAATCTCTTTGTTGGCCCTTTGCGCTCTGCTCAACTTTTTCTTTCCGCTCTTCTTCTTGTGCTTCTTGTCGCTGGAATCGTGGTGGTGGTGGTGGCGGTGTTCACTTGAACCGGAACTGAACACTTTCCCCAAGAGGACCAACGTGGTTACTGAAATCAAGGTCAATGACACTGTGACGGGGTTGATGTTGAAGTTCTTGAAATCATTCAATACACTGTCGACAGTCAATTCATTTGTGTGGTGCTTGAACAAGTCGGCCAATTGATCCCAGTTTGTTGTGAGTTTCAGCTTTGCAAACTCCAAGTAGTGCTGGAACTCAGCCGTAGCAGTATGTATGTGCTTTTCCAATTGGGACATAGTAATTGACACAAGATCTCGAGAATAAGTTGGTAAGGTAAATGAATAAATAAGCCTGTCAAATATGGCAGTTGTCGAGAAAAGTTTGTCTAGTTGTGTAATTATGGAAAAATTCAAAGGTTTTTCTCTCTCTCTCTCTCTCTTTCAAAAGTGTGTGGATAATTAATCTTTGTTTTTTTGCGTTTGGCTTTTAACAGTGTTTTTTTTTTAATTTTAATTTTTCCGTTGATTTTTCAATGCTCTTTTTGGATTGCTATTTGTAGTTTGGTAAGTATGTCTCATTGTGATAGGCGTTCATCTGAAAATGTAGAGAGGTGGGAGAAGAAATACCAGAATATGTAATTGATCACCTTCATTCTTTTTCAACACTTTACAAGTTTAGAATAAAAGGAGTAGCTCAATCTCAAAGCTTATATTTTTGCATCAACTTCAGCGGAAAATGTCAAATTTAATGAAACTTTCTTTGCAAGACGTACTCAGTGCAATATACATTCTTTTTTAAGAATTTGCTATAACCTAACCTGTACACAAGCAAATAATCTTGATACACCAGTTACATAGCACCGTTCATTGAATATGCAGCAAAAAAATCAGTTACTGGACTGGCACATGAAAAGAACTGAGTCAACACACATAGTAAACGCTACCATCCACTGTATATTAGTTTCGTAGCCATTTTTATTTTTTTTTTCTTTTTTTCTTGTTCATGATGAGAGGTGTATTGATTGATGGGTCCTCTCACTTTATTTCTTCATAATAATGTCTTTTGCATTTGGATTCACGGATGAGGATCTCAATGACGTCGATATTCATGACACTAAAGTAGAGCCTACCCTGAAAGGCAAAATTGAAAGTGCATTAGAGACATTTAATGTCCTTCCAGAACATCAACCAAGAATTCATTGCTTGAGTTCCATACTTCAAACATTGGAAGGTGTACGACTCACATTTGACAATTACATCACAGCTGGCGGACATATAGTTTATCGAAGGGAGCTTTATGATGTTAAACATCAAATTATGATGGAGGAGAAAGATGTGCTGAGCAAACTCAGCGAATTGTTAATTGAGCGTAACGATGCAGACGTCCAAAGTAATGTTTACGAAGGAGGATTCAAGAGTTGGGAATGCTCGTTTGATGTAGTTGATGCAATACACGCCGTTACGGAAAAATCTGGTTTGCTTAATCTGTCGATATTAGAATTAGGTTGCGGAACAGCTTTACCTAGCTGCTACATCATAAAAAGAAAATTTGAAGAAAGAGATCATCGTTCAATGAGCCTACTTGTATCCGATTTCAACTTTGAAGTGCTCAGGTTAGTCACTATCCCCAACATAATGATCAATTGGGCATCAACACTTGCAGTGGAAGAGCTACACAGATTGACAACCGACGAAGTCAACAGCCGATTTGAAAATAACGAAGTGTTTATTACCAAGGAGTTGATACAGGAGTTTGAGAAGCAATTACAGTTATACAATGTCCAGATTGTGCCAGTATCGGGTTCTTGGGGACGCGAGTTCAACCAATTGGTTGGACAGTACAAAATTGACTTCATCATAAGTTCTGAAACAATTTACTCACCTGACACGCTACCTGTGGTTGCCGAGTCCATAAAGAACATACTAGAGAATGCTGGTACCACACATGGACAAGCTCTAATTGCGGCAAAAAATATCTACTTTGGCGTTGGAGGATCAGTTGTTGACTTTTTGACCTATCTCAATTCGATTAAGAACTCTCATTTTGAAATTGAGGTGAAGGAGATTGCCGATTCACTGTTGAGAAGGTCGTTGATAACAATTGAGTATAAATGAGATTAAAGAAGCAATTGTGCATGCAATTTATGGTATGATTTTTCTTTGCCGTAGCACACGACCTTCTTTCATGCAACAGCCATTATGCAGTGGTTAAACATGGTATAGCTTTCGAGTTCATATAGATTTTTGTAGGCATTGCCTATGATGCAGAAGAGAAAGCTTTGAGGGTGAGAGAGAGAGAGAGAAATGTGGAGCTAGATAGTAGCTACTCCATTCTGTCCACACCCCCCCCATCTTAATCTCCCATGTAGACCGGAGGGTCTACATAAACATCTTACAGTAGACCTTGTCTGTAGTCACATTTGCCACACAGTATCGTGATTAGCGAAGGGCTCTACATGTTACTCTCAAATACTCTCTGCTTTACTTGATCCCAATTTTCATCCAATCAAATAAGGTGAGAATTTTTTTTTTTACCAAAAACAAAAGAGAGACAGAGACAGAGAGAAAAAAAAAAATTAAGGAAAACATCATTGAAATAATCACCTTACCCTTGAAACCTTTACCCCCCCCATCGTCATCAAAAACATATTCAGGACAATGTTCACCAGATCGTTACAAAGACAAGCCGTCAGATTCAACAGCACAGTTGCAAAGTCAGCACCAAGAACCTTGTCCAATGCTTACATCGGTAAGTTGGAAACCAGATGGACCGCATTACCAAAGCAAGACCAACAAACCATTATAGAGGAATTGAAATCGAGAATGGAATTGCCATGGCAAGAATTGTCAGTTGCAGAAAAGAAGGCAGCCTACTATATTTCCTTTGGTGAATGGGGACCAAGAAGACCATTGTATGCACCAGGAGAAAAATCACAAATCTTTTGGATTGTTACTGGCTGTGTTGTGGGATCAGTAGCCTTGTTTGCAGGAATTAGAATGTTGGCCAAACCAGCCCCAGCATCTTTGAACAGAGAATGGCAAGAGAAATCGGACGAGTACTTGAAATCAAAGAATGCCAATCCATTCTCTGGTTACTCACAAATCCAATAAAATCATTCACTTCCTATGGCGATTTTACAGAGAAACCGTCTAAAGAAACAAAGCATATACTACTGAAGTGGTGTTTTTGGCCCATGGAGGGGATTTATTTATGTCTTCAATCCACAATAAACGAATTTTCGAAAAGGCAAAAAAAAAAACAAAAAACAAAACAAAGAAAACACAATGATTGTAGTAAACTCTATATAATTATAAGATCCTCAAAAATTACTCTGCTCTAACTGTTGAATTTCATCAGTCAATTGGCGCCGTGCAATTTCTTGTTGCTTCAAAACATAATTCAAGTGATTTATATACTCAACCGATTTGCCCAAAATGGTGGACTTGTTGGGCTTTGTTTCCTTAACCTTGATGGAACTGATCAAATCGTTCAAATCACTTGAGTTGATGTTACTCTTTTGTTGCAAGGCCAGTACGGCACTCAATTGCGGATTCAACAATGACGGAGGTACAATAATTCCCAATTCTCTTATCCTCTCCTTGATCAAATCACGTCTTCTTCGCTCAACTGCATTGTGAAACTCTCGGCGTCTCTTCAATTTCTCTTCTTTCGAGAGCTGTTTTGTTGGGACTGAAGCATCGGGTTTCCCACTGGGGACCGATGTGCTTAGCACTGCCGATTGCGACGTCACCGGCGGCGACAATGAGTTCCAATTATCCTGTCTTATTGGGTGATTGGGGATTGAAGAGCTCATGTTTTGCGAAGGGACAGTCAAGCTCATCGAGCGATTGTGACTGCTACTATTGTTATTGTTGTTGTTGTTGTTGTTGTTACTATAATTGTTGTAATTGTGGCTAACCGGTGGCGAGTTCAAGTACGACACGTCGTTAAAGTCTGGTGAAACATAAGATGTGGCGTTTAGTTGAGGTGATAAGTAAGAGTCTGTCTGGGGAATATTTGCACCCTGCCCATAAGAAGGTCCACTAATGCTGCCGTGCCTTGACAACTCCGGGCTAAATATATCTCCTGAATTGTTATCAAATGCATCTTCGGCTATTGACCGCAAGGAATTGAAATGGTTTCCCTGTCGATCCGGTGGAGAAAAGTACTGAGGATTGAGAAATGCACTTTCTTCGTAATTGTTACCTGGTGATATCAACTCATCCAAATTGGCGGAGTTAGCGGCGAATGGCTGTGCACTTTGCAATTGTGGCGAAAACAGCTGAGGTGATAAGTTATCGGTACCTTGTTGTGGCACATTCAATTGCGGACCCAAAATTGCTTGTGAAAATGCCACATCATCTAAAAATGGTTCACTTGTAAAAGAGCCTGGATTGGATCCTGAAAACGGTTCCGAATTCATTCTTTGGTGGCCAGGTTGAAACTGGTTGTTTACTGTGCTTTGGGACTGCGACTGCAGACCTTGTTGATTATATGTGAACCCCATAGGACTCAAATAGTCACTTCCTGATAATAGTGTATTTGAATTGAAACCCGAGCCAGGGGTGTTTGAGTTGATGTTGCTTCCACTACTGAAATAGTTTCTCGAGGTGTCATTTCTATAGTTTTCATCGTAGTTGTTGGTCAAGTCCAAAGAATAATCCTGCTGTTCCCCACTCTCGCCAAGTGGGTCCAAGTTCAAGTTGAGCGATTGTGAATTATCCTCGGTATCTTGGGTTGTATAGTTAAAATTGTTGAATTCCTCACTGGGCTTGGAAATATCCGAGGGACTATCCTTTAAAAAATCTTCCATGACCAATTGCAGCAAATACTAGCTGGTGTTGTAGGCGATGTAATGTGCTCTTCAGAGTGTGCAGAGATAAGCCAAAAGGTGAACGTGCAGAAGATTGTAATTGTTTTCGTTTTCATCTTCTCCTTTTTTCCTCTTTTCTCTTTCTTTCTCTCTCTCTCCCCCTTGAAATCCGTCTAAACACTAACATAGTTTAGGTTTCCCCTCCCCCCCCCCCACTATCTTCAAATATAATGTCAAACGATACAGAGAACGTGTTCAGACAACTGTTTCGCAACTGGAATGTACGATCATCTACTCAAACAGGCACCACCAACCGACCCGTACTACTGGAATGGACCGATTACATTAAATCTGGCGCAAACGATATCTACAGTAGATTGCCCACATCCATTCAAGATGCCACCAACAGTAACCCCACACAGGAACCATCGTGGTTTACTCTATCAAGGTTTGAACGGCTAGTTGGGTTTGGTTGTTGTCTTGCAGCATCAATCTTGTGTTTTGTTTTATGCTTTTTCATGTTCCCCGTATTGGCCCTTAGACCTCGGAAGTTTGGTTTGCTTTGGACTGGTGGGTCTGTGTTGTTTCTTGTTTCATTTGGGGTTTTGCAAGGACCTCATAGCTATATACGGCATTTGCTATCTCGTGATCGAATAGTCTTTACAACCATATTCTTCACGTCGATACTTTTGACATTGTACTCGAGCGTGGTGATCAAGAGTAGTTTGTTAACTATATTCACCAGTATTATTGAGATTTTAGCTGTAGCTTACTACACCGTCAGCTATTTCCCATTTGGTGCTTCTACATTAACATTTTTCACAAGTTATATATTCGGATACCTTGGTGGTTTAATTGGTGGAATTTTATAAATAGGAATGATTACATGAAATTTCTACTTTACAACTTTTCACTCTCTTCCTTTTCCAACTCCTTTTTCAATTCGTTGTAGTATTCTTCCAATTTGGGGAAATTGGTTTCCTCAGCGGGCCAGCCAACACCCAACCCTGTTTTATCATCCCTTTTAGGAATCAAGTGGAAATGCACATGATCAACAACTTGATGAGCAATCCGACCATTGTTTTGCAAGACATTGTATCCTTCACCTTCTGGAGTGTTGTTTTCATCCAATTTCAAAACACGGGTCAACCTTTTGACAACAGGTAAAAGGTCGCTCAAGTAGTCATCGGGAATATTGTGGAGTTTAGCTCCATGATGTTTGGGAATAATCAACACATGTCCTTTGGCAGTTGGTTGAATGTCCAAGAATGAGTACGTCTTGGCTGTCTCAATCAATTTAAAGGATGGGATTTCACCTTTAATGATTTTGCAAAAGATACAAGAAGCGTTTGAAGACATTGGTTGACGAAGGAGTATGGTTGAATCTCCACACTAACACTCACCACTGAATCCCCTCTTTTTTTTTTTTCTCTCTCTCTCTCTCTCTCTCTCCTTCTTAGCTCGAGGAGCTACCACGTCGGGTAAAGGCGTCACGAGGAGACTCCGAATTCCTATGCCCTTCTCACACAGTTCATGTTTAGTGCCACCAATGCAGATACTACACCCTATGCTCGCAGTTACTTAGTTTCCATTTATAGCCTGCTCTGACAGCGGAATTCGTGTTGTATGTGATTGCTAAATATGCACTTGCTCTAGTGCTTTCTTATTCTTGCTTTTATGATATCTGGCAGGCTTTCCAAATAGGATCTCCTGCTTCCACTGCAGCAAGTGACAGCTTGCTACCAAAGAATACTATCCACGGATCATTCCGATTCCAAGGGTTGTCTCTTTGCAGTGTGTTGTTATCAAATTTTGCCACCAAAAGTGTACTCCAATGTCGCAACTGTTCACTCTACGACAATGGTTTACATTTTCTCTCTCTCTTTCTCTTTCTTTGAACAACACACTTAACTTACTTACTTACACACGTACACACATACACACACACGCACACGCACTTTAATTTATTTGCCATCAAAACTGATTCCAAACTTTCGACAACTTACATCTCTTACACTTTCTTCTTTTCACAATCACTCATACCACTTTTTCTCACTACATACATCTTATACATACAAATGACAGGAGAGGAAGATAAGAAACAACACTATGATGCCTCTGGTGCATCAGCTGTCGATGACAAAACCGCGACAGCTATCTTGAGAAGAAAGAAGAAGGATAATGCCTTGGTTGTTGATGATGCAACCAACGATGACAATTCAGTCATCACTATGTCATCCAACACCATGGAGTTATTACAATTATTCCGTGGTGACACCGTCTTGGTCAAGGGTAAAAAGAGAAAGGATACCGTGTTGATTGTTCTTGCTGACGACGATATGGACGATGGCGTTGCCAGAATTAACAGATGCGTGCGTAACAACTTGCGCGTCAGGCTAGGTGATATTATCACTGTTCATCCATGTCCTGATATCAAGTATGCTAACAGAATCTCAGTCTTGCCAATTGCCGACACCATTGAGGGTATCACAGGATCATTGTTTGACCTCTACTTGAAACCATACTTTGTTGAGGCTTATAGACCTGTGAGAAAAGGTGATTACTTTACAGTAAGGGGTGGTATGAGACAAGTTGAGTTTAAAGTTGTTGAAGTTGACCCAGAAGAGATTGCAATCGTTGCCCAAGATACCATCATCCATTGTGAGGGAGAACCTATTAATCGTGAGGATGAAGAAAACAATATGAATGAGGTTGGTTACGATGATATTGGTGGATGCAAGAAACAGATGGCTCAAATTAGAGAGTTGGTGGAATTGCCATTGAGACATCCTCAATTGTTCAAGTCGATTGGTATCAAGCCACCAAAAGGTATTTTGATGTACGGACCTCCAGGTACTGGTAAAACAATTATGGCCAGAGCTGTGGCCAATGAAACTGGTGCGTTTTTCTTTTTAATCAACGGTCCAGAAATCATGTCCAAGATGGCTGGTGAATCAGAATCGAATTTGAGAAAGGCTTTTGAGGAGGCGGAAAAAAACTCTCCTTCAATCATTTTCATTGATGAAATTGACTCCATTGCACCAAAGAGAGACAAGACTAATGGTGAAGTTGAAAGAAGGGTTGTTTCACAATTGTTGACTCTTATGGATGGTATGAAGGCCAGATCTAATGTTGTTGTTATTGCTGCCACCAATAGACCAAATTCCATTGACCCTGCTTTGAGAAGATTTGGTAGATTTGATAGAGAGGTTGACATTGGAGTGCCAGATGCCGAGGGCCGTATGGAAATTTTGAGAATACACACAAAGAACATGAAGTTGGCCGAAGACGTTGACTTGGAGGCAATTGCTTCGGAAACTCATGGTTTTGTTGGTGCTGATATTGCATCATTGTGTTCTGAGGCAGCCATGCAACAAATCCGTGAAAAGATGGATCTTATTGATTTGGAAGAGGAGACAATTGACGCTGATGTTTTGAACTCGCTTGGTGTTACTCAAGAAAACTTTAGATTTGCTCTTGGCAACTCCAACCCATCTGCGTTGCGTGAAACTGTTGTTGAGAACGTCAATGTTACTTGGGACGATATTGGTGGTTTGGACAACATCAAGAATGAATTGAAGGAAACGGTTGAGTATCCTGTATTGCATCCTGAACAATATCAAAAGTTTGGTTTGGCTCCTACCAAGGGTGTTTTGTTCTTTGGTCCACCTGGTACAGGTAAGACTTTGTTGGCCAAAGCAGTTGCTACAGAAGTATCTGCCAACTTCATCAGTGTTAAAGGTCCTGAGTTGTTGAGTATGTGGTACGGTGAGTCGGAATCCAATATCCGTGATATTTTCGACAAGGCAAGAGCTGCTGCTCCAACTGTTGTGTTTTTGGATGAATTGGATTCCATTGCTAAGTCAAGAGGTGGCTCAAATGGTGATGCGGGCGGTGCCTCGGATAGAGTTGTTAACCAGTTGTTGACGGAAATGGATGGTATGAATGCCAAGAAGAATGTATTTGTCATTGGTGCCACCAACAGACCTGATCAAATTGATCCAGCCTTGTTGAGACCTGGTAGATTAGATCAGTTGATTTATGTTCCATTACCCGATGAGGCAGCTAGACTTTCTATCTTGAATGCTCAATTGAGAAACACGCCTTTGGAACCAGGATTGGACTTGAATGAAATTGCCAAGATTACTCATGGTTTCTCTGGTGCTGATTTGAGCTACATTGTACAAAGGGCTGCCAAATTTGCCATCAAGGATTCCATTGAAGCCCAAGTCAAGGCCAACAAAGAGAAGGGTGAAGATGTTGAAATGAAAGGTGATGGTGGTGCAGTTGAGGAGGAGGCTGATCCAGTCCCATACATTACCACCTCACATTTCGAAGAGGCAATGAAAACGGCCAAGAGATCTGTTTCTGATGCTGAACTACGTCGTTATGAGGCATATGCCCTGCAATTGATGGCATCAAGGGGCCAATTCACCAATTTCAAGTTTAATCAAGGTGGTGCATCATTTGGCACTGAAGAGCAAAATCAAGAAGAGGATGATTTGTACAGTTAGAGATATAGTGGAGTTAAATAACAACAAAGCTTTCTATAAAATTTTTGTTTATTATAAAATAATATTTCACCTCTTTATAGCGTCAAAATTGTACATTTTTTTATTATTCCTTCCATCAGCCTTGTGAGGGTTCTTTTGATTAATTTGAAAACATTCCAAAATACATTGCTTGATATTCTCTACACTTTGTTGACTCAATTGGAAATGACACGCGATTCGACCACCCATTAGTTTAACGTTATATTTGTTTCCCAATTCAATGAGCAACTTATCATCCATGTGGTTCTTCTTTAGGTCGATAAATACGAAATTTGTGTCAACGGGCGACTCAAGCAAAATCCCATTGGCTTGACAGAAGTCACCAATTTGCTTTGCATAAATATGAGATTTCTTGAGCAAAGGTATATGGTTGTCGACTGCATGTAAAGCCATTGCTGTCATTATACCAGCTTGCCTTATTCCACCACCATTTTGCTTTTTGAAATGGTTTGCCTTTTTAATTAGTGTGGTTGATCCAACGAGGATAGATCCCATTGGGGCACCCAATGATTTTGATAAGCAAAGGGACACTGAATCGAAATAAGAACAATATTCCTTTATACTTATACCTGTTGCGACTGATGCATTCCAGAGTCTTGCCCCGTCCAAGTGCAACTTTATGTCGTTTTGTTTGCAAAAATGGCTTATCTTGGCAATCTCCTCCAAGGGCATTATTATTCCATGTAATGTGTTTTCCAACGAGATGACTTTTGTTGGAGCAGCATGAATATCTCCATCATCAAATGTCACATTCAGAACCACATCTTCAAAAGTTAGGTAGTTCCCGTTAGATGGAATAACAGGATGGACCATGGCTTGACTCAAGGTTGCTAATCCACCAGCCTCGTGCAAAAAGACGTGCGAGCGGTGATCACACAATATGCTATATGGTGGCTGGTACAAGTTTGCTCTGAGTCCAATTTGGTTCGACAAGGTACCAGATGAGCAGAAAAGGGCAGCTTCTTTCCCGGTTATGTCACACATGCGAGCTTCTAAGTCCAATGTGGCTTGGTCTTCGCAGTAGACTGAGTCACCATACGTGGCATTCATAAACCCTGCTTCAACCATGGACCTTGTGGGCACAGTGAATGTATCACTTCTGAATTCATTGTATGTGGCGAAAACTTCTTCTTCATCAACGGTCATGTTGTTTTGTATACTGTAGAGGGAACAAGCAGCGAAGGGAAATGTGGTGGAGGAGACGTTTAATAATGAAGAAGAAAGATAGTCTACGGTTCCAATCTTTTTAGAAAAACTTGTTGAAGTATTTTAAAGAAGTCTTCCATCTCTACTCCGAGCGATTTTTTTTTTTTTTTCAACTTTTGTGGCGCAAGGCATTCTGATGGTTATAGTCGCAGAGAAAGAGAGAGAAAGAGGAAAGAGGAAAGAGGGGTCCCAATGCTACTTCTTCCCCTCTCCCCCAATTGCAATATTGCCTTAGCTTCTATTTGCATAGTTTATAGCATCTCTCTGCATTAGATAACCCAACAGCAAAGAGTTGACTAATTAAATCTATCAGCTAAGTGAAACTCAGTTCTTTTTTCTTTTTTTTGATTAGTAAAGGGAGAGGGGGGTTGCAAATTGAATTTCTTTTTTTTTTTTTTTTTGTTTCAAATGCCGCGAATGGTAATACCGAGTATAACCGAATAAGCAACAACAACAACAACAACAACAGCACTCATTTACAAACTGAGTCTCCTCTTTTACAGAAGCTTTGGTCAGCAACCTTTTTATTTTTAAGATCACCCTGTAGATGCTTAGCATAGCATGAATGATACTTGGTTGAAAAAAAGTGTGTCACAGTTTTTTGTTTTGTTTTGTTTTCGACTACACAAAATGCAAAATCGTGAAAATGGAAGTATAAAGCGAGAAACAAACGGAAACTTTTGCAAAATGACCCGCAACAACTAGTAGCTTAATCAACACATCATTTTCTTTTTGGAAGCATCTGTCAATGTTACAAGGAGTCAATTATTGTAGCCTGTTTCCCCGCTTAGTGTGGAGTAAAGTCGAAAGGAGCAAGATTTTCTGACGAGTCTTCCTTATCCGTTGAATGTAAATGCTGAAGCAGCGAGAAGGGATGTGCAGTGGAAGTGGTGTTCCCGCCTGTGTTTAGCAAATTAAACCGGTCACCAAAAGGCTGAAATTCCCTCGACTGAGGAGATGTAGAAAGCTGTGCAGGCCCCGTATTAGAATATAGCTCATTTCTCCATATTGGCGAATTGCTAGACATGGCACTGATGCTGTTGTTACCCCTCTCATTGAGCCAAATATTCTGCGAAGGCGAAACCAAGAACCCGTTTTGCGTTGCTCGTGCGGCTGTTGGCTGCACAAATTCATGCAAAGAGGAGCCAGTTCCTGTGGGGGCTGCTGGAGGATTCCACACCTCCGACAAGGATCTAGAATGATTAGGATCGTACAAGCGGGACTCCAAGCCTTGTGGTGCTTGGATCGAGGGAGCCAAGTTGCCGTAAAACGAAGTTTGGGTGGGAGAAACAACTTCACTCGGTTCATTAAAGACTGGTAAATTTGGGTTGAATGGTTCATGCAACGCAGGATCAGAGTGCATCGGAGAGTTTACTTCTAAACCTCTTGCCAATGCATTGATTTGTTTCAAGCTGATATAGGACTGGTCACCACCACGTGTTTGAAAATCGGCCATTGGAGGTATTTGTCCTTGTTGTGGAACAAATGGTTGATCATCGTAATCCTGGGGTAAAGATGGAGGTTGGGTCACTGGAGCTTGGTTCTCATTATTCGTGTACACCTGACTGTAATGGTTACGGAACGAACTGCCAACCTCCTCTGTGGCTGCATTTCTCTCAGCTTTGCCTTGACTACTGAATCGAGGCTTTGGTAATGCATTGCCATACCCGCCAAACTCAATAGAAGCTTGATATTCATTCAATTTGACTGGCTGGTAACTGTCATCTATGTTCAATTTAGCAATCTCCAAAGCCTGATGGACGGCAACAAAGTTCTTAACTTCTGCCTTGAAGGCCGATTTCCAATGATTTTCAATTTCTTGGTAATTGTTTATCTCACGCATAATCTCATCTTGCCACGATGGAATCAATTGAAAAATCTTCAATAATGCTTCAAACGAATTCTTTGTAAGCGATCCATCTTTGTTGAAAATAGATGCATTTAGCAGATGAAGGGAAGTTGACGAACCATTAGGACCAGGACTTGGTGATGCAGAATGATCATGGGTGGTTTGGTTATTGAATTGGTCCAATAGTGGCCTTAGTTTATTCTTTAAAACAATAGTGTCCTTTTTCTCAACCGTTAGACTCTTTAATGATTCCTCAACAGCTTCGTACTGCTGTTTGTCGTTTTGCAACTGTTGAAGCACTTTTTCCATCTCCTCATCAATACTAGCCTTTACTTGTTTTTCCAATTCACTCAAGTGCAGATTTCGTTCTCTCAATTTGATTATCTTTGAATCATTTTCCTGAAACTTTGTACGTTGAATTGCTAATGAGCTGGTGAGGTTGTTTAATTGGGCTATTAATTTCGACTTTTTAAATGACAAGTTATTCTTTACTCTCTCCAAAGCCTTCACGTCGTGGTCTTTTTTATTTTTGGAGTCGGTCTCTTCCTCATACTCTGCTCTGTAAATGTTCAACTCTTTCTGTAAGGTATTTTGCTCTTCTCTAATGGCAGTTTGGAAGTTTGTATACTCAGAATTGGACTTGGCAAGTTCATTTTGGGTTTTGATCAAATAACTGTTTACCAATTTGGCGTCGTCAATATCCTTAATTTGTTCAATTGTGATTGCATTCAAATTCTCATCTCTTGCTTCACTCGAAACTGGTTTCAAAAGATCAGTGTTTTCGACAAGCTGCTTCACGTCATCCTTGCTTAAAGTCTCAATGTAAACAGGTCTCGACTTTGACTTGAAGTTGGTGATTGTATTGCTAGCAACCACTTCAATAGTATAAACTTGCTTGGGGTCGAGGTTGTTTAACTTGCACGACGTCGAAGTCAAACTAGCAACATCTTGACCGTTTATCACAATGATGTAATACAAATTTTCATCGCTTTTCACCTCTATATCCCAGTGAATTACGATCGAGGACTCGTTTATCGAATCGATGCAGATGTTTGGTATATGGGGGATCTCTATATTCAAATCTTCAATAATTTTTTCGACTGGAGTTTGTAGTATCGTGTAGAAGTGGTATAGTAGCCAGCATATTGAGGGAATGATTGTGATCAACACCTCTAGCATTTGGAGGGATATATATATGTATATATGTATATGTGCGTGTATGTGTGTGTTTGGCTGCTGTATTAGGGAAGATAAAATCAAACGAAGAATGAAAATTTTAACTTCCGCTCCATACAAACAAAATCTTTTCCAAAGCTTTATAGAGAGAGAAAGAGAGAAAGAAAGAATTGCAAAAAAAAAAAATAAAGTTTATTACAAGATTTCTCATATGAACACATATACAAATATTCTTCATGACTTAGAAGTGACTATATCTAATGGTGGATGGATACTACTAATTGGCTCCAACTCCTCCAATTTGGTGCTTTCAGAAGTCTCGAGTCCCATTGCAATCCTGTCCTTCTCCTCTTGTTCCATTGTCTTGTGCAAATTGAAGAAATGGATCAACAAAATACCACCAGCCAAGAAAGCGACACCGGCAACTACAGCAAAAACTATCACCAAATATGGGTCAATGATGGCTGGAGTTACAGCCATACTAATAGCAGCACTGATTGCCAAGGTGAAGAGGAATAAAGCGGTGGTGATACCCTTCATAGCAGGCGCTGCCCTGGTGTAAGCAAGGGCATAGATGGTCGCCATTGCAAAACACTCGGAAGCACCGGTCAATATGAAAAATGATGATGCTTGCCAAGCACTGATTGGAGATGGTTCTGGACAGTTGGTTGAGTGGTTACCACACGGAGAAGTTTGGTAGACGCGATGTTGCAAAACAGCACCGGCAACTTGAGCCATGGCAGCAATAACAAAACCCAAAAACACCCTGTGAATTGGTCTAAAGTTGATTCTGTATCTTCTCAAAATTGGGTAGATAACATAGTCCAAGATGGGAATCAACACAATGATTGAAAGTGGGTTAAAGTTGTTGAACAAATCATTTGGAACACCATTCAAATCCATAGCCCCCGCCAATGAAGTGATGACAGATGACAAACCTCCATCAGCCAAATTGTAGAACACAAAGTAAAGAAACAATTTACACGCATCCAATGTTTGCTTAACGTCTAAAACATGTTGATCTGTCCAGTTTATTGGTGTTCCCATTTTGAAAGTTTCACGACCCCTTGCCTTCATCACGGAGGGTTTGGCATATTCCCAAAATGTGCCGTCAAATATACGCTTGACAAAGTTGCCTGAAAACGACACGACAAGAATTTTGAGCACAACACCCAAGATGGAACCACTGGGCTTTTCAAATACCAACTTTGGCTTAACCCACCAAAATGCTATTGGCATAACGAGATAAAGAATCAATGGTACAAAAAACGCCAACCAGAACCCAACACGTCTAGCACAATAAGAAGTTGCCAATTGGAAAAAAGCCCCTATATTGATAGACCAGTAAAATACCAAGGTGACACTTTCCAAAGTCTTTTCCCTATCAACTAAAACTTTCTCACCGCTTTTCAAAACTTTGACTCTATTTCCTGATTCAGGGTACTGATCCAACATCAATGGCAAGAGATTTGGTTTGATAAATCCTGAGCCAAGAGCCAATGTGAAGATGGCAAGAATACAAAGCGCCAAACCAGCTTTGCCATTGGCAATGACACTTGGTGCTGCCGCCACAATGAATAACACATGGGACACACCACCAAATATGACCCCCATTTGAATTGTTTTCCATCTACCCCACTTTGTGTCTGCCAAATAGCCACCAAACAATGGCACAACGTAAGCCAAGAATGAAAGCAAGTTTGTCAATGCACTTGCTGTTTGCAAGCCTCTATCCAAAGCACCAGCACTTTCACTTCCACTATTTGATGCAGGCGCACCCCAACCATGTGGTGAGCCCTCCGGTAATGGTCTTTGGATGAAATTTGTCAAAATACCAGTAACGGAATAGTATGAAGCTCTCTCTGCAAACTCAACAACACAAATCAAAATGATGGCAAAGTTAATCTTACCAATCACTCTCCTCAACGATTGCTCTTCAGTCTTTGTTGGAACTCGTAATCCATTTGGGTTGTACTCGTCAATGTAATTGGTACTGTAGTTATGGGGATCACTGTAGTCGTAATCCTCGTCCAAAGACGGTTCATTTGTTAGGACAATGACGTTTTGCTTCTCGGGCTCGCTCGAGGTACTTGTTCTCATCGTTGATGACAAAAGGGGATACCGATATGGGGTGAAAGCATGTCAGGGATGGATATCATTTGAGGAGAGCTGCCGCATATATATATACATATATATGTATAGCCTTCAAAGTTTCATCTCCCCATCACGCCAAGAAACCAGTTGCGAAAATTGGATTGAATTTGGGGTAGGTGCGAGACTTGGAAACAGTTGATGAGAAGAGAGCTGCAAATGCTACTCTGCCGTGTCAAAGTTCGTGCCGTACGATGAGATTAAGCTTGGCAGATAGTTTATTATCTTGGCAAAATTTCAAAGGGTGAGCAATAGTAAAAAGTTTCGGAAAAAAAAATATATAGATATGAATTGCGGAGTTTTGATACTGATACTGATAGTGGCACTGGTACTAGGGGAGGGAGTGCCAAGTATTTGCAACATCCCAATCTACGGCGTTTTACTAAACTTTCCACAAACTCTGCTCTGATAAGAGATTTTCTTGTGAAAAATTTGTTTAAAAAAAATAAAGGAACAAATTTTTAGAGGTTTTCACATGTTATGATCCTCCGATTTATATCTTCCGCTGGAATGAATAAGCCATCTATGCTGTATAAACGATTGATCATTGGATAAACTTAGTGTCAGTATCCCTCAATGATAGTTTGTTTTGTAGTCTAGATTTGTCCCGCACCAACCATACTGGTATCCGCAACACGTATTGGGGGTTGCATCACGAACTCCGCTCTACATGGTCTTGGGTCTTTATTTCCTCCAATTGTGCCACGCCCAGATGTTTGCTGAATCCCATCGTCTTTCTTGTATAATAACTGTTACATTATGGAACAACATAACAATTGTCTCATGATCCTGCACACAACAACTCAATTGAACCAAACAGTTCATCTCTATAATAGTTACTGGCGCTTGAGTAAAGCTGCAGTATTATCGCTTCTCTGTATTTTTCAACATTTGACAGTGGTTTATTTTAGCGAGGTGCATATTATACAGAGGTAAAAGTTTTGTGTCAACTGATTGTTGCGAAAGAGATTTGGTAGCTTTCATACCGATAGAGATAGATTTCTAGATATAAATCTCTTTTTAACGTACTGTAAACCGAAAAAAAAAAAAAAACAACTTTTCAACGTGTGATAGTGGTGTCAAATTTCCAATCAATATTCAAGGGCAACATCAGCAACTTGTTGAGTAACGTCATCCAAATCAATATCGGTAATAGACTTGATGAATACACTGAAATCAATATTCTCATGGAACCCAGCCAATCCGTCCTTGGTGTTCAAAACTTTTTGCATCAAGTAAGGGGAGTTGGAGAAGGCATACATACCAACGTCAACCGAGGTATGTTGGATAGAGCCCCATAATGTAGCAGCTCTTGAAGCCGTCAAGTTGGAAATAGCAGTCAACAAGCTATCGTCCTCTCCGGCAGCAACCAAATTGGCAAGTCTTTCAACCTCTTCATTAGTGTAGTTTGTCAAACCCAAACCTTCTTCAATGACAGTTGCTCTAATGAAAGAGTTCAATGAATCGGTGTTTTCCTTGTCTTCAAAATCTGAGATGGCATTAGACAAATACTCAGCAGAGCGGGTAGCATTAGCAATAGCATCGTAAGTGCTAAAGGACGTTGACTTGAGATCCAAACCACCAGTTTCGTGATCAGCAGTAGCCAAAACAATAGTGTCGACATCGGTGTTTTGAATGAAATTAAACACCTCAGCAATGGTATCATCATATTCCAAAGTCTCAGCAACGTGAGCAGGAGAGTCATTAGCATGGCCAGCATGATCAATCCTTGAGGACTCAATGACCAAAAAGAATCCTTGATCAGAGTCCGCAGTAGCATTCGCCAATGCATTCAACGCAACTCTAGCTTGCTCAACCAAATTAGGATATTCAGAATCATCTCTGTCGATTCTGTATGGGAAATCGTCTTCAGCAAACAAGCCCAACAATGGCAATTCAACATTTCTGCCTTCATCTAACGAGTCAAACCCCTCTCTGTCTCCAACATAAGTCCAGGTTCCATTGTTTTGGACTTCTTCAATCAAGCTTCTATTATCAGCTCTCAACCCACCTTGATCCAATCCGTAAAAGTACTCTCGACCACCACCAAGGATCAATGAAGGAACAAATCCCAAGGGATGGATCTCACCAACCATCTGCTCGGCAATCAAATCTTGAGATGCTCTATTCTTTGCATGAGCAAACCAAACCGATGGGGTAGCATCAGTAACAGTAGTGGTCACAACAACACCAGTAGTATATCCTTGCAACTTCAAAGCTTCTCCAACTGCTCCAACAGGGAAACCATCAGCGTCAACACTAATGGCACCGTTGTAGGTCTTCCTCCCAGTGGCCAACGCAGTACCAGCCGCGGCAGAGTCGGTAATCAAACTGGAGTTGGATCTGTGACCTTGCATTCCAATCAAGTACTTGTCCAATTCCAAGTAGTCATTGATTGGCAAATCCTCTTTGTATTGTCTAAAGTACCTAGCTAAGGTGACACCACTTGGACCCAACCCGTCACCAACTAAAAAGATGATGTTTTTCTTTGATGGGACAGAGTTGTCGATAGGAGCAGCTTGGACTTTAGCAAATATGAAGAAGTAGACAGCGAGGGCTAATGCCGAGACGTTGAGCAATTTTGGCAATGAAAAGCACATTATTGTTGTTTGGTAGTGGACATAGATTGTAAGTGTCGAGTCTCGAGGGTTAGGGTAATTTTGGACCCATTTTATATCCTTGGAAAAGGATTCACTCCCTGTTGGGTGCCCATGTGGGGACTTACTGCTTTCCCCCACAGCCATTTTTTGTCTCTAATTTAAAGTTCAATTAATCTTTTTCTGCAAGTTGGTTGGGTTATTAATTCCATGGCCTCATTTGGTCAATTCATAAACAGGGTTTGAAAAAGTATTCAAGTATGAAGATCAAAAGCATTGTAGATAGCCGCAGTCTTGTTCTCTTCCACATCATTCACCTCCTATCAATGCGAACTCCATTTGCACTGTCATCGAAGCATGCTTTGCAGTCTCACTCCCGTCATGGATGGGGGTTCGCTGCTTATTGCGAGACCACATGGGCTCCGTAATTAATGGTTTTAATAACGCCAAAATATCTTGGCAAACTGGAGTGGCTATTGGTTGAAATGGCGCCGCACATTTGAATGAGAAATAAACTACATCAATGGAAGCAAATGTGCTGTTAGAAACGGCTGTGACACCGTCATCATGCAGCTACTTCTGTCTCCCACCCCTGGCTTCCAATTGAGTTCACCTTCGTACCTGCTTTGCCGTGCGTCGAGGTACACTACCTCATTTGCCGATATTCCTACCAATGATGAATATATCGACCACATGGGCCACTTCTAGAATATTTTGGACATTAATTTTTTCTTGTCAAAAGATCTTGGCAGAAGAGTCTTTTGACGAGAGCCACAATGAAATTGTCAAGGATGGACTCGTTCGCCTTTGAGAAACAATCTTGAGTGGAAAAGGTGATTGAAGTAAGAGAAGGAGTGGTGGTGGTGGTGGTGGTGGTGTATTGTTCAGTTGTGGTTAGCTCAACTTGTGCAAGACGGTTTATTTTCCGGTGACTAAAGGATTGCTACATTTGCTTTGCTCTTTCTGGTTGCAAAATTCTTCAAACACTGAAAGTGACTTCGACATATCGATTGAAAATCTCTTTGAGAGGATGCTAATTATAATTGCTATATGTTTGTGTCCTTGAGGGGTAGATCCCACGATCCATCAAGGACACAATTGTGGTGTCCGGTTTCTACTGCATTACACTCTTCTGTGCAGTTATAACGGTTTGAGTCGCTTCCATTGCATCAAATGATTTCAGCTCCTAACTGCAAAGCACAGCTCTGCAAATAATTAATGTGTTTGCGGTTTGGTTTAACCACACTCAGAATCCAGTAGACCTCAGCGGTCGGTATTCATTTGTGCTCTACAATTCAAATTCCAAGGAGAATGAGATCCACTAGTTTTGAAATACCAACATCTTTTATTCACTATACACACTATAAGCCTCCTAAATCTTATAGTTCAGCTCATCAACACCGTTCATTTTCTTTGGCAAACGCACAGCAATGCCCAATGGATAGATTTGAACACTGTCAATATCCCAGATCCCTTCTCGGTAGTAAACATCCTTTTTCAAAAACTCAATAATCTCATCTCTTGAATTTGCAGCTAAATGGAATGTACTTCCTGCAAACTTGGTTCTTGATTCATCGGTATAGATGGCTCCTGCAGAATGGACTGGGTTGGGAACGTTAGCAGGGATGTCTGCAACATGTTGTGGACGGACTTTGGTTCTGTCGGTGTTGGGGAAGTCATAGACTGTAACTAAATATTCTGATGACATTGTACGCAAGCTTGATGAAAATCTTCGAATAGGAGTCAAGAATCTAATCATAATATATATAAGGTTGCAGTTTTGTCGGCGAAAATTCGTCTCAGATTTTTTACTTTTTTCCGTCTCTTTTTTATTTTTTTTTGGGTTGGCCCTAGTTCCACCAAAAATCTGGGGAAGGGGGAAGGGGAAAACCACAACCCGTCAAATAAAGAGATAAGGTGAGGAAGTATGGTCATCTCACAATAAATTAAAATACAAAAAGTCTATACGAATAACACGAATCTTCCTCTTTGCCTCAACTGACGGCATTCTCCTTCAATTCACCATTCAAGTCATAGGGCTTGACTTCTTCACCATTCTGTGGCTTATTCACTGGAGAGAATTGCAATTGGTGGTTTTCTTGCTGCAACTTTCCCACTTCTGTCTTTAACTTCTCAACCTCCTTTTCTAGTCTCCTTCCAAACACATCAATGTACCAAGTGGCACCATTATAACTAGCCCAAATGAATATGAATGTGACAAATGCACCACATGCATGCTTGTACTTGAACCAAATGGGGCAAGGCAACATTGTAAGCAATTGGTATCCAAATTGGATAAGCGTGAAAGCTAGCGTTTGCATCCATAAATAAGGCAAGCCATTTACAAATTTGCCCAATGGTGTTGACTTGTTTTTCTTCTTCAAGTATGAAAAGCTGGTGACTTTACCCTTTTCAATTTCAGCTTTGCGCTTGATGGTGATAAAGTAATGGTAGGAAACTTGCCAAATGGTGTAGTATACGGAGGTGACAACGAGACTGGTGAAAAAGTTCCAGCTATCGATAGCAGCAATTCCAGGGTATCGTTCCTTGATGTATTCGGGATCTAGTTCATGTACAATGACAAACATCGTGACTGGTGGCATAATGTGTATAAACGACGAAGTGGTCTTTTCCACTGAGTGAAGAACCAACGAGTTTCTCCAAGTAATCACAGCCCACGACAAAGTCCCCAAGGATAACGAAAACACCGACACAAACAAGGTGGGCGATTGAGGAAAGACCCAAATAAATAGCATCAACAACAAGTTCACATAGTAGCACAAGTCTGCCAAGTAGTACTGGAAAGATTGCTTGAAATAAGTGTAGAACCTAATAGGCATCAACACGACAAAGAGTCCTGTGTGGAAATGAGGAAAATATTCCGGGTATTTGCCAATTGTGAAGCCAGCACAAGCAATGACAAACACACTTATAGCGTAGAACAACTTTTCAGTCGAAGTGCTGGTAAGATTCTTGTGGATTCTTTCATCAAACTTGGTCAACCTCTGGTTTAAAATATCTTGCAATTTATCCAATTCGATGTTACCCTTCTTGTTGTATATATTGAACTTCTCCCTAGTCTTGTTCTTTACACTGTTTATCCTCCTCTTTGTGGTGCTACTGACACCGTTTAGATCTAGCCCAAAATCAAAGTCTCTTGCAAATACTAGTTTGGATAGATCTAAAAACGGGACCGATGTAGTTGAATCACTACGCATCAATTGTGGTGAATCACTACTAAGCAGTGCCGTGCTGCCATTTGACGAAGTGTAGAAGTCATCATCATCATCATCATCCGCTATAGCGGATTCGATGCTATTGGAGTCACTTTTTAAGTTGGATAATATTGGTTCACTGCTTACTTTCTTTGCCATGTTGGGGATGGGTTGCTGCTGTGGGTAGTGTTAATGTGTGAGTGAGTGTGATTGTGGTTATTTGCGGCATTACTTTTCATTTTTTTTTTCGATACGCACGTGTGATTTTTTTATTTTGTTTTTGGTGTGATTACAAGAGCGCTACCATTAAATCACTATTACGTCGCATTTCGAGTGAGCAGAGACGTGCCAGAGAAGACTGAGCATATATAGTACGTGATGCTGGCAGTATGTGGGCACAAGGTTCAGATGGACTACAATTTTTTTCTTTTTGTTTTGTTTTTGTTTTGTTATATAGTGTATGATATATCTTCTCCATGGATCCAATCTTAAATCTTAAGTGGGGTACAAATTCCGAGATCTCAGCTACAAGGAGATCCTTACGACTCCAAATCACAAAATACCTTCATAATTCAAGTCCCAACTTTACTTAAGTGGAGCAAACCTCTCTATTCTTTCCCTTCTCTCACCCAACTTGTCAAGTTTGATACCAGCACCAAATTGTGGTCCCCAAGGCGAGTGAGCAGCAATCAAATTTGTATTTGTAACATCCTCTCCACTTCCTCTTCTATAAGCAGTATTACCAAACCCAGATCCACCATTATCTGCGATGTAAGTTTTGATGAAACCCAATTTGTAGCGGCTTTCGTATCCTTCTTCTCTCAAATGATCACGCTTCCCATTTGTTTCTTGGTCAAAAAGACCAGACTTGAAAAGGGTAGACTCTGTATTGTCCTTGTTCTTATAGAGTGCCCATCCACCCACTAGTGACACGACAGCTAATATCTTTGCAAATGTGATTTCAATTGGTTTCTTTTCAACATTGTGATGTCCGTGTGAGGAGTTGAATCTTTTTGCAGTAATTGCAGTGCGTAACGCTTTCTGTCTGACTGAGTTGGTGAACATTGATGCCTGTAGTAGTGATGTGCTAGGGTCTCGCGATGATGGTAGGCTACTATTGGGTTTGTTATATTTTTCCTTCACTTTTAATTTTCGTTTTTCGTCAACCAATGAAAAAAGTTGGTAGATGAAAATACAAGGATTATATACAGGAACATGAAGAGAAAGTGGTTTTACTGGGGGGGGGGGGGTAAAAAACCGAACCGTAAATTGAAACCTATACATCTATGGACCACCTTCGTGACAATTTTCAACTATGCTGTTATGAGCCTTGTCTTGACTATGCTTTCCACTCTTTTGAATGTACCATTTGTTTTCTTTCTTTTTGTTTTGTTTTATACTTCTGCTGTATTTCAATTGCAGTGTTCCGTTTTCAAAGACCAGCTTCTCCAACATGTACCGACGGTCACTTATCCTTTGAGTCGTCCCACTTTTGAAACCAGCTTGGTCGATAAGTACGTTGGTTGTAAGACGGAAGATAGCTCGAACTGGGTGAGTTTGAAGTTTTGCGAGCCAACTTCTTCGCACCTCCGGTCTGTGAAAACCTAGATAATGTGAAATCCGTGGCAAGTACAAATATAGGACCTAATAGTAGTAGGCTGTTGGTAGGGAAGTGCTTCATATGCATGTTTGATATACTGATATGACTGGTGAATGTGATCAAATATGGGGGGGGGCTAGTGGTCTGGAAAACTTTTTGTCATTCGATGATCTTTAACTGATTGCTGCTGCAGCATTGCTTTTTATCTTTTTTTCCTTTTTTTATTTTCTTTTTTTTGCTTCTGTATTGGGCGACAACAGCGATCAAGAGATGTCTACAGCAACTTCAGTGATCCCCAAAGCTTTATCCAATTGCGAGTCACAGCTTGACTCGATGGAGCTAGAGTCGGTGGTGGTACATACACCTGTGCCTGATGCGCATTACATTAAGTACTCAATCAGCTAAGCATTGTGGGTATGAAAAAAAAAAAAAAACGCAAAAAAGACTACATTTGAGGCGCCCGTCTTAATCGCCAGTTGGACCGACTTTCAAACGTATTCGACTGACTACAATATGCACCCACTTGTTGCAAATTCAGATCTCTGTTGGTTGCAAAAGTTGTGATTGACTGACTGTCTGACTGTTGCTAATTAGAATACCCGTTTCTTTTGAAATGTACTTGTCCCCTTTTGTACAACTTTGTTTTATTTTCCGTGGTTAATGCTGAAGAAGACGACTAAATTTTACACAAAAAAGGAAAGCAGATTATCCGTAAATATGATGTTTCCCACGTAATTTTTAACTCTCAACGTTAGATTCCCCTGCCCTTGGTCGGGTATTCATTGAGCAGATAAATACAATACTGACATGTTCCACTGTTGGCGCAGGTGCTTTTGTGTACGACAATGCCAAACAGAGGACATACGATGTACCAATTATTAACGATCTTCGGTGGACCCCTTACCACACTTCCGGACCACAATCGTTTCTTTTGGGATCTTGGACAAGCATTGCTCACGGTCAACATTGACTCTTTTCAAATATGTCTGATGTTTAGTCCTTCTACAATGTTTTGTATTGTATCTGGGAATCTCTCTCTCTGGCAAGACTCTGAGTGGATAAAAAAGTCTTACAGCGAAGACGAGTTAGCCGTTTCCGAAGAATAGCCCATTGTGCATGGAACAACAATAATAAGCAGCCAAAGAAAAAAAAGAAACTAAATGTTCTTTATTCTTCTTTTGTGCAACAGCAGCAGCATTGTAGTATAGTATAGTATAGTATAGTATAATATTATTAGTATTGCCGGTATAGGTAATTGCTTTAACACCGGGTACATCTCTTCCCTAAATTGTAATTGCTCAGATAAATAACGCAGTGCTATAAATACAACAAGATCTCTTTCTCTCCCCTCCCTCCCCTCACACCTTGAAAAAACATGACATTGTAAAATAAACAGTGTTGACCATATACAATGTCTTCATCCTCAGATAACAGAAGCAAGATAAATTCGTACCATAGTGACGACGATGATGGTGCGTCCTCAGCTAATACTAGTGATGACTTTGTCGTACACAACTTACAAGATGTCACTTCAATACAATCAGACAGGGAAAAGACATTGGGACTAGCGCGAACAGAAACCAAAAAGGATTTGGAACTCCTTGGAGTCACTAGTGCAAGACCACCCCCATCAATAACGGCTCCACCGGTTGAAGATCCAATTTTCCCAGAAGAGTATGGGTTAGAAACAACAACAGGGTTGGTGAGAGCCAAAACTTTGGAAAGTTTGGGAAGAACAAAATCCCACAAGAGCGAAATTAAAGATGACACTGAATTTGTCACTTTTACCATTGGCGACCGTGAAAACCCTCACAATTGGCCCATGGCCATCAAATGGCTCTACACTTTTTTGCTTTCCATGTTGGTGATATGTGCAGCTTATGGTTCTTCTTGTCTATCGGGTGGATTATTCACAATCAACGATAAATATGGCGTGTCAACTGAAGTTTCAACATTGACTGTGTCGCTAATGGTGTTGGGTTTTTGTGTTGGTCCTCTTCTTTGGGCACCATTGTCGGAGCAAATTGGAAGAAGACCAGTTTATTTCATCAGTTTTGGACTTTATACTGTGTTGAATGTACCTTGTGCATTGTCACCAAACATTGGAGGATTGTTAGCTTCTCGTTTCCTTTGTGGTGTGTGTGCAGCTAGCGCATTGACTAATGTTGGTGCTAGTTTGGTAGACATGCACAACGATACTCGTGGAATTGCAATTGCATTTTTCAGTTTTTGTCCTTATAGTGGTCCAGTTTTTGGAGGTCTTGTGAATGGGTTCATTAGTGTAGGTACAAACAGACTTGATATTATGATTTGGGTCAATATGGCTTTTGCTGGTGTCATGTGGATCATTGTTTCACTTATTCCAGAGACATACGCTCCAGTCATTTTGAAACAAAGAGCCAAGAGGTTGAGAAAAGAGACTGGAAACATGAACATCATGACAGAACAAGAAGCCACGCCTTTGTCATTCAAGGAGTTGGTCAACACAAACTTGCTTCTTCCATTGAAATTCACAATCACTGAGCCTATCTTGGATTTGGTTTGTGGGTTTGTTGCCTTGATTTACGCCTTGTTGTACGCCTTCTTTTTCGCCTACCCATACATCTTCAGCAAGTTGTACGGATACAAGGACAACAAAATCGGTCTTATGTTTGTTCCAATTTTGATTGGGGCTGGACTTGCCTTGACAACAACACCATACATTGAAAAGAAGTATAAGGAATTGTGTAAAAGAAGGAAACCAGAACCAGAAGATAGACTTATTGGAGCCATGATCGGCGCACCATTCCCTTGCATTGCTTTATTCATCTTGGGTGCCACTTCATACAAACACATTATCTGGGTTGGTCCTGCTTCATCCGGTATTGCATTTGGTTATGGAATGGTTTTGATTTACTACTCGTTGAACAACTACATCATTGACACATACGCAAAGTATGCCGCTTCTGCATTGGCAACAAAAGTGTTTCTCAGATCAGCTGGTGGTGCTGCTTTCCCATTGTTTATCACTTACATGTATGAAGGATTAGGATTGCAGTGGGCTAGTTGGTTGTTGGCATTTGTTTGTTTGGCCATGATCTTGGTTCCATTTGGTTTTTACAAATATGGAGGTAGGTTGAGACAGAAGTGGTGTAAAGAAGATTACACCGTGCATTATGATGAATAGAGTTTACATTTTAGTTTTAGAAACATAATATACACATGTATTTATTGAACCTTTGTCTTTAATGATGTCAAGAAATCTCTATACGATTGCTCAGATCCAGTCTTGTCTTCAACCAAGCAACTTGATGCCCACATTCTCAAAGCCATAAGATCACGTTGTTGTGAGATTTCTATAGGCTCATTGGATGAAGCACCAACAACAACGTACAAGTTCTTCCAAACGACGGAGTCCTTTTGCTCCCTAATTGCGCTAATGATTTGACGAACCCTGTAATTGAATTCACTTTCTTCAATAGACATTTCAGGCAATTCTGTTTTACCCGTGGTAATCTCATACAAGTTTTCAGTACCAAACACGTCATGAATCAAGCCAGGCACAACATTACCTGAGACCCAAAGGAACAATTCACTGCCATTATCAATCAAGTACAACCCGTAGTTCTCCCAAGAGGTTTTGGTGTCATTGATTGGCTCAGGCAACACAATTTCAGACTCTTCATCTTCTAATCCACATGCGTCAGGCATATTGTGCAATGAATACACTGTAGGATAGATGGACTTTATCAATTGCGGAATTGGCAACGATCCCAAGTTGTTTAAAGCAGCAGCTCTATGATCAGAAGGTACACGATCGCTTCTAAATGCCAAGTTTTTTGTCAAACACAACAACAACAAAGGCAACATTCTCAAGTTTGTAGAGATTTGCAAGGGCGAGGCACCTGATACATTACCAGCAACCAACTCCTTTCTGTATATATTCAAAATGTCCACCACCTTGGAAATGATGAAATCTCTTGCTTCAGGTAACGAAGAAGATAATGCCTTTTCGATTGCCTTGTGGGTGAAGTAGTTTGTGATGGCCAATTGATCAGCAGATGCATACACATCCACCAACTTGGACGACGTGGGCAACGCCAAATTCATAACTCTGATTCTTCTTTCTCCAAAGGACGTTGAGTGCAATACGGCAGCCTGGAAGTAGACAATTGGCTTGTTTATAGTCTCTTCAATAGACATTTCAATAAGGTAAGATTGATCCCTAGGGAAAGTTGGGAACGAACACAAATCTGAAGATCTGTTGAAAAAATTACCGTAAAAGGAAGACATTCTTATTCCGGTAGAACCCCTAACTCTCAAGACAGCTTCCAAGGCGATATCTTGAGACAAGTGGTCACCAACTTCCTTAGACAATTTAGCGACATCCTCGTACTTGTTGCTCGTCCATGCGGGGTAAAAGTGGGTTTGACCTGCAGTATATCTTGGCAAATTGGATAATGTAGCCACATCTTGATATCCAGCCGACGTTAAAAATAAATCAACAGTCACTTGCGACGAGTTACATGTAACAGCAAAGGACTTGTAAAAACTGTCTGCAGGAGTCAACAATGCCTTTGCCTCTTTAGCTTTACCAGCAACACCAGCTTCATCCCTCAAACTCAATTTACCTTCGCCTACATTTGGTAAACTGGCACCGAAACAAACCAATTTACCACCAACGTTGCTAATGAGCTTGTGACCCGCTTTCAATGCTGGTCCAAGTGCAAATCCTTGGTTCGAAGTGCCTTCAAAAAATGACGGGAAATCAAGCAACAACTTTTCAATAGGCTCCCTATTCTCGTCCAAGTTAACCAATAGTCCACTTGGAGATGGCAAGAAAGGTTCCTCTGTGTCAGCAACCACCAACACCTCAGTGCCCTCCAATCCTTCATTGAATTTGATATAATGCAAGTTGGAGTCAACCCCAATAAATGCAACTCTAGCTGTCTTGTTAACATTAGGAATACGATCCAAACTCTCAAGAATAGTTCTGGTGATGGTACCAGTCAATCCACTTTGGACTGCATGGACAGACACATCAATGATGAAAACGTAAACAATTGGTTGTGGAGCTCTAGCCATGTACTCCTTTGGTGCAATAAACTCAACAACCGAGTGGTTTAACTCAACTCTATCAAACTTGTTTCTCACTTGTCCGCTTATTTCGTCATAATCAAAAGCACTTGGAATGTCATTGAGCAAGTTACAAAAATTGCATCTCCAGCGTCTTCCATTTTCAGCCAATGTCACAAATGGATTTATGTAACCACGACAACGACGACATCTACTGATGGTGGTGTCACAAGTTGCTGGGACATCCTCGTCTTCTATTTTCAACGCGTTGTATGGCTTGACGACAAGCGCCAATGGTAATTTGGATTTCTTCAAGAGTGAGCTACTGGTAGGTACCACATTCAAAGTAGATCTGAAATAGTCAGGTGTGGCATTTGCGGTTTTTGAACCTGGAATCAAAGTTGAAGTATCCGGTAAAGTGATTGGAGGAGGTTGGTATGATAATTCCGCGATTGGTGGAGGCAAATCACGAGACAAATCAGTCGTGTACAACGCATTCAATTGTATACCAGTGCCAATATTATTTGGCTGGCCGTATGCACCCCCATAGCCCACTCCTACAGCAGCAGCTCCACCCGCAGGGCCGGCTACAGTTGGTGGAATACCTCCCATACCTTGTCCATAAACGCCGATATTACCTTGAGGTTGAGATTGGTATGGGTCGTAGCTGAGTTGTGGTGTAGCTTGAAATTGGTCAGCGCCGGGCTGTTGATAGACTGGGGCAGTAGCACCAACGTTCATTTGTTGAAACTGATTTTGCAATTGTTCAGTGCCGTATGGCTGTTGTTGTCCATTAATTGGTTGATGATGTTGTTGTTGTTGAGCCTGGAATTGAGACGGTTGGCCAAAAGCTGCCGCTGATGATGGTGGTGGTGGTGGTGCAGCACCAGCACCTCCTGGAGCACCTGCTGCGTACTGTGGCTGTGGATATGCTCTTCTTCTCCCTGACATGGATGGTGATGATGATCAATGGATTAAGTAACACAGTTGTTGTTTTTGGAGATCTTTTGTTAATTTTTCAGTGGAGGAAGAGAAAAAAAAACAAAAAAACAAAATAGAAACAATCTCTCTTTATACATTAGATACGTGGTCAATATTTGACAGTAAAAAAAGAAAACAAGAATGTATATAAATGGAACCATATACACGACCATTCTGATACATACGCGGTAGCCTAGAAACATATTCACGTGATTTGATCTCATTCTCTCTTTGATTGCGAAATTCTCCTCTTCACAGAAAAAGTTCAACCAAAGATATGTGTTTCTTTCCGCCACATATAATTCCTCCTTGTTTCACTAGCCATGTCTGATTCCACCGAAATTTACGAGAGTGCCCACGTTGATAACAGTCTATCAAGGAAGGCTAAGGATATAGCAGCTGGGTTTGTGGGTGGTGCAACCCAAGTATTGATTGGCCAGCCGGCAGATTTAGTCAAGATCAGGCTTCAAACAACATCAGCCACATCTTCAACACAAGTTATCAAAGATGTGGTCAAGAATGAAGGGTTACTAGCTTTTTACAAAGGAACATTACCACCGCTTTTCGGGGTCGGTGTTTGTGTGTCACTTCAATTTTATGGATTTCATGAAGCAAAGAGACAGATATTGCAATACACGGGAAAATCACAATTGAACTTGTGGCCCGAGACTTATGTTGCTGGTGCTGTGGCTGGTGTGGTAAACTCTCCAGTAACGGCTCCAGTTGAGCAATTGAGGATCCTCAGTCAATCCTCTTCTGGAGAACTGATCTCGCTTACGTCTACAGTGAAGAAGATTTTTGCCCAGCAAGGCATACGGGGCATTTATCGTGGGTTTGATATAACGTTATTGAGAGAGTTTCAAGCATACGGAGTGTGGTTCTTGACTTATGAAGCGCTAATAAAAAAGATTGTTGAGCTACACCATTACAAGAATAGGGACCAAATTGGTACTCCAGAATTGTTGGCAAGCGGGGCACTTGCCGGTAATGCCTTGTGGCTAAGTTCGTACCCGTTGGATGTCATCAAATCCAATGTTCAAAGTGATGGTTGGGGTGCAAGTAGCAAGTTTGACGGAAGTGCTATCAAGGCAGCAAGATACATTTACACTCACCATGGTTTTGCTGGTTTTTGGAGAGGTATAGTTCCATGCTTGGTGAGGGCTGTGCCATGTAGTGCGGGTACGTTTGCAAGTGTTGAGTTGGCACTTAGACTTATGGGGTAAAAGAAAACATATACAAGTATATCTATTCAACGAGCAAACCCTTCAAACGAACCAGAGCGTTGCTTGTGTAGTGAGCTGTTCTTTCGGTGCAACTCGGAAAAGTTTGTAGACACTTCTTGCAGTAATCCAACGAAGGAGTTGCTTCGTGACAACACGGGTTCCTTGTCTAATGGATTGATTCTCTTGACAGTAATCAACAAAATTGTGCAAACAAGTAGCACGGTACCAGCAACAACAAATACGAGCCCTGGGCGATGTAGTGTACTCACAGAATACTTGTACAATGTCAAATAAAACACAGGGATCACCAAGGCAAAAATGTTCTTGACCAATGCCATCGCACCGAAAAGCTCTCCTGTTTTAGATTCAGGATAAAATTTGATAATCGAAGAGTTAATGGCTGGGGTGATCAATGTACCGAACCCGCAAAGTACTGTAAACATAAAGAATACCGAAGATGTAGGTGCAATGCTGTAGCCGAAAAAGCCTATTGTTTCACATACCAACCCAATCAAACACATGGAAAAGTCCACCATATCAAGTTGGGTTTTAAACACTTTGAACTTGAGTCCATGTTGAAGAATCTTGTGATTGATTATTGGCGACAAAAGAATCAAAACAACGGCTTTGCTGGAACAACTTACAGCAAGTAAGTGGCCAATACTGTTTTGTGCCCAATCATAGTTGTAAATTCCATACAAGATGAAAATCTCTCCAAACGATACCGCCATGGTGCTCATGATGCACTCTATAAAAGCCAAAACAAGAATAGTAAACCTGTCACGACCAATCTTGTGTTTGTTTGATTGTTTCACCAAATCGTCAGGAATGATGAGTAGCTTGAGTGGTTTCAAAAAGTTGAGTTGATTGATAAGTCGGTTGTACCAAGGTGACTGCTGCAACACACGGAGATTGACCTCACTCAGCGACCGCGAAAGCGATCTCGACTTTCTGCGAGCCTTTTCAGATCTAGACTCGGGCAAAATGAAAATTGTCATCAAGAGATTTAGAATAAAGATTCCAATTTCAAACTTCAACGGAATAAACTCCTGCTTTGATATATTGACCAGTGGGGACATCTTTGTCGTTAAAGAGATAATAAAGTTACCCACCAAGGGACCAATACTCAACCCCACAAACAATGCCGCAAAGCTAATTCCCAATGCATATATTCTTTGATGAGGCTCGACAACGTCTGAGATATAGCAATTGCACAAGGCCACCAAAGACATTAGTCCTCCACCCATATTGCTTATAGCTTCACTCGCAATCATTGAGTAGAATTGTAAAGTGGTGTAGTTGTACATAAAGTAAAACTTGAGCAACTTCCCCACTAAGAAACAAAGAATCACAGTTATAATGAAAGGTCGTCTACCGTAAAGATCACTCAAGGGTGCGATTTTCCCCGAAGATATCAACATGATCGTGGCAGACGTTACCGTGTAGCCCAATTGCAAATTCGACATCAACACTTGTGCCGAATCCTTGTTGCAATTTTCAGCACCGAGTGTGTTGCAAGCAAGCTTCAACGTAATCACCTGCCTCGTGGCTTCGGCACTTGAAATGGAAAAGGCTAACAAGAAAGTGATGGTGGAGATCATCAACACACTAGGACGCTTTAGCCAATGAATACCTTTGTTCAAAAGTCGCTGTTCTCTCAACCACACCACATCCTCACTATGTTCATCTTCATCGTATTCTTCATCATTCTCCAATATGGCTTCATAGACATCATTTGCTGCCAACTCTAGATCTGCCAATGCTTGTCCACTATCTGGTATTAGAGGCGTTGCGCCATTTTGCGCACTCAGTGATGATGACGGTTCCTTTGGTAAAAGCGGATCAATCTCTGCGGAATCGTGTCGATCCGGAGGCACAGAACTTCCTGACGACATGATTTAGCAACTAAGTAGAAGAAATGAGACCTATAGCTTGAAAAAGAAAAAAAAAATGATATCCCTCCCTCTCTCTCTGTCTCTCTCTCTCTCTCTCTCAAATTTTGAACAAAACAAACTTTTGACAGGTTTGACTTGATCTATTTTATAGTAAATAGTAATTATTGAATTGCTATCTGATTTGTGTACGGCTCCAAATTTTATTCTTTTGTTTTGTTTTGTATTGTTTTCTTTTAGATTGCGCAGGTGTTTTACGCTTTGGGAATTAATTCCGCTTCGCAAGAGGGAGGCGAGGGGAAAGGCGGGAAAGGCTGAAGATAGAGGTAACTTTGATGCCACAGTGTTTAGACTACACAACGGTAGTTGCCATCATCATATTGCATTAGCCTCACCCGAAGGAGTTGATACAAGGGCAACCTCACTGACAGAGTGGCAATACCCGTCCAGATGCAAGATTGCACTTTGAAGTAAGAAAGCAGGTACTGTAGTTACGCATTTCAGGGTGATGCTGACTTAAATATAATTACAATTATCCCTCATTGCCCAAGTTTGACTTCATACTTTTCTTCTCTTTTACTTGTGATCCACTGGTCATGCCTCATTGTTGACAAAAGCAGACCGTCAATTTTGCTGCATCAAAAAAACAAAAAAACAAAAAAAAGCAAAAAATCTCTCCTTTGTTGACTAGTTCACCAGCATCATGCTTACTACAAGAACGTACGCACCCACCAGGAACACTTTGAATGTTCTTGCTCGCTTTCTTTGGAAGGATCACAAGTACCTGAAACGTCCCGACAACGAAGCACTCGCTGACGCGTTAAACTTACTATCGAAGCCATCAACGAAACCCAAGTACAAACCATCATTGTTCAAGTCCTTAGCCGGAGACCCTATCGATGAGCAGTTGTCCAATGTGAATCGCAGTTTATACATAAAGCAGGAGTCACATGTGAATGAGCAATTTGTGAACAACTTGTTGTGGGGTATAAAGTCGTCCTTATTGGACCCACAAATCAACCATTCACAACTTCTAAACGATATGAGCCCCGATGAGTTGAGTAGTTACATCAAGAGAATGAAGAGTGAGGACCATCTACGAGAGATTGTGCAACTTTTCCATAACCACGATAGATTGACGTTACCAATACTAAGGGAGGTTTTATTGAACAAGTCGTTGAAAAACCTAGACAATTTCCCAATTTCATTGACCAGATTTGATGGCATAACAGGAATCGATGAAAAAGCTGCTGTCCACCTAAACATCATCATGCTCAAGAAATATTATGACTTGAACCGACCGCTAGATATTATACGAAACTTGAAGATGAATTTCGCCAAAGACTATCTTCCATTGATTGAATCCCGCAAACTTTCTCCATTTTATGAACGAATTGTGTGGCGCTTTGTGTTTGAATATTTGAGACAGTACAATGAAGAACATTACATAAGATCACTAGAGTCACTTCATTCCAGTTTTCTCATTTGGGAGTCCTCGTCATATTCCTCAAGCCAGGCAATTGCTCACATTGTCCTTGAGAACCACAGCGAGATGTCTAAGCTTCAAAACTTGTTTTTCAAAATAGCCAGTTTCACAAGGACTCACGAAGTTCCTAAATTGAGAAAAATATCCATCAAACACAAGCTATATCAAAACCGAGAGGATAAAAAGCTGCTTTATGCGGTACTTAGTGATTTGGAGAGTTTGCTAGTCTCTTCCCAGTCAGAATACGCAAAGCCATTGCTTGAGGAGTTGGCTATGTACAGACTTGAATTAGTGCAAGAAACTTACTCTACACCTGCCAGTTCTTTTGAGGGTTTAGAGTTGAGCAAAGCATAACCTGGGTAAGTATAACGTATGAAGGTGTATAGTAATTGAACAGGTCTTTAATTACGTACACTGTTTGTTTCTACTGGACTCGCTCAATCTTCCGATGTAACTACTTTTCGCTTCCAAATCCCTGTTTTGTTTTCTTCAAATCCCCTCTTTTGCAATTTTTCAACACTGAAGCATTTTTTTTTAAAGTGAAGGAACACACTTTGGTGCTACACAATGAAAGTTATAAGAGACCACGATGTTAAGGCTTTTCTAAATAAGGAATTGACCAAGGAATCCATCGTAAACCAGTTCTTGCCAGTATTGGCACGTGGGTTGTCTTCATACGCATCCAATCCAAACGGCATTGTCCCCCCACGTACTGTACAACCATCAAACAACTCGGAGTCCGACACAACACATGTATTTATGCCATGCATTTCACCAAATGAAGTAGGCTTGAAAGTTATCACCGGTGGTCCATCAAACAATGCAAAAGGATTGGGATTTCAAGGATCCGTGATTATTTTGAACGAGATTACTGGTGAGTTGGACGCTGTCATCAACGCCGCTTGTTTAACTGCATTTCGAACCGCATTGGCAAGTGTTCTTGGGCTCACCAGGGTGTTGCCTGTTGATTCGGAGACCACATTACCCGAATTGTGCGTTTTCGGAGTTGGACAACAAGCTTACTGGCATGTCAAGTTGGCATTGCTTTTATACAGAGGCAAGATTAGTCGGGTAAGCATATTGAACAGAACGTTGAAAAATGCCGAGAGGTTGAGAGATGATTTGGTTAAAGAGTTTGTTGATGTTGACTTTGAAGCTTTCCTGTTTGAAGATGAAGAAAAATTTAGGCCGCACATTGAAAATAGTGGGATCATCTTTGGTTGTACTCCATCTACATCTGCAGTAATTAAACAGGACTATTTAAACAAGAACCCAAAGTTCAAAAAATTTATATCGTTAATTGGATCGTACAAACCCAACATGATTGAATTGGACTTGGATTTCATGCACCACCTCAAGAAAGATGGGGTCAACGTTATTGTTGATTCGAAAGAGCATACATTGCACGAAGCTGGGGAGTTGATACAATCGGGCTATACGAGCAACCAGTTGATTGAGCTTCACGAGTTGTACGATGTAGAAGATTTTAACTCCGTTACCGATTCATATGGAATTACCGTGCAAAAAATCGTTGGATTATCCATAATGGACTTGTGCATGGGCAAGTATATATATGATAAGATTGGAGAAAATGCAGTGATTGTGAATGACTTTTGAGTCAATAGAGTAACTCCATTCTCCCCCTCATCCCTCATCCCCCATCCCCGCTTTCAATACACGTTTCCGCTGTGTTTCTCTCACAACAATTCTTTTGTTTTTTTTTTTTTTTTTTCCTGATTACATTCTCGTTATCAGTGATTTGTTCACCTCCAACGTGGCTTGTATCTCCATTTATTAAGAGCAGTACCGCATCAGCACCAAACATCCCCAAATGGCTAAACGAAGCGAGAATTCGCCCTTACTTGGAGGGGACTCCTTGATATACAACAGCAAGCCCAAATCAAATGTGAGAAAGAACATTTCTTATATCTTGAATGTAGTCACATTGATCACCATTGCCGTGCTATTATTCCATCACCCTTCGAAACCAGAAACACCACAAGTGAAGCCCCATGGTAAAAAGAACATTATAATGATGGTTACCGATGGAATGGGACCAGCCAGTTTATCAGCAGCTAGATCGTTCCGCCAGCTTCGGGATAAATTACCAATCGATGACACTCTAGTTATAGACAAGTATCTCATTGGATCCTCCAGAACAAGATCTTCGAGCTCCTTAATCACAGATTCTGCTGCAGGGGCCACTGCGTTTGCTTGTGGTCTCAAATCTTACAATGGAGCCATTGGTGTCGATCCAGACAAGACACCCTGCGGAACTATTTTAGAGGCGTTGAAGTTGCAAGGGTACATGACTGGATTGGTTGTGACCACAAGAATCACTGATGCTACGCCAGCTGCATTTAGTGCACATGTTGACTACCGTTTCCAAGAAGACTTGATTGCTCAACATCAGCTAGGTGAATATCCTTTGGGACGTGTTGTTGACTTGATATTGGGTGGTGGAAGATGCCATTTCGTTCCCGCTTCCAACGGTGGGTGCAGAGCTGATGGAAGAGACTTGGTTAAAGAAGCAGTCAAGAACGGCTGGTCGTATGCTGGGGATAGGTCACAATTTGACCAGCTACATGGTGGGGAAAATGTCAGTTTGCCATTATTGGGATTGTTGGCGAACCATGATATTCCATACGACATTGATCGCCAAAGTGAGGAATTTCCATCGTTGGCAGAACAAGTCAAAGTGGCTTTGACTGCTTTGGAAGAGGCAACTAAAGATTCAGATCAAGGGTTCTTTTTATTGATTGAAGGGTCGAGAATTGATCATGCTGGGCACCACAATGACCCCGCAGCTCAAGTGAGAGAAGTGTTGGCATATGATAATGCATTCAAAGAAGTGATTGATTTCATTGAATCAACTGATGTGGAGACTGTTGCTATATCCACAAGCGACCACGAGACGGGTGGTTTGGTAACCGCTAGACAAGTATCAGAATCGTACCCGGACTATTTGTGGTATCCGCAAGTGTTATTGAATAGCACTCATTCAGGAGAGTATTTGACAAGAAAGATTTACACTCAAAAAGTCAAGTCCGGTACCAAATTTGCCGATTTCATCAAGCAAGAAATTTTGGAAAAGGACATGGGTATCACTGATTATACAGAAGATGAAGTCAAGCAAATTGCCTTGAAATCGTCTCAACCAGATGCATTGTTGTATTTCTTGAACAATATGATTTCATACAGAGCCCAAATTGGATGGACGACCCATGGTCATTCAGCAGTTGACGTGAACATATACGCCCACACAAACTCACCTGCACTTTTACATAAATTGAAATCTAGAACTGCTTACGATGGATTGACTGGCAATCATGAAAATATCGAAATCGGTGCGTTTATGGAAACGATTACTGGATCAAATTTGAACAAGGTTACCGAAATGATTAGAAAGATGACCCATTCACCTCGTGACAAGAGTGATTTGTCAACGGATGAGTATCACGCCAATGTCGATTATTTATAATTAGAGTTTAGAAATGCATATATTTAGGATGTTATGAGAGAAACAAAACAGCTTCTACTTTATCTCTCACTTGTGTTCAATCATTGACAAGGCATCCAATATGCCCAGTTTAATCACTTCTTCGGTAAATTTCTCTTCCACCGATGTCTTGAGCCCTTGGCTATACACTCTCAAATTTTTTGCAATTGGACCTCCTCGAGCCATAGTTGCAACAATGTTTCGTTTCAACTGCTGGGCCAATTTCTGCCAAAATAGCACCATTAAGGATTCAGTTCTATAATAGCTCAATACAGGCAGTAACAAGCTTTCATCTGATTTATTAGTACTATCTTGAGGCAAGCTCCATTTATTCAACACTTCATCGAGTTTTGAAAAGTAAGTGGTGTTGTTCTCTTGCACCTCCGTCAATATCGCCATGAAATTTCGTGGAGATTGTAGTGCTTTTGATAATTGGTTGCTACTAGTTGTAACTTGTCTTTGTATAGTTGACTTGTCAAGAACTTGATAGAATTCTTGCGGATCGAGAATATAGAGTGCTTGAAGTGTATGGTATAGTTTCAAATTCTTCAAATTCAACGAGCTTGATCGGCAGGTTTCATTATTTATTGTCATTGAACATTCTTGAACCAAACTTTGTCTTCTGGTGACTGCAGTGGCTCGATAATCTCGAATCAACTTGATTGACAATACATTGTTCCCATGGTCAGATTTGGCACCTCCATTGATTGACGTCACTGATTGGTACAAGCTCATCAATTGAGTGTACAATCGACTGGCTCTAACCACATCATCACCACGGCCTATTGGTACCCCGCCTTGCAATTCTTCCAATTGTTGAATGAGAAATATAAAGAACGAAGTCGCACGTAACAACTCCAATGTCTGGTGTACATTCTTCAACGCGTTATTCAAACGCACCGCATCCTCATACGGTTCAATCACTTCCTTTTTAATCTTTTCAAATGGCTTATTGATAGTGTCTATGCGGGGATTGATTCGATCTTGTAAAATCGTTCTATACTGTTCAATTTGAGTGAAATTCAAAGTCAAAGATTCATAATTTGTCGAAGATATCAGTTTCATACGCTTGTCTAATTCCACCAAGTCATATTTTAGCTTTTTCAATGGTGTTTGCAAATCTAGTAAGTTATTGTCATGGCCATTAGTAGATATGAGCAATGAGTTGGCGAAACTTTTCGCATCAAAGTCGGGTTCAAGGTATGCTTCAAAATCCTCTAGTTCGTTTCGTTGAGACCCGTTTGAGGTCATGACTAGGGAACAGATCTGTTGATGAATTCTTGTCAGAGGATTTCGTGAAAGAATCTACAGTGAGAAAAAAAAAAAATGGACCTTGGCTTCGTATATCGCGCACTCTGTTATTACTCCGTTCTATACTTTGGTTTGGATACACCACCACTACCATTAGTCTTGCCACGACCAGATCCTCCTTTGTTGAACGTCTTTTTCAAATTCCTTCCACCTTTATTCTTAAATTTACCATATTTCTCCTGTTTCTCCTTTAACTTCCGTTCCTTTTCCTCCTTTTTGGCACTGGCAGCACGTTCAAGTCTTCGTTCACGACACACAATCCGGCTTTCACGCTTCTTCTTCCCTGGCCTATTCTTCTTTTTCGTATTCCTTGCTCGAGCTAGCTCTGCGTCAATCTTTGCATTGTACTCGTTCAAATCTATTAGCTTGCGCAGATTTGGTTGAATAAAGTATTGTGCATAGATGTCATCACCCGAGACAGCCACTTGGGTAAATTGCAACTTCTGTTCGGGAGTGTACAAAGCAAAATAGTACAGATCGGGTCGTTCATTATTTATTCGTTCTTCGGAATGTTCACGTAGCGAAACTTTCTGAACTGGAGCTACTGGACGGCCTCGATCATCGGACCCATCCACACTCTTCAAGTCGTCTTCACTTGGTTTGCTGGCAGATGCAAACAACGGAAATGCAAACTCGTCCTCCTCCTCCTCCTCCCCCTCATCTTCGTTACTCTTTTTTATTTTGGAATCGTCTTGTGGGTTGGAATTAGAGTCGTCGACTTCAATAAATTCGAATTCCAAATTTGGTGGAACATATCCTCCATCATCTGACCCAATATCTGAGCCAGAGTCATCGTGATACAAAGTCAGCCTCGAAACCCTAGAATAATATAAGTCAGTAAAGCTGATCGTAACATAGGAGTATGAATCATGACATACTTTGCTTCTCCCATGATTAGCTAGTTGTCATCAAGAGTTTATCACATCATCGTTTTTCCAATCACATCTTTACACAAAAAAATAAAAAAAAATAATCCCTTAACAAAAAGCATTAATAGTACAACATTACAAACTAAAATATACATATATACATATAAAGATCATTAGGCGTCTTCTCTTCAGCGCTACTACCCTGACAGTCACCAAAGGGGATTACAAGCAGCTTTAACAGTCTTGATGATATCCTTTCTATAGCTCAAATGAGGTGGAATAAACCTCGACAACTGCTTCACACTCACATCAATCTCGTCGTTAGCACCATCATTTTCCATACTCTTTTCATTGACTACGGAATAAGTCAAATCATCAAATCCTTGTAACGAATCCAACAAAACAACAACGGGCTTCTGTTCATTCAATTTTTGAAATACTAGAGGAAATTTCCGTTCAAGAACTGGTCGAATATCATGGTAAGGTACAAACTTCATCAACAAATTATCAAACAATTGTTCCCCTTGTTTCCGATTCTTGACGATATCAACAGAAGTCTTCAACCTGTGGTCTATTCCAATGAATTTATAGAATAACTTCCAAAGTTTCACTTTATCTCGAGACTCAACAACGATTGAAGACGGGCCTTCGTTGTCGCTACTCAATTCTGATTCGAACTCGGCAATTCTCGTCAACGTAAGCAACGAAATTTGAAGATCCAAAACATACTCAACATCATTGATAATAAAGACATAAAATGGCAAATACTTTGTAATTGAGGCATCAGTGGGCTTGGAGTTCAATTTTAACTTCCTTAACCCTATCGGGTAATAGTCCAACAACTTCTGTCGTGTCAAAGCAACCTTTTTGGCCTCCGCTGCTTTCGACTTTCGTTCCAACTCCTCTACCAACTTCAACTCCTGTTCACGTTTCAAAGCAGCCAACTCCCGCTCCTCTTCGAGCTTCTTTTCCTCCTCTTCCTTTTTTTTCAACTCCTTCTCCTTCTCAGATTTCAAAAACATTTCTCTACGTGCCTTCTTTTTAGCTTCAACTTTTTCTTGCCAAATGCGTGCTTCTTCAGCGGTTTTGACTTTTTGCTCTTCAATCGCCGCTGCTGAAATAGATGGCACTGGAGAAGGTGGAGCAGGGGACGGGGATCGCGCCTTTGACTTCATTTCACTAACATTGTCATGAGATGGGACAACAGTGTTGGGAGATATCGATTTCTCATAAGCGTTATTGTAGTTGTTGTGCAATTTAGGAACAGCGGAATCACTAGGGGCTGATTTTCCAACACCTGTTGCCAATGGACGATGCGACTCTTTTTGATGCACTTTGATCAGACTTTCAGATTTTGTCTTCTTCAACAAGGGATCAGAACGGGCAGTATCAGGTTCATGCTTCCTCTTTTTGGTTTCCTTGCTATCCGCGACAGTGTTGTCTTTATCTAAGACCTTTACTTGTCGATCAAGATTGTCAGAAATATCCTTCTTGGAGTTTGATTTCTCGTGGATTGTAGTCTTGAAAAGCTTTCCAGTTCCAGTTCCATGGCTGCCTCTATGACTGCTAGCCTCCACTTTCGTCCTCTCCTCAGGTTCATCAATATCCATGCTATCATCCCCTTCCACAGGTCTTGCAGCATAGCTGTTTTTCTTCTCTGCTTCCTTTGCATCCTCCATTACCTCATCCTCTTCCTCCTCTTGCTCCCCTTCCTCCTCGTCGTCATCCGACACAGGAACGGATGGAGCCCTGGATGTAGTCCGTGACACAACTCTCGAAGGAACCGCAGACAAGATCTTGGTTCCACTCTTCTTCTCCATTGCTTCCTGAATGATTTCAATTTCCCTTGCATCGAAATGAGCGGAATGCTGAACAATCTGCAATGCAGTCAACCCATCTTTTTTCCTCGTCTTGAAAGGATCAGCACCCTTCGAAAGCAATGATTGCACCACTTCGAAATGTCCTCTTCCTACACTAGCCAACAATGCAGTAACTCCACATTTGCTTTCAGTGTCGATATTGTACGCAGTCGGATTCAATCCCAAGATGATATCAATCAATTCCGAATGGCCATTTCTAGCCGCAATAATCAAAATGTCAGGCTTATCTTCAAGACTATTCCCAGCAACAAAATGACTCGCAACTACCTCCTTTCGATTTTCAGCAGCCCATTTGTATATTCCTTTACGTTTAATCAATCCCGCAAAGTAAGACTCATTCGGATCGTCAATGATTTCAAACTCGGCATCTTCACCACCTGGCCCCAGCTGCGATGTATTCACAATCGCTTTCCGAGCAGTGAATTTATTACTCGCATCTTCCAAAACTTTGATGATATCGTCGTATCCCTCTTCATCAGCATGTTCATTGTAAATCTTGGTCAAAGCAGTGAATCCATCAAGATTGAAAATGTTTGGGTCGGCATTATTCTTCAACAAAATTTCAACAGTTTCAAGGTGCATGTTTTCTGCAGCATCAATTAAGGGAGTTTCACAATCACCAGCCTCGTCAGCTTTAGCATTCACATTGGCTCCATGGTCAATAAGAATTTGAACAATTTCATTGTGTCCCTCCAAGGCCGCTTCATGAAGACAGGTAAATCCACAAAAATCTTTTTCATTGGCACTTGCACCTCTGTTTAAATAATCGCGAACGTCATCAATGTTTCCCTTTTTACAAGCCCGTTGCAAAAGTGACCTTCCGCTGGAATCACGCTTGATTTTGTATGGTGGCTTCTTCATTGCTTTACCTGTCATTAGCTTCTTGTCCTTGGTTTCGGAGAATGTGCGTTTGGGCCCAGGTGTGGTTTCCTGCTTCACCATGTTGAAGTTTTCACCTGCATTATGTGTGTCCAGCTTAGGCGTATCCGCATCCTCGTCTTCAACATTATTTTCCTCATCTGATGAGCTAATGATCATTTTCTTCCGCTTCAAAAGGTGTCGATCACTATCATATGGCTTCTTTTTGAGCAACTTTACTCCTTGGTTCAAACGTGGAGGCGGTGTACCAATAATAGTTTCCGCCTCTGACGATTCTCCTTCGGAGTCTTGTGGTTCTCCAACCTGCTTTCTTTGTTCGTCTCCACAATTTTTCCCATTTTCAGCACTTGGTGATGCCTCTCTACTCAATACAATCTTCGACTCCTTGTCCCTGGTATCCTTAGTTGGAGTTTCAGTCTCTTCGGGGATCTCCGGCATTGTTCCAATCTCATTAAAGTTGAAATTAACATCGAGCTCAGACTCGTTGACAGGAGATAACATTGATGTGTCATCCGCAAACGAATCAGATCTATTCAATTTAGTTTTTGGAGTCAGCAAAATCTCCGCCTTTTCGGTAGCCAGATTTTCGTTGTCATTGCCAGATTGAGAAATATGAAATTGTGTAGTTTCTTCTTTCACGTCGGAGGAAGATTGCTCCAGGGTTTGTTCCTCTTTCAGGGGAGCTTCATTTGTCTTGCCGTCATCAACAACATTATTGGATGGTTTCTTTACCAACGACACCTCAATCTCCTCACTTGCATCTCTCATCTCTTCATCTACTTGCTCATTCTTGTCAGTAGCATCCACATCGACTTTCCGACTGACTTCATTTTCTAAAAAGTCGCCCTCAGTTGTCCTCTCATCGTCATTACTTGATTCTTTTTGCTTGACTTCTGTTTGAGCTGACTCATCGAGTGCTGGAAACTTGACATCTTCAACTGGAGTTTCGGATACACCCACATTCTCATCATCACCTGACCTTGCAACGGCTTCACCTGTCTCAGTTGATTTCGATTCGTCATCAATAGAGCCTTTCTCAATGGATTCCACCTCAACCTGATCAGAAAAGGTCTTATTCTGTTCTATACCCAGCTTGGTTTCAGATTCAGTGGCCGTTTTCTTGATTTTCGATTTTTTCAAATAATCACTCAACGAAGTTTTCCTCAGACCACTTGAAGTTGAGCTTGACATTGATAACGGAGGTGATGAAGATGGTGGAGACGATTGAAATTCTGTACCTTTGGGATCTGACTTTTCTTTTCGCAAGTCTTTACTCGAGTCACTACTCACCTCTTGACGATCTTGGCTGTTTAATATTGTCTCTGTAGTTTGATCTTGAGTTTTGGACTCAGATGCAGTCCATAGCTCTGTATCCAGTTGTTGATCAGTCTTCACCTTGGTTCCATCAGTAGTCAGAACATGTTGATTCTCAGGGTCCCTTTTTACCAGAACGCTTTTACTGTTTGAAACTTTGCCCGATGGAGTTGCTTCATGAGTGTCTTTGCTCGCCAGAGAATTCCTATTCTCATCCAATTCTTTACTATTTACCATCAGGTCACCTGCAAGTGGAGGTCTAATTGAACCTCTCCCAACAATCCCCTTCTGATGTTCATCTCTTGCCGAGTCTCTTCGAGAAATATCCAATATTGAGCTTGCGCCAATAGCAGTAGCTTCATTTCCAGTATTACTAACCGGCTTCCTCTTCACACTCTCAACGCTCGATTTTCTTGATATATTCCCCTTGAGATTTTTAGAAGTTGTTGAGATAAACTGTTCAGAAGAAGACGAGCTTATCTTTGCAGAATTTGGTTCTGTTTCCTTATTGATACTGACTTGCGCAGATGCACTGAAATCTTCTGCACCCACTCTAGAGCGTCGCTCATCTCGGTATCCAGAAAGCATAGAATTTGAATTTGAATTTGAATTTGAACTTGCATTTGTACCGGATTTGCTACTCACACTCCCACTTGTGCTCGATACTGGACCAGCACGAGAAATGAACTTTTCTCCACTTGCTGCATCCAGTGAATACTTCGAAGTTGAACCATACCTATGCGACGGTGGAGCTCCACTTCGGCGTATTGACTGTGACGTACTTGGTCCATAATAGGAGCCGGGTCCACTTGCATTTCCCCTGAAATCTTTACTACTTCCATGATATCCAGATGATGATGATGATGCTGATGGTATTGAAGATGAGGATCTTAGTAGACTGGGTCCTGTTCCAGTTGACACTTTCAGCAGACTATACGATCTGTTATATCGCGATCTACTACTAGCTGTACTGCCAGCATACCCACCTCCAGCGTAGTGTTCTCGACGACTGTATCCTGGAGTTGATGATGATATAAATGGCTTGTCTCTGACTCGCGATGGTGCTGCAGTTGCTGTTGATGGTGTGTTTGCAGAAGATGAAGCGCCTGTTGACGCTGGACCTCCTCCTTGAGTATCTCGTTTGGCTTGCTCGTGCAACTTTCGAGACGTGTTGTTGTTGTACCGCGGTGTATAATGATTGCTGTTGTATGACATGGTGAGAATGTGTTCTATGATGAATGTGTTGTAAAACTAATCTTGACAAACAAAACAAATGGGGATTTCACAAGACAGAAATGTTAGTGTTTGTCGTCGTTGCACATAAATAGAAAATTGTCGTAAATTATTATTCTCTTCTTAGGCTACAATGGCGCCGTAAGCACTGTGTGAGTAATATATAGTTCTGGCTTGGTGTAGGATTCTTCCCTTTTCTGTTTTTTTTCTTTTGTTTTGGTTGTCACTTTTTTTTTTTTGCAAATAGAAATTGAATCTTTTCTAGAAGCAGTGAGTCGTGTACGTGAGCCCAACTTTTAGAAATCATGGGGAGGAAGGGACCCTTTGCATCACCCCATCAATAAAGAGAGTAAAATCTACGGTGTGCGGTTCAAAGTAGTATACTCGTCACTCACTCACTATCTTTTGTGGGATCTTGCTAGAAACTGAACATTACTTCTATACAATGTAGTCAAAACCGAAATTCTGCACACCCTCACAAGCTCATTTGTGTTGGAGAGCCAGCCAATAACTGCAGTATGCTGAATTCTGACTTGTTCAATTTATCACCAAACTCCATCAACTCGAAAATCAAACTCATATTTGGGCAAATTCGTTCACATTTGTCCACGCTTGTGCTTGTGGCTAGCTTTGAATCTAAACTTGTCACAGAGCCATTTTTCAACATTTCATAAGCTGCATTGACACCAAGACCAAACTTCATCATGAAATATGCCACAATCACACAAGCACTTCTACTGACCCCACATTGGCAATGGACAAGCACCTTCATATCCCTTTGGTAATACCAATCGATTTTGTGAGTCAAATCCATCAAGTCTTTCGAAATGGCAGACGTGTGTGACCACGGAATGTGAACATACTCTCGAACATGTTCTTTCTGGTTTGTGAAATGCGACGATAGATTGGTACACTCTTTAGCAACATTTATAACCAAATCGTAACGATTGATATCAACTTTGTTCAGTGGGTCAGAATAGAGAAAAATCTTTTGGTTAAGAACATTTCGCGGTCCGTTGGGGTACGCATTTATTCCAGTTGTTTCTTGAAGTTCTTCAGGAAACTGAAACTTTTTGGCATTGTAAGTTACGCTCTGCGGAGTGTTTGCATGGGGATGGAAGTTGGGGTGAACGTCAGATTTATGAAAGTTAGTTTCCAAAGGAGATTCTATTGACATTTTCTTGATGTTGCGCAGCAACTTTGTTGGCGAATTGTGCTGTTGTGGGGGCTGTACAACCTGATTGTCCAAACGCATAGGGCTATGTAATCTGGGTGGGGTTGATAAAGGTGAAGCTTTGGAATTCGGTGCAAACGGTGGTGGCATTGGTGGCTGGATTCTTTCATTGAGTGTATCATTAGCAATAGCTTTCAACGAAACTGTATTGACTTCTTGTCGCAGGCCGGTGATGTCCAGAGGAAATTTGTAAGGTTTGGATAGGGTAGCATGAGTGCTTCTTGTATCGATGTCCGAATCTCCATCGCATTGGTGTTGGTGAAGCGCTGGAGGGTTTTGTGGTGGTAATGTAGGGGTATGAGTAACTGATGGCGTTTGTAATGCGTCTTCAGAGTATATTGTACTATTTTGGAACAAAGGCTTGGTAAAGTTGAGAAGCTGCAGTTTATCAGATGAAGATGTAGTTGTATTTGTAGTTGAGTCAGATAGCTTCAGTCTTTTCGATGCAAGTGTGGTGTTATTCAGTGGGTTGGAGGACCCATTGGAGTCGTTCAAGTTTAAAGACAAGTTTTTCATATTCTTTTGCATATTGAACGAGTTTGCGATTCTTGAATGTTTGGGCGAGTAGTTGATCATTCCAGGTGATGACGGTATCGAGCCAGTAGACGATACTGACGAGATGGATGAGGTGTACCCATGCGAAAGGACGGTATTTGGGGGTTGCTGAAACGAATGTAGGTTTGGGTTCTGTTGCCGGGGTGATGATGCTGAAAAGTCTCCTTTACTCAAGTCAATTTTTCTATTTTGTGCCTTTGACGGTGTTGTAGTGGTTCCGTTGACGTGTACTGGCGACGATGCCACATTGGGGTTTGTAATTGGATCATCTAATTCCAGTTGCGAGTACTCAAAACTATACTGTCGGTTGTGGCTGTGGCTGTGGTGCTGGTGGTGGTGGTGGTGATTGGTATGAGACGGTGATGATGATGACGCTAATGAGGCCAAAGACGCTTTGTCTTGGTTGTGGAGATTATGGTCTTTGTTACTGTGCGTACCTAGTGGACCACTCGGTGTCTGCTTGTTTGATTTGGAATTGGACTCTAGTTGGAAATTGTTGTGCATCGTATCATCACAATAGCTAGCTCGAGCGCAATGGTTTTTGATATTTTCGGCAGTGATGAAATCTGATGCGTGAGGAGTAGATGTTTCAAAACTAAATTTGGATACTGACCTATGCAAATGTGCAGCAGTAGTAGTGGTGGTGGTGGTGGTAGTAGTAGTAGTAGTAGCACTAGCAGCACAGGACGATACCCAAGGAGTAGACATATGAAGGGTAACGTGTGGGGATAAGATTAATTAAAAAGAGGATACTGCCTGGCAAAACGTAGTGGGCAGAATTGTTTCCAGACGTGTTTCGGTGAAATTAATTTGTAGTAGGAAAAAGCTCACTTATATCGTAGCAGTTGGTCGGTGGGGAAGGTGTATTATTGTATCTTAAGAACAAGGGGGGGGTGTTGCTAAATCTCAAAGAGTACGGGATCCAAATGGTAGTGTTTTTTTCTTTTTTGACAGTTTATGCTGTGTGGTGGGTTCTTTTTTGAAACGTTTCAAGAGCACTTAGAAATCTGGAAATGTTTGAGCGGGTATGGATATGGGACTAAGTCGAAGGGGGGCTTCGTGGGTGTACAGCAGGTGTTCCTAGTGGGGTGTTTGTGTTATTGATGTTGGGCAATAAGTTGTGTAAACTTGTTTTGAAGTGAGTTTTATCAATCAAAGGGATTGTAAAACTTTTGGAATGTGTTTTATAATTTCTTTGAATTTATTTTTTTTTTTTTTTTATTTTTATAATTTTATTTTCATAATGTCTGTCTGTCTGTCTGTCTGTCTGTCTGATTTCTTTTTTGTTTTTTTTCTGAGTGTCTCTTACTTTCGTGTTTGAAATTGTAGTACATATACAAAGAAAAATATTTAATTATAGAAAAAGGGCGTGTCTGACACAACAATGATACACTCTCACATAATGTATATATACATATACATAGACGTGTCAACCTTACACATAAAGGATATGTAGTGTCAAAGCACAGTTGGTATGGAGGTTGTACTGGAACCCGACTGACGTATAAAACAGAGTTTTAGTGAAGAATCTACAATTAGAATACATTTTGTAGAGCAATGTATTATCCGTCGAAACTATTAATCAGGTGAAGATAAGAGTTGTGTTCTATTTTTAACTCTTCTCTACAGAACATGTTGTTACAGAACTGCGTTTCTATTTTAAGTGCCTTGTCTATAAGTAAACATTATTAGCTTTTCCTATCCGTATACAAGAGAAATTAAGAGCTCGGGTCATTTCTTCAAATTCTAATCTCTGTCCAAGGATAAAAAGTTCTAGAACCGTATTTTGTTTTTCCCTCTCACATCAACTCCTTATACCCAGCGCAAAGAAAAGCGCATTGGGACAACGCATAACAAACAAGTGAAGAACAAGAAGAAGAACAAGAAGAAAGGGAGAAAAGAGAGGGAAGTCATAGCTAATATCATAACTTGAGGTCACCCTACACAGTCACACGCTGTTGGAGAGAATAATTTCTCTTCCATATTGCGTTTTTCTAAAGTTAGCAGCAGTAAAATTGTACTACATCGAGCCACAGTTTAATATACAGCTCTTTTGATGCTTGTGGTAACGCTTGTTATCTCAATACACACTAGAACCATTACTCTCCTTTGCCCTTCTTTTCTGCCTTATCTATTGACATACAGAGAATGACGTAGTGGCAGGAGCCAAATACCCAACATAATATATCCATACTGCCACATAAAAAGAAAAAAAGAAACTATTGGAAAATGCACAGACACAAAAATATGAAAAATAGGAGGCTGTGCATATACAATAAACAACAATGTAATATGTCGGTGTCTATTTTTGGCATATCGAATAAAGAACAATTTTACGAAGAATATGACATCATACACCTCAGATAATAATAGTAGTGTCTATATAAAAGAGCTGAAGTGAAAGAGAAAAGAGAGCTTTTCCTTTTGCAACTATATTCAGCCACTGCTGTCGTGTGTATTTCTTTCGCACCACCATCTGTGATGAATAAAAAAGGTTAAATTACGATCAATTACAACATTCAGGGGTAAAACATATTGTTTTATATAGTGTATCGCTACCAACGAAACAATACTTAACGATTGACACAAATGCCAAAAAAATTAAAAAAAAAAAAAAATTGATTTTATCAAGTGTGCGCCAAGAAAATTCAACCAATTCTCTCTGCTTATCAAATTTCAAAGGAAGGCAAGGAAAGTTTGGAAAGAAGAGGGAAGTATATTAGTGTAATTTCTCGAAATAAGCGATAAATATTTGGAACGAGCACAATTACCAAATGCACTCGAAAACCCAACACTCCACTTTACCATATGAAGTGAACGAATTGAAGATCAAAAGAAAAATCACAACATCTCTTTTGAAGCTCACTTGTCATACTCCATCTGCAACAACTCATGCTTGATCACATTATAAAAATAATTGATGGACGGATTGGGATAATCATGCGGATTATATAGATCCATTTCATTTTGCTTCATGATATCTTGCAATTTGGACACCAATTGTTTATCATATGGTGTTCCACTATCGGTCTCATACGTATATTCCAGCTTAACTTTGATGGCGCCTTCTCCTTCCTTGTGATTATCCCCACTGTTGGTGATCTTGTTGATATAAGTCGCTGGTAACGACCGTACATCTTCCAACCATGGCATTCTGATCAAGAGGAATCCTTGAGGAAAATCAGCAGAACCGGCAGACCCAGCAGAATCGGCAGGCCCAGCAGTGCCAGCACCAGTAGAAGATCCTGGAGTAACGTCTTCTCCCTCTCTTGTAAACACCTTAGTCGACCCTTGAGTTCGCGTTGGGTACATTGCATACAAGCGTGGTTTCGAATTTGATCTAGTACAGCCAAAAACCATTGCATACTGCTGCATTTTAACACACGTGCGATACAATGACGCAAACGTCGATTGTGAGTTGGTAAAGCCTCCATTCAATGAGTGTGAAGTTCTGCCAAGTCCATTGTCGGGATCAGCAGTGATGAAAATTGGAGCACCACAAGCGTAGGCATAGTTGAAGTGAGACAAGTCGCGGAAACCAATCAATTTCAAGTATGGTGGAGGCGAAAATGGCACCGACTTGGCTGATTTTTTACCTTGCTCATCATCTTCTTCTTCCTCTTCTTGTTTATCATTTCCACCAAGTAAATCACCAACATTATTGTTTTCTTCGTCCTCCTCAACTCGATGATCAAATGTATAATCTCGTAAAAACTTCATCAACTCCTGATTCAATAACAACACATCAGCACCACCACCACCCAACTCAATCCCTTTCCTAATCCCCGCTTCCTGTTTCCGTTCAGCTAGCGATAATCCACCACTATCATGAGCGCTTTTGATCTCAATCTTGGATCCATCATTCTCTCTAATCCAATTGGTTTCAGTGTATACTCGTTTAAGTAACTCTCCACGCGTGTAGAGTAACAACTCTCGTTTCTTTAACTTTTCATGAGAATACAAGGTGTACCCCTTGATGGTACACCCCACTGATCCACCCAATTTACCGTCATCGCTGAGAATCAAATTGCATGTGAATTGGACACGTCGGACGTACTTGATGTCAAGTATACTTTGACGGATTTGATTCGACAACACCAGTTTTTGGAAAATTGGATAATCTTTGGAATATTCAGTCAGAAGCTTGGCATCCATCTGAGTGGCTTGAGCTTCTTGTGTCCCCTGTGTGCCCTGTGTGCCCTGTGTGCCACTCTGCTGCAAAGACTTCATAAAGTTGGAATTCATAAAAATCAACTTGAACTGACGATGATCGAAAGCATGATCCTTTGACGCAAGGAAAATCGGCTCGATATAAAACCCGTACGCATAAAAATCATTTATAATCCGAAACAAAGTTTCACAAGTGGACTCAGTTTCAAACGGATGATCATTACTCGTGATCCAAATCATGCGTTGTTTATTAAACTCGCGTTTATTCATAAACTCATCAATCATCTTGCTCAACACAGTACATAGTTCCACATCTTGTTTCATTGGCTCATACCGGAACACCTTATCCAAGGGTCGCTCTTTCACATTCTGGATCAAATCATTGAGTGTCTTCATATTGGTCAAATTTAGCACGTTCAAATGAAACAATCGATTGAATGTAGCGGGAGACTTCATTGATTTCAATGGTGCGATAGTGGAACAGTTGTAAAAGTAGATCCCAATACCGGTACTGCGTGATGTTATGATTAGATCCTGCATCAAGTCGTTGATACTACTTAGTATTTCAATTAGTTGTGACGTGTGATCGAGATCATTTTGGGGTGATAGTATATCAGGAGTGATTTCAATCAAGAAGGACACTGCTTCCCTCACTTCTCTTTGTTGGAATTGATCGTTTTCGTTATCGTCCGAGTCAAAATCGTCGGACATTGCTCTGTGTGTGTGTGTGTGTGTGTGTGGTATTACAATACGGTAGTTATACGCGGTGCTTCAAAGATGTGAAATCGTGTGCGCAATTGATCTTCTTTCAAAGAGAAAGTTTTAAATCCGAAAGTTCCTTTCACTCATTTTCATCATTCACAATCCAAGTCCTGTCCCTGTCCCCTGCCTCCTTTTCTCTCAATGTCAATACAATTCATTCTAGTCCTCAACCGCCAAGGCAAATCCCGGCTTGTAAAATGGTTCGACAACTCATACACACCCTCGCAAAAACAACAAAACATAACCGACATCCATCGATTAATTTCATCAAGAGACTCAAAACACCAATCCAATTTCGTGTTGTTCCAAAACCACAAACTATGTTATAGAAGATATGCCGGGCTATATTTCATCATATCGGTTGATTTACAAGATAACGAATTATCGTATTTGGAAAGCTTACATTTTTTTGTCGAGATTTTGGATGTTTATTTCAATAATGTTTGTGAAGTTGATTTGGTTTTCAATTTCTATAAATTGTATTTCATCTTGGATGAAGTTTATCTTGGTGGAGAGATTCAGGATATACTGAAACAAAAGATATTGGACCGATTGCAGTATTTGGAGTCGATGGATTGAGAGAAGAGAATATGAGGAAGAAACACTTGCGTTATATGGCATTTGTTGAGGGGGGGAGACGGAAGGCATTTGCTGGTAAATCACGACCGTCTTCTATTGCATTCGGAAGCTCTTGCACGAACCCTTCTTTTCTATACATGATTTATAGGTCCATCAGTCAATACATGTACATTATTCGTCTCAATGACATGCCAAAGCAAATCACTCACTTGCTCAATAGACTTATTCCCCACATCAACAATCTTGACACTGGGATCGTTGTGTTCATCAAGTATATCCAAAAAGCATTGCTTCACTTTGGATTGAAACTCCACCATTTCGTATCGTTCATCACCCCATCCTTTTCTCGAACTGATTTCATCCATGTCTAGAGTAAGAAACATGGTCAAGTCAGGTTTTGGTAGCCCTTTATCGGGAGCTAGTAACCATTCGACATTGGACAAGTTTGCCAAGCTGCCATTAGAAGTGGAGGTGGTGGAGGTGGTGGAGGTGTCTGTGCCCTTATGTTTGGCCAATGTATAAGCAATTCCCGAATATATATACCTATCCAAAATGACAAAATACCCTTGCCTCAACAAATCAATAATCTCTTGGTTCAATTCCCATCTATTAGCCAGAAACAATAAGTGAGCCGCTTGGTCACTAAGTTGGAATTCTTTATTAGTGAGGTATTCATTGATTAGTTTGCCAATTGATGTTGATCTGTCAGGAAATTTTATGAGCTTCGATTGTGAAAACTTGGAAGCTAGGATGGAAGCTTGGGTAGATTTACCAGATCTGTCTAGTCCTTCTATGAGGATCAATTGGCCTCGGCCAGGCATGATAAACCGGGAAAAGTAGGTGAGTTAAGGTGAGTGAAGAGGAGGGCGTGGTTGGTTACATTTTGAGTTTCGTTTTCCCATTTTGACGCGTTTGAGAAAAAAAAATAAACTTTGGGAGATTGAATCGACTTTTTACATATCACTTATAACGTATTGAAAGGCTGATACGAGCAATCTCAATGATCGGAATTCCAGGACGAGGTTCTTAACTCATTCAATCGCTTGTTCGATTTAATAGTATTACTTGCTTGATTTGGAGGAAAACTTTGTTGAAAGTTTTAAACCTCGCTTACTAGCATAAACGTGTAAGAAGATCTTGTAATCGAGTCTCTGCATTATAAGCGGCCAAGCACTACTCTGTAGTGGTTAGTCAAAGTGAGTAACAGTTAATCCCACATTGGGTAGAAGAGTGACTACATGTTTGTTGAAACTTCCTCGCGAATTTAGATAGAGTAGTGAGGATAGTCCCACTGTTGGTGCAACTAAATCATTGGAGGCAGGGGAGAAGGGGGGGGCAAGGGGGCCGTAGAGGTGTTAATATTAGTATAATCTATCCAATGTCATTCCATTATTTCAATAACCCAAGCTTCCCCTTAATCCAATCACCAGATACGTTGAGTAAATTTACTATCCAGTGATGGTGTATGCTACTATTGAAAACAGAAGTTGATGAATGTATACAACTACATCCTCTACAGCATAACTACTCTTTTGACTAGAAAAATGTGAAAGGGATTATGACCGAGAGACTCAATGCAATGCTCATCAACCGGAGATACACCCTTTCGTAAAATCAATCTCCAATTACCCATACTTTGAAATTTCACATTCCAGAATTAAAAAAAAAAGATTCTAGCTAAAGAAAGAACGCAATGTCTCCCCCTCGCTCTCTCCTCTACTTCAAAAATTTTTCAAGGGAAAGCAAGAAGCTAGACCTGGAATGTATATCAGCAGCTATCAAGTTAATCAATGCGGAATGCTGATAGAAACGACGCCGCTGAGATGGATTGGATTATAGTGAGGAAAAAGAAAAAGAGAAGGAAAGATGGATTTTTTTTTTTTCCTTTTTCTCTCGTTTTCGTTTATGAATTGTATGTGTTGTCGCAAAGTTTACAATTGCGACATTGGATGATTGGATGAGTAAGAAATTGTTTACTTGAAGTAGTGCATAGGGTGGTGTATTCACAACCGGATGGAACTGTGACCATCCTGAAGAGAATTATCAGTGAACAAGGCACATCGGTATCTTTGTCAAACCTTTTCGAGTGCCTAATGGTAGAATTGACTCCGTACAATTATATTTTTTTTTGCAGTATCAATGTGATGTAAATTTTTAATCATGATTTGTTGCAAAATCTAATAAACTTAGTACGATGGGAATTTTACAAAATGATTCTCATACTGTAGTACTAGGGAAAGACATTATGCCCTCCCCCCAAACTGGTCATACTACGACATCATCACTCCTACCTTTTACCTTTCAAGCCCTTTGACTTGTGACAACAACAAATATGTCGTTGTCACACGACAAAAAAAAATTCAAACCGTACGCTACCAATAATTAGCAACTGATTTTATTTCCTGTTTGGGAAAAGTGGCATCTTTTGCGCAAAATGTATTTTCCCTTCCACCAAACAACGTATTCGAGGCAAGGGAAATTGAACTTCTCTTTCCTTTGCTTATTCTCTTTACAGATATGTAATTGTAAGTTGACTTACAAGTTAGCCTAGCCAAAAAGAAAAAAAAAAATAGAAACGGAATAAAATTAGCAGAACGAATGTTGCCATAAATAGAATAGATAGATGTAAGGAGTTAATATAGAGAGAGAGTCGGGACTAATGGATCAAGCTTAAATTTCCTTCCCTCCTCTTTTTATTTTTTTTTTTCTTTCTTTCTTTCTTTTTACGGCCGAGATTTATTTTTTAAATTTATTTTTCTTTTTTTGTTTATACGACGCAAGAAAGAAAATTTTAATTCGGATCTGTTTTTGCAGCACAACAAACTGATCTTTCTTTCTTTATTTTTTTTTTTTATTACAACACAGTATTCGACACTGTGTTGTGTGGAGTATACTATGGTGTGAAACAACTTGGAAACTGAGAGGATAGACTAAATGATTGATCAGAAATGCAGCAACAGAGTTCACGTGATGCAGGTTTGTAAGTCGAGGCATTGATAGAGAGAAATACATTTTCGAGCATATTTGCTGAAATAGAATTGTAGCAAGGATGTCCTCCGTGCAGTTGTAGTTGTTCTCGCGAGACTTAGGGAACTGTCAGATACACTCTCTTTTCAACTCAACTCAACTCAACAGAGACATTAGGAAACTGAAAAGAGAAGAGAACTGAATATAGTTGTCGTGTAGACTAACTGCCAGTTTATCCGCGAGAGGGAATACAGCTCTCATTAGAGAGAGAGTTGCTCCGTGTTCACATGGTTTATATATATATATATATATATAAGTAATGGCAAACATTGTAATAAGCAAATACAAATTTTTTTTACTTCTACAGCAGCAACTCAAAACCAGAAACAGAAACAGAAACAGAAACAGAGGAGAAAGCAAAATAAAAAATAAAAAAAAATTAGACAACAAAATCAATTGATTCGAGATCACAACTTCTTCTTCCTCAAACACCATCTCTTTATCCACATACATTCGCTTCCAATACATACACACACCACTACCATACACACTAACGCACCTCACTACACAGACACTTTTACTCAGACAGACATATAATTTGATAATATTTTAATTTCAAAGAAAAAAAAAACAAAATTTCAATATTTGTTGTCTCCAGAGAAAAGAAAATAAATTCCCAACCATTTGAAAACACGCTTTTTCTCACATATCATTGAACCTCATTACTACCAAGACACTAGAAGAATATGTCACAACTGCAACTTCATCAGATATTGACTAGTATGTATTATACACACACTTCCATTAACTAACTTTTAAACAGGCAGCAGCAAGGTTCCCCTTTAGATTTTAAAACGAGGCTATGAAGGAGGAGAGACTATTGTCTTCTATTATTGTTTTTTTCTTTCTTTTTTGTTTTTTTTTTTTTATCCACAAAAGATACACACACACATACACACATACAAAGAGACTGAAGGATACTAAGCAAGTCAACAATTACTTTACTCTTAGATGGCATTCCAATATCTACCTGAGTTTTACAAGCGGATATGCCAACTGCAATATAATCTGACAAAGGGATTGAGGAAGAGCCACGGGAACAGTTCAGGTAACTAGAGAAGATCTTTACTCACAAGTTTGAATGCAAACAATAGCAAGAACGAGAAACAAGGTACCAACCACACCTCGTTCCAAGTGGTAAGGAGTACTCTGTGGTTAAGTTTTCCTGTGTGTTTGGTTTTATTTGCATCATGATCCAGATGCCACAACAACCTACTCAAGAAAAAAACATAAAAAAATAAAGCTTAACCAATCACACACCACTTTATCCTACCACCATTAACACTCAAAGGCTTGTCGTGTTTGTGTGTCGTTATTATTTTTTTTACCTCATAAGATTTTCAAGACGTGTGGTCAAGTATGTAAGTACCTGTGCCATCATCATCATTTTTTATCTACACACACATATGAACACAACTTTTTTTCAAACACATTTCTAAGTCTTTTTTGGGAAATTTTCCATCCACCTAAAAGAGACAAGCTTTGAAAATATAGAGCCACCCCCCTCCACCGCATCAACACACGTCCTGTTACTTTTACACACACAAACACACACACACATACACACACACAAACACACTCACCACTTTTATCTTCTTTAAGCTTCATTTTGATTGCATTTGCTACTTTTGCTTTAGTGTGTAAAGAGTTTTCGAGTCTAGTTCCACCCAGTCGTCGTCTTGCCAAGTTTCCTCGATAGCGCTGCCTTTTCTGCAATACCCCGTCCCCTACTGCCTCGTTTTCAACTCAGCTGCTGCCAACCACAATGCCAGAGTTCTCTTTACTAACAGATGTTGTTATAGTTGGATCCAATCCTAACGTTTCGTTTTACGCATGGAGATTATACCAAGTGAAATCAGTTGAATTAACCATTGTTGACTCACAATTTGAAAAGACAAGACCGATTAACTGGAAATCAGCACTGTTGGGCACAAGCCTGTATTCACCACACGAAGCCTACTCAACTATCCAGGAATTACCCAGTCACAAGAGATATGATGTTGTCATTCTTAGTTGCAACTCATTGCAAGATTTCCAAGCCACTTGTTCTGGCTTGAGCAAAATCATTCATGACAAAACTATAATTCTTGTTGAGAGCACTGGTTACATAAACTTAGAACCATTTGTTACCGCCAGTTTTTCCAAAGCAGCAGCTTCGTCATTGTTGGTTATGTCTATCATGAATGAATGTGACGTACGCAAAACATCAAGAAATACTCTTGTTCATCAAGTCAGAAACAAGGATTCAAGAATCTATTTTGGTACTTCATCAGGAAGTCCAAGCAAATTGGCATCTCACCCTAGTTATCAAAAAATGTACAAACTTTTGCAACATATTCAGGAGAACAGCAATGGCGCAATCAGTTTGCTCAAATCAAGCAATCCAAAGGAATTTATGACATACCAATGGAAATTGGCTTTACCTCGTATTGTGTTTGACCCAGTTTTGGTTTTATTTGAAATTGAATATCCCGAGTTACTAAAGAGTCAAATCTTGTCGAAGCCATTGATTACTGGACTAATCAATGAGCTATTCAAGCTTATCAAGAAAATGGATTGCAAGTTGGTCAAGGGATTTGAAAACGAAGCTAATTTGTTGGAAAGTTGGTCGCAATATTATCCAGCAGTTAAATCAAATGACCATTACGTCAATTCGCCAAAGTTATTTTACAATTTCTACCACAGATTGGATCTTGAACTTGATTTGTTGTTGTTACAACCAATTTTGTTGGGGGATGATAATGGGATCAGGACGCCATACTTGGAGAACTTGTATTCAATCATGTGTCAATTTAACAAGATTAACCACAAGTCATCGTCAATATTTTTCAAGCGTAAACTTGCAGATGAACCTGATTCTGAAAGATTGGTTACGGCAAAACAATTGGAAGAAGAAATTGCTTCAAAACAACTCAAAAACCAAGAATTGGACAAATCGATTAAGGATTTCGAAGTGTCCAAGATTAGTATTGATAATGATGTCCGTAAGCAACAACAATTTTTGAAATCACTCCAACAACAAATCATCGATGCTGAATCAAAATTATCAAATTTGCTGTATGAGTTTGAAAAGAAGTCAAGATCGTTGGAGATGGAACATGACGCTAAATTCAAATCTTTACACCAACAATATAATGACAGAGTGAAGGATTTAGAGTCCAACTTTGCCAAACAAAGAATTGGCCCTAATGAAAACAGTCCACCATTGTCGATTCCAATGCAACAACCAACTCCTTCTCAAGATGACCAGGCGAGACCAAATGGTTATAGAGAATCTGTCATGAGTCAGGATGGATTGGCTGACTTCAAGCACATCATTCAATACAATGATGTTGTACCAAATGGCTCCACTGATACACCTAAATTGCAACCGCCAATGCAACCAAGTCAGGGCCAAAGTTCAGAAAATTTTGTTGACGCAGGCAGCGGCAACAACACTAATGACTTACCACCGCATATACTTCAAAAGGAATTGGAATTAAAGAGTCGAGAGGAAGCATTGAGAGCCCGCGAGGAGAGAAATGGAAGTGTGGGGGGATATCCTCAACAAGCCCAACGCACGGGAGGTGGGCAGTATCCTCCACAACCATCATACCAACCAAATGGCTACGGTCCTCCATATAATGCGCCACAGCAACAACCACAGCAACAACCACAGCAACAGCCACAACAACAATATCATCATCAACATCAAAGCCTGTACTATGGACAACCTGGCTACATAAATGGTGCCCCAAATGGATACTCCGACCAGCAGCCACCTCATGGTTTGCCAAGTGGTGGGATGCCACCCAATCAGTTCCCGCCAAATTTGAAAACTAATGGCTCAATGGCAAACATGAATGGATACCCACCACAACATCACCAGCAACCGATGCAACCGCAACATAGTGGCTTTAACCAACCACCACGTAGATTGAGCTCAATGCCAGGAGGAATCAACAACTACCAAGATTTCCAACAACAACACCAGCAACAAATGCACTCACATTACGGAAACTCACCCAGTTTCAACAATGCAGCCCCAATTGATCCCTTCATAGAGCAACGGTTCAGGACAGCCAAGAGGAGCAGCAATCGTCGTTCACAAATGCCAATGATGGGAAATATTGATGGTGTAGATATGGGTGGTCGTGGAGGTATGCCCTTGCCTGGTGCCAGCAGGAAGTCCATGGTTCATCAATTCAATTCTTCATCATTACCGCCATTACAACAAGCAAGAAGATCATCCAGCAATCCTCTTTTGGTGAACAATCAGCAACCACAACAACCACAGCAACCACAGCAACCACAGCAACCACAACAGCAATACTTGCAACCTCCAATGCACCAATCGCTGTCACACGTGGAAAGTGGACCTTCTCAATCCAATGGGCACTTACACCCACCAAACATGAATAGCTCATCTTCGTCAACAAATACTAATGACACTCCACATACCGCTGGTGACAATGACAGTAATGTCAAGTTACAGGTTCCAGTGACTGTAGACTACAATCAGAATGCCAAACCTTTGGGAGGCATAGCTGAGCTGAATAAAGAAGGCGGTGAGAAGAAGAAGAAAAAGAGGGGAATTTTTGGAAAGTAGGGTAGAGATATGGGTCTACATGGGGACATACTACCTGTATGTGTGTATATATTTACATATTAGTTTTGGGATATAGTTGGAGGTATTTTATAAAATGAAATGCAAAAAGTTTTCTGGGGTTTATAATTGAGTCTGTCTGTAGTATGGAAAGTGTGTTGTATAATTTGTGGGTTTTACAAGCGTGGTTTTGAAATTTGATTGGAGAGGGAGAATGACAGACAAAGAGAGAAAAGAAAAATTTAGTTGACAGTATTTGCATACCTACAACAACATCAATCTCCCATTAACACCATGGGCAGAAACTTCTACAACGACGACGATGAACTAATCATCAACAAACCAGGCACGATTGACCCCATCACTGCCAAACTCCAACAAGAAGAATCCATCCATGGCGGCGACAACGCCACAATCATTGACGGCATGGTGATTCGCACCACTCCCATCTTGGAGAAATACAGCAACCAATTGCGTCAATTTGCCATCACCAAATTCAACATCTTGGAAGCTGAGCTCGCGACGCAGAAACTGGCTACGTTGAATGAATGGCACAGTTTGCAAACTGGGTTTAACCGATTGGTGAAGGAGCCGGTGTTGCCAAATGCGATATATATCTTGACTGCTGGGTTGACTGGTAGTATATTGGCACGTAATCGGAATTTGGCATTGAGGTTTGTTACTCCGTTGGTGTTTGGTGGTGTTGCTACTAGTGCGTTTATGCCTCGCACTTTTGATAATTTGGTGAGGGAATATGATGAGTTTGAAGTGGCTCATGTGCCGGAGTTGTATAATCAAAGACAAGAGTTGATTAGGACATTGAGGCAATGGAGGGTGGATGCTGAAAGCCAGAGGGTGAAGTTTAATGATTCTGTTATTGAACAAGTGCATGAGTTGAGAAAGAAGTGGAAAGAGGTATGGGATTGAAGAGCGTAACGAAGTGTGGAGTGTAGCGGTAGTAATGTTGGTTTATATTGTATAAATAAAGAAACGTAAAATGCAATATTTAGTTCAAGGCAATTTGGTACGTTGTGTAAACCATGGCCAACGCACCAATTGCTATCAAGGCGTAGTCCAGGATGGCCAACCAGTACTTGTGCTTGGCATCTTTCAAACTCACATCTTGTCCCTGTCCTTGCACCTGTTCGAGCCCCTGCTCCTTTGGGTCATTGGTTCCACAACAACTCTTCAAGTGCAACATTGGCGGGTACATATAAACCAAAGGAATGCAAGCAAAGCATCCAATAAACGAGACAAACTTGTCTAAATTCTCACCACCAACAAGGGCAATATACGCAATAAACAAGACAAACGAAGCCCGGAACAAGTTCTTGAGCCATTTGATCAGTGTTGATATCTTCCCACTCAATTTAAACATCTTCGATTCAATTATTCGAATAGCAGGGAACAATTGTAATGGAGCCGAAAGTAAAATCGCCAATGAATAGAAAAACTGCGTCATGATAACCATTATTGAATCCTGTGGCAAGTTTAACAAAATGACCGTGTGCACATCTTTACCAAATGTTAAATACCCCATGGAGCCAACAACGATAAACACAATGACAATAGTGACCATCACTTTCGCCAATACCCGAGGGAAATGATGTGGGTAAATCATTGATTCCTGAACGGGGAAAATTAACCCGATTCCTTCAAATGCAAATATTGCCGTGCCGATAAACAATGAGAACTTTGATTGATTGAAACCAAACTCAACTGCAGGCCCCACTTGCCCATGGTTCAAAATGAGCCATTCGTAGCCGATATAGTAGACAATTGTGACTAACCCAGTCAAGATGAACAAGTTTGCAAGTAAGGACAGGATGGAAAGCTTGGTGACATCACGAACAAGACTCATGGGTACAATAAGCACAACTTGAAGTCCGATAAACCATATGATACTCAACTCGCCATATGCGCCATTGCCAAGGTTGACATTTTGTGCAAATGCACGTAGATTCTCCGCAGTGAATACGATATAAGCCGCCACGAAGCCAATTTGACTAATGATGATGGATGCCAAAATTAACCGTTGGAGCCACTTACCATACAATTTGAGTCCTATTTCAGCAAAACCGGAAACACTAGTGGCAAGTTTAGTTTCAACAAGTATAAAGTAACACCAATATGATAATAATGCAAACATTCCCAATGTAATTATCGAGAATGTCAACCCACCATTGGCAAATGCTTTGGGGAGGAAAAGGACACCGGTACCAACAAATGCCTTGAGGAGTAAGAAATATGCTTTTGTATCAGTTGCAGTTCCCTTGGGGTTATATTTCGGAGTTAGAGTTGCCGCTGATAATGATCGCTCTGCTAAGAGCGGAGTTTCTTCATCTGGGTGCCTGTACCTTTGCCTCATATCGTTTTCGTCATCTTCTAGATCTTCACCGGCAAAGTGTCCGTAAATGCTAAGAAACTCGATAAAATTTTTAGTCAAGAAATTGGGGGTACGTCTGTAAGGCACGTCATCGAGTTGACAGTAGTATGCAGAATCAGCATCTTGTAATTGCTGCTGCTGTTGTTGTTGTTGTTGTTGTTGTTGCTGCTGTTGCACCAAAAACTCTCTTCGAAACCCACCAGGTACATTGAACGAACTGGCTCGTGACTTGATCAGACCACTATCAGAACCATGCTCATCATCAAAACTTTTTGATCTATGCAAGCGCGGCGATTGCTGATTTTTCAACTGTAAGTCACGTTGCAATTTATACAAGTCATGTGTGATGTCACCGCCTTCCGACTTTAAATGGTTTCCACGAGGGGGTAAATGTTTGGATAGTTGAGATATCATGCGGGGATCATCTATACCTTCGCTGAAATCGACGGATGTTCCCTCATCTTCCTCATCATTCTCTGCTCCATAACTCTGTTTTTGAATCGAGCTTTGTTGCTTGCCTTGTCCATGAAGCGATGTGGTTCTTGATGGAGGAGATGCCGAATATGACGAGTCATCAATAGCAGCTTCACCGCCAGCGGGAACACCGACTGCTGATACTGCCTCACTTTGGCCAGCAGCACTGAACCCATGTCCATCCCGTAAAAATGGTGCATTTGAAACGTACGAATTGCTCTGCGACCCTGCGTGTGATCCACGTCGCGAACCATTTATATAAGCTGCTAATGCTGTTCCTCCTGTCAGGGCTATTGCAGATGGTGTAGGTGACCCTGAAAGTGGTGACTTCGTGAGTAAACTTATGGATCGTCTTCGCTGTGATTTGTTTATATCTGAGGGAGTAGCCATGACGATTTAGGTGATGATTGGTGCCGAACTGGTGTAATCGAGCCAGCTTGTATACAAATTCTGAGGAGGCGTAGTATTATGAGACTGTAAGAGTAAGATTTTACTGACTGACGTGTGTGCTGTTCTTCTATCTTTCTAAAAGTGATTCGCTCAAAAGATAAGATGGGTGATTGTATTACGCGGTATCAGAAAAGCCCTATAGGGTAGTGTATGTAGTACAAATAAACAACGATGTAACGCTCTACTTACTTAATCAGCGGCGTTTCTGCTACGGTATTTCCGAATGATGAGTTTGTTACATTAGTGGGTGCTAAATGTCTCTCTCTATCACCCAGGGCTTGGTAAGCGACCCATCAGTTTCTATAGCATCACGACTTCAAGTATCAAAGGTTTTACAGATCCAAATGTCATTACAAATTGTTGAGCGATGCAACTACAAGTCATTCATATTAGAGCTACTACTACCAACTACACAACAGAGTCAGATTTCTTCAGGTGTTTTGCGCTCCAATTAGGGAAGTTGATGCCGAAATACACAAAATCAAAACTTCAATTTGAACTTGACCAACCTTTGGAGAGTCGTGCTCTAGTAGACAGCTTCAATTGAAGTGGATTACGATCTGCCTGGTGCAATATTTGCAGAGTTTGTCTAAATAACAAGCAACAGGTAGTTACGAATTTGCTGTGAAGTAATGAAGATTACCGTTCTTTTCTTGAGTAGGATAGCATTTGGCGACTGTCTATCCCTACTACGTTGCCAATACATGCTGTATATAATTGGTGCAGTTGTACTTTTATACTCGCTCTGAAATTATGGTTTCGTAGATACTGTGTGTGTTGGAGCAAGAAATCTTTCATTCAGAGAGTCAAAGCTCAAAGTGACTCATATAGGATCATCAATGGGTTTATAATCTACCCCAAAGCAACAAAAAGCGGATTCAAATCTACTTCGAGTATTACTTTAATGGCATTTTAAATATATATTAAAAGATAGAACAGAGGCATCGTGCAATTTGCATACCAAATACCAGTTTTGCGACCAGGCCTTCCTTACATGGAAGCACAACTCCCTACAGACAAAAACGAGCATTCTCTTCCTTTGTACGGACACAATAGTTATTACACAGTTTCTGGAAACGATGCTGGGAAAGTTTTGATCTCCTTCTTCTCCTCCCCTTCCCCAAAAACTCTTACAAATCCCCAACTCAACTCACCAACGAAGCTAGGTAGTTATGTGGTTTATTAAATAAAGTTTTTTCTATATAGATTCTATGGTGATTCCAAATTTAGCCAATTTTTCCTCAGCTCGTTCATAACCGTACTGAGCCGAACTGGTGTAGTAATCAATTGCTTTATCAACAGCAATGGTAACGTCGTCAATCCCACCATTGGCAAGTGCGATATTGGCCATTTCCTCATCACTCACATCGCGTTCGTAGACCTCGCCCAATTTAAACAACACACGAGGATCACGGCGATTCAAATCAAGAGCTTTGTTGAAGTACTTGATTGCTCCTGCTATGTTCTTTCCAATTCCAAAATCTTGTTCGTAAGATTCAACAAAATCATTTTTCAATAAACATGCATAGATGAAGTATGCTTTGCATTTCAAACTTGTCTTGATGTCACCAGCACCGGATTCAATCTCGTTGACAATTTTCATGATATGAGTCACCGACGCTTTAATAAATGCTTGCTTATTATTTTCAATATGCTGTGGTTGTGATTGTTGAGGAATAAAATCACCTTTGATATTGATGTAATTGTACAATTTCGAATTGGTCGCTGTGATCAACATCTTAGTCCAAAGTAAGCGATACTCCATTGTCTTTTTACCTGATGCAATATCACCACGCAATTTCTTAAACTCCTTGACCTTCTTTCGAGTTTCAGAATCCAATTTGGGATGATATTGTTTGGCACCACCCCATCCAATGGGAGGCATACTATTACGTTTATTGGCACGGGCCATGTTGTCATACATCATCATCGACTGACGTCTCGAGTCCTGGGGTTGCATCATCGTCATCATCATACTATGACGGTTCATGCCTGGATGCGCACCACCGTTTTGGTACATCATTGGATTCATGCCCATTCCCATATTCATTCCCATCCCCATGTTCATCCCCATCATATTCATATTGTTGTATGGCATCATCATATGTGGTGGCATATTCATGGGCGTTTGCGTTTGCATTTGCATTTGCATCATTTGATTAGACGTTGATGGGTGTGGTGGCAGCAGCATCATGTTTAAATCAGGCATGGACATATTGTTGGTGTTTTCCATACCTAGACTTGCTTGCAGTTGCCATGGCTGTGTCATGGGTGGAAATGGAGGTTGTTTCTCATGTGGTATGGCTGATGGTGATCCGTTGTGTTGCACCTGTGGTTTATTTCCTTGTCTTTGACCCAGTGGCGTTCTTGGCGACAGCTTGGAAGTAGCTGACGATGATGGGTGAGCAGCCACCTGGAAATGCTCTTCATTTTGGATGGAATTGTAAGACTCTTCCGAAGAGGTGGTGTCTTTTCTGTTTAAGGTCATTGTTGTGTGATTATTGGAAACAGGTAATGGTGCTTGGTCAGCAATTATAGTCTCATTGTGTTCATCATGCAAAGATTCGCCTTCTTCGTTTGCACTGCTTCCTCCTTCTTGCTCACTTGTCTCATCATCTTCAAACAAAAACTTTGTATAATCGGAAATCTGCCTGGATACAACTGAATTATCCTTGTCAACGCTCAACGCCAAATTAGACATTGCTCGATTGACTTCCATAGTGTGGTCTTGCACTGCTCCAAAGTCGTTTACCCTAACTGGCGGCTCCTCAACCACTTCATCATCCTCATCATCGCTATGTACATTGTATGATTTTGGTTTGAAATTGGACTCTAAAGATGCAATTCTATGACCACCACCAAGTTGTTTGAGTGCGTGTTGAGGCTCAGAAATTGATCGGTTTGACTTGATGGTAGACTTGCGTGAGTTCCTCACAAGTTCACTGTTTTCACCTACACTGTCAACGGTTACGTTTTTGGCTCGTTGATATGCTTCCAAGTAGTCATGCGGTGGATGCGTAGAATGAGGTTGGCTAGACTCACGGATGTCATAGCTTGTTGTATGATCTTGAGGCTGCGTGTTGATGCTTTGGAGTGATTGTGACTGGTGAATTTGTAAACTTTGTCTTTTTTGTTCCTTTGCAAGTGATTGCTGCAGTTGCAGCATCTGCATTGCTTGAGGCAGAGTTTCCTGATTGAAGTGGTGTTGCTGTTCTGGTGGTAGATTCTGCTGTGACTGTGTCACATGGCTCATTCCGTTAATAGGATATGACATCGGCATTTGAGGATACCCGTATGGAATCATGTAGTTATAGTGAGATGCAAATTGTTGGTTATCCTGAAAATACATTGAGTTTCTTTGCAATTGTTGCTGTTGCTGTTGTTGCTGTTGTTGCTGTTGTTGCTGCATTGCAAGAGCTTGGTAATATTGCTTCCACTGCTCGTAGTAAGGGTGCTGTGTTGGCTGGAAGGAATCGGAGCTTGTCGTCTCAGAACTATCACCTTCAGAAGATATATCTTCGTTGTCATCGTTGTCTTCTCTCGCTATTTGTGCAGCTCCACCTGGTCCCATTGTACTCGGAGGTGTCACACCTGCGCCTGTTGGAGGTTGTTGATGGCCAAAATACATGCTTTGATTATATTGTGAGCCACTTTGTTGTGTTGGTTGCACTACTTTGTCTTGAAGAGATGGTCTTTTCAGTGTGTTTGGTTTAGACGTATTAACCTCACCACCTTGTCTATTTCTTGGTAGTGATTGTTGACTCACATTGGCAGATATACCAAACGTCGGAGTGATATTTAAACCAACATCTTGATAAGATCTATTCTCAGGTGTTATCGGCTTGGTATAATGTTGTCTCTCTGGAGTTTGCGCTTGAGCTGATTTACTTGGAGCAGTGCGCTGTTTTGGTAAGTTAGCCAACTGCTCTTTGCTTCTATGTGCTTGAGGGCTTCCATTGATGTTGTACCTGCCTGGTTGCTGCGCAGGAGCAATGGGTGGAGGATGTGATTGACGATTTTGCGGAAATTGTGAATTCAGTCCGGCATCATCCTGAGAGCTATTTGGCATAGTGCCAAGCTTTACTTCACTGGACTGGCTAACCCCCAGTAACATATCCAAGTTAGGCCTCAATGAGACCGGCACCTTCTTAACTGGTTTTGGTGACACTGACGGCTTGGAATGATGAGGATGTGGATGATACCCAATCGATTCGGTTGAAGTGTACGACGACGAGGATCCAGTTGACAGAAACTCGCTTTCAGTATATGAATTTGTTGTTTCGGATTTTTTATGCAAATGGTTTACCTTTGGAGGTGGTAGACTCTGATGATGTTGGGGATGCAATAAATGATTTTGATGGAAATCTGAGGTCAACCCCAACGGTTGTTGCGGTTTCAGCTGCTGCATCAGTTGTTGATGCTGCTCGTGTGAGTGATGTTGTCTATTACCACCAACTTTCAAGCCAAACAACCCCATTACTGATGTTGTATGTGATGGATAATTTGTTCAATTCAATGGAATGCGATGTATAACTTTCAAGAATAAAGATGAAAATGATGTTTAATTTTGTTTTTTATTTTTTTTTAAGGTTTTGTTCCTCGGTGACCTAAAAATAAACAACGAAAATAATAACAACAATGCAGTGTAACAGTACCTACTGTGGTTGTACTTTTGTAGCTAAGATCGTACGAGACTTCTAGGGAGTATATGTATGGACACTGCTATATGATCCTTAAGCTAGATAAACAAAAATTGAAGGAAATATTTGGCCTACTTAAACACCATGCATTGCTGTTGCGTTGTGTGGTGTTTGTTTTTGTTTTTTTTTCCTTTCTCCTTTTTTCTTCAAGGTTTATAGAACAATGAGAAACACTACAAACTCAAGATTTCAAGTTTCACTTGGGTCTATTGTTCGTTTACACAAGGAGTAGACCCATCCCTGAGCTATGAGGTAATTCAAATTTGCTCAAAAGTTGAAATCATTGTAGGGATCGTATCGTCGATCGCATTCGGTTGAATTATAGACTTTTAAGGGTCAAAAGAAAAATAAAAAAAATCTGGTCATTTTTGCAATCATATTTCCCAATTAGGACACAATGTAAACATACACACAAAAACGAAATGTTTTACGAATTTTTGCACTACCATTTGCCAACAAATTCCGCCCCGTATTAACTGTAAAAGCAAGGGGTGGAGGGTTAAATACGTGGCGGAGGTACATGAGCTCGCACAAGGGGTCCGCAGAGGTTTAATGTGGAAGTGAATTTACTATCATCAAAGCCGCTTCTGAATCCCCCTTGGAATAAAGCGCAAACGCCTCAACTCCCAGTCGCATAGCCTCGAGGCAGACAATAGCTATGTAATACAGCACCCCCACGTTTCCTCCCAAAGTTGTGTGTCTTGAATAACAAAAAAAAAACAAAGAGACAACAAATCGTAACTTTTTTTTGTCCTCTATTTTCAGATCTCCCACAGCCACGATGGTTGTGCGCTGGCAAGGGGGTGGAGCATAAAGGCAAAAAAGGCAAAAAAGAAAAAAAAAAAAAGAAAAATAAAGAAAACATGAATACATTGGATGTGACCGGAACACCAAACGTACACCCCACATAGAGTGGACAAGTGAACGTGAAAGATACAGCTGTAGGACGCGAGACCCCCTCACCCTTTGCTCACTGTAAAAGGATAATTTCAGTATGTGGCCACATAATACACTTGTGAGAAATAATTGTTCTTTAATCTCCGGAAGTAAAGTTTTGAAAAATTTCATAAAGAATTTGATGAAAAAAACCTAGTTTCCAATAAAAAGCGAAAACGGCATCAACAGAGCTCTCGCTTATTTCGATATCTTATTCTCCTGTGGCAAGTAAGTGGCGTGACAGAGGCCACGAGAAGGTGGTGGCAACTTCCGCAACCACAGCAATAATAGCAACCGAGGGGAAGCAATTGTAACCGTTAGCCGTTGCGTCGCTACCTGAAAACCACAGTTTTATTAGTAATCCAGTGAGATTGCTCTGCACCAAACTCCGCATTTATATAAATAGCCATTGGGTACATCTCAAGATTCCAATTGAATATAGCGCAGCAATACAATAACCTATAAACATTAACCATGACAGTTCAAGGAAGCGCAGTCACTTTTACCGAATACAGTGCCGATATTCCCAAGATAGTCCACAGTACCGATTTCACCATCGACCCCAATGCCATCAAAGAGGACCAAATTTTGATCAAGGCCTTGGCTACACCAATCAACCCGGCCGATTTGATGCAGCTCCGTGGTGGATACAATGATGCCCCCGATATTCAATTGGGTACTGAACCAAATGACAAGCCTTTACACGTTGGAGGTAACGACGGTGTTTTCAAAGTGGTCAAGGCTGGATCGGGCTCCAAAGCGTCTAAATACAAGGAAGGAGATTTGGTCATTCCCAAATTGCCTGCATTTGGAACTTGGAGGACCTATGCTATTGCCGGGGCTGATGACGTGATCAATGTGAATGGTTTGACAGTGGAACAAGCAGCCACCATCTCAGTCAACCCGGCAACCGCTTACCAATTGTTGCACAATTATGTATCCGATTGGAAAGAAGGAGACTACGTGATTCAAAACTCGGGCACTTCACAAGTTTCGAGATATGTATCCCAAATTGCCAAATTGGATGGCGTCAAGACCATTTCTGTTGTTCGTGATGGTAAATCGCAAGAAGAAATTGATGAATTGAAAAAGTTTGGCGCAGAGCACGTTATCTCTCATCTGGAGTTCAATGACGAGAAATTTGACATCACTAAATACACAAAGGGTGCTCCTGTTCGTTTGGCATTCAATGGATCTGGTGATTCCACAGTTGCCCATTTGGTCAAGAGCTTATCACAAAAGGGTCAGTTACTCAGTTATGGATTCTTGGGAGGTGCCGAGATTAAATACAGTGCAGTGGACCAATTTGCCAAGGACTTAGTTACCAGAAGATACTGGTTGACTGCCAATACTTATGCCGATCCAGAAGGTAAGGTTGATACTATTAAACGTTTGGTTGAATTGTACAGCTCGGGTAAGATCAAGGATGTTCCTTACAACAAGGTACACTATAAACAAGGTGGCAACGAAGAGATTTCCAAGGTCTTTTTGGAAGGATTGGCCAATTTCAAGAACGGTAAAGGTAAGCAAGTGTTGTTCTACGATTAAATTCGATGTGGAAGTTCCTCTTAGTTAGGGAATAAAGAATATATTTAACCCAAACACAGATCTAGAAACTCTTTGCTCTGCCTTTTCCTCCAAGCCCAACTCTCCTCAACGCAACACCAATCAAACCACAAATCAAATGTAAATACAACTTCACCACAGCAACAGCCAACACCACACTAAATCTAAAAGCGTAATCACCCAACGAAACCCCAATCAATGCAAATTCGCCAAACACTTGACTCAAGGAAGAAGGCTGATTCAGTGACACAGCAGCAGTGCCGTCTTCCTCTTCTTTCCAAGTCGAATCAAACATTAACTCAAGCAATTCTAAACGAATCCAAGTGAGCCAATCGTTTGATGCTTCAAGTGATGTGTCGAATGCGACAACGGGGTTTCTTATTTGGTAATTCTTGTGAGACAACAAGCCAAACAAAAACTTTGTTGACGAAGGTGCCGACACGGTAGTTGAAACCTGTGTGGTATTTGTCGTTGTTGATGTGGTAACTGGTTTAGGTTTCGGTCTTTTGTGCTTTGCGATGGACGATGCACTGGAGCGACGCTTATTCTTGGTTGGTTTCTTACTTTGTCGCTCTGACTGCTTAGTTGTTGCCTCATCATTAATCTTGGTGCAACTGACATTGCTAACAACCTCTGGTGTCTCATTTTCTTTATCAGTATTACCAGTCTCAGGAGTGTGGTATTTACCTTCCATATTATTACCATCAACGTCTCCGCCAAATTCATCACCATTTGCAGTTCTTTCCACATCACCTTTTGCGTGACCATCAATAAACTTAGTTTCAGCTCCAACCACCACTTCCATATCAGTAACATTGCCGTTGCAGATGTTCTCGTGGTCAGGTGCAACATTCAAGTCATTTTTCAATTCGTCCATAGGAACACTTTGACTAGCCATTGTTGCGTTGATCAAAGGGACTGGGTGTGTTGGTAGTAATGAAACCTATATGTTTTCAAAAAATATAACTTTGAGAGAATGTGGTTGGCTTTTATATAATATAATTGAAGGAAATATAAATATATATATACATGTGTGTGGTGAAGAATTAGGAGCAAAAAAAGAAACATTCATAATGCATATACACATGCAAAAAAAAACAACAACAACAACACACTCTAGTTACAGCTCCACATACACTGCCACCACCACCCCTCGCCACCTTATTTTTCAGGTAAACTTCCACGTGAGCAATAGTAAGTTATGTCTTATAGCAGTTACACACTCTCCTTACTCCCCCACAGATAAGACACACATCAAAATTGTTGCTACCAGTATACAAATTTGGAAAAGGCACAGTACAGCCTATACACTATCTTTTTGCATAAAAACAAAATATCAGTCCATTCCATTTCCAAAAGGGCTACAAGGGCAGCACAAATCCATGAAGGGATGTTACTATCTTGTCGTGTTGTTCCTCTCCCTTTGAATATCTCTCTGCAATTTTGGCTGTGAAAAATAGTTACAGGTACCGCATGACACAAAATGGCAAACGGAGAACAAACAATTTTCGCCAATGAGTTGAAAACAATCACACACAGAATGAGGATCTTGTGTAACTCACATTCCCCACACCTCTTATTACATGACTTTATGCGAACAAGTGCTGACACCATGGTAGCATACAGTCAACAGATGAGGACCTCCTTATAGCTCATTTACAAACCAAGAATCAATCAAGAAGATAATCGTATTTACTTTACTCTACATACAGCTACACAGAACTCTAGTAAAATATTCCTTTAGTCACTCTTTTCTCAAAACCTTAACCAGTTCCAATTATCACCAGAGTCCTGAATCGTTCCATCTTCCATAAACTGGCCAGGACTCGCGTGACTTTCAGAATGGCTTTGAAACGGTTCCTTGAACACGGCTCCATCTAGACCATGAGCTCCATCGTTAATACCCAATGGCGGTGCTTCATTAGACGACGACGGTGGTGGTAGTCCATTAGGGTCTAACAAGTCAAACTCGTCATGATGCTGATGCTGATGATGGTGATGATGATGGTGATGGTGGTGGTGGAGATGCAGTTGAAATGGAGCTTCTTGTTGAAATAGCACGGCATTTGTATTTGAATCGGATGATGAGTCAAATAAGTTTGAGTTTAATAATTTCTCAATTTGTTGATTCGTAAAGGAGGATAGTGTGTTATCATTACCTCTGTCTTTGTTGCCATTATCGTCATTGTGATCACGACTAGCATCGAATTTGGAATGGGGGTCAATGTCCATGTCCACGCTCAGTTGTGTTTGTGGAGTGTTAAAGCTATGGTGTTGCTGAAGTTGCTGAAGTTGCTGATGCTGGAGATGTGACAGTGGGTGCTGCGGTTGTCGGGATTGTCCAAACTGACTGGGAACTGGCGCAGATGAAGAGCCAATAAAGCCACCAGAACTCGAATTGATACCATTCATGTCGAATTTACCGTCACCTCCACTTCCAACAGTGTACTCTGACGAGAGCAAGTCAATGTTTGTATTGCCGATAATCTTATCATTGCTGTTCCTCATAGCAAAGGGCGAGCTACCGGCATTACTGTTAGTGCCTTGTCCACGTCTCAAGGGCCGCAAAGTGCCATGTAATTTATAAAATAATCCACACGCATTACACAACAAATCGCCATTGTTTGATTTCCTCCATAACGGAGTTGTTCTTGTCTCACAGTTGGTACATTGTAGAATCTTTTTCCGCCCATTGTTAGGTAAGCTATTGTGTCTGTTTTTGATTGATATTCCTGATCCTGACACAGAACTTGGCGATGTGTTGGAGGTAGATGAGGCAGCGAATTTGTTAGTCAGCGGTTTTGCAGCTGTTGGTGTTTGTGTTTGAGTTAGTCTTGGAGTAGACATTGTCGACGAGGAAGATGGAGTGGCTGGTTTGGTTGTAAATGGTGCCGATATGCCAGATATTGATTTACTATGCTGAACACTTGGTGGTAAAATTTGACTCGCCTTAGTAGTTATGGAGGCATTTGGTTGAACCAGTGAGCTGTTTTTCAAATTAGATTCAAGGTTGTTGATGTACGTCGATAGGTAGTTGTTGGACTGTTCGTTGTTTGTTCCATCGGCATCATCAATCCCTCGAGCTCGTGCATCTGCCAACCCCACTTTGGATTCCTCCTGGCTGATTCTGCGAATGTGAGCAACGTAATCAAAATCATCCATATTGGGTTCATTTCTGGAGTCACCAACCAACCCCGGTCTTGCTTCTGTCGAAACCGTTGCAGATTTGTTGATATTGTGGACGATGTTTGACGTCGGTGCATTTGTGGTAGAGGCACCAGAGTTGTTGTTGTTGCGAGATCCAGAATCTTTTCTAACCATGGGTTTCGATACGCATGCACTGTTGGAAGCTCTCCCACTAGTACTGGAGCTAGTGACATTGTTTCTTGTGCTGTTGTTGTTATGAACAAGTATTTTCTTGTTTTGTATTCTCCATGCCAAGTTGGATATCCTCTGATTATGGGGTAGATAACTCTTGTGTTGATACATTTTGAAAATATCCATCGATGCATTGTCATTATCAAGTATTAGATCGTGTATGGAAGGTGACTCATTAGATGTGGAAGAGGATGCGATGGCTGGGGTGGTGGTTGACATATTTTGCGAAGTTGATGTGTGTGAGTGGTGTCGCTGGTCTTGTTTAGCTTGAGTATTTGCTGTGAGGTGGTTCTGCTTGTCCATGGAGTTTGAAGCTAGCTTGGAGTATTGATGATATTGAGAAGATGAAATATTAAGGGTTGAGAAAAAGCAACAGGATAAATTGGGGTGTACCTTGGATGTAAATTGTATATGACACTTGCTGGTGTGTATGTATTGTAGTAGTAGTAGTAGTAGTAGTAGCCGCAGCAGCAATAGCAATAGCAGTAGTTTGTGTAGTTGATGAGTTAGTGCTGGTGAGTGTATTAGTTTATCATTGCAATCATAAATATTTAATTCATTCATCCGGTGTTATTATTCAAATTTATTCCCAATTAAATAAAAAAAAAAAAATACAAAAAAAATTATAAATTAAAAAATGAGAACTCTCTCTCCTCATTAAACGAGAGACAAAAAAAAAAAAAACAATAAACAAATTTTATCAACGGAGGGGGGGAGGAAGAAGGAAGAAGAAGGAAATCAGATTCATTTTCTTACTAAGTCTTTCTGGGGTTTGTACTGCAATACACTACCGTTTATATATAACAAGGTGATTGTAAAACATTCAACCCGTTGTAGCTCAGATTCTTTCGTAGTCCCAGGAATCGAGACTGTGATGCGTACGCTTTGATAGCATCCAATGAAATCGTAAATACAGACAAGAAACAAAGTACTGTTTCAAAAAGGTCTCTTTCCAAGGCAGGTTTAACAGAGGCAAATATAACTAGCATTTAACACTCTTCTGTTCCAACTCCTTTGGACCGCCTATATAAAGGCAAGTTATGATATTTTTCAGTGCGATTCAGTAGTAGACCAGAAAATAGAGTTGAAAATAAAAGCTTGTTTATGGAACTGCTGGGCCAAACCAACGAGTACAAACGCAAAACTCAATAGCCATTGCTACTCCGATAAAACCGAAACTCAATTACTGCATCGCTCGGTCTGGCAAGAAAATCAACATATTACCATGCCTAAAAACTTTAGAGATTGCAAAACGGGGTTAGGTAGCGTATTTTTACTGGGCACAAAAAAATAAAAAAAAAGAGTTGTAATATCATCACTGGACTATTCCTCTCAAACTTCATTAAATCACATTACATTACAATCCACATCTGGGTATTTTCATTCAATCTTCCTTCGAAATGGCAGACAAAATACGTGAAAGAAACCAATACGCACTCTTAAAACAGAAATATTCAGGGATAGGAAATGCCGACACCCATCGTGACGAGTTTCTCGCGACTATATACAATGACACCATTGCCTCTATTGCCCATCATAAACATTTGAACTATTATAATCTGATTGTGGTTAATAAACATCCGAGCTTGGTGAAACAGGAGATGATTAAGAAGATCAAGCCGGCACCCAGCTCTGGTGGGAGGAAACAGGACGATGAAGTTGCGGTCGTTGCTGCAAAGCGGTGACTTCATGTCACATCTTAGTACTATTTATCTACAGAAGCACAAGGTATGTAGGGAGTTACGATATCTCATAGAATCCAGTGCCTATTTCCTATGAGTACTTAATCCACACGAGATATGGATATTTTTTTTTCCAGTATCAAAGCACGCACGAGTGTATTCTAAAAGAGGAAGGAACATTAGCACCCGGCCATTAAAAGTCGGAGCATCAATTTCCTACATTGTCCATAGATGGTCATTACGAAATCTCGTATATATTCAATCTCATCTCCAATACACAAGTACAAACTAAAAGCAAATCAAGTCCATAGTTAATTTTTAGGTATCCATTTTCATTTACTCCCTGCATTCTCCTCAATTTCCACCAACTCTTTCCTCTTCAACAACCAATAATGGAGCAGACTCACCACTAGCTTGTCTAACACCACCAACAATAGCGGAACCAGCACTCCAAACAACCAAGATACCGGCAATAACAAAAGCGAAAATCCATTGCAAAGCAAAAACTTTAGTTGCCAATTGTCCAAAAGCCAAGGCAAAGATAAGATAAGAGGTACTAAAACCAATAGCCCAATCATTGAAAATCAACAAAAACAATCCTGGTACAAGCAAGAAATCCCAAATGAAGACATTGGCAAGAATTCTACCCCAGGTCTTGTGGATGTGCAACCAAACAGCCCCATTCCAGAAAAGTGCATACAACAACCAGGAGAATGGCAATGCAACCAATGGAGTATGGATCAACAACCAATTGGACACTGGTCTCAATGTAAAAGTCTTGTGACTGAAATACAATCCCAAAATGTTGAACAAGTTAACAATAACAATGATTTCACTCCAGAAGTAGTGACCAGAAGTAAACAATTCAGCCCAAACATAGTGTAATACGTTGAAAATTGGGAAATGCCACCCAATCAATTGCACAATCAGCAAACGGTATTCATCTGGGAAAAAAGTCTGGACAGTGTACAAGATTTGCCAAAGGTACAATACCCCCCAGTAAATAGTCAACAAAATGTCACTACCAGAGTATGGGGTGTAGTGTTTTTCTGGAACTCCCGAGTATTTTAATCCTCCATAAATGGAAAGAATCAAAGTGATGATGGAAACAGCCTTGTAGGTGTTCAATTGTTCTTGATTAGTTTCAGCCATAGCAGTAACAGTGACAAGAAGCTAGCTAGGGTTTGGATCTAAAGGAGGAGAATCAAGTATTGAAAGAAAAAAAAAAATATTGTGGATGATCACTTGTATTTAAAGAAGGAAACACACACACACACACACACACACAAACACACATACTGTGGCTATTATATTAAAATTAAGGAGTTACAAAATCAAATTGTAAATTAGAATAGCAATCATAAAACTAAGTCAATGTAAAAGGAGTCTTAATAGATTTATATTCCAAGTTTCGAGCTCCAAACAGTATATTCCAAGGCATCTGATAATACGGAAAGACGAGTCCACTATAAGTTTGACGGGCATCACATAATTATTCGAGTAATGGCCAGGAAATCTCGAAGGAAGGAGTACTCCGTCTCCTCAATATTGTGCTACCAGATGAGCTATAAATTAATTATTGTTTGCTTTTTGTGTATGCGCCGTTTGCGTGGTGGTTATTCACTCAAAAAACCTGCTAGAATCTTCCAATCGCTGAGGAACCCATTACCCAGCAGCTCTAATATACTGGTACACTGCTTGGATTGTATAGTTCAGATCATATCTCTACTTGTATATATACTGGCCGAGCATCGACTTTATGCTTTAAGACCTGTTGACGCGTTCGTGGCGCATTGAAGCTTTTTTTGCGCTTTTGCTCTTGCAAAAGAATTGAGTAATACTTGAAGTACATCCAACAACGATTAGAAGTTGTTTTCTTTGGAACAGATTTGATTGTTTGTCTCATCGATGACCCTTCCGTTGAATTGGCACATAGGTGGAGTGAACCAGTTGACTTTACTGTAATATACTACCACCCGGAAGGCGGCTTTTTTTCTTGGGTACTGGGAATGTAATGATATGTGGTCCCTATTGATTGGAGTGTATTACAAGGTTGCATCTTTCAATATGCATTAAAAAGCATTTAAAGTGTAGATCTCAACCGTGCTCTTTACATCTCTTGTTCAAGAAAACACTCACAATATTTTATCTATTTTACTCTACTACTACACAAGTCTCTCTAACAAGTTCCACGATAGGACTTTTTGGCGACACCAGCTTTATGTCCGTCCTTCTCATGCTGCTTTTGTCTAAGTGGTTGAAGACCACCAGAAGCAATACTCAACAACAAGTCATGAATGGTAGATTTGTTGTGTTTGGAAGCTTCTTCCTTGTTTGACAAGATTTCTCTAACTGATTTGGCAGCGTTAATCAACAACTCAGCAATATCAGTACAATCTTCAATCAATTTCTCCAAAAGGACCAATCCAAGAGAGTTACGAACAACCACACGCAAAATCTCAACATCGGTCTCATCAGGTGGTAAGTGATAGTTTGGAACAATGAAACCACGTTTACGCAACAAGGTTGAAAACAATTCTTGAGGAATCTCGGGGTAATCTCTTCTGACCTCCTCGGAGAATCTGAAAGCAACAACTGGCAAACCAGGTTGGAATTCTTCATTGACTGTTGGTTTAGGCAAGTCTTTGACTTCTCTAGTGAGTAACTTCTTTTGGTCGGCATCGCTGGCGGGCTTATGAATGACTGAAACCACATCGAAATAACTAGTCTTGTCCAAGTATTCAGAGAGCAAACGGGCATTGGATAAACAGGCATCAAAAATCTTGGTGTACCCTTCAACACCCAATGTTAAGAAGTTGTAGTATTGCAAAATAACTGGGAATCCAGGCCTTGAGAAATTCAAACCAAAAGTTTCTTCAACACCGCCCAAGTAATCAAGACTAAAACGCAAGTTCTTTGGCAAAAGACTCTCATCTTTCCAAATAACCCAACCCAATCCAACTGAAGTCAAACCAAATTTATGACCTGAGGTGTTTATAGAGTCAACACGATCAATAGCAAAATCCCATTTCAAATGTGGGAAAGCAAATGGAGCGACGAATCCACCACTTGCACCATCAACATGAATTCTAATATCCAATCCTTTCTCCTCTTCAACTTCGTCCAAAATCTTGGAAATCTCTTCAACTGGTTCGAAAGCACCGGTGAAGGTGGAACCCATAATTACGAAAATTCCAATTGTGTTTTCATCAATATTTTCCTTAATCTTGGTCGTGTCGATCAAATGAGCCGATTCGGGGTTGATTGGAATCAATCTATTTTCAACATCAAAATAAACGGCAAACTTTTCCAAAGCAACTTGAGCACAAGTGGCCATCAAAATGTTTGGATTTTCAGTAGATTTACCTTCAGCTTTTCTTTTTTCTTGCCATCTCTTTTTCAAAGCTAAACCAGCCAACATAATAGCCTCAGATGAGCCGGTGGTTGCGGTTCCCAAAGAATTGACAATCTTGGCACCAGTCTTCTGGTCTTTCTTGTAAGGTGCATGCCACAAGTTACTCAACATGGTAACACATCTATTTTGAAGGTCCATCAAAGAAGGGTACTCGTCATTATCAGCCAAGTTCTTGGTCAAATTCTCGGCAGCCAATCTCGTTTGGTAATCATTGACATACGTGTTGACAAAAGAAGCCAAGTTCAAAGTGGGGATCCCATCCAAGGACAAATCCTGATTCATATACTTGTAAATCTCAGCTTCATCGGCCGAATTCTTGGGAAGAACATATCTTGGAGCCAATTTTGACGAATTGTACGCGTCATTGAATTCGTCAGGACTCAATTTGACCTTTTTGGTATCCTTTAAAAGCTCATACTCCAAGTTGTATGCGTCAATATGTTTACTCAAGACCATTGTTGGTGGATACTTGGTGAATTGTCTAGTCAATTGTTTCCGAAGTGAAGAAAAACGATTGAATCTAAACATTTATAAAGAATAATGAAATTGGGATCTTTAAAGGATCCCAACCCCTATTTATAGACTACATATTATGGAAACGAAACGAACGCTGCGGAATCAGTAGAATTGCTGCGTATAAATATTTCAAATTTGTGTTTCCTTTGCATGGGGGGATAATAAAGTGGGCTAGCCCATTATGCATAATGAATATTCTCGATTGCTCTCGGAATCAAAAGGGGATGGGAAAAACAAATATTGGTGGAGATAATACCAGACTCTTTTTTCTTTTTAACTCCGAAACTATAGTCAAGTTAATTTTCTTGGCAAGTGCAAATTTACGAGAGACAGCACAATACCGTCCCACTCCGATACAGAGCTTGAACTCTCCTTGGGTACGTAAATCAAGTATATTACTACGCCCACGAACCACACTTAAGGGATATGCATGCACTCAGTCAACGCTTCCGCTATTTGCACTAGTATGACGTAACAGAGAGAAAAAGAAAAAATAATAATAATAATAATAATAAGGGGCTTGGTAGTTACATTTCTCCAATTTCGTTTATTTCACCGGCTATAAAACAATAAAATGCGAACAACGTGCACTTTCCACTTCACGTTTACACATCTGACACAAGCTTCAAATTTTGAAATTGCACTGCAGTAAATTCAATCGGTTCAGCTCTGGCACTATTTGGCCTCAAATCCACCGAGAGCTCGCTCAATGAATTCAGGGGATAGTGTCTGCATCTCGTAATCGTATTCATCTGACCGCATTGTATAGCCTCCCACTTTCAGCGCCTCGAAAAATAGCTTGGACACACTTTGAAATAATTTCTCATTCTGTAGTGCCTGTTGACGCCAAAATTCAACATCCTTACTCAATGTTTTGATGGTGTTTTCGAGTGATTGAATCTTATCAGTTTGTGATTCATTCGGTTCGTCATCAGCCCTTGTTTGTGGTTGAGCTTCCTGTAGAGTATTTTCCTTCCTCACAACCTTGTTAACAGACTCATCAGCTTCTTCTGCAGCTAGCTCCTCATTGGGTGGTTCAATGGTTTTTTCAACTGCTTCTGAAAAAGGAACTTTAGACGTTACTTTCCTAGATGATGTCTCAATTTCATTTGCTGCTGATTCTACTGTCCACGGTTCATTCAACGATATCTCTGCAACATTCATAGGCGGTGCACGAGGTTGACTTTTTGATTGCCATGATTGCACATCTTGTGGGTTAAAGACCTCAGAATCCGTTTTGGGACCGTCTTCATGCAATGTCGGCGATGACTTTGCTAGTAGCTCGGCTAGTGATACCCTTGGTGCTGATTCAGTATGCGAGTAAAAAACCTCTGCATCATCTCCTTTTGTATGTTGACCATCCTCTTGTATCAGATCGCGATCAGGTGTCAGTTGCCTTGCCTCGGCAAATAAGTCGCAATCTCTCTTGTGTTTAGTCGGCTCCTCAGTCAAGGCAACTGTAGCTACTGCGTCAATCTTCCCTCCCCAAACCCCCTTTTCGCTGGTAAGAAGCTCTGAATGCGAAGCGTCGAGACCATGTTCAGTTGCCTCATTAGGATGTACGTCAAGAACTGGCACAAAACCATCTGATGCGGACAGATTCGCTCCCTTTGATGCTTCCGTTATTAACTCAACGGAATCTTCCGTCGATCTTTCACCACGCACATCTTCGGAATGCGCCAAAATTTGTCTCTCAACTAATCTCTTCTCGGAATCCTGCCGATTTTCTTCGTCGTTAGCTTCTTTGTCGCGAGTTTCAATGTTTTGAATTTTAGTATTTTGAGTAACGGCGTCATCAGCCTGGTTAGATTCAACTATGGTCTCCGAAGGGGTGGATGAGTAGAAGATCACTGCAGTCGGTGGTGCCCGTGAAGCTGGAGAATTGGTATATTGTGCTGTAGGACCAATTGTCAACGGCTTATCATAGATTGTAAAATTTTCCCTCAAAGAGGGTTGGACTGATCGTTTCTCGAATATTACGCTTGGAGTCTGCGAGGCCGACTCCTGAGTTGATCTGTTTTCTTGTGGTGCGGCAACATTCAGTACCATGGCGCTTTCTGGGACACGATTTGTAGACAACTCTTCAACGACTGGTCTAGTAGTCTCTTCATCCAATAAGTCTCCACTTGTGGGTTCTGCAGAGAGCAAATGGGTCCCATCAATTGCCGCAGAGCTTGAAGGAACTTCTACACTATGAACTGTAGGTTCCTCAAGTGTGGTTTCTACTATCAGGTTGTTAGCACTTCGTCGAGACTCTTTCGTAATACCCCCAAAAACTTGACTGGAATCAAAGGGGAATAGCCCGACAATTTTCCAAACATGCTGAATGACTTGAGGTTTCAATCTTTCTTGTCGTATTGTATCATAGCTGATAATAAATTCTCCTCGATCAACATCATTCGGTGTCACTTTTGCATTACTGAATAATTGGCCCCGAAATACATTTGGAATAACCGAGAGGAGTACTTGGTCGAGTGGTTGAAAAATTCGCAGCATCACTTTGGGAATGTACAAGATGTATATGTTATGTTCTCGACATATCGATTGAAATCTGGAAGTAGTGAAGCAACTCAGTTCCTCAAGAATTAAACCAATGGTCCTGCCATTTTTTGCTGCCCCTGTCTCTCTAATAAACAAATGTTCAAGCCATTCAATTGCCGTACCAGGTGTCAACAATCCATTTTCTAGCGATCTATAATAAAATGGAGGAACGTTCTCCGGTTTGTACCGTGATAACAGAGTGTCATGCCCTTTATATAGCAAGAACGGCGTTAACACTTTCCCATCTCCCGAGACTGTCTCCAAAACTGATACATATTCGGCTTCTCCACTATTAATGGATCCATTCCCCACGTCATCGAGTGGAACTTTCGCCCACAGTTTCGAGGCAGCACCAATTCGATAGATACTCTCTACCATATTCCATACTTGGCACTTGTCGCCATCAAGAGCTTCAATGAACATTTTGGCATTTTTAAACCACGACGAGATTTGTTGCCGAAATTCTATGGATAAGCCCACGAGACCCCGATAATTGACATTTTGTAATTCTGGGGTCCGCTTTTTCCACAGCCGAATCCACGCCTTCCTAAGTTCTGGCTCAGATCCTCTGGCCAACAAAAGCAAGTTTCCTGCTTCAGCAACAGTTTTTTGATTCAAAGGGACCTTGTTTTTGGCACGGTGTAGTATATGCTCGAGCACCACCTGCTCTTCCTCTTCAAGTAGTCTATACTTGTGTATATTCATCAAACGAGAGCACTCGGCTGCAGTAATTTCCTCCCCAAGCTCCGCTGCTAATTTGTTCAATTCAGTTCTGAAGGTTGTTTTATTCAATCCAAACTTTTCCGCGATTGAAGCCTTTGATGGGGGATATTTATCATTTCTGTGGCCTCTATAGTACGCTATTGCATGTTTCATTTTTTCGCGGTTCGCCAACTTCCGCTTCTTATTGGGAGGAAGATCAGCATTCTTTGCTCCGTCTGATGGAACCGACATTGGAAACATGTCAGAGCTGTTTTGTTTAGGAATAAGTGGCTGTTTGGTTTAGAGTAATTTCTTTTTTGTTTTACGAAGGAAGACGCGTATTAAACAAAATCGTCCAAAACCAAAATCTACCTTACCGGTCTTGCCACAAAAGAAGAAGAAGAAGAAGAAGAAGAAGAACGATTAGCTAATATACGAGGAGACATGAGGCTAGTTCTAAGCTAGCAGATGCTGTAAAACCATCGACTTGGGAAATATCTTCCCTCAACTGCAATCACGATTGCAGGGATTTCAGTACTTCAAGTGCAGTGAAGTCAAACTCAACTTCGGAGGGGCAGCTTCCATCTTAGATTCGATACAGAAGCGCACCTACTATGCACCTCCTATGCACCTCCATCAAGGTGACTTTCTACTTCACCGATACACCACAACACCCTAAATCCATCTGTGGCGTCATTTCAATTTATCACATGGCGTGCAAGTGAAGACAAAATTTCTTTTTTTTTTTTTTTTCTGTGCCTCTTTTTGTTCTATTTTCCTCCTCCCCTCCATTTGTCAGAGAACGAATAAGGCGAGAACACAGAGAACTTTCAGTAAACTATAAAGTATCACAGAGCATCTACTTTTATCAACCGCGATTTCCAACAACAAGCTTTCTTTTCTAAGCACAGTTTGCCAACCATGGTTTTAACTCACTCGGTAGCCAGAGACGGCACTCATGTCTTCCACAATAAGCTTACCAACAACTACCTCCTAGTTGGGGATAATGGTAACAGTATTGAGGCCACGAAGGAATACCCATCGTCATTAACTGGCTCAAATGCCGGTACCATCTCTTGTATTATTGGTGTGATTAAGCTTAAGGTCAACTCATACGTCATTATTGCCAATGAGCACCAAGTTACAGGATCCATTTTGAACAAAGAGATTGCTTTGATCAAAAGTTACAAGATCTTGTCTTTGAGCGGCGCTAAGGCAACAAGTGAGGAACAGGTTTACTTGGACTTGTTGAATGAACAGTTGAGAAATGGTACCTTGTATTACTCTATCGATAATCAGTATGATATCACCAACTCATTACAGAAGCAATACACCACTGAACATCCAAAGATTGACGAGAGATTCTGGTGGAACAAATACATCTCTACCCCTTTGCTTGAAGTTGATTCTAGATTTGAGTTTATTACACCAATCATTTACGGCTACTTCAAATCCCACTCAACAATTTTTAATGGTCGTGCATTGCAATTTGCTTTATTGACTCGTCGTTCAACAGAAAGAGCAGGCACGAGGTATTTCCGTCGTGGTATTGATGCACAAGGTAATGTTGCCAATTTCAACGAAACTGAGCAATTTGTCACTACTGATGATAATCATATTTACTCAGTGTTGCAAACAAGAGGCTCGGTTCCAGTGTATTGGGCAGAAGTCAACAATTTGAGATACAAGCCAAACTTGGAAATCAGTTCCCAACCTTCAGGAGATGCGACTGCGGCGCATTTTAGTCAACAAGTGGCATTCTATGGTGACAACTATTTGGTCAATTTGGTCAATCAACTGGGGTATGAAAAGCCCGTCAAGCAAGCATACGAATCTGCAGTTGAGAATTTACCGGAAAAGTTGAAATCTCATGTCCATTACATTTACTTTGACTTCCACCACGAGTGCAAAGGTATGAGATATGACAAGATCAACTTGTTGTTGGATCGTTTGATTGGATTGGGCTACACTTCAGACAACTATTTTGAAATTGATTTGAGTGCAAGAAAGATTATTCATTTGCAAAATTCAGTGATTAGAACAAACTGTATGGATTGTTTGGATAGAACCAATGTTGTTCAAGGCTCAATCGGCAGATGGGTTTTGCAAAATACATTGGTCAAGTCTGGATACTTGAATTCAGTTGAAACGCCATTCGCCAAAGTTGACCCCAGGTTCAATTTGTTTTTCCAAAACTTCTGGGCCGATAATGCCGATGCTGTTAGTTGTGCTTATTCAGGAACCGGTGCTTTGAAAACTGACTACACTCGTACCGGTCAAAGAAGTCACCGTGGTGCTATTCGCGACTTGATCAATTCATTGACTCGTTATTACAAAAACAACTACTCCGATGGAAGTAGACAGGACTCATACGATTTGTTTCTTGGTAAATATAAGCCATATCAAGATGCAGTCCAGTCGCCATTTATTGATGTTAGACCAGCTTATGTCCAGTTGTTGCCATATTTGATGGGAACTTCATTCTTGATTATGTTGGCGGTTTTGTATTACCCAAGAGGGTCCTTGTTGGATTTGAAGAATTTGGCAATTATTGTCTTGTGCTTGCTTTTCAATTTGAGAAGTTTGTCGTGGATTCTTGCCAATGGATACCAATATGTTGATTGGCCAAGATTGGTTCCTTTGGATTATTTGAGAAAGCAAAATACCTACGACGGTAATGGTAAAGTGACTGGTACAAAGTATGAAAAAACAGATTACTTCAAGGGCATTAGTAAGAAGAAGAACTAGGGAGAAAGAATCAAAGAAGAAGAGCGTATTTTAGAAATGTAGATTAATAGACATTTTTACAGTGGAAGCTTCAACAACATTCTGTAGGAACAAAAAAAAAAATAAATACAAAAAAACAAAAAACAAAAAACAAGAAAACAAAATTGGAAAAAAAAAAAAAAATGACTAGCTGAACGAAAGAAAGACTCCAACATCGACGACAATCATATCACATCCATGTCAAACATATTAGAAAAATCATTAGACGATATAATTGGGGAAAAGAAATCCGAAAGAAAATTCACCCCAACCAGCAGAAGAGGCAGAGGCGGTGGACCACTCTCATCTCGTTTACACCGTTCGCATCGATCACCACCTTATAGCAGACGCCAGCCGGATGTGTATATCCCTCGTGGATCTCCGGCAACAGAAGGATTGCGAAACTCCTCTTCTTCAAGCGTACCTCCCGAAGTATTAAGCATGGCCAATGGTCGTCCCACGTTACGATTAAAGAATGTTCATCCAGAGTTGAATGGAGATGATTTGAACAAGTTATTTTCAACGATTAATGACGTCGACTTTATCAAATTTGATGACAAGAATGATACGATTGCGTATATATGTTTCCAACGTGATTGCGAAAGAAGCAATTTGGAGGCGATTGAAAAGTACGATGGCAAGAAAGCCATGGGCAAGATTTTGATTGTTGAGAATACTGTTAGCTTGGCCGATAGAATCAGTATAGCGCCAAGACCAGTAGGACGAGAGAGGTTCGCGGGGCGTGGAAGAGAAAGACTCGGCAATGGCGGAGGAGTAGGAAAAGTAGGAGGAGTGAGAGGTGGAAGGGGCGGTGCCTTGAGAGGGAGAATTTCGTCACGTGGTGGTAAATCTAGAAGAGAACCGACACCGAAAAAGAGCGCTGAAGATTTAGACAAGGAGTTGAATGAGTATATGGGTAATACTGATGATGCTAATGGTGGTGGTGGTGGTGGTGCTGAGCAGGAAAATGCGGGTGCTGATCTAGATATGACCGGATAGACGTTGCATTTGTTACAACAAAAATTGTTCATAAATTACGTATTATTAATTATATATATATACAAACTGTCTGTAATTGGAAGGAATGATACTGAAGGGGAATCGTGTTCAAGTTTATCCCATGCCTTGAGTCAACGCAACCATGCCAATGTAAATACTCTTTGTCTTTTTTCTGAATGTCTTTCCAAAATACAAGAATGGGATAATACAAGCAATGGTGGCAAAATCAATCACCGCCAAAGCAATATAAGTATTGGCAGTACCCGAGCCATCCAACCAATACGAACAGGCAAATGTGAAAATACAAGCCAATGTATTGTTTATAATCGAAACCCCCACCATTCCTTGAATGACAATTTCTGGGTATGCATCCATCAAATACGACATCGCGGTATCACCGATTGAACCCCATCCAAACCCAATAAAGCCCAACCCAACATAAATGCATTGCCACGGCCATTGTCTATCAGCACCCACTCCAAACATAATGAGCCCCGCTGGTGAAATAATCAATGTGATAAAGAGCAAATACAAACGGTACTCGGGCTCCATCACACCGTTATTTCTCTTTGCTATCCAAACGACATGCTTATCGGAAAAGATCCCCGACATGATACATCCAATCACGGCACCAATCAACGTGGCGACATTCATAATTGCAACACCAGTGTTGCTTTTGTTCCATGGTGGATCGTAGAAAAATGTATCTTGTGTCGTCAAGAAAAATGTCATGTAGGCGTCTTGTAAACCCCAAAGGAGTCCCGATAACCAAACTGCGGGCAATGTAAACACTTTAAAGTAAATGACAAACCGGTTGAGGTATTGTTTGAATCCAAAGCCCTGTAAATATGGGGCTGGTGTAATTAGAGCAATTCTTTTCAAATATGGAGTTGGTTTTTCATCATTGGTTTCAATGTCGTAGTTGGTGTGGCCGTTAGCAGAGCTACTTGGAGATTGTACATTAACTAGTGCATCAAGATCATTCTTGTTTTCTGAGTTTGTGAAATCATTGGACGTGGTGATTACGCCACGATCCTTGATTTCATCGTGGTGGTCTCGTTTGTCATCTTCCTCGAACGACCCGCCATTTTCACCATTCTCAATCCGAGCAGCTTCATAAATCTTCAATTGACGATCATAAACAGTTTCTTCACAGGTAAAAAACAACACCACAAGAGTGGCACCACAAATGATGGCACCCCACCAACCAACCCAACGAAATGTCATCAGTTCGGCGATCAATTCGGCAATCAACGGACCCAAAAACGACCCCACCGACGTTGCCAAAATGTACAATGTCAACACACTACCCAAGTTATTTTGGAAAAAAATGTCACTAAGACTTTGTTGCACCTGAGCCTCAGCACAGGATTCACTAATACCAACAAACATCTGTGACCATATCGTATCGGCTGTTTTCCTACTAAACCCAAACCACATGCATCCCAAAGTACCGAATAGTAAACATATTAAATAAGTGATTCTCCTTCCATATAACGAAGAAGCAGGAGCGAAAAATATACATGACCATCCAATGAATATAAACAAGACACCAGCACCGGTGTTCATGGCATCATATGAAATCCCATAAGTTTCATTCAACGAGTCCTGTGCTGCTCCAGCGTCGTTCGAAGTGGCTGCTGTCAAGGCAGTAATGAATGCCAATAAAGTCAAATGCCAAATCTTGCGCGGTTTAGACCAATTGAGTGGATCATTGATGGAGTCAGACGGTTGTGGGAGCAAGACTAGTCCGTTTTTGTCTCGTTTGAGTGATTTATTAGAAGAAATTGAGTTGTCATCTTGCTGATTCCCAGTAAGGATATTAGTTGTGCCGGGTACAAAATTCTCATCGTAGTATTCTGAGGGGACACTTGAATCAGATGTAAGTTTCATAGTATTGATAGTACAAAGGAGGTTGTTTCGACGTGGTTATAGTCTCTTTTTTTTTTTGTCAAATTGACGGAGGTTGCTTGCTGCTAAAAGGAAAAGCTATAGTATGTGACTTTGTTTTCGAGTGGTTATCCTATTCTGGCTAGTAAGAACAAAAGTGATAAATGTTAAATCAGTATAGTGATGTCAGTATGACATTGTTGAAAGAATATATATATATAATCAAAATGGTGATGTTGTTTCTTTATCTATTGTAGCAAACTCTGTAGCGACTAAACCCTCCTCGTTGGAAACTACTGTGAACAAAACCCTGAACGATACCCTACTCGATGAATCTTATCTTTTTCTTTGACAGAAGAAAAGCTGTATAAATACTATTGAGATTGGAATTCCGTTCTGTTAATCTATACAAAAATTTTATATTGCATCGCCGCTATTGTGTAATAAAAAAGTATTTATTGTGTAATAAATTCTTTTTCTTTTTCTTTTTCTTTTCTTCTCTTTTTTTTGGTTTGTTAAAACCTTAAAACAATAGAGATGAAAGATGAAATGAAAGCTGTATAATCACACACTAGCAAATATACTCTACTGTCGCTTTGCAAATGGGACTTAAAATGGCAACTTGCCTAACAAGAACAGATTCACAAAGGAGGAGAGAAGAGGAGTGATGAAAAAGTACAAACTCATACTTGTGCAAAGCCGTGGAGAGAAAGCTTTTTTTTTGTTATTTTAGGAAACTTGTCGTGCGACATCAAGAAAATAGACTGTACGCTTTAAACTCACCTACTTTCTTTAACATATATATATGCATATAACTAACACGTAAGGGATGCTAAGGCGTAAAGCTGTACTTTTCAACAATTGGAAACAAAGATACGGCATTTCAAAGGTAGAGCACAACGAAAGGAAGAACTTAAAGAAAAAAAAAGAAAAAAGAAAAAAGAAAAAGAAAACGACTTATGTACAAAGGGACTTTATGACATTTCACTTGTGGCTTGAATCACACAAAACATATCCATTACTGTTAGATGTGAGTTTATTTTAAGCTAAATATAATTGGGGGAGGATCAAAGTGCCGCATTGCCTATAAATCATTAGAGTGCTTCCATCTGTAGCACTTGAATTTCTTTTTTTTTCCTTTTTTTTTTTCTGTTTTATTTTGCTTTCCATTGGTCTGTGTCTCCATCATCCATTTTGTGTTTGTGTCCCCTCTCCTGTTGCCGAAGAACCTCTCCAAAATACAACTCTACTAGTATCGTTAATAAAAACTCTCTTTCTATTTTTGTTCTTCCAGAACAGTCTACTCTACTCAACTCAACCCAACCCTCCTATACATATACATCCCATAGTTTCTCTCCTTACTCCTCATGGTCAACCGACTCACTCTGACTCTGGTTCTTTTTCCATTCCAACAACGGTGCCAACTCCTCAATCTTGCCCGACTTGTGCTGGATAAACGAATGCTCCAACAACTCGTCAGTAGTAGCTCTGTACCTCACATCAACACATAAACAAATGGACAAAAACTTTTTTATCGAATTACTCAATAATTCAGGCTTCTTCAACTTGGGCGTACCATTAGTTGCAATCAAATACAAAGCTTTCAATGGCTCTTCATTCAAATATGGAGGCTCGCCTTCAATCATCTCAATGGTCATTATACCCAACGACCAAACGTCCACCTTCGCGTCATACTCCTTCTGCTTGACAACTTCAGGAGCCATCCAATAGGGGGTTCCCACCATTGTAGCTCTCTTGTTTCTTTGATCAGTCAATTTAGCACAGAATCCAAAATCGGTGATTTTCACATTTCCCTGTGAATCCAAAAGTACATTGTCCGACTTGATATCACGATGGATGATATGTTTCTTGTGTAGATGCTGCAACCCTTTCAAAGTCTCAAAACAAATTGTGGCAATCTGTCGCTCATTCAATTTGAACTCATTATTCTCAATAATCTCAGTTAATGATCCACCTTCCATATACTCCATAATGACCCATAATTCCGAATCTCCAATCAAGTAGGAATCCAAAAAATTCACAATGTTTTTATGTTGACTATCCTTCATAACCAAGATTTCATTAATAATCAATTCTTTTCTTGGTTGCACATTCAAGTCCATTTGTTTAATTGCAATCTTCTTACGCTCTGAAATCATTTCTGCTAAATAAACATTTCCAGAAGCTCCTTGACCGGCTTTTTCGATGATTCTAAACAATGGCTTGGGGTTGTTGCTGTTGACAACTGTTTTCAACTTGGCGATAATCTGCAAGTCATTTAATCGTTCACGTTCCTTTTTCAATTGTTTGGCAGTCTTGGGTACTGCAGGACCCATTGCTGGAGATTGCACCTTCGGTTTGGGTGCGGACTTGTCTTGTTGTGTTGGCTGTTGTGGTTGCTGTTGCTGTGGTGGTGGTTGTCGTGGTTGCTGCTGCTGTTGCTGCTGCTGTTGCTGTGGTGGTGGTTGCTCTTTTCTAGACTTCAACTGCAACGGCTTCACAGGTTCGATTTCTGAATTTAATGGCTTTGTAACTGAGTGCGCGGCTCCAGCTGGACCTGTGAGTGGATGTTGATGTGGTTTTTGATAATGCTGAGAAGTCTGCAGCACAGAAACAGCTGGATATTGCGGATCCTGTGAAATCTTGGTAGTGTTACTAGTAGGCGAATATTTCTTGGCTCCTACTTCACTCAAATTCTCCTTGTCCAGAGAAAGACTGGTACTGCTGCCGCTACCTTTCTGAATCTTCAAATCAGGATGGGCTTTATATGTTGGTGTTCTATTGAAACTAGCACCACCAGGCACCGAAGGCGGTAATTGTTGAGGTTTGGATGCAGATTGAGAGCTTTGGTGTGTATAAGCTGCTGGTTGATCCTTTCGCTGTTGGAACTTAGATGATGACGATGATGACTGCCCTCCAGCACCAGATCCTGTCGGTGGAGGAGGCGCCCTTCTAATTGGAACAAGTTCATTCTTTTCACCAGATGGCGTGGTTGTGGTGGATCCAGCGCTCTTGCTGAGCAAATTGCTCAACGGAGATATAGTGGATGCACCATTAGTTTCACTTTGTTGAGTAGTTAAGTGATATGGAGCTGGTGGTTTAGGCGCAGAACGTGTTGGTTTGAATTGTGAATTGTTACTCTTTGAAGGTGGCTTTGTCCATTCTTGCAAGTTGGAATTATGGTCAATAGAACTATTTGCCAAATTTTTATTCATGTTAACTTGAGGAGACGCCATTGGTGTAGAAGGATTCGACCCATTGATATCGGAATAAAACTCCAATACTTCAATAACAGCAGCTGGGTCTTTTTTCCAATCTTCATTTGTGATTTTGGAGTGTTGTAATAAACTTTTCCAAGTCTCGGGCAATCCAGTGAAATTACCACTAGCAGGATCAAATCCAACGTGAACCTTGTGTGTAAAGTTTATTGGTCCAGAAACACCTGCATTTCCACCCTGTAGTAATCTGCCAACGCCGCCGCCACTTAATGCCAGGTTGAGGTTCGACTGTGACGATGATGATGACGATGTAGCGGTAGTTCCCAGTGTTGGTCCTGAAATCCCAGAAATCGAGTTACCATTTGAGGATTGACCAATTTGAGCAGAAGGACATTTACTGGAAAATGCATTTAGCCAATCATGATACTCATTGCTGGACTTGACTGAAATCAATATAGATTTCCCATAATTTTTGGGAACGATTTCAAAAGATTGGCTGTTTTTGGAATGCCCTGACTGTGGTTTCAAGATGATGTTGCTTATCAAATTCAATGGTAAAAGCAATTCAGGACTGGTTGGTTCGCTGATGCTTGGTTCGTTCTTGTAAATGTTTAGCGAGCGATCATTCATATTCATAAACCTCTTGTTCCACCTGAACGAAGTGAATATACCATCATCCTTGACATGAACCCAGCCCGATTGTCGTTTATTGGATCCAAGACTGATTGGAATCTGGCTATTACTGGCTGAGGAGATGCCATTGAGATAAATGTTTTCTTTTGAGCTGAGCCCTAGTCCTGAGGTGGTGGTGGTGGTGGTGTCGCCGCCGCCGCCGCCACTCGAAGACAGCAAGTTCAAAGATGAAGATGACGATTGTGTTCCTTGTGGAAGGCGTGGGGGTGGAGGTGCCCGTCTATGATTCTTCAAATCAGAATTATAAACACTGGTCATATGCGATCAAAACGTGGCAAAAAACAAAAAAAAAAAAGAAAATGCAATGAAAATAGGTATAGCTGATGAAACAGAAACCAAGGTGACACTTTGCTCAATTTTCAAGCCAAAATTTTCGGTTGTGTTGTTGTTTGTAGCAAAAGTTGAAAGCGAAAGGGTGATATGAGACGATTATCAAATACCGGACTGTAGCGTACTATCTTTTGCTAAGTTGTGTGATGGTAAAATGTATGCCCCCTGGTAATTGCTGGGATGTAATTTAGGACGTGTCTAGAATGGCAGGTTCCAATTTCAATTTCAGTTTGAGTTTTTGATTTTTTTTTGCTTTGATGAAAATAATAAATTTTTTTTTTTTGGTGTTTTACTCCTTAATTAGAAGAAACAATTTACAAAAAAAAAAGGCAAGGTTACTAACACTACAAATGAGAGTGGTATATGCAATGTTCCTCCCTCTCTCTCCCCCCTTCCTTCCCCGATTTCTAAAGAAGTTACTTCTCTTTGTTGTGGTTCAATACAGAGGGCAGATTAAACAGCACTATCATCTTTTGCTTAACGCAGCTTCAACTAGGAGAAACAAAGTAATGATTTCTTCACCATTAGTATAAATGTCACACGTGTTGATCCTTCTATCCATAATCTCTGGCATTTCTCGTTCACCTTGTGCTATGTAGTTCCAGTAATATCACTGCCCAGATCACTTTACACATAAACATAGACCGCACACAAATAACAATTGGTGTGTCTAATTGCATATTGGTTAGCACGAGCGACGCGTATCGTCTCTACAGAATCAGCGAAAAGAAAAAAAAAAAATAACAATAAGAAAGCAAATTGTAAACAAATCAAACCTTTACGTCGGCTATTGCAATCGTCTAAACAAAAATTGCCATAATAAATAACTCAACAAATAGAGAGAACTAAAGCACACTGCACAGGCACAAAGATCATTGGAAAATGGTGATTGGGCTCGGAAGTAGACCTGTGGTGAAGAAGTCGTCGTGTAACTATCTGCTCAGTCTTTTTAGCCGATAAGCATGTCAAACATCCCGCTACCAAATAATTTATACTGTAAATGTTGAAATATGACGCGTTTGTGGATTGATGTAGTTACCTAAAAGGTTCCCCACACATAAATGTTTCAAAAAATTATTAGCAGCCTTTTAGTGCTAGCACATTTGTGGAAGAAAGAGATTTACATTGAATTCGGGTACGGGCACAACATCTGTGGCTAAAGCCGGTGTAAGTATCTAGGTTTTCTACCTTCAAGCCGTACTGTGAGGTGCCTAGTCAGCTAGTGTCCCAAACAGAATCTGGTATATATATGTATAACCAGTTTTTCTGCATATGGCGTATACTTATACACCCAAATGTGACCTTTAGTTGATGGAAGGTCTTAGGCGAGTTTTCGTTGAGGTTCTACGACTGCTTTGTTAAGAGCCACTTCTTACAAGCGCTTTTCTATTCCAATAGGAGTTCTGTGTACATCTTCATGTTGTATGTTCAATACGCATGAATAATAGGAGGCAACCCTATAATTGTTTGAGTTGAGCCACCATTACTCTGGATATAAGCTCATTGTTATAATTTTTTGCAAAGTGAGCTTTTAAAGAATCTCAGATGCTATTCAAGCTCAACTTCATGTCATAAATCTTGCATTTGCGGGAAAAGTGAACCACCTCCTCTATTTTTTATTTCCAAAATTGTTTCCACAATATTGTAGCAAATTTGAACCAAAAACATCACATCCTTTTTAACAACAATCTTTGGCGCATTCTGCCTCAGCAAGAGTACCATCTCACAACCACTGTAGGAAAAACTCAATTCATCTCGACGCACCGGACTTAACGGTAGCAACGAAAGACTTTTTTAATTTTGTTTTGGATTATCATCAAGTGTTGCAAAAAATCGAGTTCGCACAAGCTAGACACAGAAGGACACGAAACAGGCACAC